GTCGCTAGAAATCATATGGATATACATCTTTCTCATTTCGGTTCTTGGACATCGTATCTCACCCTTACACCTCCTATGCCCCGGACCGAATGTCACCAACCACTGTACCGGCACCATCGACATGACCGCAATGCGGACCGCCAAGGAACCAGTTGTTTGCCACCGCTGACCCCGTTCGCGCTCCTGCTCCCTTTCTTGGCTCCACGGGAAAGAAGGAGCACTGAGGCGGAGCTGGCGAACCGACCAGCGTCAGGGAAGGTCGTTGCGCTTGTCAACTGGGACAAACTTGGGGGTCTGGCCGGGCCTTCCTGCTCTCCAAACCAACTTTTCTTTGTCTCAGCCATCCCTGCTACTCGGTAGGAGTGCCAATGTCTTTGATATCAAAAGGAATGACCTCTGGCGAGCTCAGAAGAGCCCAGGATACACCGTAAGGGAGTCGAACCCCTGCCGCGTCGAGGGTTGCACTTGGCAACGACGCATGATACCGTTTCACCAACGGTGTTTTGATGATGCTCTCCATTGCGCTGTCGCCGCTCGCCGGCCTCGGAAGCCTCACGGAAAGCGTAGAGGCGGACAAGGTGTAGCAGAGTGTAAAGAGGGCGAAAAACTAGGTCAGAGAGTGGAGATGAAACCTGAAAGTGGCACTCGGCCACCCAACCTGAATGTGGCACTCGGCTATTTTCATGTCGTTACTGCAAACCGGCCTGGAACGACGACCTGGATCCCCCACCTGCGGCCCAGACAGTTGTACGATTGGCCACGACTGACGGAAGCAGCTTCCGGGGCAAGTACTCCCTCTGTCGACGCACGACCCCCTCCTTCAAAAGCGCACCTCCCTCTCATCTCTCCCACACGACGGGGGTCCACATAGTCCCCCACGCCTACCCAGGGTATATGAGCTTTCAATTCCGCACTACCCGACGCCTGGATCGGTCACAGACTACGGTATTCCGGAAGCCTCTCTTTGCTGAGGGTCGTCCACCGCCGCCTGCGGCCATCACCCTGCCGACCTCGCCACCCATCACCTCCCACCAGCTCCCACGCGCGCAATCGCCCACCACAATTGGGCGCGCACCCCCCCGAACCTCTACCGGTGATACCACTACCCGACCTAGGTCCAGGTCGGGACGGCTGCCAAAACAGCGTCTACGCGCTTCCCGGTGCGCCACATGCTGCTGCACCCACCCGCGCAGCACTGCCAATCCTCTTAAACAGCGACTTTGCACTGCATCCTACCTCCCCCCACCGGCCCTTCCCACAGCGCCAGCAAAGCTGGCTAGGATGAACGCTTGCCAGCCTGCACGACACACAGGGCTTTGAACTACCTCTGGGATCAGTGGTGATAGTGTCACTGGACCGATCAATCCTTCCATAGCCAGCAATGCCGCGGGTGCGGAGGGACTACCGGGGGAGCAGACTTTCACGGAACACACAGCGGTTATTATTACATGCATTTCCTCCTACTACAGTAGCTTCTGTCTTGTAAACCCAGGCACAAAACGGTCAGCAATCTATGCCACACTGCCCATGTTCCATCCTTCCACAGACCGAGGCTTGCAGCATATACCCCCCAGCCCGAGGTCACCAGCTCGTAACCTCAAGCCTTTTGAGAACTGGGAACCACAACGGCCCGCCATCGCCTTCCACTCTCCCAACCTGCTCATGCTGAGGCTGGCTGGTCTGGAAAATAAATGGCGCACCGCCGCCTTCTGTATCTCATGACGTTCTTCTCTCTTACTCGCCGACCAGACAATGGTCGCTTACTGCCAGTAGCTCGTTGCAGCCCGGTCACATCATCCGACCACTGACATCAGCCTACAGTATACAGTAGCACAAGTCGCCGACGCGATGCCACCACCGCTGCCACTTGTGCTTCGGCCAAGTGAGAAGGACTTCCAGTATAACCAACTTGCCCAAGCCCTTCTCGTCACTCATGATGCTATACGCCGTCCTAGTGCTCACGGCCTGGACTCCACAGCGCCATTGGGCCTCTCTCACACACGACACCACCCAAAGCTCAAATGCCTGCCGCAGCCTTCCTACAAGCCATGGGCCATCATGGCATCTCATCCGGATTACCGCATGCCCAGTCATTGGCGACACCGACCCTCTTCCATTAGTGTCCACCTTCCCCGTGTCGATGGAAACCCACAACAATCAGCGCTCCACTAACGTCTGCCACGTCCTTCACAACACCATATCATCATTCCTTAGAGAGCACGCTCCAGCCTCCTTCGTTCTTACACAGCCAGCATCTCCCACTACAACTACATCTACCGCTGCCTCACCCATCAATCGCTCGTCTCTTGGCTAGACCGACACCTACAGGCCCCTTACCCGGCTCCTCTCAACCACCACCCCCCCCCCGCCCGGCGTTTACCCAGCACATCCCCTTCCCCTTCCAGACCCTCGGCAGCCAGAACCGCTTGCGTCACGACCCGGTCGCTGCAGGCCCTGCCTACCAGCACCGCCCGCGACCACAGCAGTGTCTGCATTCCACATGTCGCGTATTGCCCCAACCGAGACATCTACCCGCCGTTACTGTGTTGACACGGCCCATCTAAGCGCCAAGACGGCCTCCACCGACTGGTCTTCACAGCCACCGGACTTTGGCACAGACACGCCTCCTTCACATCTCCATTACCTACTCAAACTCAGCACCTTCACTTCGATGATCACCAGACCGGACTTCTCTTCAACATTAGAGGAGCTCGACTTTCCGACACAATCATTTTTCCGACGCCATCGGTTTTCCGACAGGACCGACAGGACCGACAGGACCGACAACATCCGGTCCGCCACAGGAAAGGAGAAGGAACAACAAGCTGAAGACAACCGTCATCTTTCTCCCTTCCTCCCCCCCTTCACCGACGATGAACTGAACTGCCTTGCGGCAGCTTCTGGCTCACGGCGGTCAGAGGTCTCCTCCACCTCTGCATGTCGTGGAGCCCTTGCTGGCTCTACGCGAAGCGGCCCTACAATCGTCACCAATTCCACTCTGGCTTTGGGTCACGTACCCAGCCGGAGTGGGGGCCAGACGGTCATCTCAGATGGCGACCCCCTGCCTTTCCTCTATCTTGTCTAGTTTCTCACACTCCCACGACACAGCCCTACCCCCTACTAACCGGGCACGCCTAGCCGGGACCCCGTCACCGCCGTTTTGTGTGTGTCCACACACTCTGCGGCACTCCCTCGCCCACCGTCCTCGCGTCCGACTCCACCCGTTTACCCGCCCGACCGGCAGACCCCTCGGCGAACGGAGCTTCATCGTCGTCTCTAATCTGGGGCTGACGGTGAAACAGACCACTGTTCTTGGACACCGGCCACGATACTTCTCTTACCACACTTACCTACCCTACAGCTACAAACGGGGGCAAGGTCGTTTCCCCTTCTTCGATGCTAGAAGCCGACCCAACACAAACGGCATTCTTGACGACCAGCCTGCGCCCTAAAAATCCTTCGCGTCCCCCACTCTTTCTCACCCCTCTTCAGTGCCCTCTCTTTGCACTGTGCGCTTGGCTTGAGTCTCGCCCCACCCCCACATCATGCTCCCAGCGCCCGGCACCGCCTCGACCCCACGGCCCATGCGACGTTCCTCTAAGCCTCAGCCTCGACCGCGGGGCCTGGGCCACTCGACCGCGGCCACGCCCGACCCAACCATGACTATGGCATCGACCCCCCCCTCACCTCGGTTCACCCACCCATACTCCTCACTCCTCCCAGGGTGCAGTCACGGCGAGAGGTTTGGCCACCACATCCCTCTCTGGGCGTCGGCGCTCCGCGAGTCGCTCGGCCCCCACCTCCGACTCTCTGTATCTGCTCTACACCAGCGGCTGGGCCACAGGGATGGCCGCCTTCCCAACGCCTAGGACACAGCACGGTGCGCACGACAACCATCGCAGCCTACACCACTACCATGAACCTCACCCAGCACGAGTACGGGCCAATCATTGGTTACATTGAACCCCAGGCAGAGTCACGGACCCCTCCACGGGGCACGCATCTCTAGCCTTCTCTCCTCCTTCCTACTTGTGCTTATCCCCCTCTCCTCCTCCTTCCTACTTGTACTCAACCCTCTCTCCCCCTCCTTCCTATTTGTTCTTATCCCTCACCCCCCCCCCTCACCCCCCCGGACAGCTGAAGAACTCCACTTGCAGCAGACGGTCACTTCAACAGTGATTGAGCATAGTTCTGCTTCAATGAAGCGTCCTATGCGACAACGGCCCGCGGCGTGTTGCCGGTGCAGAACACTGTTAGCCTTAACACACGCAAAAAGACTCCACAATACCATGTGCCGTCGTTGCTGCGAGCAGCTTCGAGGTACTGGGGGCCCGTCTTTCGCTTCGGCGCGTTATTTTCCTTTCCTTGCCTTTCCACAACCTCTTATCTCTACCTCCACAGCACGCCTCAATGAAATGTTTCTCATCAAGTTAGGCGTTGAAACACAACCGGTTACTGCTATCCCCTATGCCTCGACCTGGTCAGCGACCCACCAACCGAACCCAATGATGAGTGGCTCAGTGAGCTGTCCCCCCACCAGCGCCCGTCCCAATCGCTCTTTTGACCTCGACACACCAGTTCCCTTCGCCTCATCCCATATTAACCTGTTGCTACCTCCACTGGTATGCCGGGACACCAGCACCAGCACCAGCACCTCAACTGCTCGTTGTCTCCGCACTCCACCTCAACCCCGGGCCCTCGCACAGCACAGCACGCACAGCATTGATCGCCACGAGCCCCAACAATCGCACCCCACAAGGAGCAGGGCGCATTCACAGCGCAAACACACAAAACAGCCACCCGCGGCCACCACAACGACACGTACGACACGACGGGGTTGCCTCCAATCATCCCTCTACAACACACTCACCAGTATCGCTGCACCGGCTAGCAGGCAATTCTTCCCGCCAGTCCCCCCCCCCCCCCCCCTACCCCCCCTTACCTCGTCCCGGCCAACACAGCCAACGCTGGGACACAGTATGGGAACGAGCACATCTAGGCGTCCGTCCACAGGACCAGCGTTACCTATGCTCAGGTTTCACCTGCGGCCTCGCTGCCCGGAAACGTCCTTCCAGCCCCCTCAACCCCAGATGCTACGGCTGCAACCCCCTCTCGCTGGGTTGGGGTACCACACACTAGCAATTCGGGCGGCACAGCAGCAGCAACCCCCCTTGGCCAGGTTGGCCCGCCCCACACTGTATCCGTGACTGCCACTACTTCTCGTTGAGTTGGCGCGCACCACTCCTACACTGTGACCGCTACCCCCGCTGTTCCCCGGCGTCGGCTCTCCGCGAGTCGCTCGGCCACCTTTGTCCTTTAGCGTCCCCTCTCCGCGAGCGGTTCCGCCGCCCCTCGGGGTCCACTCACTGCACATCTGCACGGGCATATGCGTCTTTGGCGCGGCTCCCTACACAAGCGTCGTTGGCGCAACTCCCTCCATAAGCGTCTTCGGCGCGACCTCCTCCTCGCCACATACTCGGTCACGACGCCGGCCCCGTCAGCGCGGACATTGTGGCCCCCATCGGTCGTCGGCCAAACCCATAAGCGTCTTCGGCGCGACCCCACTCGGTCACCTCACTGGCCCCGCCAGCGCGGACATAGTGGCCCCCATCGGTCATCGGCCAAACCCATAAGCGTCTTCGGCGCGATCTCCTACTTGCCACATACTCGGTCACGTCACTGGCACCGCCATCGTGGACCTTGTGGTACAGCCTTCCACAGGCTGTCATCGGTCTTTGGCCAAATCGTCTCCCTTGCGGGACGACCCCTTCGTGTACTAACCCCTACAGTCTAGCCCCGTACCCTTCTGAACTACACACATTCCCTCACGAGGCCGCCCACCACACCTTTACTATCGATGGATTCGCCACCGACCACCAAGCCACGAATTTACAAAATCACCTGCCTCCATGTCGACCACTTGGTAGTATCGCCTCCCCTCAGTGTTCTGCCACCGTCTCTCACATTCGCCACCCTTCCCGGCGTGCTCACGCATCTAGAGGTTATGGCTCTCTTCAGGCTGCATTACAAGTGTAACTGTGGCTCGGTATGGGAGCCGACAGCAATATCTTCTGGAAATAGCACTGAGCTGGCAGAGCGTGGATTTCTTCCACCACGGCTCTGCCTTCTCTCGCGCTTACATGACTGTCAGACGCTCAATCCCATATTCTTAGTTGTACACTCGAGTTTAATATGCATTGGCCAGTTGCATTTTGTTTGCTGGCGAGCAGGCTATAATCAACTTAAGCCTCACTAAACTCGCGCGACGTGAGGCACGTCGTCATTCTCCTGGGGCGTACACTGGTAGGTTGCAAACTTCCTCGCAGGTACGCGCTGGGCGAACATTTCATCAAGCTCTGCCAGGCTGCGTCCCTTTGTCTCTGGGTGGTAGTAGTAGAAGTAGACGCAACAGATGATTGACAATGCGCCAAAGATGAAAGCGCACTTGGCTCCGAGGTTTGCCTCGTTCGGATTAAAGAGGTAGGGCAATGTAAAGCTCCACATTGTCTGGATGCTAGGTCAGCAACGTCAAAGGGTGTTGGACAGAAGACTCACACCCCAGGCACCTTGCATGGCTAGGGAGAAGGCGGCGGTCTTTGTCCTCAGTCGGCTTGTACCAATCTCACTCATAGCCACGTATGCAGTTGCGCTGTTCGTTAGCTGCAATCGCAGGCAGTGAGATTGGGAGAAAGGCCCCTCACCCGATGGTCATGTTGTATCCCCAGCAGTAGATGAGAATCAAGCTGACAGTGGCCCTGTTTCCGGCAATGGTTTCAAGGCAGGCAGTTCCACCCGCAATAAAAAGGACGACAGTGAGGCCAATCAGACCCCAGAGAGACAGGCCACGACGCCCAAAGCTCTCAATGAGGAACCACTGATGTGTCAGCACTGCGCCTGTGATCGTTCCTTCACTTACCGAATTGATGTTGCCGACCATACTGAGAACCTGCTGCGTAATGCTGAGTTTGTACGACATTGCAGTGGAGTATCCGGCCAGCTGCGCATAATATGTAAAGTATCCCGCAATCCAATTAACACCCGAAAATTGTTGGATAATGAGCGGCATGCTTGCAATGATGGTGCGACGGAGGTTGGTCTTACGGAACAGTTCGGCGTACGTTACCCCCGACGATTCTTCCCGCGCCTTCTCCAGCGTATACTTGATCGTGGCCAGTGACACCTCTATCTCGGCCTCCGACTGCCCAAGCCGCTTGAGAGCCTTTATGGCCTGTGTATCCTTGTTGACTGAAATCAGCCACGTTGGAGACTCGGGCATGAACGGCCAAATGAATAGGGCGATGCCTGTGACGCCATACTGGGTGACAAAGGCCGATTTGTACGCCCATTCAGTGTCGAGTTGTCCATATGCATTGACAATAAGGGACAGCACCAGGGTGCCAACGCAAAACGAAATGCCAGCGGCGGCTGCAAAGATGCCGCGCAGCCGCACTGGTGCGATCTGCCATGTTCATTAGGGCCCCACACAGCATGTAAGCCGCGAGCACTCACCTCGACAATGTATGTCATCGCAGTTGTCATCAGAGCGCCAATAGCAAACCCGTTGACAAACTTTCCGGCAAAGAAGACGGCGTTGGGGTTGGACGTCTGGTGGGAGACGACCTCGAGAGTGATGCCGATAAACAAGATGAGATAGGTCACGAGCGTCATCCATTTCCGGCCAATCTTGTCTCCAAGGCCTGCAATTGTCAGTGTTCACGTCTCTGGTGCTGAGCATCCAGGGCTGTATCCATTGAAGGCCCACACTAGAAGGTATAGCTGAACTTACCACCACCCATGAACGTGCCAATGACCTGAGCCGCGGCTGGTCCACCGGAGTACGCCGACTGCCACTTTGCAGGCAGGACGTAGTTACTGTTGTACATGAACCCATAGTCCTGGCGAAACTTTGGAATGCCCAGTACCGTTGAGCCCGCACTCGAATCGAACGAGTTGCACGCAACCATCCAGATGCCGTACACCAACCAGACGATGGTCCATGGGTGGCGCGTCAGCGCTTGCTTGATTGTCTCTGGCGCTTCGATCCTGGTTTCGGGGATTGGTTTGGCATCGAGGTCAGCATGATTGACCTTATCGCTGCAGGCGAGGTTGTCCTTGCGTTGCTGATCAACAGACATTGGATGAAAGAGAAGTGAAGCGGGGTTGGAGAGTGCGGAGTTGGGTTCAAGTGGGCTTTTTGTATCTCGGCCACTAGTGGCCATTGTGTCCGTTTGCCGTTGACTCCACCGACCTTACGTGAGGGGTCCCCTTGGCCACCTGCACGCTCATCCTGCCCACCTTTGACTAGTGTACAACCTTATGTAGCAACGTCGGCTAACTTTGCACTGGCGACTGGCCACTGGGGAGCTTGGGCATGCGCCTAGCTAATAGCGGGCTTGGCTCAAGCTTAGCTGCAAGCTGTGCGTGTGGTGTTTTCGTCTGGGCCGGAGATGGGGGGATATAGGGCAACCTGGCTGTCGGCGCCATCGCCGCACGGACTAGGCCGTGGACGGCGCATGCCTAGTGAATGGAAGGAGTGAGGGGAAGCAGAGCAAGCCCGTGATCCCGTGACAGCAGATGCCCACCTTGCAGCGGCACGTCAGCATGTCAGTGTCAGTCTTCACATGGAGGTTGGGTTTACCTGACATCGAAAAGGGCCGGGAAACATGTCCCTTTCCCACATCGGCTTCTTGCGTTGCATGTTGGTATGGGGTGACCGCAGTGACCAGCGGGGCCAGGCTGATCAGCGGTCAAGTCGGCGTTTTCACCGACACGGCGTATCGGTCCGCACCGTCCGCCGGATAAAGTGACACACGATCCAACGATGGGGGTGTAGTCCTTCCTCCTGCCCACATTCTTCCTCCCATCTCAGTGTCATCCGGTACTCCAACTGTGACGACATGGCACATATCTGGGCAACTCACCGCGCACCCAACTACGAGCGCTTCGCCGAGCGAGAGAAGCCGAACTGGTTCAAGGATGCCAAGCTCGGTATCTTTGTGCACTGGGGGTGAGTCTTGACGTTGATGGCCACCAGCCTTAACTGACAAGCAGGCCATACTCTGTTCCGGCATGGGCCGAGCCGACCGGCGAGCTTGGCAAGATTGACACAGTTGAACCTGAACAAGTGTACGTGCATCTTTCGGCTCGTGCTTATCAGCTCTTTCTCTGACTCTCCCGCCAGACACAAACACAACCCGTACGCAGAGTGGTACTTCAACACCATGCGCTTCCCCGATGGCCCGACCGCCGAGCACCACAGGAAAGTGTACAACGATGCCCCGTACGATGATTTCCTGGACACCTGGAAAGCAAAGGACTTTGACGCAGACAAGCTGGTGAGGATGTTCAAGCGTGCGGGGGCCAGGTATGTCGTCCCCGTGTCGAAGCACCATGTGAGTTGGATCCAGTACCACACCTCTGTATTTGCTGACGAGCTCAGGATGGTGTGACCTTGTGGGACGCACCTGGTACTGGCGAGCGTAACACTGTTCACCGCGGACCAAAGCGCGACCTCATCGACGAGTGGGCCCAGGCGTGCAAGAAGGAGGACGTCAAGTTTGGTGTCTACTACTCGACGTGAGTGATGGACATTGGGTCTGCCTCAGCATGGCGAACTAACATAGCCTTGCAGCGGTATCGACTGGCATGTATGGCCGACAGCTGAACCGTACCACGTCAACAACCAGATCCGGGCAGGCATCAACGACCATGAGTACAACGAGTACGCGTGGAGGCACTGTCACGATCTCATTGAGAAGTACAAGCCATTCATGCTCTGGGGTGACATTGACTGGCCCAAGGCGTGAGTCTGGCACATATGAAGTTGTGTTGACGACTCAGCGGTGTCGCTCCAGGAAAATACAGCGTGGAAGCTCTGTTGGACGAGCTGTACACTGCCAATCCGGAGGCAGTCGTTAATGGTAGGCTATACCTGTCTCGCACGCAACTGGCTGATGATCTAGACCGCTTTGGTGACACACACTGGGACTTCCAGACGGTCGAATACGGCTTGGGAGAACCACCCAAAGACACTCAGATGTGGCAATTCACTCGTGGTAGTGAGTCGTACTTCAACTTCAGCACATGACCACACTGACTCACACCTCTTAGTCGGACTATCGTTTGGGTACAACCAGGTGGAGGACGAGTCACATTCGCTGAGTGGGCTGGACGTTCTGCGCCTGCTTATCGATGTGTGCTCGAGCGGCGGTGATCTGTTGCTGAACGTGGGACCCGACGCCGACGGTAACATTCCACCTGTCCAGATGCGCTGCCTCGAAGCTCTGGGGGACTGGATGGACGTGAATGGCGAGGCAATCTATGGCACCAGCAAAGTCGATGCTGAGATTGCTACTCCTCATGGCAAGACAGAAGGTGAATGGGTCCGGTGGACGCGCAAGGGCGACCGCCTGTTTGCGTTTGTGGATGGAACCGAAGGAGAGGTCACGCTGCCCGTCAAACTCGACAGGGTGGACATGACTGCTGCTAAGCTCCTCAACGGCGATCAGGTCGACGTCCAAAGCGGTGGGGTGGTGGATGTCTCCAAGTTGCCTACCCAACTACGACCTGCGTGCATCGAGTTTAGAATTCGCTAGAACATGTTCATATGAAAGCAAGTTGCTCCGTTGTGCACACCATCCCAGGCTGCCTCGGCGCATCGCTTGGGGATGTCGGTGATATCCGACGGTTGGTGCCTCCGGCTATTGACCGATGACGACATCCGTTGCCAGAACAACGCCTTGAGACAGGCATTGAGTCTCATTCCATGGACTTCTGTATTGTTCATTCCATTCCGGACTGTGCTGTTTCTCTCATCTACACTCACGCTCATCATCACTATCATGTCGCTTCCCACCCGCCGCCAAGTCTGGATCCTCGCCAACCCGCCCTCTGGCCCGATCCAGCCAGACACCTTCCGCCTTGAAGAAGCTGCACTCCCAGAGGTCAAGGACGGCGAGGTCCTGATCCAGGTCGACTACCTCTCCAATGACCCCGCTCAGCGTGGTATGATCCAAGCTGGTGCCGACCCCAAGCGCGCCTACCGTCCACCCCTCACTGCCGGTCAGCCGATGGGCGGCACCGCCGTGGGCAAGGTGCTCGCCTCCAAGTCTCAAAAGTACGCCGCTGGCGACGTTGTGACGGGCCGCTTTGGCTGGACCGACTATGACGTTATTCCCGACTCGCAGATTGACGGCCGCGCAGTGTAAGTTACTGTGCGTTTCAAGGCTACTATAGCTGACAAACACAAGCGAGCTCCCTGGCAAGCCGTATGCGTCGCTCTCCCCCCCTGGGCATGACGAGCGTCACCGCATACCAAGGCATCTTTGACATTCTCAACGTCAAGCCCGAGCATGTCGTTGTCATCAGTGGAGCTGCTGGGTGCGTACATCGGTATTACGATGCAAGCTGACGTCAGTGCGGTCGGGTCCGTCGCAGTGCAACTCGCCAAGAAGGTGGTTGGCGCCAAGCGCGTCGTCGGCATCGCTGGCGGCAAGGAAAAGTGCGACTGGGTCGTTTCGCTTGGTGCCGACGCGTGTGTCGACTACAAGAGTCCCACCTTTGGCGCAGACCTCAAGACCGCTCTCCAGGATGATGACGTTGACCGCTACTTTGACAACGTCGGTGGTGTCGTATTTGACACGCTCCTCACCGTCATGAGGACAAAGAGCAAGATTGGAGTCTGTGGCCAGATCTCGTCCTACAACGGCGTCGTGACACCCTTCCCGCGTTTCGGCGAGGTCATTAAGAACCGTCTTACCATTGAGGGTGAGCACAGTGCAACTTGTCAAGGCGATGCTGACTTGTGGCTCAGGCTTCCTCGTGCTCGACTTTCTCAAGGAGTGGCCGGCCGCCGTCGCCGACCTTGCCAAGTGGGTCAAAGAGGGCAAGCTCAGCACAACCGAGTCGGAAACGGTCGTCGACGCGTCGCTGGCCGATGTTCCCGAAGTTTGGCAGAGGCTCTTCAAGGGCGAGAACCGTGGAAAGCTCGTTACAAAGATTGCCCACTGAGGGACAGAAAAGCGGAAGATGGAAGACGTACGGATGTATGGTGATGGTATGAAGTCAATGTGGCCAGGGTTAGCGGCGCCTGGGTTGTCGGAGATCGCCGGTGGGCTTTGGGTTTTAGTGGCCATGTGGTCCATGTGGTCGATTCTGTCTTCCGCACTTGCATTCTCCATTGGCCATTTTGAGGAGCGAGCAAGATGATTGCGGCGTGCTAACCGACGCTAAGTCCGGGAACGTTACACGCAGCACGACACATAAGAACGCAGCGCAGCATGTAACGAAGCAAGGGCAGGAACAGCACGACCGTCACCCAAAGCCGACATACAATGGTGAACAAGTTTGGCCAGTTTGTCTTGGGCCTTTTGGGCACGAACGTTGCGTCCAAGTTCTCGATCACAGTTGGCAGCCTCGGCTCTTGGACGTACCCGGACGACACGGCGGCCGCGTCGTTTATCGATAAAGACGGCACATACTATTTCCAGCAGTCCGACGGCGAATACGCTCCGACGGCGACGCGCGTCTGGAGCTTCTTCACGGGCTTCAACATTGACGATGCCAAACTATCGCCTCTGACCCACTCCGTCAACCCGAATAACCCGCTCGACTCCAACGGTAACACCACCTGGCGATGCAACAATTCACCCACAGGCCGCGAGTCGACATACGCGCCCAACGGGCCTGCGAGTGCGATGCACTATTCGCAACGCAACTTCTGCGATCTCATGGGTGTCTGGATTGACCCAGACACTGGCGACTGGCATGGTCTCGTCCACAACGAGTTTACACCACAGCCTTTCGGTGACAACTTGCACTACGACGCGATTGACTACACGGTGTCCCAGGACCAGGGCAAGACGTGGAACATCTCTCACCACATCATTACGTCGCCGTACCCCACTGTTCGTGGTGACAACAAGACCTTCCCTCACGAGACGTATTACTACGGCGACGGTGACCCGCGTCTCATCGTTGACGTCGCTGGTGGCTACTTCTATGCTACGTACGGATCGCGCGTCATCAGCAAGGGCGAGGGTGGGTGGTGGACGACATACTACACGCACGCAGCGCGCGCTCCACTGTCAGGAAAACTCGCCAGGGGTTGGCAAAAATGGTACGCTGGCAGCTGGTCCGAGCCCGGCATTGGTGGCAAGGAGAGCAACATTGTGCCCGTGTCCGACGACAACCAGAACGGCTACACGGCCCCGGAGGACGAGTACTCGCCCCTCACGCCGGGCACCGCGCCCGAGCAGATCGCCGCGGGCAAGATGCCCCCAACTTCGGCTCTGTTCTGGATGGATGTCAGCTACAACGCATACCTGGGCTTGTGGATTGGCGAGCCCAACAACCTCATTACGACGACGACCACACCACAAGAGTTTTATGCAACAGACGACTTGTCAACTCAAAAGTGGACACTGATCGGCGACACTGGGGACGCCTACCTGACCAAGTCAGCGTACCGCTTCCTGCTCGACGATGTGAGCAAGAGCAGCTCTACGATTATCGGCAAGAACTTCCGTGCATACTGCTCGTATGGATGCTCGACTGGCAACAGCGAGTTTGTCCACCTTGCCATTGATGGTGCCGCAGCTGTGCCCGTGGACACTTCGAAGCGGTACGTCATCCGCGCAGGTGGGCAGGCGCTGGACAATGACCACGGGGTCGCCACATCGACGCACCAGGGCACGCAGTGGACCTTTGCTGCTACTGGTGATGGCGCATACACAATCATTTCAGTGGCGGGTGCGCTGGGTGTGTCATCACAGTCGACCAAGTCGCGAGCATGGGGTTCGTCTCTCTCCATTGGCGTCGCTACCGGTGACATTGGACAACAGTGGTGGGTGCTCCCTGACCGCTCAGGTGACGGCAGCACCGGGACTGGCGAGTTCCGCATCGTCAACCGATTCTCAGGCCTGTACCTTGCCCTCTCGGGCGACAAGGACCGTCTCGCCGAGGCCACCCCAGGCCGATCGTGGACTGATAAGTCGGGTTCAAAGGTTGGCGGAGGACGCAGGCCTGACGAGCAGACCCTCACTTTGGTCGCCGTGTAGGAAGTCTCCTTACAAAAGTCAACGATCGAAGAAATAAGCCATGCATATGAACAAGTGTAGCTTGCTGGCTGTCGCGAGAAGGAGCCTCCGTTATTGACGTTGTGGTCCCATCCAGGCCGCCTGCCAGCTGCCACCGCCCACGGGCCCGGGTGGCGGCTATTCGGCAACCACCGGTGATCACGTGATTGAAACCATGCGTTCGGTCATTTCACACAGTGAGGAGCGGCCATTTTTGAAATTACGTAATATTGTTTTTGGCCTCACTTTGTGGTGACACCAGAATCGCCCCGATGCTGCTTCTGCTTCATTCATCGTTTCTGAGCCTCCTCTGTCGCGCCCAGCCCCGCGCATGTGTGTACATGGGCACCTTTGTAGACGTGTATACATCACTACCATCTTGTGAAACATTTTAAGCCGGCCAGGAGCTAATCGTCCGCCGCAAACCTCACGAAACTTGTTCTTCTTGTCCGTCTTCCAACCCGATCCGCCAGATGTCCCTGCTGACCATAGCGAGAACAGCGATCTATCCTTCAGTGGGTTTAATCGTATAACGGTCAGTACTCCAGATTTTGAATTGCAATTTCGTGTTCCTTCAAGCAAGGCATTCGAGATCTCTTCCTTCTGGCGATCTGGGTTCGATTCCCAGTTAGACCTTCCTTTTGGCCTTTTGGGCAACCACAGCGACCCGGGAATGCAATGAGGCAAGCAATATGTGCAGTTCCTAGGGTGCAGGACATGATTCCCAAGTTGTTTGGGCTCTACGGGTGCTATGGATGGCTGCGGAAACGAACCAGAATTGAGTTGGGCGGTGGAACGTAGGACAGCGGAAGTGGATTCGTCTACATGGGTCTATCCAGGTGTGCATGTGTGTGGTAAGTGCAGCGCTATTTCGTAAAAGGAAACTGTTGGGTACAGCTACCAAGTATCATGGCACTGCTTCATGTCAATGAGGTGCCGGGAAGACAGGAGAGGAAATTGTTGGAAAACTGTGGGAAATGCCGTCAGTGCTGCGTGCGGTTCAGGCTGATGAGAGAATCTCGAGTATCTTTTGACGGACTCCAACCTACGTTGGGTGCTCACATGGTTATAAACCTTCCACTAGAACCGTAGTATGGCCAGCTTGGTCTTAATGGGAAAGTTGTAGCCATGCGAGGTGACGGAGTTCCACCCAGAAGCCATATTTGTTTTCCCGCACATCTCTATCACTAGACACACCTCGTGACCTGGACCTATGCGTACCCTCTTATGGGGCCCATATGCGACCATCAGTTCAGACCAGCAGTTCAGACACCCCACGAAACTCACAAAAAAACCGGCACCACCACATTTTGTTGGCGAATTTGCTTCCGTGCTGTCTACGGAGCCGTCAGACCACCTGATGTTCTCTGTCCACCGAATCAATCTACTTCACTACAACGTGGCGAGTAAGGTATGTAATCGCACTAATCGCACTGATCGAACTGACTGAACCATGGCCCCTTACCTGCTCCCCACGGCATGGAAGGTATAATGGATGTCGGCGTCGCATCTCATCAAGCGCCAGGCCCCAAACTACTGATCACAGCCATTTACAATGCTACAAGACGGTATTTACCACTTGTAGGTGAAACCAGCAGCCTATACCTCTCCGTCGGGTTCGAGGCGGTGCTTGTCCAGCACCAGAACCGGCCCCACCATTGGCGCAGGCTAGCGCCCTTGAGCTTGTGACCGTGTAGGCCGTTTGCCGTGTCGTACACCTCCTGGTTGAGGGTAAACAAAAATTGGTCACCGTCAAAGACATACACCTCGCCGCTCGCCGCGGTGTCGTTAACGGAACAAATTTTGTAGGTGAGGCGGCGACCGACGAGCTTGCCGTACTGCCTCCTAGTACCAATGGGAAAGTAGAGGCGCACACCGCCTGCGAGCTTCTCATCCTTGATACCGAGTGCTTCGCGGACATGGTCACAAACTATTGGTGCAACAGTGAGGAGGAGGTATCCCTCGGTCTTGGGAGAGTCAGTGCCTGAAACCCTTCTCTGCATTGTCAGTTGGGATGCAGCGCCCGAACTCACAGTCCAACCACACACGAAACGAGAGAGCTTGTTGTCCCAGTAAGACGAGCGAGTCTGGTCGAGGCACTGCTATATCAGCGGCTGAGTGGGATGGTGAGGCTCACGTGCTTATTGTCAGTCTCGAACTTGGCCGGGTCCTTGGTGCGGTTGAACTCTGCCAAAGTGATCGTGGCGCCCTTGTCCAGACCCAGGAGTTCGGCGCGGCGCCGGGGCATAATGGCGGCAGACTTGAGACCAGCATCACGGCCGGTCTCGGAGTCGTAAGGGTTACCCGTGGCGAGGGCCTGTGCCATGTTCAACGAGCACACCTTAGGAACGGCAGTGATGACGCCGAGCTCCTTGGCAAACACATTGATCGGCTCGCTCTTGTTGCGGAAGAAGCCGGTGAGGAGAATAAAGACGGCCTCGACTGCCTTGATGTACGCGTCGCGGAGGCGGTACTTGGCCTTCTTGGAGGATTGCCGAGCGGTAACCTCGTCCAGTCGGCGTTCCGTGGTAACCCAAAGCATGTAGTAGGGGTGGCCGGCGCCGGCCTGGGGAAGTCAGCACCATAGAAACGAGCACGCACCACCACCCACTCACCTTGTGGCCGTAGCGGTAGTCCTTCGACCTCTTCTTCTTGCGGTACTTTGGCCAGCCGTGTTGGGCAACACGTTTGGCCATGCCCTTGAGGCGGCGCTTGGACTTGTTGATGTACTGGGCCTGGCGGCCGTGCGCTGAACCAAGGTATTTGCGGCCGTTGGGGTCGAGGTAGATGCCAGGAATGTTGCACCTTTCCGACTGGTCGACAATGGGGCCCTTGAGGGTGGGGTCACCCGTCAGGTCGAGGTCGCCAGTGTCGGCCAGCTTCTCAACGACAGCCCGGCCTTGGAAGAGAGAGGGGTCGAGGATGTCGGCGACCAAACTTGCAGGCGTGAAAGCAGCGTTGAGAGCCGCATAGCCCGCCTTGTTCATGTGGCATTGGGCCGCCGCTCTCAGCACAGCCTAGCAGCCTTAGTCACGTTCGCCAGCGAGTACACGCACTAGAAGTGGCGCGCAGAGTCAGCGTCTACCCACGATTGCACTCAGAAGAAGGCTCACCGTTGAGTGCTTGACCTTGCGCTGGCCGATGGTAAACCCATGGTATGGGTAGGCGGCCGCCGTTATCCTTGACGACGACGGGGGGTTGGTGCTGAGGGCAGCCGATGAGGTGGCCCGCTTGGGAGAAGCGAACTCAGCCTCGATATCACGGTCGTCGGGCCCCCAGGTTGCACCGGAATCGCCGTCGACGTCTTCCAATTCCCACTCTGACTCCCACTCTGACTCCACTCCGACTCAGAGTCGATGTCGGAGGACTCGTAACCCGGCTGAAAGTCGGACTCGGGCGCCCACATCAGCAAACCGTCTCAGCTTCCATTTCATGGACGTGTTCAAGAACAAGTTGACTCACCTGGACCTTGGAGGTGTCCCCCGACACCTGGCGGACGAGATTGGAGGAAGAGGAGGCAGGAGAGGGGGGCAGAGGAGGACGAGCTGATGGAACGGGCCATGATCTGCAGTTCGGCGAGATAGCGGCAAGCGGGGGCCTTGTTGCTGAGATTAGGCGACTTGGTGCGCGAGGGCGAGGACGCGAGCTCGGGGCGCTTCTCGTCAATGGTGAACAGTGGCGGGGTCGCGTCAATGGTGCGCATCGCCTTGCGGCGGACGCTGATGGCGGAAGCCTTGTCCTTTTTCTTCTCGGGTTTGGGTATGCTGACCATGGATGATGGGAGTTGGAGATTGGAGGAGACGGAAGGAGGGAAGACACCGCGGCTCAAGACATCCAAGAGGTTACGTGTGTACCGAGTGATCGCCACTCCAGGCCACAGTCTCACGCGTCAATCGAAGCACGTGACACGCGTCTCCCGTCCCACACTGCCGTCCCCCAGGTGCTATGTATTCATACGACCGTCCTCTGCTAGTAGCCCCATGCATCTCCCACACATAGAGCATACAGTAATCCGTGCATCATGCAAAGCTGTTACAACATTGGAAGCATGCTAAGGGGACGGGAAATGCCTTGGAAGGGTTATGCCTCGGCGTCTGCGTTCTCGCGGCGGGCCTGGACCGCGGTGCGCATCTTGTCCAAAAGCTCGGGCAGACGATATGGTTTCGTAACCACTGGTCGTTAGCGCTCCTCGCTGTCCATGGCTACACTCTGAACATCAACTCACCATCATCCATGCCGGCCAGACGTGCATTCTCCATCTGCCCGGGACGGGCATTGCCAGTCAACGCAATGACGATCTGGGGCTGGATCTTGCCCGACGCCTCGTCCTCGCGCACGTGGCGGACGGCAGTGAGACCGTCCATAACGGGCATCTCAATGTCCATGAGGACAACATCGAAGGGGGGGTTGTCCGGGTCAGTAGCGGATGGCTGGGAGGCGTAGATGCGATCCAGTGCCTGTTGACCGTCGTCTGCCGTCTGGCAGGTCAAACCAGCCTTTCGGATCTGACGCTTGAGGACCGTCTGGTTGATAAGGTTGTCATCAACGATGAGAACATGTAATGTTGATGGCAGTCCTGCGGGAGCAGTCGCCAGCGACGATGTGGGCGGTGCATGTCGGGGTGTGAGGCCTGCAGAACCAATCGGTTGGCTGAGAGGCCACACCCTCTTGGCGTCCATTGAGAGATCGAGCTCTTCCACCTGCTTGCGGATGACATTGACTGGTGAGCTCGGGGCAGTTGTATGAGTTTTAATCCAGAATCGGAATGTGCTGCCCGCGCCATCCACGCTCAGCACCTCGATGTTGCCACGGCAGAGCTCGGTGATCTCTGACAACGTCAGCGCCAAGGCATAACCTGGTGACTCACTTTTGCAGATGAATAATCCGAGACCAGATCCGCCGTATGCCGTGTGAATCATGACCTTGCCCTCTGTTTCATTAGCATCCAGCGTCGACCATGCCACTCACGTCGGAAGCGTTTGAACAAGTTTTCTGCCTCGCTCCGGTTCATGCCAGGACCCGTGTCGCGCACGCTGACGAAGAGGTACACTGGCGTTCCTTCCGGGACCTGTGCTGGGGGACGTGCACTGGCATTCTCTGGGAATTCGCACGTTCCGAGGGCCGGAGGGATCCATGCGACATCGTAATGGACAAAGATCTGACGAAGCTCGGAATAGGTCGTGAAGCGAATGGCATTGGTGACTAGGTTGGTGACGACTTGCCCAAGCCGTACCGGGTCGGTCTTGACCGATTTGATACCCATGGCCTCGAACGACGGGCCAAAGTCGAGGTTGATGTCAATCTTCTTGAAACGCGCCTCGCTAGCGAACACGCCGAGGACCTTGTGCGCCTCGGCCTGCACGTCGATGTCGATCTCGTGCAGACTCAGCATGTCGAGTTGAATACGCGCCAGCGACAACACATCTCCCGCAATGCGCTCCTGGACCAAACCACACTGGTGGATGCCTTGCAATGTCAGCGGCGATATTGTAACCATTACTCACTTTCGAGTGCCAAAATGTCCTCTTCCAGCTCTTGAAGATTCTCGGGAGTAGGGTGGAAACCCTCGGGCCCCATAAGCTGTAGCTCCCTCCTGAGGCAGACGAGATTCTCGAGAACCAAGGACGAGCAGTGCAGAATCGCCGAGACTGGTGTGCGGATCTCATGCGATGTGAGGTCGACAAGTAGCTCCTGCTGGTGTTTGCTCTCTTCCGCCTCGACGCGACGACGTTCGGCTTCCAAAAGCTTCTCCTCTTGGTAGGTAATGTCGGTCACGCAGCCGATGATGCCCGACATGCCAGGCCTGACTTGGTCGAGACGGATGAAAACACCAGACATGATGCGGCCGTTCCGCCACTTCCACTCGGCATGAGTCGTCTTGCGGCTACCGGCGACTGTGTCCGCCCATAGTGGTACGATACGTGACTCCGTCTCGTCGTCAACATAATCGGTCCAGTCTGTGAACATTTCGTTTAGCGACATGCCGCCCATTTCACGGAAAGCCTGGTTGGCGTAGGTGACTACGCCGTGTTTGTCGGCTCGCATAATGCCAGTTGGGCAGTGGTCGGAGAGCACAGCCAACTCTTGCTCGCGTTGCGCGAACAGGGTCTCCAAAGTGGCGCGCTTCTTGCCCATCTGCATATGCAAGTTGACACGCAGTAGCAGTTCCTTGGGCTTGAACGGTTTGTTCAGGAAGTCTTCTGCACCAGCCATCAGCGCGCTGAGTTGGGCCTCTCCGTCATCGGCGGAACTGGACAGGAACACGACAGGTATCATGCGTGTAGCCTGGTCGCTTCGGAGTTCTTGCAAGAACTGTTCACCAGACATCTGTGGCGAGGACATGTCGGCGAGAATGAGGTTGGGGAGGGACTGTTTCGCAAGCTGTAGGGCCTCCAAGGCACTTGCGGTCTCGACAACTCGGCAGAGCGGCTCAAAGAGACCTTTGATGTAGTCGCGGATCTCGTGGTTGTCATCCACCAGAAGTAGCTGATCGGATTCCTCGAACATGAGGCCCTCGGCAAACGAGTACACGTTGCTCTGATTGGACGACTCGCCGCTGTGGCTGCTGTGGTCGTCGTCGTCCACCATCACGCGTAGTATGTCCTTGGCCATCTCACGACCGTATGATCCGAACGGAGTGTCAAGCGGCGCGTCCTCCTCTTCTGGCGACTCGTGACGCAACGGCAGACGCGAGATGACAGCCGATCCTTTGCCAACACCGATGTCCTCGGCGCACGTGCGGCGAACCATAAGGGAGCCGCCATGGAGTAGAAGTAGCTTATTGGCAAGGACAAGACCTAGTCCCAGCCCTGCTGTTGTCGGATCCGATGCAGCGCCTCCGTCGACAACGTTGTGTTCGGCGGCAAACTCGACCTCTGGTAACACGGACGTCGTGAAGATCGCGATATCTGCCTGTTCCGACGTGTATGACACACGCACAGTTATTGTACCGTTCTTGCTCGCTTTAATAGTGCTGCTGATGAGGTTGGACAATACCGTTTCAATGATTAGCGGGTCAAAAACAATAAACCCGGCGTATGGCTCAATCTCAACGCGGAAGTCAATGCGAAGCCGCTCGACAGGCTGCCGGAACAAGTCGGTAAGGCTGGTGATGAACTTGGCCAAATCAAGGGGCACAAATTGGGGCCGTACGGCGCCTTGCTCCACGCGACCAAAGAAGAGCAGGGACGAAACAAGCTGCTGAAGCCGGTACACGTTCCGCTGAGCGATCTTGAGCGTGTGTCGCTGTCGATAGCTGAGCTCAGACATCAGGAGCTCATCCAATGGACCTGCGATGAGGGTGATGGGTGAACGGAGTTCAAGGGCAGCACTGCGAAGCCATGCCGACTTGGCTCGTTCGATGCGCTCGCTCTCGAGTTGAGCAGAGACCTGGGCTTCGAATGCTTGGACACTGGCCAGCGATGCTGTGAGATGTCCGCGCATGATGTTGATCCAGTCCTCGTATTCGGGGTCAAACGCAGCACAAACGTTGAGTCCAATAATAACGACAGCGCGAGGAGTTCTGCCGCCATCAGTGAGGATAGGAATGACCAGGGCTCGGTCTGGCAGCACATCCCATTGGCGAATCTCAAAGCCCTTTACCAGCTCGGAACAGTCGACAAGGACACAGTTACCCGTTGTAAGAGCCTTGTGAATGGGCCACGACCCCGTTTCTGGACTGGTAATGACAGGCTGCCGGCCTCCTGGGTTGTTTGATCCGAAGGACCTGACAGATGGGGCAGGAGACGATGAAAGCCAGTCGGACACGCGATCGGCGCGCTCCACGTCGGAGGTTGCCGCATATGGCGAGGTATGGGATACGGGGACTGTCAGGGACAGCTGACGCGGAACATTTGGATGGTCGTCCGGGACACCGGCTGTTTCTTCCAGGCGGATATCCACAGTGCGCGTCCCGGTCGGATCGGCAGACAAGGCTTGTTCGTTTTGCGCTGACACGCTGTAAAGAATCGCAAAGGGAAGGTCGGTGCGGTTATCGTCAATGACCTGGGCCACGGTGTGGAAGTACTCGGCGGTAGTGGTAACGGGGACAAGCGACTCGACGAGAACGCGTGACGTATCAAGTCGTCGAGAAGCAATGACCTTGTCGGTAGTGTTAAACGAAGACAAGTAGATGGCCTTTGGGCGGCCTTCGGGATCATCCTTAAGGTGGATGGGAAGCATGGACCACGTGTGGTATCGTTCCAGAAAGTGACCCCGGTCCCCTCGGAGGTAGAAGATGATTCGGTCTTCCACGTAGATGGGCTCACCCTCCATGCACCGTTCCGCTAAGCCTGACAGGATGTCCCACACGTGGAACCACACTTCACACGCAGGCCGTGCAAACGACTGTGGGTGGGGCACGAACTGAGCGTAGTGCTGGTTACTGAACTGTCAGCCGGTGTGAGGGACAGTGAATGACTTACTAGATCATGGTCTGGTTTTCTCCGAGCCAAATGGCGTCTTGAGTTGGCGAGTCGAGTACGACCTGGACCATTGTGGTGACCTCGGTTGGCCAGCCAGACAAAGGGCCCAACGGAGTCTTGGACCAATCTGTTTGCTTGAACAAATCTCGGCATTGGATCAGAGCTTGCTGTCGGCGCGCAGTGACATCAAAAACGCCAAAAGAGTCGGGTGCGCTGCGTCCTTTGCGCAAGGCTTCACGGTTGGGCTCGGATGTTGAGTTCTGTGTTATGAGTCAGTTCAGCCCAGCTGGCAACAATTCACCTCGTCTCGCAGCAGGCTTTTTGTGTTTCGCCCTGTGGCTTCCGGTTTTCGACGTGGTGTCATGGGGTCTCGGTCGCCGTATCGCCCTCCAGGTGACTTGCTCTGCATGCCAGCAGCGAGTCCTTTCTGGGCTATAGCTGACGGCGTCTGCAACGAGCCCACAGCCGTTGTTCCAGCCATCTGAGTTATCTGCACGGATGTGATGACAACGAACGCGTAGGGGCATGTGCCAAAGCACGGGGCCGAAGTGGGGATGACATGTCGCGTCTTGACCAGGTGGAGAGTGACGTGTTGTCGGGGGAGTGACAACTTGCAGGTGTTGTCCTTTGTCGAGTCGCTCTGCACCCAGCTTTCAAACGCGACCAGGGCGTGTGGCTCCACAATGTCACGAAAGTAGCAGCCATCCGACAGGTTGGTCCACGCGTCATTTGCCCAGACGAGGAGATGAGGTGCATACGCTGGCATCGGAGCATGCACAAAGTCGAGGTCCCGGTGGAGCGGGGGTGAAGCTGTGTGCAGGTCACGGTTGCCATTTACAGCGTCAAGGTGGGCGAGGAGAGGGGGCGAGATTCTGGGTGTTGGTAAACCTGGGACGTTGGCGTCCTGCAGATCAGTCTCCAAGCTAGCAGATGATTCTCTGCGCATATCATTGTGGCCTGGCGCAGCTCTAATGCGAAGGACAAAGGCGGGAAATGGATACGCCTGTGATGGTCAGTGCTCGGCACATGGTTGGTGGAGGGGAAGCAAAGGGAACCAAACACCGTGCCGGTGGGATCAACATCGAGACTGCAGGCGGGCGGTGGTGGCGACACATGACCCCCGGCAGTCAAAAGAGGACACTCACCTTGAGAAAGGCGATGGGGATGGCATGGGCTTCGACCTCGACTGAGCGAGGAACAGGTACCATCACGGTGGCAAGGGCAGGAGCTGATTGACTGCGGCGGCCAAGCCTAGCAGAGTGTTGAAGGAATGGTGGGCGATGGTGCCGCCGTAGGCAGAGGCGATCCGGGGGGTGTCACTGGGGGGTGGGTGTTGAGGAGGCCAGCTATGATGGCGCGAGTGTTGGGCAAGCAATGGTGGGCTTGTCAAAATGGAGGTGGCCTGTTCGAATTGTTTTGGGTGTGTGTTGTGTCAGGCTGCTTGCTATACTCGGTGCGTGCGTGCGTGCGCGTGTGTGTGTGCATGTGTGTGTGCGTGTGTTCGTTCACATACCCCGTTTTTGGGTGGGCCGCGGGTGGGCTCAATGCAAGCAAAGCAACGTCATTACGTCATTTTGCCGACATTGCGTGAGGCATGTCACACTGCAACGCTTCTCAGCTTTTGGTTCCGCCCGCGCCCCAAATGGGGCATTAGGAATACGAAAGCACAAGCATTAGTGTTTAGCACCACACACCCTTTCACGTTCTAGAATGACCCAGTGGCGGTGGAGCTCCGAGCTCTAGAGCTCTCAAGCTTTGCACGTGTCCTGCAGACAGCGCAATTAACGCAAGACATCTTCACGCCAGCTCTCCATGCGATGCTGGGGGCGCGTGCAGCACAGATGTACAGATCCAGTCCCAGCCATCCTCCCGGAAATTGTGTCACCCACCCACACCACCCGTCGGCATCGAGTAAGCTTAAAGCAGCAAGGACGGTGGGAACAGAACAATACTTCATCCCTGCTGGATTGCTTGTTACACCCACTTGCCCACTTGCCCACTGCTGCAGAGGGCACTGAGGGCCACATTGCAAACCTCCCCACATGGAAAGAAACAAGTGATACCCACAGACTTATGCACGGACAAGATCCATCCAAGAGCCATCCAAGCACGACAAGCTGTTGTGCCTGCATAGACCTTGAGGGATCTGTGGGATCCCAGTTCCTCCCGCAACAGGCGCAAGCTGGCTCGCTCTCGTTTTGCAGCTGATAAGAGGTGTGGTGACATCCGCTGGCTGCGCAGAGGGTACGACTGCGATGGGAGGCACCTTGGGCTTGGGGAGTGGTGACGTCATCGTCGGCGGGGAGGTGACAATAATCGCGTGGGGTCGGTGGACGCCTTCGAAGCCGTCCACAGGTCACAGCGCCGCAATGAGCACCACCACCAGCGGTGCAGCGGCAACGCTACCAAGCGTGTCTCAACAGTGGTCATGCCAGACAACGTGGTACGCTACGCTTTCGCAAAGGTGAGGTCCTCCACACCAGCCAACGCCGCGGCACACGCCGCCAGTGGTAATGATGTCGGCCATCACTCTCGGGATCTCTCGCTGCGATTGCAGATTCCTGGTAGCCCACCGGCCACTGGCCACCGGCCAATAGCTGCTGGAAGACTACTAGCTAGCTACTGGACAACTGACGGCTTGGGATCCACGACCAACTTGACGGACATGTGGTGATCGTTGCGACCTGCTCCGGGCCGCCAGAGTGTGGAGCGCGTCTCCGCGCATTGCCGCGGGTGCGAGGGGGCTATTTGCGTCCACAGGCCACCGGCCACAGATCTCCACAGATCCACGGACGAAAGCGGGTGTACGGATGAGGCGTCCCGTGATCCAGAACAAGAGCGGAGAGAGCATGCTGTATGTACATGCTGTACACACGTCCGCTCTGACGACCACCACTAATAGCCTCGGCGCGATGGACAGTCGAGACCTCCCATCAATTGATGGACTGCCGGTTATTGGATCTGTGGTATGTACAAACGCATCTGCCGCGATCTTGTACATCCTGCCGTACTGCTGTGCCCAACCTGCATCCAGTCACCCGGGTAAGGGCACCAATGGGCGGTGCTGTATCGCAATCACAGAGGTCCGAGGGTGCTGCTGGGACCAGTCGAGGCGCCCGGTAAGGTTCCCTCCCACAAGGCAGCAGATTCTCCTTACATACATATTACATTCATACACCAGCACTCGACAGTGCAGCCCGTCACTTCAACGTCGTGGCGATCATTATCACCCATATATCTGTTCCGCAATGCCTCTCTGGTCTGCCGCGGCGCTGGGCCTTGTTATTGCAGAGATCGTCTACGGTCAACAGTTGACGCTCAATTCCCCGGTGAGTGGTGAGCGCGCCACAGTGGCGCGGGGGGTGACGTTACCGTGCTTCGTTTCTTTTATGGTCTTTCACAAAACTGACTGCACAAGCCAGTCCTGGTTGTATGCCGTTAGTCATCAGCAGTGGGCAGGTCAACCGAAACTAGGCCGCTCACACACATAGAGGGCATCATAGTCAGCTGGGTGGGCGGAGTATCACCCTTTGAACTGTGAGTTTGTGATAAAAAATTGCACGGAACAGCAACGCTGTTGGCTATATCAACTCACCGCCATTCTTCTCCAGATATGTCCTACCAGGCAACAATGTGCGGGGTTCTCCCGTTGAAACTATTGAGACCGAAATCGCAGGGTCGCCCGTATACTGGCCAGTCAACCTTTTAAGCGGCGCGTATGTCGTCTTGAGTGTGAAGGATGCCACGGGTGCTGTTTCGTACTCTGCGCCCTTGACAGTTCAGCCAGGGGATACATCGTGCCTCAACCCACCCACATCGTCAGCCTCGTTGGAAACCTTGGTATCGACAGACAGTTCGTCCTCGGCGTCGTCGACAATCACGCCACCGTCGTCAACTACGAGTGTGCTAGCCCATACAAGCTTAGCTGCCCCAACAGGGTACATTGGCAATTCGTAATCTGTAGCTAACTGACATCGCAGTCTTACGACCGGCGCTGTCGCCGGAATCGCCTGCGGGGCCGTCGTCGGTGCCATTGCCATCTTTACGCTCATCATCTACTTTTGCTGCCGGCGCCGTCTGGGCAACTTTCTGGCCGAAAAGGAATACCGGCGCCACCGCGAAGAATCTCAGGTCACTGGTGTCGATCTCATTTCGCCGTACGCAGACCTGCTGGTCAGCCGCACAACTGATCCCGAACCCATTACGTCCCCGTCAATGAGCCAAATCACGGCAAACACACCGACAGTCACTACGAGGGACAAGCATGGGGTCGTGACCGACTACATGGAGGGACTTCACCGCGAAGAGTCAGGCACACAGACGGATAGCGGGATAGCCACTTCGTCCGGTGGAACCGCTATCAGTGAGTCGCACCAAGCCTCCTCATCCCAGTCACGGAAGATTGGCCCCGAGTCCACCACCAGCATTTCGGTTCCGGTCGCGGCACCTTCGCAGAGCGGCGAGGTCCTCCAGCACCACGATGGAGGACGACTGGCAGTAGCCTCGCAGGAGGAGGTCCCACCGCAGTACGACGAGCAGTGGCGTGACGACTGAATAGCGACGGCGTCCAACGTCCGTCAAAGGGGAGGTGGCCGGCAGGCATCATATGGAGTGATGTGGAAGCAAGTAGGCAAACAGTCGAATAATGGGAGTTGGGCAAGTCGTCGTCGTTGGATTGATAATGCATGTTCTTTTGCCGCTCTGTTTGAACCAACGGTCGGATTATGTGTCACAGGCAATGATGGTGCTTGTCAGATTATGGACTGTGCAGAAGCTCGGTCAGGGTGAAGGGCAGACGACGGGGACATATGAGTCATGAGAGGGGGACATGGTACATCATCGGCCCAGGCGCGACACTAGGGAAGGCTCACTTGCCTCTGCTATTCCCGACATCTCTGACTGCGTCATACAATCCTCGGTAGTGCTTCCCAATGCTAGCCGGAGGACCTTGTTGGACTGGTCAATACCCAACATACCCAATCAGTCCGAGTCAATTTGAGAACTCTGTAAGACTTGGGTCCGCGGAATATTGAAGTCTGAAGCTTGCATCAACTACCTCATCCTCACAATCACCCGACAGCTCGAATGCAAAGCACATTCCACGGCCCCCTCAGAATGGCCACGACATCACCTCGGTAAGGTTATGGTGCACACCCTTAATCTGGGTATACGCTTCGATGCCTGCCGTTCCAAGCTCGCGTCCGATGCCTGACTGCTTGAAGCCGCCGAATGGTACACCATTGCTGAGCGCGCAGTAGTTGTTGATCCAGATGGTGCCGGCATTGATCTTGGCTGCCACACGGGTTACCTGGCTGGCGTCTGACGAAAAGACAGCACCGGCGAGACCGTAGGGCGTGTCATTGGCGAGATGCACTCCCTCCTCCTCGGTCGAGAACTTTCCCACAGCGACCACTGGCCCGAAAATCTCTTCACGCACTACCTTCATGTTCTGGTTGACGTCTGTGAGGACGGTCGGCTCAACAAAGAACCCTTCGGCCTGAGCCCATCGCTTGCCGCCGGCCGTAATGGTGGCGCCTTCCTCCCGGGCAGAGTCAATGTAGGACAAAACCTTGTCACGCTGACCAGCCGAGATGAGGGGTCCAAACGACGTGTTCTCGTCAGAAGGTAGGCCGACCTTGCACGTCTCGGCTTTGAGCTTGAGCAAGCTCACAAACTTGTCGTAAACGCTGTCGTGAACGTACACCCTGGAGGAGGCACAGCAATCCTGGCCCGAGTTGTAAAAGATGCCTAGACCGAGCCAGTTGGCCGCCTGGTCGAGGTCGGCAGAGGGGAAAACCAGAGCAGGCGACTTGCCGCCCAGCTCAAGTGTGACCTTCTTGAGGTTGGACTCGGCCGCTGCGACGGAGATACGACGACCCGTGGCCACAGACCCAGTGAATGCGACCTGGGGGATTAGTCTGTGCACGGAATGCACTGGCACCTACATACCTTGTCGATGTCGAGATGCCGCGAGATGGCCTCGCCCGCAGTCGAGCCAAGGCCTGGGACCGTGTTGACCACACCGGCTGGGAACCCGGCTTCCTTGATGAGGTCACACATGTAGAGTGCAGACAGAGGTGTGAGCTCGGAAGGCTTCATCACAACTGTGCATCCCGCCGCGAGCGCCGGTGCAACCTTCCACGCCCACATCATCAGAGGGTAGTTCCAGGGAATGCTGCGGTTGTGAGCGAGATACACACACTAGCGCAACTCACATTTGTCCGCACACACCAATGGGCTGGTTGAGCGTATACGCAAGCTTCTTGCCACCAAACTGGTCAATCGTCTGGCCGTGCACTTTGTCGGCCATCCCCGCGTAGTAACGGAGGCAGTTGGCGGACTCGGGGACGTCACCGCTAGTTGCGACTGAAATGCCCTTGCCAGCGTCGAGCGACTCGAGGGCTGCAATCGTGGCAACGTCGCGGTCCATTAGGTCGGCAAGCTTGTTGAGCACTGTCGTCAGCTGCCGCCATGTCACTGACCCACTCACAGTTGCCGCGGTGAGCGCCGCTAACGTTGTTCCCCCAGGTTGTCTCAAACGCCGCGCGGGCGGCGTGAACGGCTCGGTCAACGTCTTCGGCCATAGCATGCGCGACGTCGACGATTGGGAGTGCGGTAGAAGGGTCGACAACGGTGAATGTCTGTCCCTTGGTGGGTAGGACCCATTCGTTATTGCTGCTGTCAGATTCAAATGATGCGATAAGACGTACTTACATAAAAAGCCCAATGGGCACTGTGATCTTGCCCAATCCGGGGATCTCAATGGCAGCGTGCGTAGCACTGTCCGTGGCGGGGATGACGGTCATGGTGATGAAGATGTCGGTTCGGGGGTGCTTGAGACAGTAATAACGTTAGCGTCTATATGTATCTATGTTCACTTTGGTGTGTTCTCCACGTTGACGCGAACGGGTCTGTCTGCGCCAGTTATCAGAAGGTCCCCAGGTGTAGACCCCGGGTGCTGCCCGACAAGAGCCACCGGCAACCAGACCTCCGGGAATTGACCGGAGTGCAGATCGTGCAGACATGCCATGTGGATTCCGGCTCCCTATCTGCGACCCAATCCATGCCGATAATGCCGTGGGCCGGAGAGTGAAGCCTCCAGCCCCTCCGTTGACAGGACCAGCAAAGGAGAGGCGACAGAATGAGCGTGCTTCCGGCCTACTACGTATGCAATGACAGCACGTATCTCCGCTAGTACGTCGTCAGATGTGTATTATGCCAGTGGTCACATATGTAACCACACTATTCAAAATCCATGTTTCGACTGGGCCACTGAAAGGCCATTAATGTTTGTTTTGGTGAGACGATGCATGCAGTATCAAGCAGTCCGTATTACAATGTGTAAAGTGGCCTGCGAATGCGTTTTCTCTTCAAGCAAACTCATCCGAGAGGTCAGACCTTCCAGTCATGTGCAGTACAGCGTCGGTAATCGAAAAGTGACCAAATAAATAGAAAAAAGGAAGCAAAAAGGCCAACCCGTCAATTCGCGGTACTGGCCACTAGCCACTTTGCATATCTGCATACATCCAGAAACCGGGTCTACATAGTGGCGACAGACTCTACCCCGTCTCGGGGTAATCCTTGACCTGGAGTGCTTCGTTCCGGATACGATCGAGGCGCTCTTGGGTGATCTTGAACGCTCGCGGCACTGACTCGTCCCACTCTCCCGTCTTGAGTTGGTTTGCAAGGCCACGGGCAATGTTCGGGATGAGGGCCATTCCCTGGCCACTGAACCCCACAGCCAAGTACACTCCCCTGCGGCCCGGCACCTCACCAACGAGTGGTAGTTGGTCGAGCGAGTGGTCGATGATTCCGCTCCACATCTTTGTGAGTCCCTCGAAACCTGGCGTTTCTTCGCCCCACCCAGCAAATGTGTTCTTGCAGTACTCGGCCATCCACTGTCGCCAGGAGGGAGTCACCACACTGTCGTCCTCGGTCCCGTACATCTCCGACGCTTTTGAAAGGCCGTTGCGATACACAGCAGAGTTGTAGGGTCCGAAGACCAGCCCCGACGAGGGTGTCTGGATCAAATACGTTGACCTTTCAATTGCGTACGTCCCATCCAGAGCCTGATCGCCACTGTATGTTGCGGGCGGCACCACGAGTCCTGCCTGAATGCGCGTCCCCGTGAGTCTGGAATCAGTCCCCCTCTCCCATGGGTAGATACTTACATGCTCTTGAGCTCGGGCAGGATATGGTGGGTATACGCACTCGTCCCGACGATGACATTGCGGGCTGTGATGATTCCACGGTCGCCGCAGTTGACAGAGATGGTGCCATCGGCATTCTCGCCCAGTGCTGCGACCGGCGTCCACGAGAAGAACTTGACGTCGGAGACGGTCGACCCCAGAGCTAGGCGCATCAACGCCGACACACCACGGTGTGGGTGCCACGACCCAGCAACCACCTTGTTGACCGCGAGTGCCCCGTTAACCCGTGTGAGCTGTTCGAGTCAGCCAACGTGCCCCCAAGGACAACTCGTTTTGCGACTGGCCTTTTGGGCCGCTTCGGGGCTGTCGAAGAATTCAACATCAAACTTGCGGCCCATGTACTTTGGATCCTTGTCGATTACCGACTTGAAGAGACTGTACAGGCGCTGATTGTCCGCAGCCGCCTTTGGGGACATTAGAACTTCGTACCGCGTGGCTTTCTTGAAGTCGGCATCGATTCCTTCTTTGTTGATGATGCTCTCCACAAGCTCCAGATTCTCCTGCTCAAACATGAGGATCTCAACCACCTCCTCAAGTGTCAGACCCCCTCCGCCTGCGGACAGCGGCGCCATCCAGTATCCAAGCATGTGCCAGGTCTGCTGTGGAACGTGGCCGCCGTTACGTCCAGCTGAAGTGTCAGTACCCGTTCTGGATACTTAATCGGCTTACAAGCACACGATGCCACGTCCTTCGCATCTACGATGACAACCGACTTGCCATCGGCTGCACCGCCAGCCCGGCTCAACTGGTAGGCCATTGACGCGCCCGTGATGCCCGCACCGATAATGACATAGTCGACGACCTCGGTTGGCAGTGGTGCATCTCGCCCATGATTCCACAGCGACGTGGGGCCGCGGTCCTGTGGCAGTTAGAGGAGAACAAGCTCAGAACGCACAGTCTGCTGCCAGTGCGAGACGGTTGAGGTGAATTGTTGCGGGAAAGCAGGCATGGTGTCGTGTAAGGTGGTGAGAAGGGTGCAACACAGAGTTGATAATGCACGTCGCGTTTGGGAGCCGGAGCAGACGGACATGGCCGCGATAAGGCACATGACGGTGGGCACCCCGGAGAGCAAGCCGGATACCAGATATGGGTCGTGGAACGCACTGCGGGTGGCGTATGTCCATGCTGCCATCCAAGTCGATAAGCAACGCTGAGACGGCTCGGAGGAAGCAGTTAACCGACATGGCATGTGTGCGGTTGTGGGGGACACAATGATACACTCTGCTTCTGCATGCAACCTATTCGCCCAGATTGGGCACAAACGACATGCTATCTACACTGCTCTGGTCAAACATGCCAAACAACCCCGTGCTCATGCCAGAGAAAAGCGACCACTCCGTAAAGTCGCCTCCAAACGTGTTGGCGTCCAGCTGTTGTCCGTCACATACGAGGTCGAGGAGCCAGTCAGTGTTGCCGGGGGTTGTGTTCCGGTCACCTGCCGCTCTGATGCCAACACTGTCACCTCCATCAGGAAGGCGTACCGCTGCCAGTTGCTGTGCGGCCTGCAACAGGCGGCCCCCAAGGACAACAGTGTTGCTCGCAAAGTTGGCATGGAGTCGCACGTCCAACAATCGCCGCCCCAGTGCTGCCACAATACTCAGCAAGAACAGGTCGGCATTGCGGGCCCGGGGGATGGTGTTTATCAGGCGCAGTGTCGTGAAGCCAGCGTATGCAATGCGGTAATAGCTGATTTCAGCTTTTGAGGAAGTGACTTGGTGCTCACCGGTACGTGTACAGACTTGTCAGTTTGAGGACAGGGTCGTGCCCGCCCACGATCGGCAACGTTCGAGTAAGGATGTGTAGGGCGGTGTGGATGCAGGCGTCTCGTCCGGCGGCAATGACAGTCGGCGGCCAACCGCGGAGGAACCCATACTCACACGGCATCATGAGCAATATGAGACGCATGCCCTCCATGTCGAACCCAATGCGATGCTGGTCTTCTTGAGAGAAGTGAGGGAACCAGGTGTCGCGCCATGCAGTGAGGTCGCGGTTGACCACCGCGCAGTGTGCGGCAAAGTCGAAGCTTGTCGACTGGCGCACCAGCTGCCGGGCAGTGTTGGACTGCAGACGGAGTGCGACCTCGAGCATGCATGGATATCCGGCCGTCACGCCGTCGCTTCTCAGAGCCTCGCGCTCCCTGCACCACTGGAGCAGCTGTGGCTGGTTTACATTTGGAGGATCTTTGATCATGGGCGTACGCCCGCGGATAAGCGCGCACGCGCGGTCCCAGTCTACCAGGACCATCCACAGGCGTTGAACGTTGCGGGACAATGCAATAGGGCTGGCATTGTGGTGTGGTGAAGGGGAGAGCGTCCAGTTTGGCGGTGGCGAAATGTCCAGTCGGAGCTCCACAGCCATCGCCACTGCCTTGGCCGTGAGCCCCCAAGTCCTATTGAGGTAGTTGCCGCCAACGAACAGACACAACAGTGACAGTGCTTGAGCGATTTCCACCGACTGGAACCCTTGGGTATCGGTGTGTGTTAAAAGGAGTTCGAGGTGCGCCTCGATTCGCTGGACCAAGCCGTTGGCAAAGTCGGAGACGGGGAGGGATTGTGCTGCGATAAGGAGCACTACTGTGGTAAGGGTGGCAGACTGAGCTCGCAGAAAGGCGACTGTGTGGATTGTGGGATCGAGATGACGACCAACAGGCTGGATGCGCTCCCAGTAGACTTCGAGGAGGCTGTGGAGCTCACCCTCGCCCACTACGCCGTTTGCCACAAGGTCGTACTCTGGCCCTACATCGAGTCGCGGTTGGTCGAAACGTGCGTGCACGACCTCGTCCTGCGGTGGACCACCATGTGAAGGCCTGTATACAGGACCATGCAGCTCTTCAATACCTTGCTCCAAGACAGCCACCCCACCGAATGGGTCAGGATCGAGAGTTTTGGCATCCTGCCAAAACTCGGCGAGGAATTGCGCTCGGTCAAACGGCTCCTCTTCCAATGCCCCAGGTGGCGATGGGTCTTGAGGTTGTGCATGATCATTGGCCACTCGAGCAAGTACACCTAACATGTTGAACGAGGCTGACGAGTCACCGATTGCTCCATCTGGAGCCTCGTGTTCAGGCTGCGCGAGAGCGACATTTTGGCCATGATGAGTGGTCGGTGAGAAGGAGTTCCGGAACTGTGACTGTGAATGATACCTCGCCCGGGCATCAACCTGCGTCGCCTTCGGGCGGCTTGTCTCAGGACATTGATCGTATTCTGGATAGCTTACTTCTTCGATCCCCGCTGCCGTCCGAGCTGGCGGGGTACGATACGGCAGCCGAGCTGGTACTCTGCGCAGCGAACACAGTCGGTGTTATCGTTGACACGAGAACATTTGATCTGCGGGGCTCAGATCGACGGCGCGGATTTCAGACCGGATTGACACACTCACCTTCACCTTTCTACATTCGACACAAGCTGTCTTTGCTGAGGGCATGGGTTAATGGGCGGTTGCAGCAGCCCAAACCATTCAGGTCAGTGCAATCAAGCCCGTTCGACACGCAGACGGGGTTTGGCCACCCGCTGCCGGCCCAGCGCCAGAGTCTGCACGCCGGGATACCACTCCGGCCTGAACCCCGGAAGCCGCAAAGGTGACTGCGGTGGCGTTGGAAGTGCAGATAGCGTTCTTGAGCTCGGATCTTTCGTGTCTCTCCACATACTTGTCCTACTCTGTCATCCCCATGCACACCCCGGCCCACAGCTCGTGCATCATTAAAGGCTTTGCCTGTGGGCGGATCCGACCTTTTCCACCCGATCCTCCACTCGCTTCCCGTCGCCACTCCCCCTTGATTATTGCCCATCATGTTTTGGCACATGAGTGACGACCTCAAGAACGATCTAAATGTCCCCGGCACAAAGGTTATCATTGACGACACGACCTCGGCCACTGGCAGCGACAACTTCAAGCTCACGCCCGTACCGTCGTCTGACCCCAACGACCCCCTCAACTGGACCCTGCGCCGCAAGTGGCTGTATGTCATCTGCATGGTCATGTGGGTCATGGCGTCGTGCGCCGGCATGGGTTCACTGTACCCCATCTACGACGCCCTGTCAGAGGAGACTGGCTTGACCCTCGACCAGATCAACACGGGTGCAGGCTATCTCTACTTCTTCCAGCAGGTGTGGTCGCTCTTCAGCCAGCCGCTGGCTGTCACGATTGGCACCCGCCCCATCTTCATTGTCACATGTGCGGGACTCTGCATCTTTCCCTTTTGCCTGTCACTGGTCAGCACCAACTCCCAATGGGTCGGTGAGTACCAAGTGATTAATGCTGTTTATCGGTAAAACTGACCTCTCCCCCAGGTCTTATCATCGTCAACTCCATCTTCACCTCCCCTGTCTACGTCCTTCCTGAACTGGCCCTTTCTGACATTGTGAGTCGGCTTTGAACATCCATGTACTCATCCTCGCAGTTCTTTTACCACGAGCGTTCCTTCCCGTTCGGCGTCTATATTTCGGCCATTTGGGGCTGCGCGTTCGTTGTACCCATCTACTCTGGATTCCTGTACACACGCTTTGGACTCAACGGACCGACGTACTTTGCCGGTGGTTGCTGCGCCTTTGCAGCAGTGTTCCTCTTCCTCTTCCTCGAGGAGACAAACTTTGAACGCAAGGTTCCCGAGCATGGCAACAAGGTTGAGGCCGAGACTATCGACAAAACCACGGTAGAGTCTCGCTACGACTTGGAGAAGATGACTGCCACGACGACGGACATTGTGGCTGTTGATGGCGAGGACAGCACGTCGTCGTCCCCCAGCTCTGGGTACGAAGCGTCTCCACACATGTACAACCACAAGACCACGCCGTGGCCGGGACCCCGTCCATTCCAAAAGTCGCCCGTGTCGCCACACTGGTGGGGTATCCTCTGGCGCACATGGTTCCAGAACTTTGCGTTCTACCGCCTGCCCATCCTCCTCTGGTGCAGTGTCATTATGGCCTACACTCAAATCTACTCGAATATCACCTCGGCTCTGAGCAGTGGAATCCTCGGAGACGAGCCGTACAACATGTCGCCCAACATGGTAGGCCTCACTTTCGTGTCCCCGCTCTTGGCCAACATCCCGGGCGCGCTTGCGGCAGGTTGGATCACGGACTGGTGGACTATCCGCAAGGCTCGTCAGAACGGTGGTGTGTCTGAACCCGAGGACAAGCTGTCGTTATCCATCATCCCGACCATCCTGTCACCCATCGGATGTCTCATGATGGGTTTGGGTCCTTACTACGGAGCCCACTGGATCGTGTTTGTGCTCGGCGAGTTTGTCATCACCATCGCCGGCCCGCTCGCCAACCTGATCGCCATCAACTACGCTTTTGACGCCTACCACGGCATCCAGCCAAAGGACCAGAGTGGGCCCCGCTTCGAGGTTCAAAAGGGTGCACCCTACATTCTCTCTCCTACGCTGCTCGCGATGGGCATTTCATTTGGCTTCAGCTACGCGATCACGCCGTGGGCGTTCGACGCCGGGTTCAAGATCTGGGCTATTACGGCAGCCATTGTCAGCATCTGTATGACTGGCAGTGGGCTGCTCATGATGATCTGGGGCAAGCGCCTCAGGAAGAGCGGTGCCGGCTTCTATGAGAAGATCATTAATATTTAGGCAAGCGTCTCAGTTGCGGAAGTTGTAGTTAGTAATGAGCTGTGGATTATACTTGAATTATGGGATTGTTTATGGTGCACGCGCCTTGCCCACAAAGTCCCGAATATTGGAGCGCGTTCACTGGCCACATTGTCGTTGGAAGCTGCGGTGTGGTATCATGCCAAGACCACATCGGCGGTCTCACACCCATTTTGGAACCAAATACCCGGAACAATGACAGCGCCACCTGCCCACTCCTCCTCGAATCCTTTGGTGTATACTATCCATCGCATGGCGATACGACTAACCGTGTGCAGAAGCATGCCAATGATTACGCGAACCGCTGTGGCCTCGGGAAGCCAATCAAAGGCCGAGAGAAGGCTCCCCCCACCCCCCCAGGTCGATATCGACGGGCGGACTGGGACCGTGCCGCTCGGGTAATTAACGCTCCCCTTATCTGGGCTCCGGGTAGACAGTCACCTTTTGTTTCCCCTTTCTGTGCTCCGTATGTGGACTGCGGTGGACTGGCGGTGGACAGTCGGTGAGCACCATGACATAACCACTGCGCCACTGCGTGCCGCTGAGGCATTCCAGACCGTCCGCCTTTCCTACCGTGTAATAATCTCACCAGGCTCAATCCCCTGCGTAACTCAAGATAGTGACAGGGACGCCTCATGCAGTACGCAGTCAACGTCATGTTCTTCGACGGCGAGCAAAAAAAAAAAAGGGACTTTGCATTCCAACTGTATGTGTTTTCTAGTACAGGACATTTGATGTCGATTGTGATCTTTTGATACTTGCAATTCTGGGGGGTATATCTCCCTCCACCACTTTTACACCTCGACCAGCGGCTGGTCGCCCTCCTTGCGCCTGCGCTCGGCATCGAAAGCCATCTCACGGAGGTTTTTGAACTCGCTCTTGCCCGTGGCCTTGCACAGGCCGTAGAACCTGCTCTTGTGGTCGCGCAGCAGCTCAGCGGGCGAGGCATACTCTGCGATCGAACCGCGGTGCATGACGAGGACCTTGTCAAAGTCGATAATGGTGTGGATACGGTGCGCAATGGTCAGGATGGTCGAGTCGCTGAATTCCTGGCGGATGGTCTTGGAGATGAGCTCGTCCGTCTCGTAGTCGATCGAGGCGGTGGCCTCGTCCATGAAGAGAACCTTGTTGCGGCGGAGAATGGCGCGGGCCATGCAGATGAGCTGCTTTTCGCCCGAGGAGAAGTTGTCGCCTCCTTCAGAGACAGGGTGGGAGAGGTCGCGGAAGACGTTGGCGTTGCGCTCGGCCTCGCCGTCCTGCTGCGAAGTAGACGACGTGGCAGCGGCAGCGGCGGCGGCCTCGGGGCCGACCTCCTCGTCAGCGGTCAAGAGGTGGACACGGCGGAGAGCCTCGTAAATGTCGGCATCGTCGTACTCGTCAAACACATCCAGAGTCGAACGGAGCGTACCGGACAGAATGGTTGGGTCCTGGGGGATAATCATGATCTGGGAACGGAGGTCGGTAAGACCAATCTTGGCAATATCGACGTTGTCAATGGTAATCTTGCCCGAGGTGGCCTCGACGAAACGGAAGAATGACAGGGCGAGCGTCGACTTGCCGCAACCCGTCGAGCCGACAATACCAATCTTCTCGCGAGGCTGCACCGAAAACGAAATGCTGTGGAGAACGTCGGGGAGATCGGGGGCGTAGCGGATAACCAGGTCCTGGACATCAACGGCACCCTCGGCGGGCCAGTCGGCAGCCGGGCGGGGCTCGACAATCTCTGGTGCCTCCTGGGGGACCTCGGAGTACTCCTTGATACGCTCGAGGGCGACCATGGACTGCTCGAGCTGAACAAAACGCCGGACGACGAAGAGGAGGTCGTGCATGATGGAGGCGGCAAACGAGAGGGCGAAACCAGCCATGGCGGCGTCCACACGGGGAGCGACAAGGATGGCCGCGGCGGTGACGCCGACAAGCAGGGCCGAGAGGAGGTTGTAGCGAGCCGAGAGCCAGCGGTTGACGGTCCACGCCCAGAAAAAGGCGATCAGGTTGGTGTCGGCCAGATGCATCATCTCCGAAAGGGCGACGGTGCTGGCACCAAAGGCGCGAATGACGGCGACACCTGAGACGGTCTCGCCAAAGAGCGAGTAGAGGGGTGAACGCGTGACCGAGTCGAGACGGCGCATGTCGCGAGACGCCTGGCCGTACATGGACCCAGCGCGGTAGTAGACAACGAACATGAGAAGGGCAGCGCAGATGAACGGCCAGCCGCCGACGTAGGTGATAGTGACGAGTGTCCTGACAACGTTCAGTGCGTACTGGATGGAACGGACGAGGTGGTCGCCCATGGCCGAGTCGAGACCTTCAATGTCCTTGCCAAAACGGTTGAGTAGACGGCCACGGCTGGTGGTGTCGTGGAAACGGAGTGTGGCGAACAGCACCGACTCGAGCATGCGCGAGTGCAGGATGCGCGAGGCACGGAGGGAGCCAAAGTAGGTGACGGCGAACTGGGCGTTGGAGAGGAAGCAACCGAGGATGGAGATGATGGCGTAACCCAGCACGTAGTAAGTCGGGGAGTGGGCCGTCTCCCCGCTGTTAGGCAGAGCCGAACGCGACCAGTAGGTCACCCAGCCTTGCTCAGCAATGGGGACGAGAGCGGCGATAACGAGGGTGAGGATGAAGGAAATCCACCACACGGGACCGCCGAGGGCACGGAAGTAGGTCATCCAGACGGGGAGGGCAATACGGCCACGGACGCGCTTCTCGTCCTCGATGAGCTTGCGGGGAGTCTTCGCCTTGACGAGCTCGGGCGTGGATGCGCCAGCAGCCGTGAGCTCGTCGTCCGTAGGAGCGATCGAGCTGGTCTCCGAGTTGGGCTCCGAGAGGCCAGCGGTTCCGCTGAGGCTCATGACAGCCTTGTGACCGGGCTTGAAGGACGACGCAATGTTCTCCTCGACAGTCTTCTCTTCGAGCTTCTCGCCGACAGTGGGACCCTCGGGGTCCTCTGCGTCGAGCTCCTTCATGAGACCGCATTCAACAAAGTCGGCGCGAGTGCCAGCAAACTTGACATCGCCGTTCTCAAGAGCGACAATGTAGGCGGCCGATGGGGAGACGAGGGCGGTGTGGTGCGAGACAAGGAGGAGGGTGCGGTCGGCCATCATGGGACCGTTGAAGCAGTTGTCCATGATAAAGTGAGCAGTGTGCGCATCGACGGCCGAGAGAACGTCATCGAGGTAGAGGACGCCTGCGCGAGAGTAGACCGCACGAGCGAGCGAGACACGGGCTTTTTGGCCGCCAGACAGGTTGAGACCCTTCTCACCAATCTCGGTCTCGTCACCGTCCTCGAGAATCTCCAAGTCGGTAGTGAGGGAGCACGCCTCAATGACCTTTGCGTAACGCTCGGCGTTCCAGGGGCTGGAAAAGACGATGTTGTCCTTGATGCTCGCATTCTGGAGCCAGGCCTGCTGGGGGACGTAGCCGACCATGTGAGGGAGGATCCAGTTGTCGTCGTTGACCTTGGCGTCAAAGCGAGACATGGTGTCTGGCTCAGAGCGAGGACAGATGGACTGACCCGAGAGAAGGTCGGCCTCGCCCAGGAGACCGGCGAGGAGAAGCGACTTGCCAGAGCCGAGACGACCGCAGATCAGAGAAAGCTTGCCCTGGGGGAACCGGAGGGTGAGGTCGGCGAGCGTGAAGGCAGCGCGGGGAGTCGGGGCGGTAGACTTGGCGCCAGCAGACGAGTCGTCCCTGGGCCAAGTGAATGTGGCCGAGTTGAGGACGACATCACCGCCGGGGAAGGTCTCCACATCGGAAACCTCGGCAAGCGACATGTACTTTTCAATACGGCGACATGAGACAAAGCCCTGGAGGGCCTGGATAAAGCACTCGGGGAGAGCGTTGAGGGCAAAACGGAGCTCGGCGAAGACGGCGAGCGAGGTGAACGCCTTGGACGGGGTGAGGGGCTGGCCGCGGACGAGGGTGAAGTGGATGAACGAGACAACGGTGACAATCACGGGAGTGATTGCCCAGAGACAGTTGAAGGCCACTTCAATCTGGTAGTTGCGGGCCTGCCACGAGAGCTCGTTGCGACGAATGGTGTTGATGCGCTTTTCGAACGAACGCTCCCAGGCCATAAACTTGAGCATGCGCACACCTTGGAGGACCTCGTTCATGAGTGCCGTGCGCTGGTCACGAGTCTTCATGAGGTTCTCCTGGGCGGTGACAACAAACTTGGAGGCGAGGTGGTTGAGAGGCATGCAGAGGATGGAAGCGAGCAGGCCCCAGAAAGCCGAAGTGCCGAGCATCCAGTACAGCATCATGGTGGCAATCACAATCTCCGTGGGCGAGTCAACAACGGCGAACGAGTAGTGGATAAACTCGGTGACACGGTCAACGTCCACAGTGAAGAGGGTCATGATCTGAGACTTTGACGTGACAGCCTCTTCTTCCTCTTCTTCCTCGCCCTTGTCCTTCTTGTCCTTCTTGTTCTTGGCCTTTTCAGCCTCCTCCTTGACACCACCGACGGCGCCGGTGTCGTCACCAGGAGCAGCAATGTCCTTCTTGCGCAGCGTCTTGCTGAACAACATCGTGTTGAGCTGCAGCTTGAAGCGACCGGTGAGGAGCGTGGAGCTAATGGACCAAATGATGCCCGACATGATGTAGATGAGGGCGTTGGACACGAAGAGACCGAGGGCAAAGAGCCATCCCCAGGCCGGGTGGGTACGAGCGGGGTCGTTCTCGAGGTAGCGGATGAAGAAGTTGAGCACCATGTGAGGAGCGTAGTAGCCGACGGCGGTGACGACAGCAAGGACAGTCTGGGCGATGAGCAGACCCTTGTTGACCTTGGCAAGCTTGAAGAGGAGGTTGAAGCCCTCCTTCTTCCCGAGACGAGAACGCTGACGGCCGTAGACGCGCTTCATGCTCAAATAGTTCTTGAGAGCACGCATGTTGGCGACAAGGACGGGGAGGTCGGGAACGTCCATCGAGTCGCTGACCTTGGCACGTTCGATCACCACGTCCGTGTACGAGAACAGAATCCATTCCACGACCGTACACTGAACCTGGGCGCTGACGTTGGGAAGGTTGGGGTTGAGAGCGGGGTGGTCGGCTGGCACGGCGTCAACAATCTTGGCCGGGTAAATGTCCTTGAGGGGCATGTACATGGCAGGGCCACGGCGAGCCAGGCAGATGATGAGGAAGGGGAAGAAGGTCAAGACGGGGAGGGCAGCTGTGAGGACGGTAATAGCCTTGACGGGGGCGATACCGAATGCGTCCATGCGGGCGGCGAGCGTAGTGAAGCTGATTGGGGACGATGGCATCGGCGTCGTTGGCATGATGGCCAGGCCGGTGAGAACGATAAACTGTGTGACAAGGGTGGACGCCAGGTGGATCGTCGTGGGCCAGTGGGTGCGCGTCTCTTTCTGTTGAAAGTAGACACATGTCAAAACGATGGTCACCACCTGCGCCGGGATGAGAAGTGAGGGCAGAAGGATTGCACGCAGCTTCTCGTGCTCCTCGAGGCCCTCGACGGAGATGAGGGTGAGAACCAGGAGGGCAAGGTTGGCGAGGAAAGGAGGGATGAGGGTCAACAGCAAGGCAAGCTTGAGAAGCCACTGTGAACGCCAGAACTGCTCTTCGCGGACGGGTACGCCGTTGGTGAGGACCAAAGGGTCCTCGAGTTCAAACGCATCGCGAGGAGCTGCAGCGAGTGCCTCGTCGGAGGAGGAAGGGAGCTGGACGCCGCCTCTCTTTAGAAGCGAATACGCAGGCGAGGCTGGGTGGGAGGAAAGATAGATGGAGAGTGATGAGAGCGAGACGAACGGTATCACGGCCGTTGCCGCGATGGCAAAGATGGAGGTTGCTTCCATGGGGAGGCTCTTGGGAAAGGGAGCAAGTAATGGAAGAGGGGGAGCTGTCGAGTATAGCGTCTTTGTGGACCAGACGGGACACTTGTCGAGTCAACCGCGGCCCGTCAGGCAATGGTGCCGATGTTAGATGGTGCAGAGACGAGGAGCGTCGAGTCGGGAGGTGAGGTGGCCGGACGGAGCTTGTTCTCTGATTTTGATGGCGATGAGCCTGGCACCCCGTGTGGTGGACTGTGATGGAAGGGAAGATGGGAAACGAGAGTGGTGGTGGTGATGTGTGTGTGTGTGTGTGTGTGTGTGTTAGAGTGAGAGAGAGAGAATGACTCGAGTTGAGTCAACTCGCGCGCGCGCTAAGGTGCCTGCCGAGATGCTTCCTGCGCGCTGCTGCGTGCTTGTGGCCCAAAAGTTATAGATTGATTTGTGCACCACATGGTGCCATTGCGCGCGGTACCGCCGTTGCTCTCAGGATCTCAGGCCATCTCCTATCTCTCGTCGCTCCGTTGTATACGTCGTTCGGATCCGAGCGAGAGAGACACCGAATGACCCCCCCCCCCCCCTGCTCTATACAAAAAACGGTGCAGTGCAAATAAAAATAATCCCCGCCCTCGGCAATGCCCGTCTAATTGTCTAATGTCTCCCTGTATGACGCAACGACGGCGTGGCGGCCCGGTGGCGAGGTGGCTAATGGATGCCACGTGGTCATTAGTGTCAATTACAAAACCACAATTCAAATATATATTGACCGTCACGTGACGTGACCTTCCCTCCGCCTCCGCCAGCACGCGCCTTGCTTGTTTTGATTTCAGATCAGAGACAACACAACCAACACCGTCACCTCGACTGGATTCCTTCCTTCCTTCCCTTCCTCCCTCCCTCCCTCCTCCCTCCCTCCCTCCCTCCAATGGCCTCCTAATGCCGCCTCCATCCTACCCACACAGACACCTCCTCCTCACCGGTCTCCTCGACGCACAGCCCGCACCTCCATCACAAGATGCCTTTGCAGTCAACGGCGAGCTCAACGAACGCGGCTGCAAGCTCGACTCACTCCTCCTCGCAGGATGGACAGCGTCAGCCCGCAAGGGTAAACAAGTAGACAACGACGGTGAGCCAGTAACCCCCTCCCTTTCATAACTATCGCTGAACGGCTGCAGTCCTGCAACATGCCGACAACCTGCGTCTGAAGAAGAATGACTTTGAGGTCCTCGGTCGCGTTGGGGAAGGCCAGTTTGGAGTGGTGAGGAACAATGCCCATTCAGTACAAGCTCACCCACGCCTCAGGTCGATGCCGTGCGCTGCAAACTGGATGGCAAGGTGTACGCCATGAAGAGTATTGAAAAGAGCATGGTTCTCCGTGCCGGTGGTGTAGGTTGGACCATGGTTGATCAGACCTGACATTTTACAGCAACTGAGCCTCGCGCATGAGCGTCATGTACACAAGCTGGCCGCACCTTCCTCTCCGGCTCCGGTATTTACCGCTTCCTTTCAGTCCCCTACCGCACTGCACCTCGTGAGCGCGTTCGCCCCGTGTGGTTCACTGTGGGACCGTTTGTGTGAAATGCTCCCTGTCCCCGGTCTCGACACTGGCAGGATGGAGGAAGACGAGATTGCGTGGTGGTCGCGCCAGATGGTTGGCGCCATTTCGTGGATCCATGGTGTTGGCTACACCCACCGGTCAGTTGAAAATCCCTTTTCCCATCCCTAACTGCTCAGTGACATCAAGCCCCACAACTTTCTCCTTCTCCCCGACGCCCGTCTCTGGCTCACCGACTTTGGCTCCGCTGCGCCGTTGTCCAACGGAGCCGTTCCTCGCCGCTACTGCATGTTACCCGCGGGTACCCCAGACTATGTGGCACCTGAAATCTTGCGCTTTGCCGAAGACGCAATGATTGAGGCTGCTCAGAGTGACCACGAGGACTCGGACGGCGAACATACGATCCGACAAGGTGACGTCGACCCTCCTGGTTACGGTCCAGATGTCGACTGGTGGTCCCTCGGAGCTACGCTATACGAGATGGGCGTTGGTCGTGCGCCGTTCTTCGCTCCTTCCATTGGCGGTACATATGACCGGATTATGCGCTGTGACATGCGCATGCCTGACAGCCTGTCGCCTCAGCTAAAGAGTCTTCTCTCGGGGTATGTCCACACCAAAACGCAGTTCCTCGCTAACATCAAGCCTTCTCAGCCCACGCGATGTGCGTTTGGGTCACTGTGACGCCAACGAGATTCGCAGGCACTCGTTTTTCCGCGGGGTCGACTGGTCGAAACACGGAACGCCACCTCCCGGCATCGTCTCGCAGTCCATCGACCTCGACACGCTGACCGACGCGTTTGACCACAAGTTGAACGACGACGTGGACGAAGTGACGTTTGAGCACTTTTTCGACAACACGACCATGGGTTTCACGACAACAATGTCGTCGTCCCTGTCCATGGCTGCGGTCGCTGTCCCACCGTCAACCTGGGCCCGCTGGGTCGGTTGGTCTTGGGAACCTCCTTCCGATTTCTTTGGAACAGAGCCCCCCAAACCTGCCGTTTCACCAAACATGACCATAAAGCCACTCCCTTTGCGCCAACAGTCGGCCCCACCGCTACTCACGCCCATGCGTGCAGGCTCATACGCATCTCCACAGACCGTCCCACGCACGGCACCACGCTCAGTCCCTCGCACTCGCCCCGTGTCCGAGCGCCAGGCGTTTGCCGAGCTCGTGAAATGTGTTCAAGCCAGTGCCAGAAAGAAGCTCCAGTCGGCTATCAAAATGCCAGGCTCGGCATCCACTGTGTCGTCTTTGGCGTCTACAGCGCCTACCTGGCGCAAAGAACAGCCGCCTACGCCGACACCAATGTCTCGCGACGTCACGGTCTTGCTACTGGCCTCTCGCGTTCCGAGTAAAGGAAACAGTAGCGAAGAAGGAGGCCGTCCACCTCGTTCACTATCGCGCACATCGTCTCTTCAGACTCTCCGCGAGGACCCACCACCTCGCCCGCTGTCCCGAAACTCGGCTCGCAGTCGAGACGATATCCCCACTCGCCCTCGATCGCAGACGTCCACGCGGAGCAGCAAAGACGAGACCTCGTCATTCCTCTCGAGGCTTGTGGCCGTCGAGAATATGCCACAGGCCCGTTCAGTGTCCCGCTCCTCCAGCCGCAGCACCGAGAGCTATACCGCGTCTGCTCCTACCCGTCCTCCTGCTGCCACGAGCAACGCCGGCACGATGCCCAGCGACAAGTCTGCCCCGCGCACAGAGTACAGGCCGACAGAGTATAAGCCCGTCGAAAACAGGCCGCCTCCTCGCATCGCGGCAGAACGTCTCGTCCCGCCGCGGGATCCGGGCACGGGCAAGGGCGGCGACCGTATGGCGTCCATGCGAGTGTGGCACGAGTCTCTGCAAGATGGTCTTTCGGTGAGTCGGGAACCGCTTGTCGCATACTAACTCGGTCTCCAGAGCCTGGAATGTCGCTTAGCGGACATGACCGCCCGCCTCAGCAACACGCAAATGTAAATAAGAAACGAGGCGGATGTTGTACACCATAGCACACAAGCAATGAGTTGAGGAGGGGTACACTGCACATATTATTATAGAAACGTCAGCCACAGGAAGCGTTACGAAACAACGATGCATGGGCGGATACATATGGTAAATCCACGTCTAAGAAAATAATGAAGAATGGGTATGTCTGGGTTTTGTGTTTGCAGAGACAGGATAGAGTTATCCGCCTGGAGGACAAACCTACTCGTCACCGAAACGGTCGGGCATGAGCACGGGCGCGGCACTGCGGGTGAAATGTCAGTTGTCAGTTTTACCCGACTCTGCAAGGCAGAGCAAACTTACAGGCTCCAAGAGTACAGCACGTAGCAGATCCAGCTGCTGACGACGCGCATCCACATGGTGGCCTCTGAGCGGCCAATGTACACGTCCGGCTCGGCCATGGACGAGAAGAAATCCTCGACGGGCGTGGTGTCCGGGTCTGGGTGGGCGACGGGCGAGGTGGAGATGACGGCCCAGTCGGTCAGCAGGCCGGCGACGTACATGGCCGCGAGGGCGAAGATGACGTGGAACCACGAGTACTGGCGGGTTGTGTCAGCTGTGGTCTGATCGCAAACTATTTCAAAGCTCACGTTGTACTTTGTGCCCGTGCGCTCGTCGTCGCGCTCCTCGCCCATTGCAGCGTCAATCTCATCATCGTCGTCCTCGGGCTCGTCGAGGACCGAGGCCGGCAGCGATCCGGCATTGACAGCCGCCAGAATGGCCTGGTAGCGCATCTCGTCGCGGCGGCCCTTGGGCTGGTTGGTGATGAGGCGAACCTCGCCGTCATCTGCCTCGTCACTCGGGAGAGAGATGGCTCCGGCGCGGTGACCCTTGCCGACGAGGGCCTTGGACTGGGTCGCAGCGCGCGTGGTCGAGTAGGCAATGGCTACGAATGTGAAGAGCGCACCGAGGACGACGGTGGTGGTCTTTGTTCCGCCAGTGGCCTTTTGGAGGGGGTTGCAGTGCCCGTCGTCGGTGTGGTTTACCACGGCTGACGACGTCAGGTATGTGCAGTATGCGGCGACCATGGCGGCCTGGGTAAGGCCCGACTTGGGGTTGGCTTCCTGGACAGGGCCCGAGATGGCGAGGATGGTCGCCAGGATCATGAGGACGAGGTTGGCCGTGATGAAGAACGTGTTGAGGCCGCACGACGCGCCCGAGAAGAAGACGTACAGCACAATCGTCACGGCAATGGACGCAAGGTACATGCCAAACGTCGAGCCGACGAGGATGAACTGCCACAGGTTGGAGTCGGTGCGTTCCCAGTTGTCGAGGCATGTCTCGGACCAAGTGTGGGCAAAGTCAACGAGCAGGACGAGGCCGATGAGGATGAACGCAAATGCACCAATGGGCACAATGTAGCTGCCGTAGAACATGAAGAATTCGTTGGGGATCAAAAAGGAGATGAACAGCAGGGCGAAATATGCCAGCAGTTTGAGACCCCACCATCTGAAGACGCGTCAGCTGGGTCCTGTGCGGTTATGACCGGCCTACCCATTCTGGACGGCGGCGCGCTTGGCCTTGGTCGAGCGGACACCGATAAGGATAAAGGCGTGGATGATGTGGAAGAGGGCGAGGGCAAAACAGAACCGATGGACGGCCAAGAGGCCATAACATTTGCCTCCCGAGCAGTCCATCTTGATCCAGTCCCAGCTAATCTTCTCTAGCCAGCGGATGGCAATGTCGGTGCGGGAGAAGTATGCTAGCATGGACGACAGGGCAAAGATGAGCTGGGGAGTGGGTCAGCACAGCAGTATCATAAAGCCACCTACGCCAAAGCCGACGCGGGTCGCGATGGACGAGTTGCAGTTGCACGACTTGCAGAAAGCCGATGCTGCGGTGCCCCCTGGTGGACATGGTCAGCTAGCTGTCTGCCTACAACAGCACAGGCCAGATGGTGGTGGTGGTGGTGGACGTACCCATGAAGACTGCGCATCCTGAGCAGAGGGTGGAAGCGAGGGCTCCGCCACCTGATATGATGGGTATGGATAGGAGAGCGCCCATGGTTGGAATCGGGTTGTGGTACTGGAGACAGCAAGTGGGCGATGATGTGCATACATGAATCCAGTGCGCCAGTGCCGGTGGCGTGAGTCGTGATAAGCGGCGAGATAAATGACGTGTGGGTATTGTTGGCGGAATGTTCTTGCCCTCAGAGCCTGGGCGCGCGCGTGCGCGCGCCCAGGCCGAGCCAGGCGGTTCCAGCGGCCAGCGGCCACATGCGGCAGCGGCGGCGGCGGCGAGCGAGCGAGCGTGTCGACCTTTTTGTGCAAAGGGACAAGTGGTGTCTCTGGCAGACGACTCAAAGGCAACCAGTGCACCACCATCACCCGACACTCCACACCCTCCTCTGCTCATCCCGTCACACTCATCGCCACCCCCATCCTCCTGTCTCGCCGCTCACCCACAAGCATAGAGACGGGAAGACGTGCTCCCATCCCCCCCCCCTCCTACAAGCACCATCCCCCCACCCCTCCATTCTCCTCCCAAAAACGCCAAACAACACACCCACCACTCCCATCATGGCCTCCCCCCAGTCCCCTCACCTCGCCAACATTCCCCAGGCGATCCGTTTCGCTGCAGACCCCGCAGTGGAACCAGGACTCAAGCAGCAGGCTCTCGACTACCTCCGTCAGGTCAAGGAGGCCTGCGACGAGACATGGCAGGTGTGTTTCTTCCCCTCCACGCAAAAGTTGCGGCATCTTTCTTCTCATTCCCTCGTCGGTGGCGAGGGGTTTGGGTCTTCCTTGCCCCAACGCGGCCAACACGCACCGCGCACACACAGACACACACGCGAAGCATAACCAAATTGGAATCCCACAGCTGACACATGCATACAGGACTGTCTCGCACTCTACCTCCAAGGCGCCGGTGCACCATCCGAGGGAGCCACCGGCAAGGACGGCAAGGAGAAGCTTGACGCTGCTACTCGCATGTTCTGCCAGCAGGTCATTGGCGCAGTATTCACCAGCAAGTGAGCTACCACGCCCCCAATCTCATCACACCATAGCTAACATCACCAGGCCAGAGTCCATCACCCCCGAGGCCAAGCAGGGCATGTACAAGGCGCTGCTCGACTTTGTGCAGACCGAGTTTGTCGAGGGGTCGTGTGAGGGCCGCCAGGCCTTCCTTCGCAACAAGCTTGCCTTGACCATTGCCCAGCTCTTCACTGGCGTCTACCCCACCCTCATCCCCACCTTCCTCCACCCCTTCATCAACCTCCTTGTCCCCCAGGACGGCGCCACCAACCTGCACCTCCCGCTGCTCGTGACGCACCTGCTCGTGGAAATTGCCCAGGAGATTCACGACGCTACCACCCGCGAGTATGCTCGCCGTTTCTTGGTATACGCCAAGGAGCTCAACCAGCGTGACGGAGCGATCCGCGACGCTGTGCGCACCACTGGTGACGAGCGTTTGGCCGTCGACGGCCTCTTGCGGCTCGCGAGTATGGGCCTCCCCCTCAGCAGCGACCGCAAGTGGCTCGAGGTCACGGACTTTGCCCTGCGTGCTCTGGCTGCTTGGACCCCCTGGATCGACCTCTCCGTGTCCCTTACCCCGCAGACGCTGTCGTTTTACACGCAGGTGCTCCAGCAGCAGGGCAACACCACTCTTCGGACTGGCGCGGCCAAGCTGCTGATGAGCATTGCCAACAAGGGTATCAAGAACCCGGCAGAGAAAATCCAGGTCCTTCGTGTGCTTGACCTTGTCCCCCTTGTCGACCCCATCGAGCAGGAGACCCGAGGCGCCAAGGACGATTCCGACCTGGTTGTTTTCCGCACCAAGCTCGCTGGTCTTCTCAGCTGCTATGGCGAGGAGCTCATTGCCATTACCGAAATGGACGACATGGAGGCCCCCGAGCACATTCGCAACGAGGCCGACGCCATGCTGTCCAACGCCATGCCTCTTGTCCTTCGTTTCCTCAGCGACCGCCACCCAGAGGTGCCCACCGCCATCTCGCAGTGTGTCTCGGACCTGCTAAAGACTGTAAGATTCGATGGTTGTCAGAAACCGTGTGCGGAAGCTAACGGTTTCAGTTTAAAAAGTACAAGCCAGTCCCTGTCGCCGCTCCTCCCAAGAACGGCCGTCCGTCCAACGTTCGTGCTCCCGATCCCTTGCCCGCCAACAAGCGCCAGTTCCTTCTCTCCGTTCTCGAGGTTGTGGTGCGCCAACTTCAGTGGCCCGCCGATGCCGAGTGGGAGATTGTGCAAGAAAGCGACCCCGACACCGACGAGGACATTGCTGCGTTCTGTGCCATGCGCAAGAGCTTCCGCAGCACAATGGACAACATTGCGTCGATCGACAAGTCGCTCCACACCGAGGTGGTGGCCAACATTGTTGTCGGCACATTGGAACGCCTGAGCACCTCGGGCGTGGGGTCCATTTCGTGGCAAGAGGCCGAGCTCGCGGCATACCTCGTCCACACCTTTGGCGAGATTTCCAAGAGCAACACACGCGCTGCCTTCTGGGAGCTTCCCCCAGAGCTCCTGTCCAAGACGTCCCTCCGCATGGCTCGTTCGAGCGGCAAGCTGGGTGGCGGGGACGCGGCAATGGCCAGTGGCCAGTCGACCCCTACGGGATCGGCCGACATGTCGCTTGCCAACTTGGATCCCAACGCCAAGATCGACTATGAGCAGTTCCCCCTCACTCCGCTTGGCCAGCTCCTCGGTCTCTGCATGACCTCGGGCTTGGCGTCGTACCCGCACCCGAGTGTCCAGCTCCTCTTCTTTGAGATCAGTGTTCGCTACATTGATTTCTGGAAGGTGAAGCCTGGAGCTATCCAGCCCATCTTTGAGTCGCTCCTCGACGGCCGCGGTATCCACCACTCTGACGAGGGCGTCCGCCGTCGCGCCTTTTACCTCCTCACCCGTCTGATCAAGGAGTGTCGTGTCGAGCTCGAGGCGAGCATGATCCCCATCATTCTCAAGTCACTCCAGGACATGCTGGCCATCAACCCCCAGCTTCCCGAAGCCGACACCGCCGAGGAGGACGTCCTGCTCAAGGCGACTACGGGACGCAGCTATTTCCAGGACCAGCTCCACCTGTTTGAGGCCGCCGGTGTTCTGGTCTACCTCACGCGCTCCGACCCCAGCAGCCAGATGAACTTCCTTGCGGCCATTGCCGGTCCTCTTATGACTGGCATCGGCTCTGGCCTGGACCAGTACCGTCGCAACCCCAGCGACCTGGTTGCGGTTCTTGGCGTCCACCACCACCTCCTCGCCCTGGGTCACTTTGCCAAGGGCTTCCCTCCGGTCTCGGAGGAGCAGATTGACGCGCAGCCGTATCAGCAGCCGTTCAAGCAGATGACCGAGGCGCTCCTGGAGGCTCTCGACGTGATGAAGACGCAGCGCATCATTCGCGACTCGGCCCGTTTTGCCTTTTCGCAGTTTGTGAGCGCCATTGGCTCCACCATTGCCGAACTCGTCCCCCGCTTTGTCGCATCGGTCGTCACCGAGTTCCAGCCTACCGAGCTCGTCGACTTCCTCGGCTTCCTCTCCTTGCTCATGCACCGTCTCAAGAAGAACACTTTTGAGACGATGGATATGCTCCTCCTCCCGCTTCTCTCCCGCATTTTTGCCGTCCTGCAGCTGCCAGTTACCGGGACCGACGAGGCGGTCAACCAGCGTCGCCTGCAGGAGGCCTACCTCAACTTTTTCACGGCTCTTATGAACTCGAACCTCGAGGGCGTGTTCATCACCGACCGCAACAAGCCTGAATTCGAGAACGTTCTCACTGCCCTGCTCGAGCTGGCAAAGAGCTGCGGCGATCAGGCTTCACAGCGTCTGGCGTGGAGCTTCTTCGCCAAGTCAGTTATTGCTTGGGGCACGTCTCAGGAGGCCGCTACCGAGCCGCCTGTGTTTGCCGACTCTGCAAAGTCCGACTATAGCGTCAAGGTGGCCAGCGGCCTCGCACCCCCGACGAACCAGCACGAGGTGACCAAGGCCCAGCGCGCTGCTCAGGCCCTCCCCGGTTACGAGCAGTTCATCTACCAGCGTCTCATCCCCACGGGCTTCCAGGTGCCCCTGGATGCGTCCTTCGCCATCAAGTCGGGCCAGCCAGTCATGTACGAGATTGCCATGGTGATCCGCAACATGGTTCAGGCGCGCGGCAAGGAGGGTCTCGAGTACCTCGTGAGCGACATGCTGCCCAAGCTGGGTTGCTCGCCCGAGATGGCGCAGCAGTTTGTGCAGAGCCTGCGCACCCAGCAGTCGCGCGACTTCCGCAAGACGTTCCTTGAGTTTGTCAAAGCCATCCGCCCGGCGCCTCAGCGCCGTTGAGCGCGCACAACAGTGTAGAGCCACAGCTATGTGGTTCAGAGGGAAGCTGCCCTGCCCTCCCCAGAGCGTGTTCTTCCGAACGAGAGAGGGAGGGAGAGAGAGAGAGAGAGAAAGAGAACGAGAGAAAAGAGAAGAGACTCCATGGGCCCTGTCCGATCACCCCAGTCATTTTCGTCCATCCATTTCCATATCATGCCTGTCACATCGCATCACGCTGCATGTTTATAGTAGCATCTCCCCATGTCGTCAATGCCCCCCACCCACACCCCTTTACACCATGCATATGCGTGCACATGTAATGAGAGCGAGCGTCCACATCGCGTCAAACAGTCAAAATGGACACCGTTTGGGTCTTATCAGATCCGAATTCACGGTTGGAGTCCCTGGAGCCCCGCGATTTCGTGGTCGGCCGTCAACGTGAGTCAACTGTGAGTGCGCTGCATCTGTTCCCTTTCACATATATCCATCTCGACATGCTGCAGTGCACAAGAGCACCGATGCTGCGCTCGGCGACACGGCGGCACGTCCTCAGACTGGGCGACAATGCGGGTGCTGGGGTACACTGGTACCGACGGCGGATCGCAACAACAACGAGCCTGCGGGCGGCGAACAGTCCCAGCTCCGGTCCGTCTACCTTGGCTCCCCCACACGCCGCTCCTGCTCGTCCAGCTCTTGCCGCAGATCCCGATGCGGCAGATATGGCTCCCGCTTCTTCCTCCCAGGCCTCTGTTCCAGCAACGACGGACTTGTTGGAAGCGTACCGCTCCTTGGTCGCACAGGGCCGACTGACGTGGGATGACGAGCAGGTCCGCATCGTCATGAAGGTACGCACCACACCCAGCTACAGTGTCCTGTCCAGCTGACATGCGTTCCGTGCTAGCTGCGCCATGTATACAACGATCTGGCGGAATACGAGCCGCCCCTGGACCTGCTGGCCAAGCTCGGCCCATCGCCACCGCGCGCGGTGGGCAAGGGTACCCCGTGGTGGCTGCGATACGCGTCGCGCGCCGAGGACAGCAGTGGGCTCGGGGACAGCGATAGGGCCAAGGCGCTTGTCAAGGTGTTGAGCGGCGACGAGGAGATTGCAGCGTTGACAACGCCAAAGGTACCGTACCAGTATATGGTGACCACGCCGTGCTGACTTTACCACAGGGCATCCTCCTGACGGGCCCACCGGGCTCGGGCAAGTCGCTCCTCCTGTCGCTCCTATATGCGGCTCTTCCCGCGCGCAAGGCCCGCCACCACTACCACGCGTTCACGCTCGGCCTGTACCAGAAGGTGTTTGCTGAGATGGAGCGCCGGCGAGTGGGTGCGGCCCCCGGGCAGGCGCGCATGAACATGGAGGTCGCGGGACGACAGGGCTGGCGGGCAGTGTTTGCCAGCGGACGGTGGCGCGAGCGCGACGAGGACGGGGCGGAAAAGGACGCGACGCTGGACGATCCGCGGGACACGATCCCGTTTGTTAGTGGGTATTGTGCGAGGTGCAGTGGTGGTGCAGCTGCGCAATGGGCTTCTTGTCGAGCTGAGCTGACCCCGCCTGCAGTTGCCAAGGAGATGATACTCGAGTATCACGTTCTCTAGTGGGTATGGGGAACAGATATGGCTGACTCAGTCAGCTTTGACGAGCTCCAGCTTCTGGATGCCAGCTCGGCTGCTCTCCTCCGTGACGTGCTGAGCTGGTACTGGCGCCTGGGTGGCGTCGTCCTGTGTTGCTCGGTGAGTTGCCAGACACAGTTCGAGGACCCCAACTGACACGCGCCCAGAACCGCGTGCCCGACGACCTATACCACCACGGCGTGCAGCGCGAACGCATGGCCGGCTTCCTCGACGCGCTCAAGGGCAGGTGTGAGGTTGTGGAACTCGACGGCGGGCGCGATTGGCGCCGGATAGGTGAAGGAGACAAGGACGACAAATGGGTCACATTGGATGACAACCTCTTTGACGCCGCCTGGGCGGCGGAGCGAGGTGGGGAACCAGTGCCGCGCGACTTGGTGGTGTATGGTCGCCGGGTGCGCGTGCCGGCCACCAAGGGGGACGCGTGCATGTTCCCCTTTGACGAGCTGTGCGAGACGGCGCTGGGCCCAGCAGATTACCTCACGTTGGCAAGCACGTTCCGGACGTTTTACATTGACGCCGTGCCCATCCTGCTGCTCAAGCACAAGAATGAGGCGAGGCGGCTTATCAACCTCATCGACGCGCTGTGTAAGTCCAGATGCTTGAGGGGTTTCCCTGCGGAAATGACTACAATCCTCAAGCGACCTTGTTCTGACAACCACCCTCCAGACGAGTCCCGCTGCCAACTCTACGTCCGCGCCGCTGAGCGACCGGAACACTTATTCTTCCCCGACGCGCTCGACCCAGCCCTCGACCCAGAGCACCACCAACATCGCGAGATGGACGCTCTCGAAGCCGAGGCTCTGAGTGAGACGCTCGCCGCGCAGCCCAGGGCAAACGTGTCAGTGTACAACCCCAAGACCCGGATCGAGCGCGAAAAGCTCGACAGGGCCGACTTGGGAAGCTCGTTTGCAGTCATGGGAATATTCACAGGCGAGGACGAACGGTTTGCGTATGTGAGTGTAGGAAGTGCCCGATACGTGTGCAGATCTTCTTGCTAATGCTGTTTCCTTTGTCTATCGTAGAAACGAGCCGTGTCACGTCTGATCGAAATGGTCACATCTCCCGCGTACGCGCAAGAGGAGTGGCTCCCACTCGCGTCGGCGAGTAGGGGCTGGGAAGCGGCCGTGAACAAGGGACAGGTCACTGCACCAGCCAAACGCGCCATTATCCATCGCGGCGGCGGGCTTGTGGCCGACACCGACTCCATGGCACGCGAGGCTGGGGCGTTCAAGCATGAAGTGAGGGAGGCGACTGCGCCGGGCAGATCACAACCTGCCATTGAGCCTGCGACGGCATCGGTGTCTGTATCCGGGGCTGGATCGAGGACGGGTGCTCCCAAGATTAAAGAGGTGCATGCGTGGGGTGTGGAAGATGCGTGGGGACCCAAGGCTGGTAAGTGGGGCCAGGGTGCGAAGGCGTTCAAGGAGGGGGAGGGGGACGATGTCACAAAGGAATGAGCGAGTGGATTAGTGATCGTCGCTGCCACATTGCCACAACCACCACTACCCAGCACCCGGGACATGTACAGAGCACAGTCATAGATGTCTAGACCACGACGATGCACCTCCTGGGCATTACATGCCCACGCTGTCCTGGTCCTTGTCGCCTCTTGTCGCCTCTTCGCGCCACGGTGAGCTTGCTCGCTTGCACGCGTGCTCCGATAAGACTTTATGACGTGTCTATCCACTTTTGATACCACCTGCCGCCCTTTCGTCACCGTTCCCTCCGGCGTCTCCCCCCCTGGATGCCGCGCCGTCTCTCCCCTCCCACCATCCACGCACGAGGGGGACAACTGCATCTCGCATCTCATCCTATCCATCTCCTCCTCCAACCGTCACCGGCAAAGAGCACTCTCTCTCTCGCAGCCGATACACAACCCTTCGCGAGGAGCCCTCACACCCGCCCACACACACAGCTCCCCCCTCCCCCCCTCTCAACCCCCAACCCCCCCGTCGCCGGAAACCAGTTTGCCCAACATGGTACGTCACAGGCTCCCTGACAATCACGTCCAACTCACCACCGTCTCGTCGTCCTCGTCCACCCTCACTGACACCATACCCAGGCTGGCGCTATGGAGAACGCGAAGAAGCAGCTCCCCAAGGTACGTACCCGGTCGCCGCCGCCGTAAGGGTGTGCTCGGAGCGATAGGCCGCCGACCCCGAATTCGTGCCCCCCACTGGCAACGGGTGGCTGACAACGACTCTTTAGATCCGGGACGAGCACCGCGAGAGCATGTTCGGCTCCGTCTTCTCCGTGTCGGGTCCCGTCGTTATTGGCGAGAACATGCGCGGTTGTGCCATGTACGAGCTGGTGCGCGTCGGCCACGACGAGCTGGTTGGTGGTGAGTAGCCAAAGCAACACAGAAACGTGCCGGCGGGGGTAAGCAACACCGCCCTGCGCTTCTGTCAACCCTCGTTTGGTCTGCTGTCGTACTTCGTTCGTCCTCAGCTGACAACATGCAGAGGTCATTCGTATCGAGGCGGACCGCGCCACCATCCAGGTGTACGAGGAGACCTCGGGTGTGACTGTCGGCGACCCCGTGCTGAGGACGGGCAAGCCGCTTTCGGTCGAGCTTGGTCCCGGTCTCATGACCAACATCTACGACGGTATCCAGCGTCCTCTCAAGGGCATCCAGGAGAAGAGCCAGTCCATTTACATCCCCCGTAAGTGTCGCTGCGAGGTATGACGGTTGCGCCGCGTGAGCTGTGGTTGGCTCCGCGCCATGCAGCCCTCAGCCGTCTCAACCACGTCCCTATCTCACCACCGCGCCCGCTGACGCTGTATACCAGGTGGTATCAACACCCAGGCTCTTGACCGCGAGATCAAGTGGGACTTCAACCCTGCGACCTTCCGTGTCGGCGACCACATCTCTGGTGGTGACATTTTCGGTTCCGTCTACGAGAACTCGCTTGTCGACAACCACAAGATCATGCTTCCCCCTCGTGCCATGGGTACTGTCACCCACATTGCCGAGAAGGGCTCTTACACTGTCGAGGACGTTGTCCTCGAGACCGAGTTCCAGGGCAAGACCACGCAGCACACGCTCATGCAGCTCTGGCCCGTGCGTGCCCCCCGTCCCGTTGCCGAGAAGGAGACCGCCACCTACCCCCTCTTCACCGGTCAGCGTGTCCTCGACGCCCTCTTCCCCTCGGTCCAGGGTGGTACCACCGCCATCCCCGGTGCTTTCGGCTGCGGCAAGACTGTCATTTCGCAGGCCCTGTCCAAGTTCTCCAACTCTGACATTATTATCTATGTCGGTTGTGGTGAGCGTGGTAACGAGATGGCTGAGGTTCTGGCCGACTTCCCCGAGCTCACCCTCGAGCGCGATGGCCGTGAGGAGCCCATCATGAAGCGTACCGCCCTTGTCGCCAACACTTCCAACATGCCCGTCGCTGCCCGTGAGGCCTCGATCTACACTGGTATCACTCTTTCCGAGTACTTCCGTGACCAGGGTACCAACGTCTCGATGATGGCCGACTCGTCGTCGCGCTGGGCCGAGGCTCTTCGTGAGATTTCGGGTCGTCTTGCCGAGATGCCCGCCGACTCTGGTTACCCTGCCTACCTCGGTGCCAAGCTTGCAGGCTTCTACGAGCGTGCCGGCAAGGTCACCTGTCTCGGTTCGCCCAACCGCCAGGGTACCGTCTCCGTCGTCGGTGCCGTCTCGCCTCCTGGTGGTGACTTCTCCGACCCCGTCACGTCGGCCACGCTCGGTATTGTGCAGGTCTTCTGGGGTCTGTCCAAGGCCCTCGCCCAGCGCAAGCACTTCCCGTCGGTTGACTGGAACGTCTCGTACTCCAAGTACCTGAACGTTCTCGACCCTCACTACGAGAAGCACAACCCTGGCTTCATCGAGATGCGCACCAAGGCCAAGGAGATTCTGCAAAAGGACAAGGACCTTGCCGAGATTGTCCAGCTGGTCGGCAAGTCGGCCCTCGGCGAGGGTGACAAGATTACCCTCGAGATTGCCCGCATGCTCAAGGACGACTTCCTGCAGCAGAACGGTATCTCCGAGTACGACCGTTACTGCCCCTTCTACAAGACTGCCGGTATGCTCAAGAACTTTATCACCTTCAACGACTTGGCCCTCAAGACTGTCGAGACCCACCCCGACATTACGTTTGCCAAGATCCGCGACAGCGCTTCGGACGTCATGTTCAAGCTCTCGCAGCAGAAGTTTGAGTCGCCCAACACCCAGACCGAGCAGGACATTACGGGCAAGTTTGACCAGCTCAACAACGAGATCCAGGAGACGTTCCGCCGCATGCAGGAGTAGACCACTCTCACCCCCTTCAACACTGCAGCGGACACGACAACGATCCTTCTCTTTCTTCTCTTTTAGTAGCCTCTGAATTTAGACATGTAACCCGTTTGACCGGAATGGAGCGAGGTCGGTGCATGCGTGCATGCTGACGATGTGCATCGCAGTACCGAGCATGGCGAGCTTTTTACGCACGATGGTGCGCGGCCGGGCGGCGACGGGCGTTGGGCATCTGGAGAATTATAGGTGTCCATTTGTGGGCGGGCCCTGAACACAAAAGCCGGGAGATTATCTTCATTTGCAAACATCCCTCATCGCCGTCTTCGTCGTTGCCGTCGTCAGCCGGTCGGTCTCGAGACACAACGACTTGCACACCCATCGGGACGAGTAGGTGTCGCCGCATGCATATCCCCACTCACAGCAGACCATGGGCCGTTGATACCCAGCATCACGCTCCTGACCCGACGCTGCCCTCCCCCCGTGTCTCATTCAATACGCTCTAGTGCTACCCGGATCAACCCACACCGGGTGCGGGCTCTCGGTGGAACAGTCGCCGCCGCCGCAGCAGCAGCAGCAACCAGCAGCCAGCTCTAGCAGCCATCACCAACGCTCCTCCCCCCTTCTCCCTTCCATGTATCCATCCCACTCCTCACTCATGGTCGCGCCGCGCATCACCGTCTCGGGCGCAGGCGGCATGACACACCACGCGCACGGGCACAGCACCCCGCACCGAGTAGTGCGGTTCGTCGAGACGGCCATCCGCGGCGACGAGGTGCCGTGGAAAGCGCATCCAGAGTGGTTTGAGCGGTACGACTTTGTGGTGCGCCGCCCGCCGCCGCCGTCGTCGTCTACCGAGCCGGCCACGAGCGAGTCGGGCACGGTCACGCTCTTGGAGCATGTCAAGCCCGATGACGCCGGGGTCGGAAACAAGGGCTTGAACTCGCTGCCGCACCCGCACCGCGCCATGTTCTTCACCCACTTCCACTGGGTGGACGCCGAGGGAGCGCCGCAGACGGTGAGTACAGGCAAGGAGGGCGACGAGACTATGAGACTACGGGCTGACAGACGTTTCGTCCAGGTGACGCGGGAAGAACTCATCAACACGTTTGACGCGGTGGTGGAGGCCTTTGAGCAGGCGTTTGCGGCGTACCTCGATGCCCACCTCGTGCTCCTCCAACCCCGCGCCCAGAAGCTCAACCACATCCCAGCATACAAGCGCGTCTACGACATTGCCGTCGACCTCCGCCGCCGAGTGTCGCTCCTGCACGAGCTGGCAGGTGAGTATAGCAGCGCGGCGGCGACCTGGGCGTGCGTGGGGTTGACGGACCCCCGCGGGGGAGGTCATGGGTCCGAGGTGTCTCCGAGGTCACGCGGGCTGACATGCATCCATCACAGTGGGCTTTGGCGAGTACCTGTCGTTCCTGTCGGATGCAGAGACGATGGGCGACATCCCACATAAATGGCACCGACACCCGGGTCCCATCACTGCCACCACGCTGCTCACGAGTCCCCTCCACCTCCGGCCTGTGTGGTATGCGGCCGTGAGCGAGGGGACCGTGTCCGACTATGCCTTCCGGGTGGCGGCGCTGCTACAGGGGGACGAGACGTTGCCGGGTACCGAAGAGTGGGAAGAGTTGGCAGAGCGGGGCAAGGAGGCCGTGGAGCAGTTGACGCTCGAGGTGGGCCTCAAGCCACCCGAAGAGACGGACGGGAGGAAGCGGAGGACGCTGCCCAGCAATGCGAGCAGGTACAGGCGCCAGTGGGAGATTGGGTGGGGTCACTGGACCATGTGGTGAGGAGGACGGGGGTGCGAGCGAGCGAGCGAGGAACCGACGAGACGAGGAGCCGAGAGGGACCACCCACTGGTTTGGGCCTTAATAAACGTACCATCTTCACCTGTTGATATCCATGTATACTTGACTTGGCACTGACACGCGCGCACGCATGCATGCATACGCGTGTCCCCATCGACCCATGCCCCCCGTTCGAGACAGCGGTAGTTGAATAGTGGGAATCAACAGGGCCATGTACCAAAGCAGCCAACTCTGGTACAGTCCCGACCTCTTGGTACTGGGCTTCGCTTCAAGCAAAGAGTGCGCACTCCATAGTGTCTTCAGCGGCCCGCGGCTGGCTCTCAACGGCCAGAAACAACCAACGTCGACGTTCAAACGCGTCGGCAGACGGGGAGACACCTGGTCACCTGGAATCAATACCGGCTGATCCGAGCTGGAAGCGGATGTGTGGGGTCCAGGTCGTCCGGCTCCACGTCGAGGCCCTTTCGATCCCTTTATCACTGATCCACTGATCCGCCTGTCTCTTTCTCTTGCCTTGGCATGTTCTCATCAGGTGACCTAGTGACCTGGCAAAGCCCTTCAATCTCGGAGGCCTGTTCAGTATAGCCAGCTAGTTTGTGCCAAGGACGGGTTCCCGCAAAGCCGCACGCCGCCACACCTGAAGCCTGGCAACTGATGCCAAGCGTCAGGACTGTCGATCATCACGGCCGACGTGAACGTGTGTTGACGATCATGACGTTGGCAGGCTAATGATCGTTCCCCGCATTTATGCCATGTCGGACCTTCCGACGTCTGCAAATGGCTTGGCATACCCATACATTTATGCAGTGCGAGCGGCGAGCCATTATTGAGCCAGCTGTGCCGCCACAAGTACAGCCCGTCCCATCACCGCTGTTGGCATGTCCGTCAAACCCGGAGCAGGCAGCGCACCAGCATCGTTCTGGATTCCGTAAATATATGATAGCGTCAGTCTTGGCACGGCAGATCCTGGGTCTGTTGCAGCCAGTCGTGTGCTGTACACTGTCGATCTCTTCTGCTTTCTCCTGTGGGCCTGGAATGAGTCCATTCCTCGGCGGCCTCAGTCTGCTGATCTGCTGACCCACAGACAAAAGACAACGAAACCGCCGCAGAAGCCGGATTCTTGTCACTGGCCACTGGGCCCACTCTTAATTTCCCAGCTTGTCCGCTTTTCCATGTGCGTCTCCTGACAGCATGATTATTCCCTTCCGAGATCTCAATTTCAGACGTTCCTATCTCTACCAACCTACTGCTCGGTGGGTTATCCGCAGCGGCATGCCGTACACCCTGTGGGTGTGTCAGAGACAAGGCCACAGGCCACAGGAGAGAGCATGTCTCTGTCCGCGTCTGGGACAACCCGCCGGCCGGCCGGCTCCACCAGATCTCCTGCTATTCAGCCAAATGTCCCAAATGTTAACGAGAATGGCGGCTTGCGACTTGCGGCTTGCGGCTTGGGAAGGACAGGTGCCGAGCAACAGGAGCCCAACGAGCGAGAACGTGCGAGAGAGCGCGGGAAGGTGAGGGACCGAAAGTAATGTTCAAGCCACCGACCCATTTGTTCCGTCCACTGTCGCTGTTGTGTCCGGATGTGGGCCGCCAAGCCCTTGTGCCCTTCGCCTTGTCGCTCAAAATGTGGCACTGGCCGGCTGCGCGGCCCAGACCCCCCATTCTTCTGGATCTCCTGTCTGTTCCACTCGCCCGCGCCGGGGATCCGGAGACTGGCCCTGCATCCCTATTTTGCACAGGCAGGTGATCGCAGAGCGGGTGAGTGATAGCTCACTGGATCACTGGGCAGCGCTTTTCGTGCTGGGCGGTGTCCGCCCTCTGTCATCCACAGTCCGTTGCCCACCGCATTCCGCGGACGCGGGGACGGCTGTAGGGTGAACCGAGACGATGAGAGTCAAGAGGAGCCAGATCCAATGCCTGGGCTTGTCCATCGCACTCTTCATCTGGCCAATGGGTGCTGTGCAGTTTGGGTGGGGGTTCTCGGTTGGCGCCCGCGCCAGCTTCCCAAAGGCCACTCAAGCAAGGTGGCACCTGGTAGCAGTCCTTTCAGTGGTGGGGTGGGAATATGTATATCTATCATGGGGGTCTCGAGCCTGCTGGGCCCACCTTCGCTCGAACAACTCTCTATCAGACACCACCAACTTGGCCATATGATCTTCCTCAACCTCGCTCTAGTGGCAGCCTTGGCCATCGAAGGAGTGGCGGCTGCCAACTCGCCCACCCTCACCGTCCCCAAGGTCATTGTCGGACGTTTTATGCCGATGGACTGGGGCTTTGTCCAGCGTTCGCCACTTGCCCATGTCATGGGACCCGTGTCAAAGCGTGCGGCATTGGCATGCCCCACAGGCTTCACCGCGTGTAACAGCTCCTCTTCTTGTGCACCAGACGGCTCAGTGTGCTGTGGTGAGTCGGGCATCCTCCTGCTGTGATTGTGGCTAACACTCGCCAACAGACGGTGGTGGCAGCTTTTGTTCTGCTGGGTGAGCATCCTCCTGTATCCTGACTGGAAGCAGAAAAGTGGCGCAGCTGACGCAGTTCAAGAACATACTGCTACACTAAGAACGGCGTAAACGGGTGTTGCCCCACTGGCGAGACATGCGCTGCGCCGAGCGGTTGTCAAGCTGGCTCAATAGCCTGTCCCGACAACCCCAACACCTGTGTTGTGTATGGCGGAACGTGTTGTGGTGAGATATCTCATCTCGTTCGAGTTGCCGCATAGTACTAACTGTCTTCAGCCGGCGCCACTTCCTGTCTTGACGGATTCTCCTGTTGCAGCGACGGATGCTGTGCGAGTAAGTGCACAGGTCAGTGACGTCCGAGACTAAGCCTCGCACAGACACATCCACGGATAACAACGCCACAAGCACCACCGCCACCGACACTGGAACAACGACCCCCACGACGCAAGCTGCTGAGGCTACCGGTACTGGAAACGCGCCATCGTCGAGTATCCCACCCATCACCATGGGCAGCAGTTCGATCATTGCGGCCGACTTGAACTCGTACGTCGATTGGCAAGGCAACTGGCAGACGACAACAGGATCATGTGCGTCAGACGCAAGGGTCGCCACCTCAAACGTCAGCATGTCGATGAAGTGTAGTCGTGAGTTTCCCTCAAGAGTGTCAAACGTCAGTATCCGCTCGCGTTCTAACAGGAACCACAGCCGATGTTGCGGGATACGTCATGTCCCTTTCTGTTCCCAAAGGTGCCAGCGTCAAGTTCAACATTGACGGCGAGGACTACACGTACGGATGGGGCAACCTCAAGACGCCGCTGGGCACGTACCAAAACTGCAACATTACCTATGCGTACGCCTTTGAGAACACCCAGGACCACGTCTGCACCCTCGACATTGGGATGGCAAGCAGCACGGACCAGTCAAGCGCAATGCAGGTCAACGCAGTCGTGTAAGTGGACCTTGCGTCTTTCGGTGTGGTGAACCTGGTCCTGACAATGCCAGCGCGTTCAAGAACGTGGCCGACATGCAGAGCTACCTCAACGCCGCACAGAGTGAAGATTCCTCGTCCTCTGCCTGGTCATCTGCCACATCGGGGTCATCTGCCACCTCGACGTCGGCGGCCAAGACGTCGGCGACCAGCCAGGCTAGCGGTGCCGTGCTTCGTGCCGGCATCAACGTCCGGAGCGCGGCCGTCGTCGCATGTGCCGCTGTCCTCTTTGTGTCGGCTTTCTAGTCCCAGGCGGTGATGTGCATAGGAGTGGTCACGTTTTGATTAGCCTCAAGGACATCGGAGTCATCGTTCTCGTTGGGTAGTGGGTGAGGGTGAGCGGTAATGATGTGAAGACATGTGTAACCCGAGGATGGCTGTCGGCTGTCGGCGCAGATACATACAAGAATGAAAGAGACGTGTGGGATCCGCCCATGTCCAGAAAGAGTGTCACCCTCGAGCGTCCCCGCCATCGAACAGGCAAACGAACCTGTCAGTCGGTCCTTTGGGGCCGCCCTCTTATGGTTCTTGGCAATGTTGACCATTCTTCACGGGGCTATATGCGTAACAGACCGGTCCTGCCAAGAAACCGCTTCGAGCCCAACGCTCACCCGCGTTGTCACAATGGACTCGTGACCAGCCAGGATCAGTGACCGCGCTCGCCGCGCTCGCAACGAGTCTCCAAAAGGCGTCGTCGTCGTTCTTGACAGCCTTCTAACCCTTTGTTTGCGGCATGCTTGACGCAGTTTGAGTTTGGGTGTGGCAGTGCCGATCCCGTGGCGGTGTGCAAACTCGCCCGAGTGGGCAACTAACAGATCACTGATGCACACTTTTCAGGGATGTCACCTTTGGGAATGAGGTTGGAGCATGGAGCTGGGGGAGTGAGATACAAGCAGGCCAGCAGACTCCACACCCAGTTTCAGCCTTTAGACAAAGCTTGGCAGCTTATGAGCAACAGTGTGCCGGGCCTGCCGGGAGCGGTACAGGCACCACCACCCGTTTCTGACGTCGCCAGACACCTGTGGGTCGCGGAGGTGGTCACTGGATCACTGGACCACTGATCACTGATCAACGACGCGACCGTGTGCTAAATCGGACTCCTTGGGGTTGCTTTTTCTGGGTGCCGCACAAGGCCAAAGAGTCGTGCTATCAAACCCAGGGCGCCAGGGAAGGATGGAGCCGTCTTTCTTGCGGGTATCGGCAGCCCTCCTAACGTCACCTCATCCCAAACCCCACAGGTCGGCGGACTGGGAGCTGTCAAACCGACAAGGGCGGTGCTGTTGGGCGTGTCAGGTGGACTGGAAGCACATGGTGCATTGGCGGTGTTGTCGATAGCCCTTACTGAGTGTATATATATCAACTATGTATCAGGCTGTAGCCATCGCGGCTCACATACAGCGACACACATGCTCTTTCTAATTCTCGCCCTTGCCACGTTTGTGGCCCTCGTCCAAGGCCAGGCAGCCGCTGGCGGAGGTGGTGCGGGTACCCCAATCATCGTCGTGAAGCCAAAGCCAGGCGAGACGATTGTCCCCGTCAACCTGAGCACATCATCCGCGTACGTCTATTGGGGCGGTGACTGGACCCCGGCGACGAGCGCGTGTTCGCAGGATGCCATGAATCTGTCCTCGGACGGTAACGGAACGGTGTCGTTTGGTGGTGAGTGTGTGGGCCATTGAGTATTGAGCATTGCTATCGGGCGACAGTGCAATAACTGACCCGCCACAGACGGCATCGCTGGTTATACCATGTCCATTACGCTCGACGCTGGCGGCAGCGTCATTATTTACAACGGCAACGAGGCGGCCACATACAAGCACGACGACCTTGTCTCCTTGGGCACTTACAACGGATGCAATGTGACGTACGCCTACACGTTTCCCTCGTCGTCGTCGGTCCCTTCACGCATTGCATTGTAGGCTGGCTTTACACCAGTGGTGGGTCAGGCCAGCTCCAGATCAACCAAATTACGTGAGTCGGTCATTGCGTTGCATGTATGCATGCTCACCTGTGTCCCAGGGGCTACAACAGCTCGGCGGACATGCAGAGCTTTATCAGCGCTGCCACAAGCACGGTCACCAGCGAGCCTCTTGCCCAGGCCACGATGAACGCAAACACGTCTGCTGGCAGTGGCAATGGAAGCACTGCGAGTGCCACTGGCAGCGGCAGTTCAGCGACGGGCTCAAAGGCGGCGACGTCGACTGCGTCTTCGACCTCCACTGGGTCCAAGGCCGGGGACGCTGTGGCCCGTGCCGGTATTTCAGACGCTGCACTTGTGTCCTGTGCAGTTGTCTTGCTGCTGTCGATCTTGTCGTTCTGAAGAGGAGGTAGGCTTGAAATATATGTATGTGGGCACAGTTCCAGTGCAATCCACATCCAAAGGTGGGGGGTTGTCATGACGTCTGGTAACCGGGACGGCCGATGCAAATGCTAGGGAAGAAGCATCAGTTGTGATGAGAGGATGCGCTGTACGTTGTTGCAGTTGGACGCTCAGACGACAAATGTTTGACTGTCCGATCATCAGAGCAGATGGGTCCGTGTGTGTGTGTGTGTGTGTGTGAGCGGTTGACACGACTTGCATCGATTTTCCATCATCACGGTCAACTCATGCACGCCCTCGTCCTTTTCCCATCCACAACACCAAATCCCATCCACGCCACCCATCCATCCACCCCTACCTCACTCACTTCAATGACCAGGAAGGAAAAGGGAACGCCCAAATCCACCACAAAGAAGGCCAAGTCCAAGTCCTCCAACGCGTCGTCGGCTGCGGCCAAACGCACCTCCAACCCTCCCCCGAAGCCTCTCTTTTCAAGCAGGCCCCTCCCAAAGAAGCAGATCAAGCCCAAAGTCAAACAACAGCAGGTGTGCCCGGGAGACGAGAATGGAGACAACAAAGGACGTGAGCAGACATGGGGTTTCCCTCACAAGAGCACACTGATGGCAACAAAAGTGCTCTGCAACGTAACCTACACTACCGAGGAAGACGGCACCATTGCGCCCTACAAAGAGTTGGGCCGGTCGCTCTGCTTCTACTGCGAACGCTTGTTCACCGCCTAAGCAGCATCGACGAGGACGACGACGACGACTGCCTAGACAGCACAATCTCATCTGCCACAAATACACTCCGTCACCTGCCATTGGCCTCTGCGCCGCGGTCGCCGCCGGTGGAGGTCGATTTCTGCCGAACAATCTCGAGGAACAACGCCGGTCGGTGACGTTCTTCCACTCCTTTCAACCGTCCTACACCATGTCGCTCGCCATGCGGCCCATCTCTCGCCCCCTCGCGGGCCCCTCACGGCTGAGACTGAAGTCCACCGTGCAGCCTGCTCGCGGTATGAGCTCGGTCCCCACGCAGACCCCTCGGGCCACGGCTCCCATGCCCTCCAACATGCCCCGCGAAAACTACTCGGCTCCGCTCAGCTACACGGTCCACTATGTTGGACGCACACTCCGCTATGTCGCGTATGGTGTCATTGGTCTCGGTGCTACAGCTCTCACAGCGTACGAGGGCATGCACCAGTACGTCGAGCACGTGCAGCTCGCGGCTCCCACCCGGTCCCATGACGACGACACGTTTGCCTGGGCCGATGAGAACCAGGCATGGACGGGCGGGTTCAGCGGCGGCACCGACCCACGTCTTGGCTTCAAGGCGCGCCATGCGCTCCGCGGCGCATACCTGTTCTGGGAGTGGGGTTCGGGCGACACGAGCACCATTGGCAGCCATCACTCTCTTCACCCCAGCTTTGGCAGCCGGCGCGGTATGATCGGTGGCGGCGGTGTCCGCCGTACGGACCGTGGCTACGAGCTCGCCGAAGAGTTTATCGACGCGACCATTACCGCTGCTGAGAAGCGCGGGTTTGTCTTCCCACCCGAGCTTGACCGTGCGCGCGCTGCGGGCCCACCAGAGGTCATGGCCTTCAGCGCTGACCAGCCCAACGACGGCGTTGACCCGACTGCCATCGACCTTTTGCTCCTCAAGGCCGGTGTCCTCGAGCGCCTCAACACCCCGGAAACTCTCGAGCACGCGAAGGAGCTGTATGAGCGTGTGATCCATGCCGACCCCCTTCGCCCCGGTCCCGTTCCCACCGCACGTACCATGCGTCTAGCGCACAAGATTGGTGACCTTGCGGCTCGCTCTGGCGATGGCGCCGAGGCCCAGGAGTGGTGGGCTTGGGGTCTGCAGCGTGCTCACATCGACCTGCCTGCTATCAAGGCCAGCAAGGCTGTCTCTTCGTCTTCCTCGAACGGCGGTAGCAGCAGCTGGTGGAGCTGGGGCAACAAGTCCAGCCCCGCGCCGCCTGCCGAGCCTGCGTCACTCAAGGAGACTGCCGCTGTGCCTCCCCTGGCCTCTGACCCCAAGCTCGCCCCGCCCGTCCTCCGTGCCGCGCTTGCGCTGCTCATCTCGGCCTCGGCGGCTGACGCGCAGGGCGGCTCGCTCGATGCGGCTGCTGCGGTTCAGTCCCTCGCCATCTCCCTGCTCCCCGTGTCTGCCCGCCTCGCCGTCCCGGCCTCGTCCACTGGCCCGGCCTCTCTGCAGGAGACATGGCTCGAGTCGCGCGCCGCTCTCCTTAACCTGCACCGCGCCAGCGTGGCCTATGCTCGCAAGGAGAAGGGCGTCAAGCCCATCGACCTCACGGGCAACTCTACGGACCGGTCCGAGGCTGTCCTCGCTCAGCTCACGCCCATCCTCCCAACGGCCTACACTTCGCCGCGCGGGACTCCCCTCGAGCAGCCCGCCAACCGCCTTGTGCGCGATACGCTCCTGACTGCGGCCGAAGCATACTACACGCACGCCGTCTTCCTTGAGCGCGGCGGCGGGTCCAAGGAGAGCGAACAGGACCGCGTGCACCGCCTGGAACACTCGGGCGAGTGCTACGAGCGCGCCATGACCCTCGCGGCGGCCGAGAGCGGAACCACCAACACCAAGAAGGATGAAGAGGATGGTGTGGGCCGCGGCGAAGAGTGGATGCGGTACTGGCGCGGATACGCCCGTGTGCGTAACAAGATCATGGCGGATGTGGATGCTGGCAAGGAGGTCAAGCCTGCCGACGGCGACGCTGTCGCCAACCCCAAGGCCTAGTCGTGAAAGATGTAGTCTATTCGTCCCTCTCTCTATTTCCCTCTCTCTCGAGTCACTCCTCATCATAGCACAGACGAATGTAGCCACGGAATGAAGTTCATGGGTCAGTTGATCTCTCGCGCGACATTTCTGATCTGCTCCGTGCTCCTCTTGCTCCGTGCAACCCTGCTGAAAGTATTTCTGGCCAATGCTCTCATCCCACATGAATGATGGTACACCGCGCCCTAAGGGGACAACCAGTGCTCTACCGGTAACGGTCTCCCTCAGGAAACGCCTAGAGTGCGCCGCGCATGGACGCTAATTTAAGCAGAAGCAGCGGCCTTCTTGGCAGCGGCGACGGCCTTCTGGGTGCCCTGGGCAGCGAACTTGGCGTTGCGGCGGAACTGTTGTGGGAAAGGAGGGAACGAGGGAACGAGGAGGAGAATGAATGACGAGGTGGAAAGAACGGGTTTCGAGGTTTGCGGGAATGAGGAAGACATGTCAGCTCATGGGTCCATCCACAGCTCGGCAAGGCTGTTGTACGCACCTTGGGGTCGACACCCTTGAGCGACTTGTAACGCTGGGTCTGCACACGGGTGATACCGTTGCGGTGGGCTGGACGTTAGCACTTGTGCTTGGTCGTGAAGTATGGTCATGGGACGCTTCCTTCGTCGTCGTCGTCGTCCAAAAATCCTAAACCGCGGTCTGGCCAAATTCGCGGTTTGGCCAGATGGGAGCACAGGCGAAAGTTCTGGCAGGCCAGGAAAGGGGAGACAGCATGGCGAGCACGCACGCCCCTGCCAACAGACACACGTCTGCTCGCTGTCGTCCCTTCCCCGCCCACTGCCAAAACTTCCTCGCTCCCCATCCCTCAATCCCCCTCTTCCTTCAATCCTTCGCCGCCGGTGGAGATTGGATTTTGACGCTCACCCTTCTTGTTCTGGTTGTGGCTAGAATGACAGTCAGCACGGTAGCTCCTTGTGTGCAGGTTGGTTGCCTGTCTACTCACGCGGTGTGGTTCTTGGACTTGGCCATTTTGACGAGTGTTTTCCGGGTGGTCGTACAAGAGAAGAGGTTTCGTCAACTTGAACGACAATCGCACGCACACACTGGCGAGCGAGCAGCCAGAGTCCCCTCCCACTGTAGGGCCGGCCACCCACCGCACAGGGCGCGCCAGGCGCCGGGCTGGGCAGGCGGACCGCCCGCGTACGGTGGGCCAGGAGGGCCGCTGCCTGGGCGGCGACAGCGAACACCAGTTTGGTTCGCGAAACGCCGAGTGTGGCACCCAAGCGGTTTTACGTAACGTAAAAACGTCCATGTTACGTAACATGGTGCCATATGGTTACCACGTGGCTTCCAAATACTCCCGTCGACGGCGATGTCGTATGCGTGCTTGCTTGCCAGTGACGCTCTCGCTCATTCCAAGACAGAGACACAGGACCATTATCCACACCCCTTTCCCGTATCCGTCCTCCACCACCACCAACAGCGCTCATCAAGACGCTACACAGAAACACCCTATAGACCTCTTAAGAACACCCTAGACACAGGCATCGCACCGCCCCACCCAACATGGCCCCCAAGGAGTGAGTACAGCAGCTGACGAGCGTGCTCTCAAGACGCGCGCGTCGACGCGCGTTGCAAGGACACACCGCTGACATGAACAAACAGGGACTGGGAGAAGTGTACGTTCTGCACGCGCAACCATGCTCTCCTGGCCTGCACCGTGTACTGACACTTGACAACAGACGAGCGCAAGGCCACGGACGAGAAGGAGGAGAAGATTGTTGGTGCGTCCTTGCCGCCTGCCTTGTTGTTGCCCGATATTGTTGCTGACTGTTGCCTTCCAGCCCTCGATGAGTCGGACATTCAGATCCTCAAGACCTACGTGCGTCATGACAACTACGAGGGCCTAAAGCAGGTGGCGAATGGTAGACTGACACCCATGACAGGGCCAAGGACCTTACTCTCTGTCGCTGAAGAAGATTGAGGGTGAGATCAAGGACATTCAGAAGCGCGTCGACGAGAAGATGGGCGTCAAGGAGTCGGACACTGGTCTCGCTCCCGCCAACCTCTGGGACACCATGGCCGACAAGCAGCGCCAGGGCGAGCACCCTCTGCAGGTTGCCCGCTGCCAGACTATCATCCGTGCTGGTGAGTTGAACAGGTCTACGCCGGACCCCTTGAGCTGTCCACTGACATCACAGCCAACCCTCAAGCCGAGGACCAGCCGCTCAACCCCCAGGACGGTGCCGGTGCCGGTAACCCCGACGGTGACCGCTATGTCATTTCCATCAAGCAGGTTGCCAAGTTTGTTGTTGGTCTTGGCGACCGTGTCTCGCCTACCGATGTTGAGGAAGGCATGCGTGTTGGGTGGGTTCATGGTTCGGTTGATGGAGGCTAACCAAACAGTGTCGACCGGACAAACTACAAGATCCTCATCCCCCTGCCGCCCAAGATTGACCCGTCGGTCACCATGATGCAGGTCGAGGAGCGTCCGTCGGTCACGTACGCGGACGTGGGTGGCTGCAAGGAGCAGATCGAGAAGCTGCGCGAGGTTGTGGAGCTGCCTCTCTTGGAAGTGAGTCAGCCCGGTTCGGAGCGACTGTGACATTCAGCTGACAGTGGTAGCCCGAGCGCTTTGCCAACCTTGGTATTGAGCCTCCCAAGGGTGTGCTTCTCTACGGTCCTCCCGGTACCGGCAAGACCCTCTGTGCACGTGCCGTCGCCAACAGGACAGACTCGACCTTTATCCGTGTCATTGGTTCCGAGCTCGTGCAAAAGTACATTGGCGAGGGTGCGCGTATGGTTCGCGAGTTGTTCGAGATGGCGCGCAGCAAGAAGGCGTGCATCATCTTCTTTGACGAAGTGGACGCGATTGGTGGCGCGCGTTTCGACGACGGTGCCGGCGGTGACAACGAGGTGCAGCGTACCATGCTCGAGCTCATCAACCAGCTGGATGGTTTCGACGCCCGCGGTAACATCAAGGTCATCATGGCCACTAACCGTCCCGACACTCTGGACCCTGCTCTTCTCCGTCCCGGACGACTGGACCGCAAGGTCGAGTTCTCGCTGCCCGACGTTGAGGGCCGCGCACACATTCTCCGCATTCACGGCAAGAGCATGAGCGTCGAGCGCGATATCCGTTACGACCTCATTGCCCGTCTCTGCCCCAACGCCACCGGTGCCGAACTCAAGTCGGTCGCCACCGAGGCGGGCATGTTTGCCATCCGTGCGCGTCGCAAGGTGGCCACCGAGCGCGACTTCCTCGATGCCGTCGAGAAGGTTATCCGCCAGGGCACCAAGTTCTCCAGTACGGCCCTGTACGCACAGTACGCGAGTATCATGATGGAACAGGACAAGTGGAGTAACCGAGCTGACGACCTGTGCAGAACTAATTGTACGACAACGTCTGGGACAGAGAAGATCAAGATCAAGATGGAGATGGAGATTGAGGACAAGGCGACGAGACTTGGAAGTGGGAGCATGGTGACACTGGGTGGTCGCCTGGTGCGCCGTGTGCCTGCTGCTAGAAGAGAACGGCTCGTGTATTGCATAGCACTGGATGGATATCATGAACCCCACCGAACAAGGAAACGCGCGAACAAAGAACCTCGCGGTTCGCTTACCCCATTTAGTGCCGCTGCTATACGAGCTCCTACTCGCTCGCACCACTGAGCCTCGCCCGCCTGCGCGGTCCGTTTAACTCCTGTATTTAGGACTGTTGCGACGCCTCTTTGGTGCGAGAGGACGTTTTGCGCAATCGTGGCTGACTTTTTTTCGCATCGTTCACGCTGTGCTCCTCGTTCATCCAGTCACATTACAGCAAACAGGCTGGGCGACTGGTTCAATGTGCTGCCGGTGGCCAGGTAGCCCCCTTGGTCCTGACGCTTGGGCCAGTAACTGTACAGAGAATCGCATCGGGTATGCGTTGTGTCGAGGGAGCAACCTAATGGCCGGTCCTGCTCGCCAGTCCTGCAGGTGGGAGAATGTAAAGCGGCCACATGTGGGATAGTTTTTAACCTGTCTCCCCCCCCCCCCTTCCCTTCTCCCTCCCCCTATCCCAAACACCCTTCCATCACGCTCGCATCTTCGTTACTTCTACGTTACTCCTACTCTTCGCTACTACTGCCTTCACTGCACAACTCGCTCGCAAATGGCGTCCGGACCAACGCCACAACCGCCACAACTGTTTCCGCAGGTGGGATTCGAATTAAACCGCGCGGATCTCCTTATTCGAGGTGGCAGCCAGCATGACGGCCAAGAGATCTTTGTCGACCACGTTACTGGCAGGCGTTTGTTGATCTACATAGACAGGGAGGTAGAAGACTCGGCGTGTTTGGCTCGTCTATGGCTGGTATGTGGCGAAAAGTCTGGCAATGAACCTTGGCTGACGAACAGCGAAATGGCGGCCGCCTCGCCATGAGCCCCCATCAGGAAAACTGCAACCTGATCATAATCCCCAAGCCGGATGTAGACGCCAAGCTTTGGTTTGTGCACCCACTCGCCGAACTGTATTCCCACCCCGCGTGGCTAAATTACCTGCAACGGGAGAAGCGTAAAGACGACTACATCATTGGTAGGACCGGCCCCCAAGGTTGGTGGTCGAAAGTGCTTTTGCACGCCCGCTGGATACAGAGTTGCTGTGATACCGGCCGCTTCATGGTGAGTTTGTTGAGACGCGCGTGCCACCCTGACTTTGCCATTTCGACCGTTTACCGTCTTCCTTATTTTCTGCCTTGAACTACTGCCTTGTTCAAATGCTGACAAGCACAACAGGGCCATACGTATGGGTGGGACAACCTCCGTATGGGGCCGTGAGTTTTATTGTTCCCAGTTGCATAGACTGACAGCTTCCAGACCGCCAAAGGATAAGCAGCTCTTAGCCATTTGGAATCGTGCGCCTGGCGTTCCCTTCGAGCATGGGGCGGACCCCTCTACCCTTAGATGTCTTGACTGTGAGACACAGTTCGATAGCCGTTGGGCTTACCAACATCATCTAAGTTCAATGTATGTACTTCGCATACTCGCACGATAGACGGTGACTTATCAGCGGTCAGCATCTGCTCCGATGTTGATCACGAAGCACCGCGCATGAGTTATCGTCACCGGCACCTCGTCGGATGCTGTGGTGATCTAGCGAGTCCACCAGAGAATCGGCCAGGCGCCATCTCTCAAGCGTTGGCCAGAGAGCACGCCATCCGATCTCTCACCGACCCTCGATACGCGGCTGCCTGGCCAGTACCTTGGCTGGACCCCCAGCGCTTCGACGATGCATCATTCCGACATACACCGTCTGGCCTGCAACTCAACTCTCGGCATATTACCCCAGCTGCTGCCCGACGTGCGCGACTTCTCCCGCTTGAGCGCCGACTTGTTTCCCTGCCTTCCAGTCTACGTGCTGCCCGCCCTGCTGCCCGCCCTGCTGCCCCCCCAGTGGCCCGTGCAGCTGTCCCACCTGATGTCCGTCCTGCAGTCGGACCTTCTGTCCCACTTGCCCCTTCACCGCCTATAACGAGGCCTGAGCAGCAACACCAGGCTCCGGCGAGGACGGGACCACCGACTTGGCGCACGGCCGACCAGGCAGCCGCTTCCCAAGAGCGTAGCCACGTTCGGGACCCAACGCCAGTGGCGCCAGAGCCAGAGGTTGACGAGCTGGAGGACGACGCAGACGTCAATGTTATTGCCAAGAGGAAGGGTTCCAAGAAGAAGGCTGCTGCAGCGAAGGTTGTGGTCAAGAAGGAACTGGTGGAAGCGCATGATGGCCCGTCGGAGGCTCCCACTGCCACAGCTCGTCCCACTGCCACGGCTCGTCCCATCGGTACCAGCGTGCCGGCCGTAGACGAGTCCATGCCGACACCTCTCCAGGAGACCAACGTCGCCGCAACTGGTTTCAGGGTGCCCGCCGTAGACGAGTCCACGCCCCCACTTCTCCCAGAGAACAACGTCGCTGCCACTGGTTCCGGCTGCGTTTCGTCATCTGCGGCGCCCGTTACGCCGACTCGTTCGACGGTCGCAGAGCCATCACCGTCTCCAAACATCATCGACTTGACTTTCATGGATGACGACGAAGTGGACGAGGGTCTTCTTTCCTCGCCATTGGAGCCTCGAGTCAAGTTGGAGCTGCAATGCCAGCGTCAGGAGGAAGAAGAAGCAGTGGGAGTTACTAGCAACCGGGATCAGACGTCGCCACCCTCGGATAATCCCCAGTCTCCATCGACTGAACATCCCGATGTGGCGGCACCACACACACATCGCACTGTTCTTCCTGCGCTTCCTTTGGAGCAGACTCCGCTGCGTTCCATTCATGACATTCCCAAGGACGAGCTCTTCACACCAGGTGCGTCGTGAGACAACTACTTTTTCCGAATGCCAGCATCTAACACTTTACAGGGAGGCATGTCCAACCGTCGACCGGAACTGGAGCTGGTTCCAGGGCCAACCGCGACCGTCGTCCAGCTGCCGCCAATTCCTCCCAAGGTGGCTCTGGCTCTCTTTCGACCAACGTGTACCGTACCGACCACTGGTCGCCTGAGCGGCCAGCAGCTCGCCGTCTCGATCACTGGTCACCTCCTAGACGTGGACGGCCTCGTGGTTTGAACGCCCTCCCCCCTCGTGGTACATCGCCGTCTCCGGACAAGTCCCACAGAGAGGTCAACCTCTTGGAACCAGTCCTCCATTCCCGTGTGGATGTGAGAAACAAGTCGGCAACCGAGAAGGACGGCACAGCAAGCCACACTATTCGCCCTGGCCCTGCCACGCGGCGACTGCCCAACACTCGTCCACGGAGCGACTCAAGCGGCAGCGACGACGACGATGAGGCGGACAATGCCCCATTGCGCGGCCCACATGTCACACATACAAAGAGAAAGGCGACCCTGCGTGAGGTCCCCCCTCGACCCAGCACCAACCCCCGGCCCGCGGGTGCCGCCAACGTCGACTATGATTCGCAGGCGTCCGGTACCGACACATGTGGGTCCTATGACTCTGATAGAAGCCCAAATGTGTCTCATGTGTCTGAGACCGACCTCGGGGAGGACAACGACTCCGACGAGGACGGCAACCCTGACTCCGACCCCGAGTCCGAAAGTGAGAGTGAGAGCGACAGTGACAGTGACAGCGAGTCCGAGTCTGAGTCCGAGTCCGAGTCCGAGTCCTCTGAGTCCGACGCCGCCGCAGACTCCGACTGGGTTCCGGCAGGAGGGTCTATTAGACGCCTGCAATCCCGAATCCATCCTTCCCGGTCTGTCATCACCGCCGACCTATTCTTCGAGGGAAAGAAGGTCTGGATTGATCCCTTCCATTCTCATGAGGCTATGCGCCTTGGCTTTGCCAACCAGGTTGAGGCTCATGGAGGCCAAGTGGTGCTGTGTCCTTTGGAGGCTACCCATGTCGTCATCGAGGACTATAGCCAGCCACGTTGGGCTGCCTGGGTCAACCAATTCCCTAATCCAGACACGTGGATTGTGTCGACTGTGTGGCTATCGAGATGTTTCGCCTTGCGCAGGTTGATCGACGCGACACGCTATGCCCCCAACCCAGACAAGGTCCGACCCATTGCCACCGGAGTCTCTGTAGCTTCCACACAAGCGACCTGCTGTTCCCGCGACGTGCACATGGTCTGTCCCTCATCCACGCTGGCCCCGCCCGCAGACTCCCTGGAGCTGTCATCTTCCAACGCGTCAGCCGACCTTGCCCTTCCAGAGCCCTCATCCGCTGCACCGCCGCCTCCTGTTGGCACAGCGACATCGGACGCAGTGGCGCTTGCTTCGGACTTGGATGTCGCCCCTTCTCCTGCCTCCGGCTCGGCTCTCCCAACCCCCTCGTACATTGATTCGCCGTTTGACATGTCCAGCAAGAACGACTTTGGCCAATACGGTTTCAAGTGGAGCACAGAGGACGAAGTTGACCTTTTCCGCGCCGAGTTCCCTCTCATCTGTCGCGTTGTTCCCCGCGGCAAGTGGGATATCTCTGTTGGCCGCTATCTCCACTTCCGTTGCGGACACCACTCGTCCAGCACCTGGCTCCGACACTTCCGGTCCTGGCTTTCTCGAGCCGGCAAGTTTGCCGACCTCGAACACAACGACTGGACCCATGCCGACGGTGCCGCCCTTCCTGTCGACGTCGTTCCTCTCTGCTTGCGTATCAAGACATTTAGGAAGGTTTTCACGGATGTGCAGCTCGATCCAAATGAAACTGTCCGCACCATGTTCCAGAGCGTGAGTAATTGTGCAATATTCCCCGAAAATTCAACGTATTGACGGCCAAAAGCATCCACAAGTCTCCCATCAAGAGTGGGCCGAACACTTCAAGTGGTGGATCAAGCGGGGAGGCCCTTACCGCAAGGAAAGGTACACTGTTCCAAAGACCAAGGCCCCCCCCAGTGCGCAGCCCAAGTCGAGTGGTAGCCTGCCCCGCGCGTCCAGCTCGTCCGCCAGACCTGTCGTCGCTCCTGTCCCCGACCACAAGGCAACGGAAACAGAGCTGAGGTGCTTGGCCAACTATGCGGCTCAACTCGAGGACATTCTTGACAACGGCGACCACGCCGCCGCTGCATGGATAGACTTCACCGAGCGCAACCCCTACCGTGCTGCGCAGGACTGGCTCGACCTCTTCCTCCGCCATCGTCCTTCGCTCGAGCGAGAGATTCGGCAAAAGTCCAAGAAACGGCAGACAGACTTTGCGGGTACCTCGTACATTGTGAGCCCTCGGCCTCGATGGGTTTCGGACAGCCAGGAAACTCGTGAGAGCCTGGACCATTTGAGTCAACTCAAGGCGGTTGAGCGCAAGAAGAAGTCATTGGCCGACGGTGACTCGCCGTCTCCCCCAAGCTCGGCGCCGTCTCCACCCTCGGACGATCTCCCGCCGCCTTCTCCGAGGTACTCGCCGTCTGCTCCAGTACCGGATTTCCCCGTGCACTCCCCCGCTCCCTTGGTATTGGATCTGTGCGAGTCTCCTCCTCAACCTTCTCTCGCTTCGGCGCCCGTGGCAGCCACAGCAGACCAGGCGTCGTCTGGAACGTTTCCAGCTGCCAGCGCCCCACAGACGTCTTCCCCGCCTACTGCTTCCGTTGAACCCGCCCCCTCATCCGCTGTAAGGTCTACTGCCCCCACCCCCGGCGACCTCTTCGACGCCTTCGAGATGCTCGAACGTCTCGGCGGGGTCGCCTCGCCCGCTAACCCCGTTACCAAGGGCGAGTTGGGGACCATGTCCATCTTGGCCAACCAGCAACATCCCATTCCCTGGAGTGAGGTCGAGTGGGAGGCGTTCGCCGCCGTCAACCCATACCGCAGCTCACAGCAATGGCTGTGCGAGTTCCTCCGCCACTACGGCGACGTCATGAGCAGGGTCGACACCAGGCGCCGGCGCAAGAACGTCGGTGCCGCAGCTTCCCTCAAGGTGTGGCCCCGTCCCAGGTGGGTCACGCCCCAGGAAGAAACGGCCTCGTCGCTGGCTTGGATCCAGCAAGAGCTGGACAAGCGGGCTGCCCTCGCTGCGCGCAAGGCAGAGGAAGCGGAACACCAGGCGGAACGGGTGAGCAGAGAAGAGGAGGAGTTGAGGAAGAGGGATGCTGCTCGCAAGAGCGCCGAGAAGGCTGCTGCTGAGAAGGCTGCCGCGGAGAAGGCTGCTGCTGAGCAGGCTGCTGCCGAGAGAGCTGCTGCCGTGAAAGCGGCAGCTGAGGTGGCAGCCGCGAAAGCGGCAGCTCAAAAAGCTGCAGCTCAGAAGGCTCAGGCTGAAAAGGCTGCTGCTGAAAAGGCTGCTGCTGAAAAGGCTGCCGCTGAAAAGGCTGCCGCTAAGAAGGTTGCTGCTGAGAGAGCTGCTGCCGTGAAAGCGGCAGCCCAGAAGGCTCTTGCTGAGAAGGCGCTTGCTGAGAAGGCGCTTGCTGAAAAGGCGCTTGCTGAGAAGGCGTTTGCTGAGAGGTTGGCCGCCGAGCGAGCTGCTCTATTTCAAAGCAGGGCCGTGGCTGCGGCCGCTCGCGTCCAGGAGGCCAATGCCGCGCGTCTCCGGGCACAGGAGACGACCAACGCTGCTGTGGCAGCAACGGTGGCGACTGTGCTGGCCACCCGGAAGACAGGTCAAAAGGCCGTGGTCGAGTCGCCTGCAAGGGCGGTCGTCCAGGACGGCCTTGAGGACCTCTTCCGGGAGGCAATGGAGCGCCGGAGGATGGCGGTCGAAGCGACGCCGAGGACCGCAGAGCAGTTGAAGCGTGCTGAGGAGGCGTCTGCCAAGGCTGCCGCTAAGCGGAAGGCGGCGGCGGCCAAGAAGGCTGAGAAGAACGCTGCCGACGAGAGGCAGCGTGTTGAAGACGAAGCCGCCGCAGCTAAGGCTGCTGCTGCTGCTGCTGCTCAAGCGGAAGCCAAAGCCAAAGCTGAGAAGGCCGAGAAAGCGGCAGCTGAGCAGCGGCATGTTGAAGCCCAGGCGGCGGCTGAGGCTGAAGCCCAGGCCAAGGCCGCTGCTGAAGCTGGGGGTGCAGAGGAGGCGATGATCACCAAGAATGCCAGAAGGCGCAGGAACAAGTCGAAGCGCAGGGCAGGTGAGACGACGACGACGGCGACGACGACAGCAACAACAACAGCCCCATTCACGTCAACGCCTACCTCTACCACCTCCACTTCGTTCACTGCCGGCAGCCTCCCTCCTTCGTCGTCGACAACTAGCAAGACGACCATGACCACGACCACGACCCATGTCTCTGTTCCCACGCCAGCCTCGCTCCCGACCCCAGCACAGACCACCATTGCCCCGACAACTGTTGCGAAGCGCAAACGCTCGACAACATTCTCCATTGCCACACCCGCCGAGTCGGCCGCAGACGCTCCTGCTGCGAAGCGCCAACGTCAGCAACCACCCAATTCGTCGACAAGCACTGTTGCCCTGGCCACATCCGTGACCGTCGCTGCACCTGTGCCCTCCTTAACGACTTCCGCCACAGCAACAACATCAAGCACAAACACAAGCACCGCTGCCATTCCGCCGCGCCCAACCATCGCCGCTCCGCGACCCTCCTTTGTCATCCCGAACCCTGCTCCCGTCATTCCTGTCCACCCCAGGGTCGAAGAGCTGCGGGCCATGCTCCTGTACATTGAGAGTGAGAAGGCGAGTGCCCCTCCTGCCTCGGACCCCGTCCTCTTCAACCAGACCAAGCACTGGAAGAAGTTTGCCAAACACAACTGCCACCGCAAGGCCAGCACGTGGCGCGAGCTGTGGAACAACCACAAAGCGAGCCCCGACGCCGACGGCTTTGAGGCTGCCGCACGAGGCCACGCCGACGTCAAGCCCGACATCAACAAGCTGCCGCCACTGGGCGACGCTAAGCGCCCCTTCGTGTTGGATTAAGACAAGAACATATACCCAAATACCCCCTTCGTAGAACACATACCACATTCGTAGAGTCCCAGAGTTCCCATGCAGATACGTCGACCGCTCCTTCTTACATGCGCCGTCTCAGGAATCGTTCCCACTGCTGAAGCACCCACCAGCCACAGATCATGGGTTCATGTCACAAAGAGGAAAAAAGAATGTCGGCTAAATTACACAGTGGTATGACTCTGCTGCTCAACAGACGCGTTCACTGTTGCGTTTACGTTGCACAATGTTTCCAAAACCCAGAGACCTCATATGGCTGCACCATACCTTTGGGAGGACGTATTGTGGAGAGACGGGAAATACATTCCCAAAGAAAGCGAATAAAATGCCACAGCGCTGTTTGCTGGCTGTGACGGTTGGCTCAGTGTTTTACGATGGACCGTTGACATGTCAGTGTCCTGACCATGACATCTGCTTACATGTTAGTCTTACCCTCCATCCATGCTAGGCAACGACTGCACATGGGGGTGCTTTGTGGTCGCCATCCTCCTCATTTGTACGCTGTCCATCTGGTGGTTCCGCAATTACTTTCTACAGGTTTTCTACACACTCTGATGTCTTAGTGCCATGTCTCCAGGTAACACTTGTTCAATGTGGACGAGGAGCCCCCGAGCCTGAACTTTCCCATGCCTGGCGAGAAAACATGTATCCCACTTGAACACCTGCACACCTGTGAGTGTTCACATTGTTTGTTCAGCTCGGAATATGTAAATGTGTAAACTCGGCTGTTTGACACGCTGTTGCATCAGAGTGCCACAACTGGTGTCGTTCCTCGACAACGAGATCTTGTCAGAGGCCAGAGACATGGGCCCCTCCTTGTGCCTTGGTGGTTTGAGGGGGGCGGCCTGGTGGTGGTCGAGACGCGGCATGCATGAGCAGCACGTATGTCCGGCCTGGTTCTCGCTCTCTTTTTTTTTGTGTCTTTGCGGAGACACACGGGGATACCCCGCATTCCTCGCTGTACGCTTGGCTATCCAATGCCGCGTCTGCGTAATGACCATGACCCCCCGATGCAGGCCCCCCGCCCACGCATGCCCCTCCCTTGCAAGCGAGCGCTATTTCCAAGTCCGCACCCGCGCACCGAGCGCACACGGCACTGAGAAACGGCGCGGCGACGGGCGACGGGCCGGCCCCGACAGCCCGTCCGTGTAATAATACAAATATGCGATTCGCCACCCCCCCCCTCTCCTCCGCCCTCTCCGGTGCGGGGTGTGCCGGCGGCTGCTATTATCCGGCAAACGGGGCAACGAGCCCATTAGGGGAAGGGGCAACGAGGAAGAACAAGGAGAAAGCAAATCCATCTCATCCATCCAACACAACCAAACACAACCACAACACTCTCTGCAGCAACCATCTCCCACGCCCCCCCCCCTCTCTATCTCGAGCTCTCGTCGCATCCATCCTACACCCCCATCGTCCCCCCATCTTCCGCACCACCACCTGCATCTCGCTCACCAGCCCCAGCCAGCAGCATCCGTCCGTGCGTTTCATCCCCCCCCCCCTCTCACATCTGCCCCCCCCCCCCCCCGCATTCTTCCTCGTTGCGGGCGCCCACATTTCCCCCCACAACCCTCTCTCCCCCGTCGTCTGTAAACTGACGCTCCTTAGGATGCTGCAGGCGTCCCAGTCGCCTTCGCCCTCCCCTGCGGCATCCTTCTTCGCCCGCCTCAACGGCACTGCCCAGGCCCCGCACCCGCGGAGCCTCAGCGTCAGCGCCGCCGACGCCCCGACATCCACCGGCAATGACAACAATGGTGGTGGCGAGGGCAGCGGCGGCGCCAGCGACAGCGGTGCCGGGCGTCCAGCCGGCGTGAGCGGGTTCGGAGTGGACCGTCACCCATCTCCGGCCATTGCAGGCAGCGGTGCCGACCTGCGCCGCGCCGTGAGCATGCGAAACCCACCTCGCCCCACCGTCATGACCGGAGCCATGCCGTCCTTTGCGGCTGCTGGCGAGGGCCTCGCGTCCCCAGCCCTCTCGGCCAGCTCGCACACCTTTACACCCCCGGCAGCCGCACGCCACCCATTGTTCTCACACCACGCTCTCCCGCGGACTCTGACGATGAGCGACCCGGGACATGATGACGAGGCCCTCATGGACAGCCCGCCGTCCCCGAGCAGCAGTACGCTGAGCTCTGGCGCATTCTCGCCGGCCTCGGCGTTCCTCTCGTTCTTTAGCGGGGCGAGCCCGCGCGAAGAGCTGGCTCCCGACGCACTGGGTGCACGTGTGCTCGACCACACGCTCGGCAAGATTATTGGGCGTGGTGGCTTCAGCACTGTCCGCCAAGCCACCAATGTACACACGGGCGAGGTCATTGCCTGCAAGATTGTCAAGCGCGACGATCTGAGCGACTCTAGTGGAAGTCTGGAACGTTTCGAAGACGAGATTCGCATCTGGAAGGACCTGCCCCACCACCCTAGCCTCCTCGAGCTTCTCGACATGCACCGCTCGTCGTACGCCACCTTTCTCTTCATGCCCTTCCTCGCAGGAGGCTCACTACTCGAGGTCCTCCAGCGTGAAGGAGGCAGCGAGAAGACGGCTCGCAAGTGGTTCCCGTCGGTCGTCATTGCCGTCGCGGCTCTGCACGAAGGGTTTAACGGATTCACGGGAGGCATGCTGCACGGCGACCTCAAGCTTGACAACTTTATAGCCGACACGGACGGCCGCCTCAAGCTTGGCGACTTTGGCATGGCTCAGATTGTCAGCATGGCACCACCACCAGTGCCAAAGCCGAAACTCCCGTCCCATCTCCAAGTGGGTCGCCCACGTATGTCGTCTGCGCCCACCGTCCCCGCGCGCGGAGGTCGTCAGCCAAGTCGCTCACCTGCTCGACGTCGTGAGACGCTGGCCGGCCCCGGCGACGTGTGTCCTCACCCATCACAGCCCTTTCCGTCGGCATCGCTCCCTTATGCCCCGCCAGAGCTGCTGTGTGCCCCGCCTTCGGCCCCGTCACTCAAGCAGGATATCTGGGCCGTGGGCATCATTCTCCATGCTCTCCTCACTGGACGCCTGCCGTTCATCGACAGCTTTGACCCGCGTCTGCAGATGAAGATTCTGCGTGGACAATGGGAAGAGCCCACGCATCTAGGCCACGAGTGGCTCGAGGCCCTGCACGGCTGTATGGACCGCGAGCTCGCGACCCGTTGGGACATTCGCCGGGTGCGCGAGTCAGACGCCGTCACTGGCTGGCGCGAGGTCAAGCCCCGCCTCAAGAGCCGTTCTCGCTCACGTGCTCGCCACCCCATCGACTCGTCTGGGCTGCCGGAGCCGATTCCAATCCGCGGGCGCGACCACTCGCGCGGCAGAATGCACCACGCAGGGTCTGTCGGCAGTTTGCGCGGCGCATCGAGCTCGTACACTGGCTCCACCTCGGAACTGCTTGCCACGCCCGAAGGTGCAGTCGAGCGCCTCGCTGCTGAGCGTCTGTATGACGGACAGGACACGTTCAATGAGTCGCGCAGCAGGTCCAGGTCCAGGCCCCGTATGCGGAGGCCTCTGTCTATCAACGTCGCCGACCTTTCGCGCTTGACGCCGACGGGTGACCAGCTGTCTGCCGAATTTGAAAACGTCTCGATTACGCGCGGCCGCAGCAAGACACGCCTCTTCGCTGAAGAACCGCGCACAAGCAGTGCCGGCCACATGCAATCGCTGAACGCGCCCGGCGACGGACTGGGGATCGACGAGCGTCCCAGTGTGGCTCGCCCAGCGAGCTACCATGGCCCCGTGGACACTGAGGGCCGGCCGCGTGAACGCTCGCGCACCAGGGCCGACGGCGTCCAAGTACCCGTACCAGGGAGCGGTGTCCCGAGCCTCCACCACCACCATCCGCACCCACACCACCACCAACACCACTCGGCAGTCAGCTCGCCCGTCGTCACGGGCACACCGAGCAAGGGGACGCGCTCGCGCGGCAGTCCAGGCTGGGGCGAGAGCCGCCCGCCGACACTCGGGTCCGAGTTGGACGCTGTGCACGAGGAGGACCGCGGTAGGCGAGGGAGGAGCCCGCAGACGCGCGGGAGGGGCATGAGGAGCCTCAGCAGGAAGCGGGAGGCGTAAAACCCGCACAACGGCTGGACTGGCAAGGGGGGAGAGTCAGTTGAGCGCACATTTCCACATTATCGACAAGGCTAAAACGAGGTCGAATCAGAATCAGAAGCGAGAGAGAAAGAAGCAAGGTAGTCATGTAAGCAACGCAGGAGCGCACTATGCAGATGTCAGCAGTTCACCCGGGAGCACGGCCAGTCGATTTATTTTGATTTGATTTGGAAATTGAAGGGGCCCATTACAAAAGTTGCGACAAAATAGCCTGGGAGTCACATTCTAATCGCCACTCAAGATCACGTGACTGTATCCAAAAGTTGCTGCTCCTCTCCCGTTTATGACTTCTTTGTATGAACCGGCCGTTCCAAGACTGCCATACACAACAAACACCAACGATGCCTTCCGTCGAGAGCAAGAAGAGCAAGGGAAAGGGCAAGGCCGTACCTGCCGAGGCCAAGGCTACCGCTTCGCTGCCCCTCGGCAAGCAGCTCGCGCACACTGGTATGTTTCAGCAACGGCGGTGAGGACCTGTCTCCAGTTGTTCTTGTCGTAGCCGTACTGGCGGCTGGGGGACACCTGGTCCTCCTCTGCCCTCGTGCTACTCCACTGGCCATAAGGGGTCCTGTCCTGCTGAAAGCTCCCACGCCCTGTTCCAAATGCTGACAGTCTCCCCACAGACAAGGCCGTGCGTGACCAGGCAGTGCGTAACCTCGAGGCCTTCCTGTCGCGCGGTTCCGGCGAGGCCGGCGGCGCGTACGAGCCCTTGAGCGACTCGGAGATGGCCAAGCTGTGGAAGGGCCTGTTCTACTGTGCGTACAGCGACTTTATCAAGGAGGAGGAAGCAGTGGTGTGCTGGAGATACAACAGCCAGCACATATCCACCTGCTGGCTTGTCAAACCAACTTGGTCCTACTTGTCCTCGTACTGACCCACATCCTACAGGCTTCTGGATGTCGGACAAGCCCCTCGTGCAGCAGGCGCTCGCTACCGACCTCGCCAACCTCCTCCTCCGCATCGACCCCGGTACCGGGCGCGCGGCGCGCATCGAGGCCAGCTTGGGCTTCCTGGATGGATTCTGGACCGCGCTCGTCCGCGAGTGGGGCGGCATTGACAGGCTGAGGTGAGTGTACGGTACCACCGGCGTCGTGTCCTTTACGTCTGGGCCACGGATGGGTGGACCTGCTGTGGATCTTGCGAGGCCTATAGCAGGACCCACCGTGGCCGTACCTAGTCGTCGTTTTATGCTGACGGATCAGAATCGACAAGTACTACATGCTCATCCGTCGATATGTCAACGCGACGTTCCGCCTGCTTGCCCGCGAGGAGTGGGACAGCGACGCCGTGGAGCGCGTCAACACGATCATCGGTGGCGCCAGCGGTCCTATGAGGTGGGTTACCACTCAGGCAGGAGGTTTGGAGCTGACCCGCGCAGCTGGCAGGACAAGAGCGTTCCGTCGTCGCTCGCGAGCCACCTGGCGGACGTGTATCTCGAGGAGCTGGACAAGGTGCTTGCCGAGGGCGACGTGGCCCCGGCCCCCGTCGTGGATCTGGTCTACCCGCACATCGTCCTGCTGGCACGCACCCGCACGCAGGCCGTGCACACGCGCCTCATGACCGTCGTGTTCACCCCGCTCATCACCGCCCTCAGCCCGCGTGTCGTCGAGGTCGTCGAGCGGCCAGCCAAGCGGCTCCGTGGGCCCGTCCCCGTCCCCGCCCCCGTCGTTGCCGACGACGAGGACGACGAGGACGCCCTGTTTGCTGCGATTGCGCGCACCGCCGCCGTCGAGGGCAAGCAGGCCACCAAGGCCCAAGCCAAGACCGCCCTCCTCCAGGCCATGTTCAAGGAGGCTGCGCAGGAGGGTGCGGTCGAGAGCAACCGTCGCAAGATCTACACGGTTGTCCGTGAGCAGGGCGACGATGACGAAGACGACGAGTAGAAGGATGGAGACGACGAGACGGCTCGCTTCGTCCTGCATGAGCAGGATGAAAATACCCACACACATACATAGAAACGCAGTGTTTTTTTTTCTTTTCTTTTGGCTATGCGACATGCATGTTGAGCTGTGATGCTACTACTATCTCTTCCACAGAGCTGCCCGTCTTGACATGGTGACGACCATTGCACGCTCTTGTCCGCCCATCCGGTTCGTTCCCGCCATGACCTCGGGTCGGCTTAGAGAGCGTTCGAGGGGACCTGCGAGGAACGCTCGCGGGAGATGCGGGCGACGTACGACTTGGAGGTCTGGTCAAAGGCGGCCATGTACAGGGTCATGCACTGGGTGAGGCAGCGCTCCTCGGACGAGCCGAGCGAGGTGGACGGGCGGGTGACGCACTTGGCGAAGCACTGCGCAAGAGTGTTAGTGAGGGGTCATGGAGAGTAGGACTGGCGGCCGGAGGGGAGGGCTTGAGGGCACCAACGGCGAGAGCCAACGCCAGAGGCGCATACGCAGCTACGCAGATACGCAGAGGCAGCAGGCCATGTATCGCTCAACAGAGCGTTGCGAGCGAATGCTGCGACCTGGATCCTGCACATGCGCCTCCTTCCCCGAGTCATAACCCCAACCCCCAAGGAAGCCTCCCAAGCCCAGGACCAGGACTCACGTTCTCGGTGATCTTGTTGATGAGCTGCTGGGCGCTGGCGACAGCGAGCTAAACGCAGAGTGTCAGTGAGTGAACTCGGCTGGACCAAGGTCGCCATAAAAACGAGACGACGAGCGCCCGCAAACGAACCTCCTGCTGGACCTGGAGCTTGAGCTGCTCCTTCTGCTTCTGCATGTCTGCGGGTTGCGTCAGCTATCCTGCTCATTGGGAATCGCCGGGTTGTCCCGGTGCGCAATGCAATGACAGGCTGGTGTCGGGTGGCAGCGGGGGTGCACAGGTGGCGATGGACATTGCGAGTTTGACAGGCGGCAAAGGAGTGACGAAGGAGAGACTCCAACGCGCCGCCGAGAGCTCAATGTATCTGGTGTCGACCAAGTGTCCACGTATTGCGCACCGCAACATGCTGCAGGAGATGCTCACCCGATGCGGTCTGGGGGTTGGAGCCGAAGAGGGACGACATTTTGAGCAAGGATGTGGTGATGTGTGTGGTGTTGTTGTTAAGAGAAATGCGAAATCCAATAGCCCTAATGGGTTCCTAATGGGACCACCAGCCGGGTGTCTCACCCAGAGCGGCCAACGGCTCGGCGGGCGGATGCGCGCACACACCCCAGGGGCAGTCGGGCCAAAGAATTTTGCGGCAGAAGGTGGAGGTCTGTCGCCACCATCCATCTCCATCCATTGACATCGACTACTTGGCAGTGTCACTGGCATCTCTCACACACCTACTACTGCACTACACGTCGCCATGGCGCCCACAAAGAAATCCATCTACCGCCAGCCCGGTACCCAGACATTCCAGCTGGTGCACCGTTCCGTCCGCGACCCCCTCATCAATGACCCCGAGGCCAGCCAGCAAGTGTTCAAGCCCGTCGGCAGGGCCAACGAGTCGGGAAAGGTGCGTCCCAGAGCGACACATGGCGACAACGGCCCTTGCAGAAGCACCGCGCATGGCTTCTGAAATCTACCTGTACGCCTACTGACCACCTCTAGCCCGCCCCAGGCTACTCGCTGTCCGACCTCGAGGCGACCATCGACAAGAGCAAGGTCCGCGACAATGAGGGTATGGCTGCCGGCTACGGTATCGCCTACGACGACTCCAAGTACGACTACATGCAGCACCTCAAGCCCGTTGGCGAGGGCGGCTTTGAGAGTGTCCTCATTGCCGCGCCCCGCGGCTCGGGTGTTGTTGCTGGCATGAAGAACCAGGGCAACAAGGGCAAGGGCAAGATGCGCGCCGAGGACATGTTCCAGCTGCCCGAGAGCGTGCGGCCGTCGGCGTACGAGATGACCTACGCCGAGGCGCAGGCGGCCAAGGAGGCGATCCCGCGCGAGCTCCAGGGTCTGCAGCCCGACATGGACCCCCACCTTCGACAGGTGCTCGAGGCGCTGGAGGACGACGCGTTCGTGGACGAGGCCGGAGACGAGGACGTGTTTGGCGAGCTGCTGGGCTCGGGCGAGCTCGAAGAGTACGAGGACGGAGAGGAGTTTGAGTTTGAGGAGTGGGGTGTTCCCGAGGACGGCGACGACGACGCCAAGACCGAACGCGGCGACGACGACGACGACAACAACGAGCCCCCCAAGGAGGAGACCTGGGAGGACCGTTACCGCGCGTTCAAGGCAGCCGGCGGCCGCCACGCGGCACCAGTCTCGAACGGCGGCTGGGACGAGGACGAGGCGGCGGCCGAGCGTTCCGAAATGGCCGACACCATCGGCTCCATGGTGTCCAACATGGGCGACCTGATGGTGCGCGGCGGCAAGAAGCGTCACGGCAAGCGCGGACCTTCGGACGCTTCTGGCATGTCCATGTCGTCGGCAAGTGTCTACCGCAACTCGAACCTGCGTACCCTCGACGACCGCTTTGACCGCATCGAGCGCGAGTACGAGCTCGAGGACGACGACGACGAGTGGTGCGGCGACGACGACGACGACGTCTCCATTGCTCCCTCGTACATGTCCTCGGCATCGCGCGTGTCCATGTTCTCGACCGGCAGCAAGTTTATGCCCGGCGACCAGCCCGAGGTGACTCGCGAGGACTTTGAGTCTATCATGGACGACTTTTTGGAGAACTATGAGGTTGTCGGCAAGCGTCTCCGCCCCGCAGTGGGAGGCACCAGCCTCTCGGGTCCCGAAAAGCTCCAGGTCCTCCGTTCCGCCGTCGAGGGTGTTGGAGAGGAGGCCGAGGAGAACCGCCGTCGTATCCTCGAGATTGAGGCTGCCGGCCGCAGCTACGTCCCAACCAAGGAGGAGCGCGACACCCTCCGCATCCGTGACGTTGTGCCCGAGAAGGAGAAGTGGGATGTCGAGTCTATTCTGAGTGAGTAAAGGTGTTGGGTGGCAAAAGTTGCCACTGTGTGGCGCCACCGTGTTATTCGAGAACATTGCTGACATTTGAAGGCACCTACACCAACACTGAGAACCACCCGGGTACTATCCGCCTGCGCAGCTCCGAGGAGGCCAAGGCCCGTGCTCTCCGCCGTGCCGAGGCCGCCGCCGCCGCCGCTGCTGCGTCCACGCGCGAACCCGAGTCTGAATCCGACTCTGGCTCTGAGACCGAGCGCGAGACCCCGCGCGTCACTGTGGCCAGGCCCAAGGGCGAGAACGCCGAGGACCGCAAGGCGCGTAAGGCTGCCGTCAAGGCCGAGCGTGCCGGACGCAGGGCGGAGAAGAAGGCGCACACCCAGACGTTTGGCGAGGAGCGCAAGCGCCAGATCAACAGCCACAAGAAGGCAGTGGCGGGTGGCCGTGCCGCCGACCTGAGCGTGCAGCGCAACGTCATCTCCCTCTAGAACAGTCGAGAGACATGAGGAGTATCGAGGCTGTTCTCGACACGGGCAACTGGGGTTCTGGACCCACACGCACTCTCGAGACTGTTCTGGCCATCACACTCTTGCCCGGACGGAGCATCAAACAACAACAACACCAACGCCACCCCCCTCCACCTCCGACCGACCCCCTTGGCTCCAGATCCAGCGATCAGCGGCCATCATTCGAGAATGCTCGACTTGAGCACTGCAAGGTCCGGACCAGCGACATGGCAAGCTCCGTGTTGGGATGTAAACGATATAGATTGAGGACTGTAGACGACTGTAGAATGCACGATGGCGTTCGATGACACTTGGGAGGTGCATTCCGAGGAGCGCTTTACGTAACATGAATGTCGGCGATAGAGCCCTGCCACGCGGGATTCACGTGGGTGCCGCAAATGCATTACAAAAGTGCGCCTTAGCTCCCGTCTAATCCCATTAGAAACCGCAGTGCCACACTTTTTACTAACGCCGCGGGATTTCGTGACGGTTTGGTCTCCCAGCCCACCCTGCCCGCTGGCTGGTGCGTTCCCCGTCGTGCCCGCTGGCGGTGCGCTACACCACACGCACGACGTCGACCAGCTCGCCACCCCTTCACCCTTCAAAACCTCGTACAGAGACAGGCCCGCAGCACCCTTTCCTCTTCTCTTTCGACCTATCCACCCCCCCTCACATTTCTCAAAATGGTGAGCCTTTGCTCGAAGCAGGACACACGGCTGGCTGGCAAAAACGGGACGACCACAGAGGGAGGACACACTTTGGGCAAATTCTCCTATGGGCAAAATGGACCAGACCGATACTCGCATTTTTCGACCCAGCCCACGACACGCACGGCGCAGCGACAACGATGGCGGTGGCGGCGAGCAGAGACGGAGTGTGGAGCCGGGAAGGGCAGAGAGGAGTTTGCGTGTGCGAGGAGGGGGAGATGCCAGCTCCGCAGCATCCAGGCTGGATGATCGCGTGCGGCGGATCCCCAGGCGCAGTGCGTGCTGCCGTCCGAGCTCTTGCACGCAGATCCGTCTCTGCGCGTGCCCACTCTGTGCGCCGTCGCCACCACTGTGCGCTCCGCTGCGTGTGCCAACCCGCGCGCGACGACTGTGCTGTCAGAGGCTCTCCAACATTTGAGTCGCTGCGCAGCGCCAACCACCTCGACTGCCCATATCGACAACCCGCTCTTGCCTGCCCACGCCTCGCCTCCCCTCTCCCTGCCCACCTGCCAGCCGTGTCCATTGCCACCCAAGGCAGAACGAAAATACTGACTGTTTCCCCCCAGACCCTCGCTGTCGACCTCCTCAACCCCTCCGCCGAGGCCCAGGCCCGCACCCACAAGCTCAAGAAGGTTGTGCCCGCCCCCAACTCGTTCTTCATGGACGTCAAGTGCCCCGGCTGCTTCCAGATCACCACCGTCTTCTCGCACGCCTCGACTGTTGTCCAGTGCGGCTCGTGCGCCACTGTCCTCTGCCAGCCCTCGGGCGGCAAGGCCAAGCTCACTGAGGGTGAGTCTCTGCTACGGAGCTGTTACAAAAATGGACATCCCCCGCTGACTCGTATCTCCAGGCTGCTCGTTCCGCAGGAAGAACTAGACGCTCATAAAGTGCTGCCTCGGTTCCTTCTGGTTCTAGCATGACCCCCATGTACTTCATTGACACTACATCAGGCGGGGAGAGGGAGATGAAGGGAGTGTAGTCTTGTTTCCACACTCGTTTGCCACAACTTTAACACGCACGCCCGTGTTGCAAACGCGCGCGCGAAGCATGTTGCCCTCGTCGTCTCGTGTCTGCTCACCTGCGAGTCGCATTCTCCCAGCTGCTCCGTTGCGTTCATTCTCAGTTTCCGGTCTCTTCTCATGTACAGCGATGCGACCCCCACCGCAGCGTCAGGTCAGGATTTGGCGTATTTTTCGGTCACATGCCCGTTCGTGCGTGCTGCGTGCGTGCCACCGCGTGCAGTTGACGTGCCTTGCAAAAGAGGCGGGTCCGGGGTTTTGCGTCTCTAGTCAGCCCACTCGGTTCCGGCTAAACGAGTCAAAAGTGGTCACTTCATTTGCAGTCAGGCATTAAACGCAGCGGGTGTACTGCTTGTCACATGCCTGTCCTGTAGCAGCTATTGCTGTCCCATGCATATGCCTTGTACGGACAACCGCTGTGGCCCTGTGGGTGGCCTGTTTTTCCATTTTTTTTCTGAAATGGAACAAATTTAATTCCGCCGTCAAGCTTTAGAGTCGTGTGTGGGCCGTAATATAATATATAATTTAAATGCTTATGTAATCATTTCTCGTGTGCCGGTTCGCGTGCGTCATTGATGGCTAATGGCCCGTCGTTCGTCCGGCGCGCGTCATATGAACGGTGTCGTTGATGGCCGATGGGCAGAGCGAGACAACAGAGAACAACGGGGAACACGGAGGATACTTTGTACACTACGTTGTGATCATTCTCTCGTCTTTTACTCACTCACTCTCTCACACACACTACAGACAACACATTCAACCCAAATGCTGCGGCGAGGCTTCGTCTCGGCACTCCCACCCCTCCGCACAGGGGTCGGGCGGCCAGCTTACACTTCGTTACGCGCACTCTCCACCTCGACCGCACTCCTGCGACGCGGCGACGACGAGGACAGAGGTGCGTCGTCCCAGCTCGCCCCGGGCTCTCTATAGGGTCAGCGCTGACACTCACTTGCCCCTTGCAGTCCCGCGCGGCCATGTACGTCCCCAGCGCGGCGGTCGCAGGCAATACGAGCGTATCGACCCCAACGAGTACTACCGCCAGCACCCGAACCAGAATCCCGAACAGCAGAACGCCAGTGTCCCTCCGCGCGCGTTTGGCGGGTTTGCCCAAGGACCGAGCTTGGGCGGCGGTGGGCCGTGGGGGGACGCCGCACCGGACATGATGGGTACCTACTCGCCGTCGGCCGTCGTCGTCCCGCAAGACCCGCAGGGTGTGCTGGTCGATTCGCATGCGGCGTATGACCTGTTGGCGCACGACGCGCTTATTGTTGTCCGGTGAGGCTGAGACGGAAAGCTGATACGGGGAGGGACGACACGCTGACGGCGAGGTAGACAGCTCGAGATGCTCAACGTGTTCATGGGCGTGAGTTTTGGGACTCGTCTCCGCATCAGAACCTGTTGCTGACAATGTGCAGTTTGAGCAAGCGAATAAATACGCACTTTACTCTGCAGATGTAGGTATTTTTGTGATGGGCCGCCGTGCTGACCTACGCAGGGCAACGTCGTCGGATTGTAAGCAACAACAACCTGTACAGCGAGCTCACCCGCGTCAGCTTGGCCGAGGAAGACCGCAGTTTCCTGAGCACATTCCAGCGCCAGTTCATGCACACGCACCGCCCGTTCAAGTCGGTCGTGATGGACAAGTACGGCAAGCCCGTGCTCTGGGTCAGTTCCACGATTTCTAGCGTTCGAAACGGCCAGCTGACACTGTTTTGTCCAGATCCGTCGCCCATTCCAGTTCATCAATTCGCGTATCAAGGTGCACTCGGGCGAGCAGGAGGACGGCCGCATTGTCGGCGAGACGCAGCAGTGAGTTGTTTTCTGGTTGTCCCGGACGCAACTCATCGTTCCAGGCAGTGGCACCCGTGGCGGAGACGGTATAACCTCTTCCAGGCGCGCCCAGACGATGTCATGTCGCAGTTTGGTCGTGTCGACGCTGGGTTCCTCGCATGGGACTTTTGGATCAAGGACAGGGATGACCGTGAGTGACGCTATGGACAGCTGTCTTTGTCCCCTGGTCCGCAGCTGCCTGCCTGCCTCCACTGCCTCCCTCATGACCTAACTCTCCTCTCCAGGCCTCATCGCCACGATCAACCGCAACTTCCGAGGTATCGGCCGCGAGCTGTTCACCGACACGGGCCAGTATGTCATCCGCTTTGACGCGGCCGGCACCGAGCTCGACCTGCCCCCCGGATCAGAGGTCACGGTCCAGGGCCAGAAACTCATTTTGCCAGACAGCAGCTCGGACGGTCTGACGCTCGACCAGCGTGCCATGGCGCTTGCCACGGCTGTCTCCAGTGGGTCACCCGCCATCGAGTCCATTCAGAACACTGACCCATTTCCCCCACAGTTGACTTTGACTACTTTTCGCGTCACTCGGGCAGCGGGTAAGTAGCAACCATTCCGTCTCTTCTGTTGCCTCAGCTAACCCCCTTTCTAGCGGTTTCGGCCTCCCCTTCTTCTTCTGGGGCGGCGGTGACGGGTCGTCCGAGGCCCAGCGCGGCGGCACGGGTGAGGCCGGCGTGGGTGCTGCTGGAGGCGCGGCCGGCGCCGCTGGAGCCGCAGGCCAGGCGTACCCGGACTCGATGAGCGACGACGAGATCTACGGCCGCCAGCCTGGCGGTCCCGCGCAGGACCCTCCTGTGCCGGGCCAGCAGGCTGAAGGCTTTGATTACCCCGCGTCCGAGGGCAATGGCTACGACGAGGTCATGGAGGACCCCTGGGAGACGGGAGCGAGCGACGACAGTGGTGGCGGGCTGTTTGGCGGTGGTGGCGATGGGGGAAGCTGGGGCGACTGGAGCTAGGGCTAGAGCCAGACCGCGCCGCCACAGTTCATAGTGTATCTGCTGCATGCACCCTTCTACACAAAACTACAACCCCCCGCCTGTGGGCTTATGCCCTGGCCTTGGGCTTGCAATCGTCCATGACCGTCTCCTTGAGGAGCAAGAGCACACGCGCCTGGTCCTCGGGACTGGCGACGGCGTTGTCGTGCTCGTAAGACACACCAATAGCCAGTCGTGTGCCGTCGGGCGAAAACGACAGGGCGGAAATGGCAGTGGGGTACTTGGGATACAGGCGCATGCGCTTCTTGGCGCTGTGGTCCCAGATGGAGAGGACACCGTCCGAGCCGCCAGACGCGAACGTGTTGTGACTGGGAGAAGAAAAGTGTCAGCGGGGGGGGGGGGGGGGGGACCTGGGAGAAGTCACGCTCTCTGCTTACATCGGGTGGTACGCGAGCGCGTTGATGGGGTACACCTGCTCGGCGCCGTCGACCGTGGCGCGGTGTGCGCGGAAGGCGTACTTCATAGCCTGGGCGGCCGGGTCGGGGTCAAAGTACTCGACGGCGATACGGCCCTCGATCGAGGCAGATGCCCAGCCTGCGCGTGGGTGTCAGTACTGGCCATGTAGGCGCTGCGGGCCGTGAACACTCACCCTTGCCGTCCGCCATGCACGCAACGCTCCTCGTGAGCATCTTGAGCGCGCTCTCGCGCGTGTGGTCGGCCTTGGCGTCGCGGCCCTCCTGGGAGGCATTGGAGAGCTCGTACGCGGCGTACACCGACACATGCCTGTGTGCCATGGACACGAGGATGCGGCCAGTCGCTGGCGTGTAGCACAGGTTGTACACGCGCTCGGGGAGAGACGAGGTGGAGCGGAGGGGCTCGGCGGCGGAACTGCAAGGTGCGTCAGTATGGAAGAGAGTGGGGGCACAGTTGTAGCCTTGTACGTGAAGCAAAAGCTTGCACAAAGCGCTGTCCTTTGACAAGACACTCACGGGTCCCAGATCTTGATCGACTTGTCCCACGATCCCGTCACGAGAATGTCTGTGTGGGTTAGCAGGTGAAGACATAAGAGACCCACTGTGCTCTGGGATCCACGCCATCGCGCTGATCGCATCGTCGTGCTTGCCAATGACGCGGCACTCGCCCGTCTTAAAGTCCCATCTGGAGTGTCAGTTCAGATGATGCTTGAGGTACAGCTTAACGGCGGATACCACAAGAGGGGACAATGATGACCCCGCTTGGCGGATGCGCACGCTCACGCGCGCACTCACTCCCGTATACGCTTGTCCAGACCACCTGAGTACGCAATGTCGGGGCTCGAGCCAAAGGTCACTGCGAGGACGGGGCGGGGGTGTGAGAAGCTGTGAACAGTCAGTGGAAGATCAACAAAGACTGGTCTGGATGTAACATGACAACCCGTGCGATCGCAAGTGGCCGCCACGGGAATAGGTGAAGAACAGGAGGACATCACCTCTCCCGTGCGTGTGGAGCGTGGAAGATAGTGGAGCATGTACGCACATCTGTGGTGCTGAGGGCGGGGTTGTGACAGTGTGCAGCTGGATGGTGCTGTCCCAGCTTGCGACGAGGAGACGCGAGCTGTCGGCAGACCATGCGAGGGCGGCGATGCCGTCGGCGGGCGGTTGGAGAGAGGTGTCTCCTGTACAAGGTGTCAGCTGTTTGATGCAAGAGGAAGGTGATGTCTCAGTTGACGTACCGCTGGCCATTGTGAACGCGAGGGAGATGGATGAAAGAGAGGACGAGAAAGGGAACGCGGCTCGTTGATTGCAATTCGCATCTTGGCCCGCCTGATTTTCCGCCCGCCGTGGATTTCAACCCGCGTCCGGTTGCGTGTCGGCAGCGCTGGATCTCTCATATTGTCAACATTTCTCTCTTCATCTCCATCGCCAACAACAACCCCCTCGTCAACAACACGCACCATGTTCCGCGGCCCTCGCGATACCTCGGGTCCCATGGACGTAGACGACTCTCACCCCCTCGGCCGCATAGCAGAGTACGCTATTGATACAGAGGAGCCAGCTCGCAAGCGTGCGTCCAAACACAATCCCCGCTTCCACCCCCCCAACCACATCACAACCGTTGCCTCCAGCTGACCATGCTCCCTCCCTCCTACAGGCCCCCACACCGACCTCTCCAACCCGTCGCCGTCCAATCCCTTCGCCTCGGCCCAGAACTACCGTTTTGGGCCCAACACCCCCTTCCTCTTCCACGCTCCGCCGTTGCCCCCAGCACCGACGTTTCGCCCGTACGACCCGAACCAGTGGGCCAACACCGACTTTGGTTTCGGCACCAGCTCGAGCGCTGGCGCCGTTGATGTCGAGGTCGACATGGACGGCCATGTCCACGCTGGAGCCAGTGGAAGCGGCAGCGCGCCTGGCAGCCCTGCGCGACCAGCCGTCAGCGTCAGCGCATCGCATGCGACAGCCGCGGCGCCAGCCAACCCTCCACCAGACGTTTCGGAGGCAGCCGACGACGAGCGGCCCATTGCGGTCGGAGCAGTAGCGAGGGTGCGTCGGCGCAGGATGCAGCAGGCCCGCGTCGACGACGACGACGAGGTGAGTTGGGCGAGGAGCTGGGTGTATGCGTGGCATAGGAAGCATGGCACATGTGCAGGGACGGAAAGGAGAGACGTGGCAAAGAATGGCACTGACGACGCACACCAGGATGCGCCCGGGCCAAAGAACAACAACAACAACAATAACAAGGCCGTCAGTCGCCGCCGTGGGCGTAACGAGCACACGTACAATCTGCACATGAACGCGCCAGCGGTGCATCATTCCGAGATCCCCGCCATCCTCCTTGGGTGAGTACTGCGAGTGGGGGCACACAGCTTACTGACATTCAGCTACGTCCAATTTGTCTTCAACGCCTCGCTCGTGGTCGGTTTCCTGTACGTTGCGAGCCAGTTTATTCTCGCAGTACGCCGCGACGTGCAGGAACGTATTGAAGAGTACTCTGTCGGTGAGTGCAGATGTGCTACCGGCGCGTGCATCTAACACGATTGCAGAAATCCTCCAGGAGATTGCGCAGTGCACGCAGGCCTACTTCACCAACCGCTGCGACCCAAACCTCCGTGTTCCGGCCATGTAAGCTGACTACATTTGCGCTTAATGAACCCAGCTGACAAGATACAAGGGAGCAGGCATGCTCCGCCTGGGAGATGTGCATGAACCGTGACCCCAAGGTCGTTGGACGCGCGCGCGTCGGTGCCGAGACATTTGCTGGGGTCATCAACTCGTTTGTGGACCCCATCTCGTGGAAGACGATGGGCTTTACACTGGTCACGTTGACGTTCCTCATCATCCTGACCAACTCGGCTCTGTTCAACCTGCGCGCCAAGCACCAGCATCAGCATCAGCAGCAGCCTCCGGTCCCGACTGCGGCTCAGCAGCAGGCCATGATGTACGGGTACCACCCGATGATGGGTCTGCCCGGGATGCCGCAGCAGCAGCCAGGCATGCAGCTGCCTCCTGGGCTGCAAGGCGGTGGTGACGGTGGGAGCACTGGGGGCAAGGCGCTTGGGTGGTTGAAGAAGTGGTAAATAGAGAGAGCCATGCATAGGGGAGGGGGGACATCAACCATGAAAGATATAATGATCATGATTTGCCACTGGTCGAAAAAAGTGCCACTGCGCGCGCGCGTACTAGGATGACGCGGCGGTTTATTGGGGGCCGGACGGAAGGGACCCATGACGCACTGGACGACGGATGGGTTCGTCGCCGTCAGATTGTGCTTCCTCATCATCCACCATCCACCATCATCCCTCACCATCACCGTCCTGCATAACAAGTGTGTTGCCCATTGTCCCCACCACACCGTCCTCTCACGCTTGTCGCCGCCGCCGCCCCACCACCGCGACGCCGACCCTTCCCCCTAGAAGCGGCGTCCCCGTCACATCCCCCCGCTTTCGTTTCCTTTCCACCAACCACCCCCAACCTCCCCGTCTCCCTCCCCTACTCCCGCAGCCATGGCACCCAACGGCAAGCGGCACCCAGACCTGCTCGTGCGTGTAGATGACCCGGAAGAGTCGCTGGAAGCTGACTGCTGCCCAGTGCTGCAACTTCAACCAAGACTTTTCGTGTATTGCCGTTGGACACAAGAAGGGATACACCATCCTCAACTGCGACCCGTTCGGCAAGGTCCATTCCAAGAGTGGGTACAGGCCACGACGTGGGAGTGCCGAGGGTATCCTCTTTGGAACTACCACTGTCTATCTCTCTCTGCCGTCGCGAGCACGCCGTTGGAATAGCCCACTGACCCACTATCTAGATGACCAGGGCGCAACGGGTGTCGTCGAGATGCTGTTCTGCACGTCTCTAGTCGCGCTGGTCGGCGCACCAGACACGCAGCCAAGCAACTCGCCTCGCAAGCTCCAGATCGTCAACACCAAGGTATGTGACCAGCCTTGCTCGTTGGTGGTGCGCACAAACAGCGCTCGCACTCGCCAGCACCCCCCAACCGCGGGTGGGCCCGTGCGGCGTGTTTTGCTCCGCCGATCCAGTCATCCATCCTTGCTTCCGCTGACGCACCTCGCAGCGGCAATCAACCATTTGCGAGCTCATCTTTCCGTCGTCAGTGCTGGCAGTCAAGATGAACCGAAAGCGATTGATCGTGGTGCTCGAGAACGAAATCTACATTTACGACATTAGCACAATGAAGCTGCTGCACACCATCGAGACTGGGCCCAACCCCAACGCCGTGTGCGCGCTCTCGTGTTCGAGCGAGCACAGCTACTTGGCATACCCTTCCCCAGCGCCGAGCCCGAGCAGCACGTCGCTGTCGGGGAGTGCGGTCCCTCCCGCGCCACCGTCGCCCACCACGGGCGACGTGCTCATCTTTGACACGCTCAACCTGTCCGCCGTCAACGTGATCCAAGCCCACCGGACGCCGATTGCCGCCCTGGCGCTCAACTCGTCGGGCACAATGCTCGCCACTGCGTCGGACAAGGGCACTGTCATTCGCGTGTTTAGCATCCCAGATGCCAAAAAGCTGTGGCAGTTCCGCCGCGGCACGTCGTCCGCGCACATCTTCAGCATGAACTTCAACCTCGCGTCCACTCTGCTGGCCGTGTCGTCGGACACGTCCACGATCCACATCTACCGCCTGGCCTCGGGCAGTAAATCCGGCTCGTCGGGTGGTGGTGGTGGTGGCGGTGCAGACGACAGCCCGCCGCCGTCGACGGGCAGCTTTGACTCTGCGGCCGACTCGCCTGCGTCGCCACCCAAGTCGGGCTCGCACCTGACAGCGGCCAACGCCAACCCGGGCTCAAGCGCCGCCTCCTCCCTCCGCCGCCGCTCGTACCATATCGGCAAGTCGCTCCTGGGCGGCGCCGGCACGTACCTGCCCAAGGGCGTGACAGAGATGTGGGAGCCCCAGCGCGACTTTGCCTTCATCAAGCTCCGCTCCGGCTCGGTGGGCGTGCGCACCGTCGTGGCCATGAGCCCGACCCTCCCGCAGGTCATGGTCATCAGCGCAGACGGCGTGTTCCAGGCGTACAACATTGACCTCGAGAACGGCGGCGAGTGCGCCCTCATGAAGGAGTTCAAGTGAGTGGAAACAGCGTCCCGGGGACCCCCCAGCGTGGAAACGCACCAGCGCTCACACACAATTACAGCCTCCTGAACAACGAGGACGTCGCGAGCACGGGCGAGTAACCAACTCGACTTTCAGCGCAGCGCAGGAGCCGCCCGCCCGCAGCACAGACACAGACAGAGAGAGAGAGAAGTTGTACCATGCATCGATTTTAATAGTCTCTTTATTCCTTGGGATGTCACTGTCGTTTTCGTACAGAGGGAGACACGAGCACTGTCTGCAGACTGCGGGACACAGGACACATTGCGGCGGGTGGGGGACGTTCGAACTAGGCGCTAGTGGCGGCTACATGCCGAGGAGCAAGAGGCCAAGAAGGGCCACTAGTGTGGCAGGGCCAGAATATGAGGGATGGAGCAAAAACGTGGGCTCCTTGGATCCCTTTGGATCTCTTCATCTCTGGCCACTTGCGTCGGCGCACCACAGCGTTCGTACAGTTTGTGCATGCATTACAACACGTTACACGTTATGGAGAGTATGATGTGGCGGGGTGTGGGGAGGAGAGCCTGTCTCGCCGCCGCCGCCTGGTCTTTTGCGACGAGACCGCGGCGAGGAGTGGCGCGGGGGAGAGTTGTGAGGTGGACGGAGGGGGGTTCTTTGGATTGTCAATTTGGGGGATTACGCTTGCTTATCGCTTTTTTGTTGGTGGTGGTGTTGTTTTGGGTGACTTGCAGTTCAGGAACAGTTTCAAGGTTGTTGCGCCGCGCTGGACACACGCTGCTACGCCGCTACCGCCGCTACGCCGCTTGCTAGGTCTAGTTGAGGAACCCGCGGAGGGCACCGCCGACGGTGGTGACGTCAAGGAGGAACGTGTCGTGGCCCCACAGGCCGCCGAGCTCAAAGTACGTGACGCGGTTGTTGCCGGCCATCTTGAGTGCGTCGGCGAGCTCGCGCTGCTGGTCGACGTTGAACAGGACGTCGCTCTGCACGCCGAGGACCAGCGCCGGAATGTCCTTGAGACGCCGCAGGCCGTCGGCGAGTTCGGGGAGATGCGGCGACTTTGACGTGGGGATAAAGGCCTTGGGGGCGGTGGGTGGGGCGGCCTGCGCGTCGGCCTCGGGGTTGGAGCGCTGCGAGGGCCCGCGGGTCGTGGTCGCCGACGAGGCCGAGACGGCGGGCAGGTCTGAGGGGAGCGGGAACGGCGGCGCGTCCGGGTACGCGGCGTTGAACTGGGTTGCCAGGTCGCGCAGGGCGGGGCCGGTCATGTCGAACAGGTCCATGGCCTTTGAGAGGTAGATGAGCGAGTTGGCGTCATAGGTGAGGCAGAAGCGCTCGCCCTGGTGGTCGAGGTAGGTCTCGATGAGGAAGTCGGGCGACAGGCGGGGCACGCCGGCCGTCTCGATACCCTGGGCCATGTCCTTTGCCTTTTGCTCGGTGCTCAGCATGCGACGTCCGAAACGCTGCTCCCACTCGGGACCGGAACGGTACGTGATGGTCGCAATCTGGCGCGCGAGCTTCATACCCTCGTGCGGCGGGATACCGTCATAGTAGAAACCACGGTTCCAGTTGGGGTCGGCCATGAGCACGGAGCGCTGGGCATAGCGCATGCCCACGCCGCCGAGACCTGAACGGCCAGTGGCAGAAATGGAGGCCACACGGCCCATGCGCTCGGGGGCGAGGTAGGCCATGGAGAGGGACGTCATGCCGCCCATGCTGGAGCCAATGTTGGCGTACAGCTTGTCGATGCCGAGGTAGTCGAGCAGGCCAAGCTGGGCACGAGCAATGTCGTGGATTGAAATGAGCGGGAAACGGGTCGCCCAGCGAACGTGGCCGTCGCCGGGAGGGTATGCCGACGAGGGGCCCGTCGAGCCAAAGCATCCGCCCAGAACGTTGGAGCAAATGACAAAAAATCGGTTCGTGTCAATGCTCTTGCCTGGACCGACAAAGTCCTCCCACCATCCGGGCTTGGACGAGGTTCCGGCAGCCACATCGTTGCCGCCTGACGCGACGTGGCTGGACGCGCTCAGACCGGTGTGGATGATGATGGCATTGTCGCGCGCGGCGTTGAGCGTGCCCCACGTCTCGTAGGCCAGCTGGAAGGGGGGAAGGGGAGTCGGCGAATAGACCAGCGGCAGAGTTCCAGTAGAGTGGTAGTGCAGTGTGGTCGGTGGAGGCTGTGGGGTGCGTGTCAGCAGGCGAGTTTACGCGGCAGAATGGAAAATGGTGATATAAAATCGGGGGGAGCGGTAGTGTGGGAGCGGTGTCTGCTGCGAGGTGCCTATGACGAGATGCCATGGTCGCCTTTTTTGGCAAGAACACTGCAGTTGTCCCTCCGTCGGGCCCAGCGACCATAGCAAACGCCGGCCAGTCAAGCATACAAGACGCCAATGCCATGATTTTGTCCGGAGGCAGACCCAAACGCAGTGGACATGTGGTAACTGCACACCACGAGTCCCGCACGACTGGTACGCCTCGGGTAACTAGGACGCGGTCGCGTGCAAGTCGGGTGGTTGATGAACAACACAACAGGCAACGCGTTCGCGTTTGCCGTCGTTGTCACCGCGTTCACCGTGGCCATTGGATGTTGCCACGGCGAATGCGTGGTGCATTCACCGCAACAAGGCCACTGTGGTCGACGTCCGACGGAAGCCATGCAGTGGCCCCCCGATTGTCAAGACCGGCGGACACGGACACAGCGACGCCGGAGGACACGGCTTTCGGCAAATGGACGCGAGAGAGAGAGAAATGTTGTTGTCGGCTAGGAGGGCAACACTCACAATGTAGCAGGCCTCGGCCTCGCCCTCGTCCTTTTGCTTGCCCTCGAGTGCGAGCTCGTCGTTTGCAATCACCTGGTCGCGACGAGCAATCTCCGCCACGGTGGCTGCGCGCGCCTCTGCCTCCTGCTCTGCTGTCCTGGTGATGGGGCGGCCGAGTCCGCGAACGTCTGGTGCGCGGGGCACAGACGAAGAGGTCAGGCCAAAGCCACCTGGGGAGAATGCAGGACGGCGACGGCGTGGGATCTGTGGTGCGACGGGTGGGACAAAGGGTGCATTGATGCCTGCGAGCGGCGAGTTGGCCTGTTGGGCGAGGACTGTCGAGTCGAGGTGCAGCTTTGAGAGGTGTGGTTTGCGAGGGAGGATGCGGGGCTTTGTGGCTGCTGAGGGGAGGTGGAGCCCACGAGGCTTGGGCGGCATTGTGCTGAGAGAGAGATGCGATGAGAGGGATGAGAGGGAGATGAGAGAGACAGTCAGATGGCGACGATGATGCAGCCGGCTGCGTGTTAGTAATGGGAGACGATGAGCCTGGCGCTGTATAGGGAACTGTCCTCTCTGCCCGTCGTGCCGAATAGGTGGACCATGGACGATACATGACAAAAGATCACGCCATCGATTGATGGTTTTTGGGCAGACAGGTGCGGGGACCCCACAGTGCGTACAGTGGCAGCCCCCGCCAGTTGCGCGCTGGCTGCGCTGCCCGCATTATGCCCCGCATACACTGAGGGTGGGCATATGCATTCGGCATCATCAGAGCCGGCGTCGTCGTCGTCGCCCGTCACTGCCCGTCACTGCCCGTCGTTGGCCGCGCCCTTTGCCCGCCGTTTCCGAATCATGCGGTGGTGGCCATGTGTGGGTTTCCTTTCTGATGGCGCGATGTGTGGCTCTTCTCGGTGTCTGATCACTTTCTGGCATGGGCAGTCTAGAACGAGTCGACAGCTCGGCAGTTGGTAACTGATCCACGTCTGTGGATCCAGCGTGACCCCCCATGGCCCATGGACGGCAGTGAGACCCGTTGCATTGGTACACAAAGCACGTACGGCCTTGGAGATGCATCCCCGCGGGCCGCTGGCCCGCTGTGTGGGGAAAGCAGCAGATCGGCAGCGGCAGCGACGGTTACCTTTTGACGTCGCTATCGTAATTTCCCACTGCAGAGGCCGGCGGCCGGTAGCCAGGAACTGCGTAAAATCCGAACTGGGCCTTCGTGACACAGGTCTCGCCACCCAAAGAGCACAGAGACAGATACGGCAGCGGCGGCGGAGGTTCGAACCCGGCAACCGGCTGCAAGTTAGTTAACCGCACAGAAAACAAACAGTCCACAAGTGTCACAACCACATTCGGAATGGCGGTGGTCACCACCGCCATGCTCGAGGCCCGGATTGACGTGCCCTTTCGGTCCCCGGACAGCTCGTCGGCATAGTCGTCCATGTCATCTTACGGCGCTACAAGTGAGAGCGACCAAAGTACCCAAAGAACGGCACTCCATAGCGAGATTGTTGGAGGGGAAGAACAGGACCTGCATTAGCCATCAGGTTCCGAACTCGATGTTGTTGAAAAGAAATATGACGTGGTAGCTGTTTGCAGGCCTGTATGCATACAGTGTGGCACTTGGTAGCATGATGAAATATTCCTGTTAATTTATGGCCTAGGTGGAGCAGCACAGGTGCGTTCATGGACCGTTGCGAGTTGGTTCAAACCATCTATCTTTTAATTAACGAACACGAAATATTTATGGTTGTTCGCCGTCTCTTGTAACAGCCGCTTCTTGTAACATCCTTGGAACCTATCTCAGTTACGCTACCGGCGGCCCTCAAAGAGCGATATGTTCATACATAATACTGGGGCTTCTGGGCTCTATTCCAGAAATCGGCACAGAGCACAGAAGAACACTTGCACCAGTGGTTGGCAATATGTTGATCGGCCTCTTGATCATCAAGTTGTGGGCGGCCATGACATTGGGTTGACTCAAGGGCCGTCTCGTGAAGTCGACATAGGTCCTCGTGCGGCCGCGATGTACTCTATATGACTAGGGACTTGGTCCCACCCTCGAAGCTGGAGACGTGGCGTCTTCCTCAGGACACGACGACGACGACAACGACGACGACGTCAACGGCCGTGAACGAAAACAACCCGCGGCCGTTGTCAGCCTTCTACATCGGGTTCAGGGGAGGAACAGCGCTGCCGTCTGTCTGACATCAGTCATACATCGCAGAGGCTCGCGCTGACTCAAAAGCCCACGACTCGCGCGTGGCACATGAAGGGGGCCGTCAACAACGCTCGCAATGGGCGTCATGCAGTAAGGACCCGGCGGGCACACTCATGATCCTGCCAGTGGTGTGTGGGGATGTCACGGTGCAGGTCCTGAGAGCACCGATACCAGCAGAGAATACTTTGGGGCATATGTATATGCGACTCGCACTCGCGTTGGTACATGCTCCACTGCACCCGTCCGCTCCTACAGTCAACCGGTGCCACGCCGCTCCTGGACCTGCGCGACTGACCTGCTTCACCGCTCTCGACTTTTGTCTCAAACGATTCTGCTGACACACGTCAGTCATGCAAAACGCAAACGGAAGACTGCAACAGTGTTTTTGCTCATGGTGTATTATTATGCATTGAAAGTAGCAACCATGAAACCCATTGCGGGACAGTACAAGATGTATCCGGACTAAGGACCAGAGTAGGCACAAGAAGCCCGGCCGGTGAGTAGCAGGCAGTGACACTCCACTGGGAGGGAGGCACACGGTTTTCTTGGTGAAATGAAAATCGCTAACGATGTAGGTTTCTATCGCTCGCAGAGTGTTATACACCGTGGAATGTGGGGGAGGGGAGGGGAGGGAGGGAGAGGGGGGAGGGGAAAGTAGCATAAAGAGGAATGGGTTAGTCTGTATTGTCAGCTGAGGTTCCTCATCAATCGGTTTCTTAACTCACAATTTCAAAAGAGGATGGAAACACCGCTCGTCAGTAAGCAGCGCGGCGATATGGTTGAAAGGATCGTGCATGCGGACAATGAATGTCCAGCGCCTGTGAAGTACCATCCCCGTGGGTTGGACACAAGGTCCTGGTCGAGCCGTGGGGGAGTAGCAAAAAAACGCCGGGCGACACGAGGCCGCCTCTTCTGCGCTCGCGGCCAGACACGTGCACCTGGATGAGGGTACACAGTTGTCCGGCCATGAGCGGGGGTAGGAGTGGGAATGGGGATTGGGGAGGGGAGGGGAAAACGTGGGCACTTTGCTGGTTGATCGTCGACTGTATTCTGCATGAAATGTACACAACTACCTGTCTGTGCGGGGTCAGCAAGCTGTTACGTTGACTGTGTCGGTGGTGGTTACTCACAAAACTCGTGCCTGTCCTCTGAACGCTTGACCGTGGACTGAGGATGGGAAAAGAGTGTCAGTACAATGTTTATTTTATACGCCGGATTCGATGCGAGCCAGACGGCTCGCACCACCGGAGATATTAAACGCCGCGGTGGTGCCCTGGTGGCACTTGGCCCTAGACTCACCTTCCAGGCCTCCTCAAAGTCGTTGGGCAGGATAACGTAGCGGTTCTTGCGCACAGCTGCGAGCACGTTAGCCATGCATGTGTGCTTGGATGCGGGGACTCACCCTGCAGACCAGCGGCCTGGCAGATGGATGCAATCTCGGCAGACGAGAGCTTGTCTGGGCGGGAGACGTCTGAATTGTCAGCTTCATGACTCTTGTACAGCTGCCACTCACAGTCCTCGAGGTCGACGTCGGGGCCGAGGTTCATCTTCGAGGTGACGGTCTGGAAGATGAGACGACGCTCGCGGCGCGAGGGGAAGGGGAACTCGATCTTGCGGTCGAGACGACCGGGACGGAGCAGGGCGGGGTCAAGAGTGTCCTGACGGTTAGTGGCCATGATGACCTTGACGTTGGTCGTCTGGTCGAAGCCGTCCATCTGGTTGAGAAGCTCGAGAAGAATACGCTGGACCTCACGGTCCGAGCCCGTCTGGGCGTCGAAACGCTTGGTGGCGATAGCGTCCACCTCGTCGATGAAGATGATACACGGCGAGTTCTCCCTTGCCAGCCTAAACACGTCGCGCACCATACGGGGACCCTGTTGGGTCAGCACAGCGCGTTTGGTCGTGTTATACCCACTTCTCCGAGGTACTTCTGCACGAATTCCGAACCAACAACGCGAATGAACGAAGCGGTGGTCGCGTTGGCGACCGCCTTAACGAGCATGGTCTTTCCAGTACCTGGGTGTCAGTTGCCAGTTCCGTCTGTTCAACTCACCAGGAGGACCGTAGAGGAGGACACCACGGGGAGGGTCAATACCGATCTTGCGGTAAAGGTCCATCTTGAGTGGGTCAGCAGTGCCATATACCAAGGCGCAGTCTACCCACCTGCACAAGGGGAAGCTCGACGGCCTCGCGAATCTCCTGCTTCTGCTGGTCGAGGCCACCGACGTCCGAGTACTTGACGTCGGGGCGCTCGTCAGCGCCAAGCATAGAGATCGACGAGTCAGCCTCGGGGGGAAGAATGTCGACGAGCGCGTTGGAGTGACGGTGGAGGGCAACAGAGGACGAGGGCTTCAGGAGCTCGCGGTCGAGGGTGGACAGGATGCGCACAACATAGTTGGAGCCTGATGGGTCAGCAGTGTGAGAGGGATCAGCTACCCACCGGTAGTGCTTCCAACGATACCACGGCGCTCATCCACAGCCTCGAGGAACTGGCCGATGACGAGGGGAACCGACTGGATGCGCTTTACCTCCTCCTGAGCACGGAGAAGCTCCTGGCGGAGGTTCTTGGTCTCATCACGAATGTAGTCCTGGTCGGGTTAGCAAGTGCAACAGTCCTTCAACCCACCTCCTGGAGCTGGAGGAACTCGCGGTGTGCCTCGAGCTTCCTCCAAGTGGTGTAGAGCTCGTCATCAGACGCAGGCAGGGTCGCATAGAGCGCCTGCTTGTCAGAGATCTGGGCGGGGAGGGTGGGGTCCTGTTGTGGTCAGCGTCTGGGGGCCGATATATGGGACGCGCGGCGCCAACGCACCTCGAGCTTGAGGTCAATTCCGATCTCCTCCATGGCGCTAGAGGTAGGGAGGGTAGACGGTGGGGGTTGATGAGAGAGATGTGCAGAGGATGGAGAGAGTTGACGGCGGGTTGAAGCAGCAGCGGCAGCAGCAGCCAGCAGCAACGACGCAACGCGTACGCCTTCGCTCATCAATGCCACGTGGGACGGAGATGCATCTCCGTTTCTGAACAGGTCGGATTCACCATCTGCCCGTTCTCTCCATCTCTCCATCTCTTTCTGCCCCACACACATCCATCCTCCGTCACCATGGGTAAGCGCAAGTCGTCAAAGAAGCCCGTCGCCCGTAGGCAGAATGAGCCCCTGTGTAAGTGTTGTGACACCGGCATAACGGACGCTGACTCGTCCCACAGCGACCACGTTCAAGTGTCTCTTTTGCCACCACGAGAAGTCTGTCAGCTGCAAGATGTGCGTCCCAACTGCCCACATAGCTCTATGCTGACCCTTCCGCAGCGACAGGCAGTCCATGTTTGGTCATTTGAACTGCAAGGTGGGTATGACACATCTCCCCAGCTGTCTCTAACCCAACAGGTCTGCGGCCAGAAGTTCACTTCGCCCATTAACAGTATGTCACGGCGTCTCCCCCTCCCTCCTCCCTTGCTAACAGAGTTGCAGACCTCTCGGTCGCTGTGGACGTTTACTGCGAGTGCGTACATGCTTATTTATCGCGAACATCCACGTCTGTAGCTAACGTGTCAGCTGGGTGGACGCGTGCGAGGAAGTTCGCATCAAGCAGCCCAAGAAGGTCGTCAAGCCTCCTCCCCGCCGCTCAGCGTCGCCCGAGGCCCGTCGCCCGAGCAAGCGCCAGTCGGCGCGCGACGCGTACGACGACGAGGACGACGATGATGACGACGACGACTTTGACCACCGCCGCCCGCACAAGGTGTCCCGCGACTACGATGACGATGACGACGATGAGTAGACCCCGTCGTGTTCGTTTCCGCTGGGGGAGGAGTGGGGGGATTTTGTGGTGGAGTATAGGTGTGTAGAGAGCGCCTAGAGCGCTGTGTATGTAAGCATCATGCTAGCTCGCGAGCAGGTTGTGGAGGTGGGCATGGGAGCCCGGATGGCCTCGTGCAAACAGTGGACAACAAACATCAATACATGGCGCAAATGCCCGGTCGTTATCGTAAAGCGTTGCTATGCAAGGTATTAACACAGAGGGTGCAGTAGGGCCAAGGGGAGAGGGGAGACGAGAACACTGCTCCTTCATGTCGGCTTTGAGGGCTCAGCAGTCGTGAACGGAGCAGACGGAGGTGCAACACCAAACGCAGTGAAGAGGTTCTTTTGTGACTGAGCGGGTTAGTGTCATTCGGGAACAGAACCCACTGGATCCTCCACCACACCGTATCCAGCCTCGCTAATACGCTTGCCTTGTGCGACGCAATCGAGTACCCCTGGACAGTGAGCTGAGGACTGCACACCATAAGGCAGCGACACTTACACTCGACCTTGACCACTTGCGTCCTCATGGCCGCGCCCCTCGACCCTTGCCCGTTGATATGCTTCTGAGCCTTGGTACCAGACAACCTCGCGGCAACGACGTGGGTGCACCTCCTGCTCTGGTGCGGGACGTAGCGGCCGCCGTTGGCGGTGATGAGGTTCTGGAGCTGGAGGTTGGAGACTTTCGATCCAGTCGGGCCGTTGATGGCAATGACGCAGCCAGCTGCCTGTCAGTGAACACTCTTGGAGGCTGTCAATATGGTCCTACCAAGAACGTTCGTAGCCTGCACGGGTCAGCTGGATGACATAGAAGAAACTCCCACCTTTGCCCTTGCGTTTGCCTCGACATTGGCTGTCCTCACGCTCCAGTACGTGTGCTCCTGTGCGATCGGCTTGACGTTGGCATCACGCGCTTGATTCCAGAATCCACGGTCACCTCCACGCTGCTGGTGGCCCGTAGAACACGAGTGGACGTGCTGTGTACGCTGGAACGCGTCCGAGTGAGTGATGGGGTTCTTGTCATTGTTGAGCGAGTTGAGCTGGGTTGTTAGTAATATGTGACGCCAGAAGAGACTACATACCATGCGCTCAGTGACCCGTGACCTCGACTGAGACCCGCTGACTGTGGGACGGCGCTTTGGTTGGGCAGATGAGGGTTGTTGTTTTGACGACGAGGACGCGGACGAGGGTCCGACGTTGGAGGAAGGAGTGGTGTTTGTGTTTCTCTTCTGGGATGGCGGGGGAGAGTCGAGGCAGATGATCTCCTGGGAGGAGGAGGGTGTTAATGGGGGCATGGCGAGAAGACTGTTGTATAGTTGTAGCCCTCTTGTATGTCAGTTGTAGACTGTCAGAGACCTCAGAGATCAGAGATCAGAGAGGCCGTTATTGTCACTGGGTTTGTTTTGGTGGGTGACTGTACCGATTGGCACGTGGGCTGGAGCCGATCTTTCTCCGCACCCACTGTGAATTCTCGGCGTCCATATGTTCTGTGTCACTTGTCCATTCGTGTACACTACTCCTCTTGTGGCCTCATGGGCACCTCCACTTTGGCGCCATCGTGCATTGAGGTACGAGTGACAGATAACAGCCATCCGCCGGCGTCAACGGTGCTCCGATATCTGTCATTGCTGCTCGTTATCTGTCATGGAGCCGACGACTCAACTCCGGAGCGGGCAGAGTGGGGGCGACAACCACACCTCCACCTCCACTTTTTTGCTCCTGACGTGCCTGCCATGAATAGCCGCAAAAATCGTTGGAAAACAATCTCTCGCTCTCTCTATCGGCCCGTCGTATGCCGGGGTTCCCGCCGGCAGGTAGCGCTCCAAACGCGCTTCATGAGAGAAAGAGATATATCCTCACAGGTCCTCACTCTCACATCACATCACACTCACTCACATATATAGCAACACAAGACAGCACTGTCGTTTAATGACCCTTGTACAGTCCCCTCTACGATCATAGTCACCAACAGAGGCCATATCGGCTTTCTCCGTCCGCCCCACCTATACCCTCCCGTGGCATCTCGCCCGCATTCACCATGGAGCACCTCCAACACCACCATCACCACCACCGTCCCCATCCAGAACTCGCGCCTGACCCAGAGACTCACTCGCGCGAGGGCACCCCACCACCCCCCGACACTGCTGTCGAGATTGTGAGGCAGGTGACAATCGATATTGGGCCGCCACCAGATGGCGGCCTCGAAGCCTGGCTCTGTGTCGTCGCCACCTTTCTCCTCCTCTTCTGCATCTTTGGTTGCGGTGAGTCTACCCAAGGGGGGTTTTTCTTTTACTTTGGCTGACCTTGCAGCTACCAGTTTTGGCCAGCTCGAACTGTACTATCTCAGCCACCAGCTGTCGGGATACTCCAAGTCAACGGTCGCGTGAGTTGAAAGCTGTTGTGGTTGGGGCGGAAGAAGAGCGGACCATTTCCAATGTCACCGGCCGAGTCGCCACCTGAGGTGGTGTCTATATCCGCCGCCACCCACACCCACTTGCCGTCGTTGCCGACACTGACGACCTGCCAGATGGATCGGCTCGTGCCAATCGACGCTCACCTTCCTGGGCTCAATCTACACAGGACGCTACTTTGACTCGCACGGCCCCCGCATGCTGGTGATCGTTGGCACCGTTGCGTCAGTCTCGGCACTCGTCGCCATTGCCTTTTGCCACGAATACTACCAGTTCCTCCTGGCGCACATGCTGTTCGGCCTGTCGGGAACCATCATTTACGCTCCTGCCACGTCCATCTCGGGCCACTGGTTCCTCAAGCGTCGCTCTACCGCCGTGGGCATCATTGTCTGCGGCGCTGGCCTCGGCGGCGTCGTGTATCCCATCATGTTCAAGCAGCTATTCGACCAGCTCTGTGAGCAGCCACAAAGCTAGACGACCAGTGGCTAACCTGTCCAGCATTCCGCAACACCATGCTCATCGTGGCCGGATTCAACGGCGTCCTCATGGTCCCCGGCTGCTTCTTTATGAAGTCCCGCCTTCCTCGTCGCCACCCGCCTCCTCTCAAGGCCCTGGCCGGACCGTGGCACGAGGCGCGATACGTGTTCCTCGTCGTCGGCTCGGGTCTGTACGTCCTCAACGTCTTTTCACCCTACTTCAACGCCCCGACTTTGGCCACCTCGAACAACCTCCCGGCCAACATTTCCAGCTACGCCATTGCCATTCTCCAGACCGGCAGCTTCCTTGGCCGTGCCTCTGCCGGCTTCATGGCCGACGCGTTTGGCGTGTGGAACGTGTTTGGAACCATGTGTTTCGCGACGTCCATTGTCCTCTTTACGTTCTGGACAGGAAGCCCCATCGGTACAGCGGCAACGATTATTGGTCTGCTGCTGTATGGTTTCGTCTCGGGCGCGTGGTTTACGCTCGTCGCCGCCGCCTGCGCCGCCATCTCACCGACCCGCGAGATCGGCATGCGTCTCGGCATGCTGTGGTCGTTTGTCGGCCTGCCCGTCCTCGTCGGTCCTGTCGTGTGCGGACTGCTCATCAACGTGGCCGGCGGCAAGTTTACCTATGCGGGTGTGTTTTGCGGCTTCACCATGCTCATGGCCGCGTTCATCACCCCGGGCCCGCGTCTCATGCAGGCTATCCGGACGGCGGTGTTTGGCCCACGGAGCCGCCTCGAAGACGCAGAGTCGAGTACGGAGACTATCGTGGCAGAGGACGACGAGAAGGAGGACAGTAAGGAGGACACGAAGGCTTAGAGACACGAAGGCTTAGAGGTTTCCCATTCATCCTGTACCTGCTCGCCCATTATGCTGTACTTTATAGAACACCCCTAGATTGTATGCATTTACTCTATCAGATACGTCCCAAGAGGTTCTGTGGCCCCCATCTGGATTCCAATAGCGGCTGATGTCTTACAGGCAAAATCGGCACCTGACATCGAGCAGCAGCGGATCGAGGACTCCACCAGAGGTTGACGGGATGGCACCAGCCTCGAGGACTGTACATAAGCTACAGGCCTACAGGCGAAGATCAGGGGGTTTGGCACTCACCGCCCTGGTTACAGCCGCGAGTGTCACCGGGGCACAAGCGGTAGTAGGTAGTATGAAGCATATGCTGCGTTGTGAAGGCGCATGAGTGTCACGACAGTCGCCACTGGATTGTTCGGCATTCTGCACAATCAGACTTGCTCCACTCCTGACACATGGTGATAGCCCGAAGTTCCATGACATGACACGCAAAGCCTGACAACTCTAGCTATACCTAGTAGCATCCATTGGGTGGTACGTCTACTGATGGCTTATTTGCCCACTCCACAGAGAGTGAAGAGTGACAAGTACTGTCTCGTATCGTCCACACAACCTTTCTTACCCCAACGGATGCTACCCCAGCCACGATATCCGGCTGCAGAATATGCACTGATACATGATGACTGGGAGATCTCCGCGCGGTGTCCAGACCGTTATGATACATGGCCCTACCGAGAACGTGAGTCAGTGGCGGCCGCTGAGGCTGCACGGAACGTTTTATGCCACTCACGACCGTGGTTGCTCTCGCTCTCGTCCCCTTCACACCCAAAGTTGGCACCATGGAGGACTAGCGACATGCTTGACTATAGCACAGATAGACTGGGGCGGATGTGATGGGGGTAACTGTTGAGAAGATTCGCGCGGCCGCGAGGCTTGAGAAGTCAGAAGCGTTTGCAGTGCACGGACCACAGACCTCGAACGCAAGAAAGCCGTCACATGTCTGTTCCTGGCTGAAACCCGATGCTTCTGATACATGGCCCATGGTCCCTCCGTGCGTTCCGCACTCCTACTGATGCAATGAGGACTATCCGCTCATTACTTCCCGTCCCAAGGATTGGTGTCCATCTCCCGCTTGCAGAACTTGCACCGAAACACAAGCTGGTACGAGGTGAGGTTGAGCCATTCGCCGGTACACCACTCTGAGGGAGACGTCAGCATCTGGCTCTTGAGGCTGCACTTACTGCCACGATTAAACCCCATACGGTTCCCAGTACAGTCCCCAAACGTGCGTTTCCACATGTGCTTGCTGTGTTTTGTATACGTGACCTGTTTGGCGTGAAAGAGGACGACAAGGGGACGACAAGGGCCACAGCAACACACTTATGCTACTTTCTCATAAGCTCAGTGATGGAGAAGCACCTTCTCAGATCCTCAAGGGGTTGTCACCACGGCACAGCGGGGCTTGGGCCGGGACTGCGCGGCAATGTCTGATGGCACGGACAGGTGGTGCGGGTTCCATGCTTGCGACCCCCGTCTCTGATGATCACATGCATGTGCTACAGAAAGTGATGGTTGCAGTACATGCACCGAATCTCGTACAGGTTGAACGCGACCGGGACCCAGATGTGGACGCAGGCCTCTGCAGTGGTGATCAGCTCGGGTGATGGGACGGCGCAGCTCACTCCAGTAGTTGTTGCCGTCGGCGTCGCCGTCACAGACCCGTACGGGAAAGCGACGCACGTTGCGGTTGAGGTCGAAACGGCCACCTTGCTGCCAGGGCATTGGACGTAGGGTTGTGAGGTGATGGTTGAAGAGAGAAGAGGGTGTGGAAGTGGAGTTGCGGGTGTATGTATGATGATGCGGCGGGGGAAAGAAGCAAAGCCTGCCCAGACACACACACACACACCTTGCCGCGTGGGGGGAACACGTGTGGGCGGCATGGTATAACTAACTCAACGTACTATACCCCAGCCATAGTATGTAACGCCAACACCTACGAACCCAAAAAAATCGCGAAAATGGTGAAAATCCCACAACTAAAGCACTCTACCTTGGACACGACCTATTAGACACAGTACACCTCAGAAACGACCCGTAACCGACCACTATCCTGCGCAGGCGACACCGATCTACCGTCAGCGTGGCTGATGCGTAGAAGACTCACCGCCTTGTTGCAACCCGTTCCAGGGTAGACCCAGTGTCCCACATTGCCACCGCGGTAGAGGCCCAGTGAGTTGTCAACGACAGTGCGTCCAGGCGCGGGGGCGTTCCATCAGCGACACTAGCAGTTGTGTTCCGCCACCTCCCCCCACATCCAAAAGGATAACACCACTCAGAATACTCTGAGAAGCGCACTCGACAATGACCTGATTCGAACAGATGCTCCCGAAGGAAATTGATTTCTAGTCAATCGCGTTAACCACTCCGCCACATTGCCTTGGGATGCTTGTTCTCCTGATTGAGGGCTCCAGATCCATGCGAGAACGAACGCAATCCATGCATGGACGGACGAGGAATGAAAGGTTTTGTCCAAAAGGTCGGGGTGTCGGATGGTGGTTGTGGCAGGTGCGCCCACACAGATCCGCGGGTGCCCCATGGGATCGGCGCGGCACCACCCAGCTCGCACTTGGGAATCTGTTCAAGTGTGGGCTGGGGGAGACGACAACCGTGCTCTCCAGTATCGGTGGCACGACTGCCGCCACCGCGTGGCAGTCGCCAAGCAGAACGACTTGACAAGTTCAATGTTGACAGCCTCTCCCGCGACGTTTACCTTGCCTGCCGGTGAATCCAGTGATCCGGCCCGCCATGGCGTGGTCACAACCCAGCTACAGCTAGCTGCCACGCGTCCACACGAGCCTACAGCGCCACAGCCAACTACAGCCTGCAGTAGTACAGTAGTACAGTACAGTATCGCTGCAGTACGTATACTATATCCCCATGGGCCTTCGCGAGCCTAAAAGATCTGCGGGCCTATTTGCCGCCCAATGTCACGTGATCACGTGCTCACACCTTGGTAGCAGCTGGTGGCCTTGTGGCTTGTGGCAGTTCAGACGCAATGGTTCTTGGGCCAGAGGTCACCAGATGCCCGCTGCTAGCGTTCCCCCAACCACAGTCGGCACCACAATGCAGCGCGTACAGCAGCACAGTGGAACAGCAGTGCAACGGCGGCGCAGTGGCGGAATGGCCGGTGGGACGCTCGCTGGTGGCAGCCGCGGTGTGTGTTCGTTGGACCTGATCAGCGTCGCCACCGATCTCTTGCTGGGGGAAGGCTGAGTGTACCGCGACGGACCACCTCGAAAGGAGTCTCCCTACTCATTACCTTTGCTCTCCCAAAGGTGTCTCCGGTCACGCCAGCCGTAACATCTCTCTCCACCCAAACAGGCCCCCTCCTCGTCCCAGCATGGCCCACCCTCCCGACCAAGGGCGCGCAACGCCCACCACTGAGCCTCGTGGCTCGTCATCCAGGCTCGTGCCCACGGTGTCAGACGCGACGACCTCGTTGCCCCTACCGCCCGACAACACAGTCACTCGCTCTGGAGACACTACTGCCGGCAGCACGCTGCCCGTGGTCCTCGACGACGAGCTCCAGCTGATACTGCACTCCGCCACCAATGTATGTGAATCCTCTACTGGATGCCCCGCTGACCTTTCCAAGATCCGCAAAGGCTGCGGCCGGGCTCCGACTCTTCCGGTCCAATTTGGCTGGCCTATGCCCGTGTAACGAGGCGTGATCCAGCTATCAGGTACCTCGAGGACCGCCAGAGCACCCAGAGCCGCCGTGTGGGCAAGTTTAGCGGTGAGTTGGCCCAGTTCCAGAGGGGAGCTCTTCTGACCAAGCCCAGAGCCCACAGCGGAGATGGAACGTGCTGCGGCCGCTCTCTTCCCTGGTACAACTGCACCGGTTTTCTGCGGTATTTGGTTCCACAGTGTCCCCAGCGCCTCATCCCCGCTTTCGGCATGTCAGGCCGAACAAGACGTCGAGAGGTGCCTCGTTTCAATGGTCTCACCTTCACTCAACGTTGCAAGAGGTGGCGTACGCTCCAGCATCCCTTCGAAAAGTCTCAAGCCTGCTCCCCATCTCGACCAGCTGAACCCCATCCACCCTGCCCTTGACGACCTCAAGATCAAGGCTACAGCGCTTATCAAAGATGGAGTGCGCCTCATGGCCCACGATGATGATGGGTCGCTCCCCAGCGAGTGCGCCATCGCACATCGTTTTCTTCCCACCCGAGTTCACCGCCCAACCCCGCGCCACCCTGCCACTCACGACAGCGTCTCCCCCCAAGATCCTCATCCACCAGACATCTCCACGCTGGCTCAAAACGTCAGCGTCGGCAAGGCGCATCTTGGACCTCCACGCGCCCAAGACCGACCCCATGCCCAGTCCAAACCACAATAGCCAGCTGTTCAAGGCACAGTATATCAAGGGCATGGTCAAGCAGCTTCTCCCGGAACAAAACAAGCCGCTCTTCTCTTACCCGTGCAGCAATTGCACCTTCTACTCCGTGCGTCCCACGTCGAGCACGTCTTGGGTGCAGCATGCTTGTCCCGGCAACACAGCATACCAAGCGTCAAGCCGGCCCGACGCGCCGGACACAGCTTTTGGGAATCGCTCTTCCACTTGTACTGTCCCATGTAGTCTATCTACCCTTGAACCGTTGTACTCGTAACCGTGGCCTGTACGTACCCTGCAATTGCTCTTCGATCGATCCGCGAGCTGCATAGCCTCATCATACACACCTATTGCATGGCCAAGACGTAACGCAAGAGACAATATGGGTACACTCTTCAGCGACTCCTGTACTGGAATATGGCCGGTGGTGAGACAAGCAACGAGCTACGCACGCGACGAGGGCTGAAACCCCGGCAGCGCGATGCACGATGAGTGATGCTGGCCGGGCGGCGGCTTTGTTGGGTGATGTCGAGCACATTGTATGTAGTCGAGCCCCATTGGCCTCAGACTGTACCTACACGACGTTTACGCTTGAGGTGGCGGAGAATGGAGGCGGTTGGTGGTTTATGGTGGGGTTTATGATACGCAGATCCCTTTCGGTGGCGACAAATGATCGCCGCGGTGGAATGTCCCCGGCTACCGCCACGGAACCGCCGGCATGCAGTACTGAGTGTCGCAGAACGTGCACACGACAAGTACCATTCCTCCGGGCAGGGACATGACGGGTTGGAGACAGCATTGGCCTGGGTACTCAGCTTAGGACACTGGGTGGGCCTACCTCCGCGGTTGTGTCCCCAGGGGTCGCCTCTGCAGTGGAGCATGGTGGTAGCAAGTGTGTGGCGTGTTAAAGTTGACAGCAATTCTTTTTCTACGACCAGTTCATGATTGCAATATATAGGCCCGACCGGGCCCCCTCGCACCATCTACACACGGTTGATGCGGACATTGGCGTCTGTCGTGACTCTTCTGATGGACCGCGTGTGCTGAATCTCCTGAGAACCTGTGCTGCACACTCGCCACCCTTCTCTTCTGACCACCCGCTTCCATTCCATCTCCGCACTACAACGTTGCCATCTCGTATTCGGCGCCACAGAAGATACAGAACAGGATAATCTGGCTGCCGGAAAGTGTCCTCCTGCACTGCAGCGTACATGGCCCTGCCACGAGTCAGCCAGAATCAGGTGTCAAGAGGGCACCTACTGCCACGGTTGTCGCGCCAAGCATCACCTCGGCAAATGGCAGGCATGGAGCTGGGGTGTGTGTGTGTGTGTGTGTGTGTGTGTGTGTGTGTGTGTGTGAGGAGAGACAATGGCGACACGGACAGACGGCAAAATCCATTTGAGCCTGAGGCGCGACTGCGCACTGCTCCATCACTCATCACTGTAGCAGTTCCACACCGGGGCAGTGTGTGAGACAGTTATCGTACTCTGCTGAGGTGCTGAGGTTACCTGAATGATGCATAGTGGTGGTTCCAGGCAGCAGCGGAGTGGGCGGAACAGGTCTGCCTCTCTGTGTGTCACCACCTCTAGCCTGTGGTGAAGTAGGTGAGGATGGGAAAGGCGTCTGGAATCCCTTCTCGTGCTGCCCGGCACTGACCGTACCACGTCGACTTCTAGCCCCATTCATCCCACACTCCACCACTCTCACGAACATCTAGCCTCAAGCAATACTGACGCGACAGTACCTGCAGACCCAGACCACACGGCCGCCTACATGCCCGGCAGGTTCAGCGTGGCACACTCTGGCGGTCAGCGGCGTTGTGTCTGGCGGCGGGCTTGCCACTGGCGGCGGACTGACCCACCACGGTTGACGCCATTGGCGTCGCCTCGGCATGGAGGTCGAACAGGATGCGTGTTCCACATGTTACGTTCGTTTGCAGTGATAAAGCGAAAGTGAACAGGAAACCCACCCTGCGGCCACCCCTCATAACCCACAGCAGCGAGCTTCATCACTTGATCACTACGACGACCCACTCCCACTCGGGCTCTGCCGCATCACCGGTCCCGGGGGCGGGCGAAACCTCGCATCCTCCCTCCCGCAGTAGATGCAATAGTAGATACACTGGCCCGTGACCGGCGAAATGCAGCCGACCTGCAGCATGCAGTGGTCTGGGTTCACGTCAGGTTCTTTGACCCTGCCACCACCGCGCGCGGAACACCTACTGCCTGCGTTGGTGCCGGTACGGCGTTCCCCTATACAGACGCGGTGGGTCTGGAGGTCTGGTGGAGACGACATGGGGCGGTCTTGCTGGGCTATGAAGAGGTGTGGGTGGTGTGAGTGTGGAAAGCGGACGTTGGCGAGTGGGGACATGGTCAAGTAGTCTTCTGTGCGCCACTCCGCTCTCGCAGCTGGGAGCGTTCACACGGCTCCCTTAATCGTTTGTATTAACAAATGATGCAAGCGGAGACGCTGCCTTCGTGTCCTGAGACGCTGCCTTCGTGTCCTCCATCCCGCAAACACAAAGATCGAGCGGTTGCATTAGTGGTGGCTATTAGGAACGCTCCGAACGCTGACTTTGGGTGCCCGTAGAGACCCGCCGCTGCGGTTGCACCTGCAACGAGCTGCTCACTACCCCGGGAAAGACAAATGGGAATATCAGCAATCATGCTTGATGGCTCTGGAGGATGGAGCGAGTTGCGGGTGGGTTGGCATTTCTGGCGATTTCTGGAGATTGTTGGCCGGTTTGTCTGCTGTCAAAACGCGCGATTGGAACAAACCACCGACGGATTGCCCGACTGGCATACATGCATCCGAGCACCTCTTTCCAACGACACCGTCCACGCCATTCATTTACAATCTACCTGAACATCCTCGGCTCCTTTCGAAGACAGTACAGACACGCGGTCATATAGTAGTCAAAGTACGGGGGCATCAGGATGTCGTCAAAGTGGCACGGCTCTGGGACAGGTACAGTGTCAGCTAGTCGGCGGCAGTGTCGGCGACCAGGGGGGGCAGCCTGGCGACTGTGGGTGCGTACGGCCTTTGTTCATGCCGCGCGCGTTTCCGGCACACTTGGCGAGAAAGATCATGTCGGCTGGTGGTGGGGGTTATGGAGGGCTGTGACGGACACCTGGACAGGCATACTGTTCTTTATGGTTGATCGTTTGCGTCGTCTCTGATGATCAAGGAGTTTAGTGATCACACGCGCCTCGATGGGTCAGTTGGGTCATTCCTATACATCACCTAAGGCGGGTCGCAGCCAGAGTGCATCCCTTGCACACCCATCATTTCCCCTAGCCCCACGCTCTAACGCTCATCGGCCTTGCTGTACCACACCATCGTCCCTTCGCTCAAGCAAAACTTGCAGCGAACACGGTAGATTCGGCCGTACAGGTGGTAGAGCTTTTCGTGCTCGCAGACGCCTTCCTGGTCAGTACACGTCAACCTCGTTCCGCGACCCACCACCCTTGTTGTAACCTGTCTCTGTGCCGATACAGACCGGGCCGCAGTCTGCCATTGTCTTGCAGTGGTGAGCTTGTGTGAGTGACAAGCGAGACGGCGAGAAAGAAAGAGAAATGCTTTTTGATGGAAGAGCGAGAGGTGGAGGTGGAGGTTGGACTGATCATCACTGCACTGGCGCGAGGTTCCTGGCTTCTGGTGCATCACCTGCATGTCGGTAACCGCCCGTTGCAGTGGCAGCCCATGCATGGCCGTGGCCATGCAACCCAAACCAGACATCGTGATGCTGGATGTAGCCAGCGTTCGCCACCACTAAACAGCAGGCAGGCACATGGTTGATTTCGCCGAAACGACATTGGGCGGCGGCGGGGGCCGTTGAGGCCAACATGCGTAGGCACGCCGAAATCTTGCGACAGGCCGATCTTGTATGCCATGTACATCCAGACGCTACCGGCGGGTTGAGGAATGCGCAGGGGGATCCTGCAGTCAGTCCAATGGAGCGCAGCACAGTAGCGCAGTGTAGAGTTAGTGCAGCGTGTGAGTCACCAGATAGGCCAGTTTGTGTAACCTGGTGGCGACGTGTATTTCGGGACGCCGACACCAAAGAGTCGTCCTCGAGTGGTATACACCCAACAGCCGAGGCTCGCAAACTGCTGCCTGGCCCAGTGCGCCGAGTTGGTTGCAGTCGCGTCCACCTCTCCTCCCTCTTGACCCCTCCAACGACTCCCCCGCCGAGCTCCGGACACCCCCCGACCGCCGGTGTCCATGCCTTGTGTTTCCGTTTTCCAATCGTGCATGTCTCGTCTGAAAGTGTGTCTACTTGCGGTACCAGCGCACGCCCTGCCTGTTGCGACGCATCTTGCGCTGGAGCTGGAGCATGCCGTACAGGAGCGCCTCGGCGGTTGGTGGGCTGTGGAGTGTTAGCTTGAAGCACATGGGACTGCGCGGTCGGCACGGCACGGTGCAGATCCAGTCGCCACTTGGGACGACGTCGCCAAGACGCCTCTGCTGCTCGGCCGCCTTTCTCGCTCGCTCGCTCGCTCGCGCTCGCGCTCGCTGGCGCTCAACTCACCATCCGGGAACGTAAATGTCGACGGGAACGATGCGGTCACAGCCGCGGACGACCGAGTACGAGTAGTGGTAGTAACCACCACCGTTGGCGCACGAGCCCATAGAGATGACCCAGCGGGGCTCGGGCATCTGGTCGTAGACCTTGCGGAGCGCGGGGGCCATCTTGTTGGTGAGGGTACCGGCGACGATCATGATATCGGACTGACGCGGCGACGCACGGAACACCACACCCAGACGGTCCTGGTCGTAACGGGCGGCGGCCATGTGCATCATCTCGACGGCACAGCACGCAAGACCGAAGGTCATGGGCCACATCGAGCCCTGGCGACCCCAGTTGACAATCTTGTCGAGGGTGGTGAGGATGTACTCTGTAAAGGGGGAAGGGGAAGGGGAGACAACGTCAGTACAACTGTGCACAAGGACCGGTGGCTGGCAGTGTGGACCAAGACGACGTGCGCTGGCGAGGAGGAGAGTGTCGTCCCACCCTTGCCCATCTCCTTGCCAGCATGACGCAAAACGTTGTCCCTGCTCGTGGCCACAACATGGACAATCTGTGACGACGTACCGGCACCGTTGCGAGGAGTCTCGAGGCTCTGCTGGTTGGAGCCGCGGTTGGCGATGGTGGTGATGGGGACGGGCTGCGCGGCAGTCGCGGGGGCCGAGGTCGACAGGGGGCGAGCTGTGGCATGGGGTCAGGCCAACGTTGGACGACGACGACGATTGTATTGTTTGGGTACATACCAGCCATGGCCAGAGGCCTCAGTGCCGAAGTGGACGCACGGGCAAACGAGCCTGGGAAGGGGGGTGAGCAAGAGAGCGCTGGCATGGGCGGGGGATATGATGCTTACCGGACCTGAGGCCGGTAGCGAGCATGCCGGACATGGTGGGGGTGTGGTGGGGGTGGTTGCGAGTGGTGTGTTGGTGGTGGTAGTGAGCTCGATGTCCAGAACGACGAGCACGACGGGACGCCTGGCTGCCGGCCGCCGCCCACTGTATGCGCACCCCCCGCCCAGAGAGACGAATCAGCAACCCGCCGATCCACCCAGCGAGCCCATAATCCCGCACTGTGGCACCCAGCCATTTTTGATTCCGTCGTCGAGCACCCCCGCGTCCGCCCGGCCTGGCTGGTCCACCCACTTTTCGGGACAAGGTCGTACTGAAATAAGTTGGCAACCCCTCTACACACACCCTTCAGTGTCTCCACCCCGCCCGCACCATGCTCGCCCGCTCCATCCCTTCAAGGGCTGTCATCCAGAGCAGGTAAGTACTCACACACATCTCTGGCCACCCTCTGCACTCGTCGCTCACAGCCACACCAGGCTCGCGCCTCAGCTCGGGGCCTCGTCGGTCCGCCGCCTGTCCATGGCAGCTAGGGTATGTTGACACACACAAATGATGGCCGTGTGCGCAATGGCAGCTTGGCATCTGCAACAGCAACCAACCACTGACCACCTTTCCCTCTTAGCCCTCAGCCGTCGCCCTTGGCAAGCGTCCGGCCGTCGCCCCTCGCAGCTCGGTGCTTGCGCTGGCTTCGGTCGGCTCGGCGCGCCACCTCTCGTTCTTCTCGGCCAAGCCTGCCGAGACGGTCGAGACTGCACAGGCCGCTGTCGCTACTGTTCCCGAGCCAGCCGTGTCTGCTTCTGCGGCTACCGTCCCCGAGGTCCCCCTCTCCACCCCGGTTCCCTCGTCGGACATGCCTGCCCTCGCCTCGGAGACTGGCCACGCTGCCGGCACCGTCGACCACCTCACCTCGTCTGCTCCGGACCACCAGTTCCACTCGGACCCGTCGTCGCTCCTGCCCCAGGCCGGTGCCAACGGCCAGACACCTACCCTCATCGACCTGGTGAACAACTCTGGTCTGCCTCTCGAGGACGTTCTCAACGCGCCCGAGGCCGTCCACGCCGCCGTCGCCGTCAAGGACCTCAAGGAGATTGGCCTGGACCACTACTTCTTCTCGATCCCGGGCTGGCTGTGCGATTCGCTGGTGGGCTTTCACAACCTCTCGGGCTTGCCGTGGTGGGCGTCCATCATGGGTCTGACCGTCATGGTCCGTCTGGCCATTTCGCCAAAGGTCGTGAGCAACATGAGGCACAACGTCCGCCTCCAGGCCGTCGGCCCGCAGATGCGTTCGCTCATGAAGATGATGACCGACGCCAAAAAGTCGGGCGACACTCCGACCCAGCAGGTGGCTACCCAGCACCTGCAACAGCTGTTCAAGGACAATGACGTCTCCCCCTTTAGGCCAATCACCATGATGCTCATCCAGACCCCCTTCTTCCTGAGCATGTTCTACGGTATGCGTCGTTTGGCCGACCTCCCATTCCCGGCGTTCAAGGAAGGTGGCTTTAGCTGGATTACCGACCTCACTGTCGCCGACCCCTACTGTGTCCTCCCGGTCACCTCGGTTCTCCTCCAGCTCCTGGTCCTCCGCCTCGGCCAGGACGGTACCGGCACGACCGCTTCTAACGCGCGCATGGCCACCCACATCCGCAACGGAATGACCGCATTCTCGCCCGTGCTCATCGCCATTACGTCGTTTTTCCCTGCTGCCGTCCTCTTTTACTGGACTACCAACAACCTGTTCAGTCTCGGCCAGGCCGTCCTCTTGAAGCAGACCTTGGTCAAGAAGCTGTTGAAGATTCCAGCCCCTCCCACGATCGCCGCGCCGCCAGAGGAAGCCGCCGTCGACCCCAACCCGACAATCAAGGAGACCCTGGAAAGCATCCCCAAATTCTTTAAATCTATTCGCGAGCAGGTCAACAAGATGGGCGCCGAGACGTCGGCCGGCAAGCGTGTCGCCGCCGCCCGCCAGGTCGAGGCGGCCAAGGGTGCCCGCGCCGGCACCGGCCTGCTCTCCACCGAGCGCATCCACGAGCCCACGCGCACCGCCGCCGCCGCCAAGGCCACCTCGTCGTTCCTCGAGGCCACGGCCGCCCCCTCCAAGAAGGCCACCAACGACCAGCCTCCTGCCACCCTCACCGCGGCCGAGATTAAGCGCCGTCGCGTCGAGCAGGCGCGTGCTTCCCGCCGCGCAAAGAACGAGGACCGTTCTTAGACCCTCCCCACAGCCCTTACACACACACCCCTATCCCCCCGTCCACACTCCATCTCTACACACAATCTGTCCCCGTAGTCTCCCCCACAAGCCCCGTAGCATCGCATGCCACACCATTCCCATATTGTAAGCATAGATCTGGCCGTGGACGCGAGGCCACGCGAGGCCAGCTGCATGCCCGCTCGGCGGGCCCCAGTACGCATGGCCTGCGCGCCTCCAGCGTCGTGTGTCGGGTCGCCGGCGTGAGTGTTTTTACCGCGGCGGCGGCAACTGTGCCGCGTGCAGTAATGTACACATGGACTGCATGGCGCGTACAGGCTGAGACATGCATACACGTCGGAGAACGTGAGGGGAGACACCACACGCCCTTTGTCTTGGATCTCATCTCGTTGGTGGGGGCGACTCTCTTGGCGTCCTCCATAGGCCTGTGTTGACCGTATATTGGGGCTCTACCGTTAGTGCAGGCCGCAAGAGGTCAAGAGAGATCTAACACGGGCCAGCGCACTGCCGTTACGCGTGTGGTTTCTATTCAGTCGCGACACAATGCGGTGTGACCTTGGCGTCCTTGGTGCTGCGATGGCACCGTGACGGTGGGACGGTGACGGCCGTGGTGCCGTGGTGGTGGCGTATGTAGACACCACTTGTATTGATTTCGGCCACTGCACGCTAGACGCTAGCTAGACGCTCCCAACTCAATGCTGTGGCCGTGGTGGTGGCGTGCGCGCTCCCTTCGTCCGTCGGCGCCAGAAGGGTGTGTGTGTTGTGATGTGATCAGGCAGACTGAGCTTGGCATAGTCAGCGTGAGGTCCTGTGGGTTTGACGTCCTGGCGCAAACGCGTCGTAGCAGTGGGCCCGATCGCAATAACAGAATGCGTAAAGCGTTAGCATGCATGCAAAATGCATTTGAGCGTCGTAGCGCGCGTCCGTGATTGTTGTGGGGGGTTTTATACGAGCGTTCCCTGGAATTCTAGAGACCGTGACTGATTTTTTAAAACGGGCAACATCGGCATGCGGGTGTTTGCAGCGAGAAACAAGAAAAACCGACTGGTCTGAAGTGTTTTGATTGACAAGGGCTGTTGGCGCTTGGGTTGGGCTTGGGCTTGGCCTTGGGCTTTGCCTTTTGTCTCCCCGAACCGACGTTACTGCTTAATTTGCTTATTCATGTGACATGGGGCTGTGGGGCCCGCGGGACGACGACGGCCGATGACACATACTGTAAAACGGGAAGGTTTACCGAAGACGGCGCAGACGGCGATCCCGGATCCCTTCTTTGCCTAACTGACATGGCCAGGCGATGCCCAGCGTGATGGTAGGGGAGAGGGGGGAAGGGTGACGTTTCTATCAAACAGACCCGTACAAGTCATGACTTGAGGGGGTGTGCAGGGGGTGCAGAGGGGTATGGTGATGCTGTTTGATAGACACAGGAGGGGGGTTCTCTCTGGCAGCGGGAACATTGGCGCTCTACCTCTCCCTGCGAGGCACCCGGTCACTCCAGGCCTCATGTCTCATACACCGCAGCTGCAACGTCACGCCGAGAGACCATGGCACCATGACACCATGGCCATGGGATGGTGATATGGTGAGCAAGGATGGATCTGTATCACGTGCGACACTGCATCCTTCTCATCCCCTCACTGGAGGCCTGGAGGGTTGGTCTGTCGGTCGCGTGAGTCTGCGTGGCCACAAACCTGCCAGCCCTGCGGCCTGCAAGCGACGACGGGTCAAAGGTGGCCCGCGGTCACCACCTGGCGGCCTCTCTGGATCTCTGACCTCTTGACCTTTGTACACTTTCCAGTCTCTCCCAACACCCCTCCGCGGCCTCTCCCAGCAGCACTGTCTCGGCATACGGCCGCACTGTCTCTCGGTCTTGACGGACCGCGGCGGCGCAGACGTGCACGTCCTGGAAAGGCCATGACGAACGCCGCGGTCATGAGATGGACATGAGGGCGACTGGGAGAAAGATATACCACATGCGGCATGCGCGGTTCGAGGGTGGGTATGAACAGGAGACGGCCAAGACGCGTCGTCGGCTCTCCTGCCTGGCCGTACCACCACCTGCAGCACCAGCCTTCTATTGGGGGGTGGTGGCTTCCTTTCATGTACTGTTCCTGACCGTTCAATGCATCTTTGCATCTGGCTGTGCTGCGGGTGTGAGACCCTCGTTTTCATTGCTGGCAGAGTCTGCAAGCGGCAAGTCGGCCGTCCATGGTTCCCATGAGAGAGCCAATACGGAGTGAGGGATGGATGGAAAAGAAGAATATGGGGTCCGAAGAGATCCAGCGACAGAGAGACGCGTCGCGAGCAGGGTTCCTGGGCGTTTGTGGGCCTGCCTGGTGTGTCCACCCCTGGATGGACGCCGTAGACCTGGTGGGACTGAATGCACGCAGGCAGCGTGGGGGCGCGTCCGTTTGGCGTGTCAGTCTGGCTGCGTTTGTGGTTGAGACAAGAGAGAGAGACGCGATGCAGCACAGAATGAACAGAAGGGAACAGAAGGGACACACAAAAAGAGGTACCGAAATGTTCAATTGTCCCAAAAAGGATATGCCTGGACGCGACGCGTCTTCCGGAGGCTAAGCAGTTGGGGTTTTGTCATCTTCGTGTCAGTGTCCTCTGCAACATCACCAGCACCTCCAGCATGCACATGCATGTGCATCGAACAGCAGCAGCAGGGGCATATCAGGCCACAGGGTGTGGACTGCACAGTTTACCTGTGGTGTGTGCACGGCCGTATCGTTCTGTGCACAGATGGGATGTGGGCCAGGCAAAACCCCCCCTTCTCCCTCCCCCGACGCGTAAAGGGCACCGGAGGGATTCCTACAAATGCGAGACCACCCTGGCAGTCACGCGCGTCGTCGGCCCAGTCGCCAGTCGTCCCCCCCGTCCATTCCGCACGCGCGTGCACGCGCACCGCGCCTGAGTTTCTGTGCATGGCATGCAGACAACCGTGTGTGCGCGTGCATGTGTTCTGCCTGTGCTGCCTGTGGGTGTCTCTCCCAAGTCACGCTTCTCTCCTTGTCTTCCTCTCTCTCTCATTCCTCATCCACCTTCTCGTTTCTTGTTCTACACATCCATCCCCCCCACCCCACCCAATCCTCCTCCCTCCTCATCCTCCTCATCATCCCTCAACACCTTTTTCTCCCACCCTCTCCTCTCCACCTCCTCATCACCTTCTCTTCTCGACACTCTTCCATCCACACACGCCTGTCGGCATCGCACTTTCCTTACCCTCTTTCGCCTCGCAAGTTTCCTGTTAGTGCTCAACTTTCAGTCACTTGTCACAAAACCAACCCTCTTCGTCCTCTGTCGACGCGTACTCTCCTCCTTCTCGTCACTTGGAACCCCACCCACCCATCCATCGCTTCTGGACCGTTTGTGATCCAGACCGCGCACCTCTTTACCCTCCCTCCCTCCACCTGGCTGTTCCATTAGGTACGCCACCTTTTTTTTTGCCCGGCGCACAGACTTGGGATCACCTTTGCGTTGTCACTGACGCCACCAGCTTGGCACGACCAGCGCCATGCGCTGCGTCCTCTTTCATCCCTCGGCCGCTGTCCTCGCGTTGGCAGCGGCATGGGCCACAGTCGCGAGCGCGACCCCAACGGTCGTCCACTCGATGATGAGCCAGCAGCCGCCAGTTGCCCGTGTCGGCTCCGAGTTTGTCTTTGACCTCGTTGCCGGATCGTACGCATCCAACAGCAGCAGCAACAGCAGCACCACGGCCATCACCTACTCTGCCACCAGCCTCCCATCGTGGCTCACCTTTTCACCCTCTGTCACAACTTTTTACGGTGCCCCGCAAGCGTCCGACATTGGTACCTTCAACGTCACGCTCGTGGCCACCGACGCGACTGGGTCAGTCCGCGACACGGCCGTACTCATCGTCTCCAACTCTTCCGCACCCACCGTGCAGCAGAGCTTTGCGTCCCAGATTGCCGATGCTAGCTCGCGCCAGTTTGCCAGCGCCACCGCCATGCCCGACAACACGGGTGTCGAGGTGCCGCCTTACTGGTCCTTTTCGCTCGGCTGGAGCGGTAACACGTTCAAGTCGTCGCAAAAGCTTTACTACACGGCGCGTCTTCACGACGGCACCGCGCTCCCCTCGTGGCTCGAGTGGTCCAACACCACATTCACGTTCAACGGCAACGCGCCCGCCAACGGTACGTACCCTGTCGTGGTCACGGCCACCGACTACTGGGGCTATTCGGGCGCCGAGACGAGCTTTGTCCTCGCGGTCGGAAACGGCCAGGCCGTCGAGGTCAACAGCACCAACTGGAAGCCCCTCAACACCGTCACCCGTGGTAGCGTAAACTACACCATTGACACGTCTGGTGTCACGGTGGGTGGCCAGGCGGCCACGGCGTCGCAGTACACTGTCACGCCCGACCTCTCAAACTACAAGTGGCTGTCGTTTGACAAGTCGACCAACATTCTCACTGGTGTCACCCCGGACGCGTACCTCAACGGCACCATCGACCCCATGGCCATCCCTGTCAACCTGGCCTCGACCAACGCGTCCAACACGCTTGGATACACGGCCTACGTCAACATGAACATTTTCCAATACTACTTTACAAACTTTACCCTCCCGTCTCTCACTTCTTCCAACGGCTCGACATTCGAGTACAATGTTGGACCCTACCTCGTCAACAAGAACGTCAGCGTCAACGCCACAGTCGTCCCCTCCGAGGCCCAGTCGTGGTTAAAGTACTACTACGAAAACTACACCCTCATCGGGTCGATCCCGGGCAACGTCACCTATGACAACCTCAACATTACGTTCATGGCCACTGTCCAAGGTGTGAGTGCCACCACAAGCTTTTACGTCAACATTACTGGCGTCGACGCTACAAACGCCACCACTACACCCGCACCGATCCCCATGGCTCCCATTCAGCACGGCCTGTCCAAGACCAAGAAGATTATCATTGGTGTCGTCGTCGGTGTCGTTGGCGCCCTCCTGATCCTCCTCGCCTTCCTTCTCTGGTTCTGCTGCTGCCGTCGTAGCCGCGAAGAGCGCCGCATCGACGAAAAAGTCAAAATCTACGAGGAGGCATCGGCCATGAGCAACCGCACCACCTTGATCAACAGTCGCCGCACCTCGGGTCGTCCACCAGCGTTCACTCCCGACACGCTCAAGCATTCGCCTGCTCCTAAATCAATTGCCGACTCGGACGCGACCGTCTATGGTACCCCAAGCACTCCCACGTCCAAGCTCAAGCCCGCGGTCGAGGAAGGTACTCCCCGCCGCTTGGATTTCATCAACGGTCTCTTTGGCCCTGGTGACCACTACGAGGACGCAGAAGAAGGTCTTGCTTCGCTCCGCTCAGTGCCCGACTCGGGATCGTTCTTGGGCAACGGCGACGTGATTGCCGTCGCCGACCCTGTTCGCCGCCAGAGGGCCGGCACTGGTGTCACGGGATCTGCCGCGTCCAGCGGCTCGCTTGAGTCCTGGGAGTCGGCAGACTCGTTCCATTGGTCGGGCGAGGACGTCTACATGCCCCCACTCGTCGGCGAGCCTACTGCCGAGAGCTCGAGCACTGCCCATGGCGCCGCTCAGAGCAGCGCGCACGGTGGTGCCGATGTCATGGGGGCCGGCGACGAGCCGCGTCCCAAGCCTGGCTTCTACCCGCGCTTCCCTCGCAAGCTCCGTCAAGGCGACCCGATCCCGTTCATGTCGTCGGACGACTTGAACGCCTCGTACTCGCAGTTCTCTGAATTCCACCGTGACGCCTCGAGGCGCTCGCTCGACAGCTTCAAGGACCCAGGATCGGCCCTGGGCTCGGGCTCGCGCTCGACGTTCATGTCGCGTAGCGGCTTTGTCTCTGGCGAAGGCTCGGGATCGAGCAACTCGGCCATGGGCCGCTTTGCCAGCTCCAACCTGACGTACTCGTCGGTCGAAGAGCCCGCCATTGTCTCCACCGCGCAGCGCAGGAGTGTCGAGGCCCAGCGCTTGTCTGTCCATGGCGAGGTCATTGATTTCACCCAGCCGGCTCCTGTCCCTGCCCCCGCCGAGCACCTGTACCCCATCGGATCGCGCGTGCTTGCTGGACCAGTCATGCCCACTACCCTCCGCCCACCCCGCCGCCGCGGCAGTTCAAGTCGCAAGACGAGCGCGCACGTGTCCGCTACCCGCGACCACATTGTCGGCACAAGCCCCGTCCCGGACGCCGAGCAGCTCGACAGCTACTACTACGACGGTGCCGCCACCGAGCGTGGCCACCGCTCCAGGGATGTCCTCTACACCGCGCCGCTGGACAGGGAAGACGACGTCTTCAGGTGAACACCGGGGTGAACATAGACGCAGCAGAACCCGCCCCGGCACCCTCCCATGTTTCTCAACTCTAGACAAAACGGCAACCTGCATTCCAACCGACGACACCTTGCATTTTTCTTCAAATACCCACTTGGGTTCTTTTCGGGACACTTTAGCTTTACTGGTCCCCCCCTGTTCTTGCCAGCCAGGTGTGCTGGCGGCAGGCCAGTCAACTGCAGGGGTTACTGGCCTTGCCTCTGTACTTTGATTTCCGCGATACGTGAGTAACAAAGGTCGACGGGGAGAGAATTTTGCTGACACCGCTGTGTAGCTGTAACCTAGCCAAACCCACGACACTCATTTGACCAGCCACATTCGTTTCTACACCTAAACGCACGACACTCGTTTTTAAACACCACCCACACCCTGCGGTCGCGTTGCGTTGCGTAAGCCGTCTCTGGTCTCTGCCGGACATATCCGTGTCCAGCGTGTCCAGCGAGTCGCGGCCAGTAACGCAACCAAACCAAACCTTGCGCGCTCGTCGAGCGCGCCTCCTCCATCCCCCTCCCCCTCCGTACAACCCGTTCTGTTAGGAGAGGGATGGGGTCAACCGGACAGTCTTGTAGCATTAGCATATATGGATATGCAATCCATCCCCCATCCCACATGTGGGTACACACGACAGTGCCTATAGGGCGCACACGCAGCGTCGGCGTTGCATGTGTCTGGGCGTACTGCTGTAAACGCCACTCACAGCCCACAGCCCACAAGTCTAGGGGTATGCACTATCCATAAGTTTCACTAGGGGGGGTTACGACAACTAACTATCTACGCGAGAGAGATTGGGGGATTGGCACGAACCGCGTGATAGCAGCTCGTGGCCAGCGGGGGAGGGTGGACCGAGTGGACCGAGTGGACCCGTGGTAACAGGCCACGCGAAGGCCAGGGAGAGAGGGAGAGAGAGAAAAGAGGAACCAAGGACCAACCAAGCCAGGACGAACACACCAGCCCGGGGCGTGTAAACGAGCTGCGCGGTCGCTGCTCTGCTTAGGCAAACTTGGAGTAGAGGACCAGCAGGATGAGGGCGACGAGGACGGCGATGATGGCGCCCGTGACGACTTTTTGCTGGTACATCCTGCGCGGGAGCGTTAGCCTGGGTGGTGCGGGCCGACGCACGGCAGGCAGGGGGGAGAGGCGGGCGCGGCTGTGTGTTCTTGTATTCTTGCGTTCTGGCCTGGCAGAGTACGCGCCGCCGCCGCCGCCGCCCTCTGTACCTCTGTACATCCGTTGTCCTGCTACACCCACTTGTAAATCATCTTCTTGAGGGTGCCTGCCGCCCGGTCGATGCTGCCATCGGCGCGCGTGAGCGAGTCGCGGGTATGCTCAATCTGCTCCCTCTGTCCGCGGAGGTTGCGCAGGATATCGGTACCGACGTCCTCGGTCTCGAGGGCGATGCGGTGCGCATTGTCGAGGCGGCGCGACGAGTCGGACAGCGCCTCGGTGCCGGCCAGCAGGCGCGTGCGCGTCGAAAACGCCGTCGCCTCGTCGCCGCTGCCGGTACCGTCAAAGTATGGGTCGTCGGTCGACGTACGGCCCGACGAGAGCAGTTCCTGGCGCTGTGTCTCGGCGCGGGCGTCGCGGGCGCCGCGCTTGGCCTTGTCCACGGCAGACTTGGACGTGGCCAGGCGGTCGGTGAACGTCTTGCGGATCGAGACGGGCATGGACGGGATCTCGACGTCCATTTGCGCAATCTGTGCGGCTGTCAGCTGGGAACGCAGTGGAGGAGCAGAAGCGCGGCAAGTAGCTGGAGGCTGGTACGCCGAGGTCGTGGGTGGGTGACCACCATCGGGGACATGGGGGCATCGCATGGCGCGGCGGCGATGACCGATGGCGAATGACCGCAGCTGTCGACAGCCAGAGACCGCGGACAAGTATATAGCTGTACCCTGCGGCATAATGCCAAGGGACCCGATCCAGCTATCACTGTGGTAGATACCAGCTGGCCAGCGTTCTGCCCATCGCCACGGTCCCGGCGCGCATGTGGCCGTCCCAGCGGCTTGTCACCGCCTTCCCTCCAGTCCTCCCTTCCCTCACAGCAGACGTACCGTCTCGTCGGCCTCATCGAGCTCGTCGGCAATCTTCTTCAAGAAGGCCTTGCGCGGTTCTAAACATGCGTGTCAGCCTATGTGGTCCAGAGGGAACACTTTAACGCACCGCCCTTGAGGCCGCGCACATCGGCGAGCTTGCCGTTGATGGAAGCGACGAGGGTGGCGAGGTCCTCGTCGTAATTTTCAAAGAGGGCACTGTGGGGGTCAGTTCACGAGAGAGATAATGGAGGAGGGTGAGAGCGTACGTTGGAGAATTGTCCATGGTGGGAGACGGTGAGGACGGTATAGAAGAGAAGAACCCACTATCGAGATGCATGACGCGCAGGTGTGTGCACGTTGGGTGGCGCGTAAAGTGAGGGGACGGGATATATATAAAGACGTCTGGGGTGGCTGGCCCGCGCCTGGGTGGTGTTTCAGCGGGGGGGAAGACACACAAATACAAATACAACAACGCAACAAGTAACACCCCTTCCCTCTCTGTCGCTCCTTCTGTTATCAATCTCTCTCGCTCTCGCTCTCTCTCTCTCACAAGCATACATATACACACTCGCATACCTCTTGTCTCCGTCGCTCCCATTCCCCACAACCACCGCTACCCGAAATCCCGGGGCCTTTGAGAGGCACATCGGCTACAACACACAGGCCAACACACACACTGGCACACTCATCACTTCACAACAGTCGCGCTTCCCGCCCAGCCGGCCCATCCCGCCTGCTACCACAGTCACACTTGTCCTCCCCCTGCCTAGCAAAACTCGTCACTCCTCTCCTCCTGCTTCTCCTTATCCCCCACCACCCTCTCCACAATGAACTTCTTCAACCGCACCAAGACACGCTCCCCAGTCGAGAGTGTCCGCCTGCTGCGCGACTACATGTCGCGACTGGACGGACCCGGCTCGTCAGAGGCCAAGAAGAAAGTGCGTCCCCCGTCCCAAGTGCATCGTGCGCGCCCGCGTCCTTGCCATCACGCCTCTCCCTTGGGTGGACACGACTTGCCATGTCACTCCGTTCCCATCGGACGGGTTGGCTCGTGCAGCCCAACACCCTTTCCTCCCCCCCCCCCCCCCCCGCCCCTCCACAGCCTACACGGACCCGTTCAGTCTACTGACACTTTTGGCCAGGTCACAGAAGAGTGCTCCCGCTTGATATTCGCCATCAAGGCGAGCCTGTGCGGCGAGGGTGATGCGGACAGCACACCCGAAATGGTGACGGCGGTGGCCAACGAGGTGTACAACACCGACCTGCTCGCACACCTAGTCTCGCACATGCCCAAGCTCGAGTTTGAGGCCCGAAAGGACGTGGGACACATCTTCAACACCCTCCTGAGGCGTACCATCGGCACCCGTCTCCCCACCGTCGAGCTCATGGTCAACAAGCCCGAAATCATCTTCACCACACTGAAAGGGTGAGTTGGGTGGTGTGTGCGTGGCGCGCCGTACGGACAAGAGCGAGAATGTCGGGGTCCCGGACAGGGAGGGTTTCGAACCCCGCATCGCCACTGGCCACTGGCCGCTTTGGCTGTCTTTGCGTGACTGGGACATGCGCGCATCCCATGCATGGTCCCAGCTACCCAGACGTCTGCGTGGGAGAGCATGTGCTTGCCGGCGGAGAGTCGTTCCCTTCCACCCGTGCTGACACAACCAGGTATGCCGACCCAGAGGTGGCCCTCAACACGGGTATGATTCTCAAGGAGATGCTGCGATACGAGCCTCTGGCAAAGATCTTGCTGTACTCGGACCAGTGGGTAATGACCTGTCGGCCCCAGGCTAATGTGCAGGTTCTACACGTTCCCCACATACATCGAGGACGCAACGTTTGGCATCTCGTGTGATGCGTTTGCCAACATGAAGGAGACGCTCACAAAGCACAAGCCCATGGTGGCTCAGTACCTGGACCAGAACTATGACCGGGTGAGTAAGATCTTGGCTACTGCGATGCCTGAAGCCATCGAGGAATCACCGACTGACAACACGCTATCCAGTTCTTTGCCATGTACAACACCCTGATCATGTCCAACAACTATGTGACCAAGAGGCAATCGCTCAAGCTCCTGGGCGAGATCCTCCTCGACCGCGCAAACTACACCATCATGACCCGTTACATTGCCTCGGAGGCAAACCTCAAGCTCATGATGAACTTTTTGCGGGATCGCAGCAGGAACATTCAGTTTGAGGCGTTCCATGTGTTCAAGGTGGGTTGCTGGCAGCTACCGGGTTCTCTGTCGTGTGAACAAGAGCTCCGCTGACCCGTCTCCAGGTCTTTGTGGCCAACCCCAACAAGCCACCCGAGATTGCGCGTATCCTCAAGCGTAACAAGGAACGCCTGCTCATCTTCCTCAAGGACTTTCACAACGACAAGGACGGTGAGTTGGCCAGAATGCAGACAGTGTTAGGTCTGGATGCCCCCTGGCGGTTCCTCCTTGCGAATGTTTACTGACAGTCGCAGACGAGCAGTTTAATGACGAAAAGTCGTTCTTGTGCGCACAGAGTGAGTCAACTGTCGTGGCTACGTTGCGCGATCCAGCTGACACTGGTCCAGTCGAGCGTCTGTAATATACCGACTAGACACATGAGACGAGGGTCATTGTGCCGCGCACATGCCGACGAGGGGAATATCAAGGGGGCAGCAGAGGCGAGGGATGTACTGGAGACAACAACTACCGAGGACTTTTGAGGACACGATCCTCCGCCACCGCCGGCAGACTACCGACGACGCGTGCGCGCCGTCCCGTGCTGTGTCGCCGGCGGTGATATTACAACTGGGAGAGGGAGAGAGAGAGGGAGATATACAACGGAGGTATACTATACTGCATTATGATCGCTGTGCGATGCGACCAGATACACTATAACTGACAAGACGAGTCTCGAGGCGTGAGTGCGTAGGCACAGGACCGAGAGTGCGGACCGCTGGGGTTATCAAAAGCAAAAGCGCCCATCCTCGTACGCCATACTCGGATGCAATCGATCCCGCGACTCACTTTGCGGGGCCACGACAGGCGGTGACGAGATGGCGAGAGGGGTTGAACGCAGCCTATCCTGTCGTCTTGCCTCGCGACCCAAAACCGCCTCATTGGCCATTGGGGTCGTAGCAGGCAGGACAGGCAGACACCTACGGCCGGGTGGCCGTAGGCGTTCTCTCTATGCACCACACACGCACGCCGTGACACCGAAAGGGCGAGGTGCTGCAGTCGACGTCGGCAGGGCGAGGACGTCGTTGCCAGGCCGCCCGAGGTGGACGCCTCATATGTGCTGACTCATATCCGGCCCACGGCGACGATGATGCATGTGCGCTCGCTCAGTACCCAACCAGCTACCAGGCGGCCGCGAGCAGCGGCGGCTCAACGCTGGTTACCAATCACACCGGGAGCACCGCTTCGGACTAGGCCGTGAACGGCGTGGCTCCATTGGCTCCATGACACGGCGGTCGACGACGTCCAGCCAGCGTCCGGTGCATGGCATGCGGCGGACGCCGCACCGGGCATGCATACACCGGGCTCCTGTAAAGGGCATTCCGCTCTCCATGCAGGCCATGCACCGAGTGAGTGCACAGCGTTGACGAATGTCGCAGGGGATACTGGCCGCTGGGTCATTGGCGTTTTTCTGTGGTTGTGATTATGTGATCGCCATCAGCAGCTAGCGGCCGGTAGAGGCGGATCAACAATATTCCCTCGCGCGTCGTTTTTTTTTTCCTGAGGGGCCATAAATCACATTTGACGAGGCAAACGATGGGTTCTTGGCACTCGACGTATACATGCACGCACACGCACGCAGCTCTTGCGGTTCTGCAGGCCATCCACGCAGTGACCAACGATGTGACGGCGGCGGTCGCACGCCGCACCGGTGCTGCCCCTCCCTGTCAGACCAGTTCCACCCTGTGGCCACTGTCCATACGGCCTCGTCGTCACTCGCGGCACGGAGCTCACACGACCACCCACCCACGTACCCGCGCATGCTATAGCCATTTCCGGTGGGGCAAAAGCAGACGCAGGAGACGCAGGGCCCAGACGACGCTGTGCCGGCGGCCGTACCCCGCACACCCCCGTCGCCTGGCCCCTGTGCTGCAACGTTGCAAAGTTGCAAAGTTGTGCGGCCCCTGCAGGCTGAAGGAGGGGGAGGGGGAGCCCGTCCGCCTGGCCCCGTATCCCCTCTCGGTACAGCGTGCGTCCGTCACGAAGGGGATGTCGCGCTTTGGTCAGCCGGTGCAGATCTGCCCTTTCTGTGAGGGGTGTCGAGGGTCGCTGCGAGAGTGATTTTCGAATTGCAGATTGGAGACAAGTGCGGGGTGGCAGGGTCTGGACAAGTGTATGGAATCCTTCCATGCGGCGCCGGCCGTTTATCGAATCGTGAACACAAGAGTGAGAAGCCACTCTGGAGGCGATTCGCTCACCTCTGCGTGCCAAGTGTATAGGAGGAGCGCGGCGTGTCCTCGCTCTCTTTCGCTGTGAGCAATGGTTGGTTGGCATTGCTGGCATTCGCACTACTGGAGTTGGCGTTACTTGCTTTCCAACTATCCTTTCCACCAAGGGGGTGGGCCAAGCCACCGCCGTGGCCTTGGCCACACACGTCCGGCGGCGCCGCGAGCGATCCATGCGCGCCGCCTGGGTGTGATCCATGGCGACAGACTGGCCAGCGGCGAGAGTGCGAGGCACGCTGCAGCAGTTGAACCATTCTACGGCTGGCTGGGCTGCGTTTTGACGTGTGTTGGACGTGGTTCTGGCTGAATTATCGCCTAATATAACAAATGAATATTATTATCATTTACAGGCATTTCGCGCGGGGATCGCCGCAGACGCACGCCGTAAAACTCTATTAATTCCCTCAAACCACACGAAAAATGTGTCACCGCGTCTGGGCTGTGTGGGGGGACCCATTAGAGTTTTTGCTATGCTCTGCTGCGTCTTGCACATGCGGGGGCTGCCCAGGGGGAACCGGCGGCGGGGCGAGGTGGGGCAGGGACCGGCACCACCGGCATGACGGAGGCGGCGACCGCACACCAGGGAAATAGGCGAGGACGACATGGGGGGTGGGCGCCAAAAGGGGGAATATCGCTCAACTTGCACCAGTCTCTTTTGTCGTCCGGCACGCAGGCTTTCTGTGTTGCGGGCAAGAGACAAACGAGGAACAACCCCACTGCTGCAGACAGACAGACGACGACAACGACCACGACGACTGACGCAGCGTATGCATTACCCGTTATTGGCCGAAAATGGCGTTGGACTGACCCCCCCACCCCCGTCGGCCTCGGTGACCACCCACCACCCACCCCCACGATCCCACAGGCGTCTCGCCCTTAATCCCATATCCCTCTTTGGCTCCTCTCCATCACTCTCATTCACATCTCACTCACCGCTCTCTCCCCCACCACCACCACCACCACCATGTCCGTGGCCACCGCTACCGCTGCACCCGTCCCCAACGGCGCTGCTGGCACCGGCGCTCCGGCCACCACGACAGCTTCCTCTTCCACGGCCAACAACGCCCGCTCGCCATCCCGTTCCCCAACCAGAGCCCTCGTGCCGTCCCACTCCATCCTCCGCCCATGCAACGCAAAGGGCATCCCCGTCGGCCCCCCAATCATCCCCCCTCCCAATGTTCGCTCGGTCAGCAGTCCTGGCCTCCAGAGAGTCCCACTTGCTGCGGCGGTAGCTCCTGCTGCTGGGCCCCCCGACGCTGCCCAGCCAGCAGCAGGCGGCCCCGTCGATGGCAGCGGCGTGTCCAACTCGTCCAACGAGTCGCTCACCACCACCTCGACCGTCCCCTCCATGTCGCCGTCGGCAATGTCCAACGCGTCGACCTTTGCATCCAGCTCTGACCCATTCTGCGAGGAGACCGAGTCGTCATTTGGGGGCAGCACTCCCAGGTCGTCCATGTACTGCGCGTCGCCCAAGATCCGCTTTGGCTCACTACCCGAGAGGCCCCCCGAGCTCCGTCGTCGCAACTCGATCACGCTCGGTGTGCTGGCGCGCAAGAACATGCTCACTGCGCAGGGTACCGTGGCTGGCGGCTCGACCGTGAGCGCCAACGGTACCCGCAAGATCATGATGACCGACGCAGAATGGGAGGCGTACCAGCAGAAGTTTGCCTCAAAGAACGGGTAAGTCATGGTCCTCCCCCCCCACCTCCCCACACACCCGGCCGCCCACTCTTGGCACGGCGTCACAACGCTCTATGCCCTCTTGTCCCCATCGCTTTGTTGCTGCGCGTCGGCAACTTGGAGGCGCGGGGGCGCATGGGTGTGCCCAGCTGTGACCATTTTTCGGCAACAGCCGACGTGCCTCCCTTTGTCTGGTCGGCACACCCGATCGCCCACCTTTTGGCACACGTCGCTGACGTTTTCTTCTAGCAACGCCAACGCTGTCGACCTCGGGCAGGTCATGTCCAGCGGCGCAAAGAAGCTGTGGGGCAAGGTCCGCCGTGGGTCCAACACGAGCCAGACGTCCAACTCGTCGTCCACCCCGTCTGTCACGGGCCGTGGCAGGTCGGACAGCACAGGCGCAATCCCCGTCTCACCTCGCGCAGGCCCCATGGTCGATGTCGCACCGGCCATTGTCGAGGAGGAGGAGCCGCACTCGGCGCCAGCCAGCCCTCGCCAGGGTGCCCTCCAGATGTCCGGGACCACAGACGGCGACGAGACACCCCGTCGTGGCCGCTCGCCATCACCCCCGCCGCTGTCGCTCCAGCACATGGAGGAGGTGTCGCACCACCACGGCCACCGTGGCCGGTCACCGTCGCCTCCCCCGCACCCTCTGGAGGACGAAGACGAAGAGGACGACGACGAGGAGCGCTTTGCCAACGGCCAGGACGACGACGAGAACCGCAGCCAAAACAGCAGCAGCAACAACAACGAAGAGGACCACCGCACGCACGACGATGCCGATGCCGAGCATCTCTCGCACCACAACTCGACCGCTGCCGCCCTCGGCTTTGAGCTCCGCGACTACAAGAAGCGCCCAGCATGGGACCGTCGCGGGTCCGCCCACTCGATCCACTCCAACCACTCGAGCTCGAGCCTCAACCGTCTCGCCGACGGCCACACACACGAGGCCACCTCCCAGGTCTAAGCGTCAAGTGTGTGCCACGACCGGCCGTGGCCGTGAATGTGCGATGCACACGCGCACGCACACGCACACAGCCGCGCGTAACTTGATCCAACGCCCACACCCCATATATCTACCCGTGGGCACGACCTATCTGTCGGCTTGTTCGTTCTCCCATCTCGAGCATCACCACCTCCACCCTGTCACCTTTGTTTGATTTTAGCATAGAGAATTCGCCCAAAAAGGCTGTTAAATGGCCTGCCTCCCCCATCTCATGCCCTCACTCCCTGCCAGAGCGCTCGCCCGAAGCAGCGTACGCGGGTCAAGTCGAGTGGCGAGGGGGGGCACAGTGTACCAAAAGAGACCGCGATCCGTGTCTGTGACTGCATGTAACTTGTTCTGCACCAACACCAACACCAACACCACCACCCACGTGGACACAAGACCACTTGGCCCACTTGGCCCACTTGGTTTACCCAGCACTGACGTCGACACAGGCCTCCGTCTGTTGCACACAGCCTGGGCCCCCGTTCATAAGACCCTCACTCCATGTACCAATGTCGACGACGGCCTGGGACGGACATGCCCGAGACACCGACCGTCCCTCCCACTGCAGCCGTCGTCGTAGTGCAAGCCACAGCAGGTGCTGCAAGTACGAGCAAGCCACCGCCCGGGGCGCCGGACCGCATGCCGGCGTACGCGAAAGAAGCCACGCGCCGCGCCCGCGCGCGCATACAAGTCACACACCAGGTGTGCCGTTTAACGCAACGCCGGTAACGACGTTTGGTGTTGCGTAAACCTTGGCTCGCACCGACCCGGGACCCGGGGATCCAACGATAGGCGAGACGTGAGACCTGGCGGGGGCACGGGTGGCGCGCGTGATGAGGACCCGTGGGGACGTCTGGACGCTGGCAGTGGGACCCGCCGTGGAGGCTCCGTCCCCCCAACCTTTGCATTCCGGGGCCACTGTTGTGCCCGGGACCGTCGTGTTACGCAGTCACAGCCCCTTTTCGGGGACCGTCGCTTGCAGAGCAGTGGCGGTGGTGGTGGTACGTGGTGACATGCTCGCAGCTCGGCTTTGGGCGGGTATGGAGAAATACACTGCACGGAAATACGCCGAAAATGAAGCTCCCATGGGGCCACACGACGCGGTACGTGTCGACGCGATCAAGTTGCACTTGCACCCGTAGATTACAGGCAATGCGTGCTGCAGCAACGATGTACATGCTCACCGGTCGTCGTCGCCTGCAGCCTGTGGTATGTGGTCTGTGATATGTAGTCTGTGATGTGTGATGTGTGAGACGAACGGTCAAAATGCATGCCTACGGTCTCTTTGTCTGGTCCTCCCAGGTTACGGTGGCGGGCCTTTAGGAAATGTCTTGTCCCGTTTCTAATCGATTAGAAAATTAGAACATACCCACCCCTGTTCCCTCTCAAGACCTCCTGTGCCCAAGAGTCAGCGTGCAACCGTTCAGAGTCAAATGACGGGGTTGGGGGACCCGTGAGGTGCTTGCCATGTACGTTCGAAATGGTGAGGCACTCACGCATGCCTTCGTGGAAGTCTGAAGACCTAAGAAGGGCCACCGCCTCACCGGACTGGCGAGGTGAAGTGTGGCACAGAGGTAACACTGGTCAGTCGTGTGGGTTTGCCAGTCGCCCTCGTCATCTTCCGCACTGCTGCATCGGATACACTGCAAAGACTGCCCTCGTCACCGAACTACTGGCCAGAGCAACGCGCCTCGATCCACGCGCGCTCACGACCGACCGTCGTGAGGTTTTCGCATGGGCCGTCCTCGCGAACCACGACCACGTCCTCGATACGCACACCGCCGACGGGAAGGTACTTTTTCAGCACCTCCTGGTCGACAAACTCCGAGTCCCAGACCTTGTGCGTGTCGAGCAGCTGCGGGGGGAAGTAGCAGCCAGGCTCGACGGTGAGGACCATGCCGGCGCGCAGGGGCACGCGGATACGGAGGTACGCGTACAGGTGGGCGGGGGTCGACGACGACGTCTCGGGGAGGTCGACCTTGGTGGTGCGCAGGTACTGCAGCGAGTCGTGGACGTCGAGGCCCAGCGAGTGCCCGAGACCATGCGGGAAGAAGGGGGCCGAGATACCCGACTGGAGAACAGCCTCGGGCGTGCCCTTGAAAATACCCAGCTTGAGGAAACCGTCAATGAGCACCTTGTGCGCGTGCAGGTGCAACGTGTCCCAGTGGGCACCCACACGGACGAGATCCTCGCATTCCTGGAACGGTTAGCTATGTATCTCCTGAGAGGTGGGCGAAAAGCTAACCTTTTGCATCCTGAGGACCAGCTCGTAAATTTCGCCGGCACGCTCCGTAAACTTGCCGCCGTTGCCGACGGGGATGGTGCGCGTCACATCGGACGCGTAGCCGTGCCAGTCGCAGCCGGCATCGACAAGGAGCACCTGGGGCTCAAACGAGCCCGTGTGCAGCGAGAGCGACGGGGTCTCGTGCGTGTGGTCTGCAACGTCGCCACAGCAGCCACGGGCAAGGCGGCGCGGCGTGAAGGTCGTGTCTCCAGGAGCACGAGGCCTGGCCGTGGACGGGAACAGGCGGTCGTTGCAGACATAGTGCAACGTGCTCGCGCGCGATCCGGACGCGCAGATCGGGAGGTAGGCCTGCTCGGCACCCATGCGCCGGCAGGTCGCCACAAAGAGGGCCTCGGCATCGGCCTCGCTCTCCACCTCCCACTGGGTCAGAGTCTCGTGACCCGTACGCTCCTCCTTGACGTTGGTATTGGCCGTCTTGGCTCGCAGAGCAGCAAAGCGACCGAGCTCGCGCATAAGAACCTCGTGGGCGCCAGAGGTGATCTTGTTGGCACGGCGGATGAGGTCAATCTCGTCCTCGGTCTTGGTAAGACGAGCAACGTGGAGCGCATCGCGGAGGAGGTCGGTACGGTGCTTGAACGCTCCGGCGAGCGAGAGGACGTCCTGGGGGAGAGGAGGGAAGTCGTGCGTGAGCGGGAGGGTGTGCAGGGTCACGCTGGCGTCCGCGAGCGGAGTGAGAGCAGCCTTGAGCTCGTCCGTGTGGCCCAGCTTGTCCGTGTCGAAACGGCCGGCGGCATCCTCGAGCGTGGGGGGCGCGACAGACCACATGGTCTCGAGCGGGTCGGCACGGGGAATGAACAAGGTGTGGTGGAGCTCATTGGCACCGGGCTTGAAGACGATCAGAACCGAAGTCGAGGGGACATCGTGGGCTCCAGTGAGATAGTTGAAGTTGGCCTCTTGGTCTGCAGGGCGAAGGCAATGAGGGAGACAGGTGTCAAGGCGGCAAGATAAGCAGAGACGGCGCGTCAGCTTGAGCACTTGAAGGTAGCACACCTGGGACTTACGGTACGGCAGCTCGCGGTCAGTGTCGTCGCGGCACGACGTCGGGAGACCTTGGAGGAAGACAGCGTGGACCTGTGCAATCGTCAGACGCGCTCGTACAAGGTTGTTCTCAGCAGTGGCGACTCACACCAGCGCGGTCCGCCTCGGTAAGCAAGCGCGAGAGCTCTGTGGCGAGCTTGGCAGCGTGGGCGCGAGCGGGGAACTTGCTGCCAGAAGGAGCGGGCTCGGTGTTTCCGTTAGCGATGGTCATGGTGTGTTGGATAGATGTTGAATGGAGAGAAGAAACGATACCAAGGTTGTGGAGTTTGATACGGAGCGCGTGGGCGATCATCAGATGAAATCCGGCCAAGTCCGGCACCACGCGGTTACACGCACCCAATCTAAGCGCCGGCCGGATCTCCACAGCAGCCCCTGGCAAACCAAACCGCTCGCACCACAGGTTCCCGACAGCTATAGCTATGCTATGCATACAATCTATGACAACAAATGGTCTTTCTATGTAGTTTATATCCTGTCGATAAACACCTCAGACTTGGACGGCCGGCGTTTAGGCTTGGGCTTGGGCTCGGGCTGCACCGAAGACAGCAACTTGTCGATACGAGCCGCGTACTCGTCCTTGAACAAGTCTTCGTCCGTACCCACGCCCACATCGCGCGTCTCAATGGCGGGTAGTGGGTGTACAGAAGGTGTGGGCTGAGGTAGTGGTGGTGGTGGATTGTGCCCATGTGGCCCCGTCTGCCCCCAATCCCATGGCCAGCCAATGGTCGAAATACCCACACCGAGAATCACAAATGTAACAATGGTGGCTAAAGGTTAGCACGAAGAACGCTCCCTTACGACGTACCGATAGCTCGCCTGGTCGCTTCCCACTTTGCACTCTCAATTTCCGTGCGCAGGTCACCGACCGAGATGGTCGCACGGCTATTGATCTCCTGCAGCACTGTCAGTTTGTTGACACTGGACGTGGCAAGACTAAGACTACCCACCTCGATCATAATGTCCCGGTTCTTCTTGTCGTTACGGTTCTCGTCTTTGCGGTTGTTCAGGTCCAGCTCGACATCGTGTTTGAGCACCTGCATGTCGCCTGCCATCTTGTGTTCGACGCGCTCCAGCTCGCGGCGCAGCGCGCCGACAGTGTCGCGCGCCACCTGGCCCGTGTTCCGGTTGCGTACATTGAACTCGGTGCGGAGCTTGGACATTGCAGCCTTGAAGAGGTAGGCCTCCTGGCAATGTTAGAAGCCAAAACATAACAATAACAACAACCCACGTTATCGAGCTCCTCCCTGCTGAGCATGTTGCCAGTGACGCGCTCTGTTCGATCCACGAGCACCTCGCGCGCGCCCTCCATAAAGTTCTTGGCCGTCTGGAGTGGCAGTGACGCCCTTTCCAGGTGTGACACGAACGCGTGAGAATCAAACGGATGTCTCACGCGCCGACGCGTCGCTAACGCTGGTGTCGGGAGAGGGACGGGCGCCACGGCCAGTCCGGCGGGGTTCGACTCGTCCAAGGTCGAGTCGCTGCTCGCTGCCCCCGCCGCCCAGCCATTGCTTGAGCTTTGATCTGACGCCGAGGCAGAGCTCCACTGGTAGATGGGGTCACTGGAGCTGTAGATAGAGTCGTACTCTGGCGACTGGCTGGACGAACTGGACAAGGAAGACGAGGTGGCGTCATCGGGAGGCGGCATGCCGATGACTCGAGCGTTGTCATACTCGTTTGTCTTGCCAGCGGTGTTGATGGAAATAGCTCGCGGAGCGCCCGTCCTCCCGCACCTGCTCTGTGCAGCACGGGAGGATACGCTGCGCAGAGCCTGTAGTCGCCTTGGGGTGATCATGTGGGGGGTGGGGCAAGGGGAGTGAGGATGATGGACAAGAGGGAGAGACACCAATTGACGGCCAGTGTGTGGTCTCTCTCTCTCTCCAATGGCGGTGACATGGTGACACCTGGCGGCTTGGCGGCTACTTGCGGGCCACAGCCGCAGCCAGCCACGTGGGTGGTCACGTGACAAGACCACACGTGGAACGCGCGCCTGCACTTTGATCCCGTTCCCTGCATGGAGAGGAGGGGGGTTGAATATATAATTTGGATCCATGACGACGTCTGTACTCCCTCCCGTCGTGTACAAACGGCCACTGCTGCACCACTGTGGCCATTTTCCGCGATTAATGGTCGTTGACATCTGACATCTGTGTGGGGGGGAACACCCGTTGTCACGGCGTCGATGTAGTCGGTCGTATTAGTGTTAACCCCATTCCAGTGAGGACACAGGCGCCTGATAACCAAGTACACACGGGTAGGTTGTCAACCTCGTGACTCCCCTGTGGGTGTCCATTTGCGTTGCGGTTGTGTGGCTGCAAATGTCTGGGGGCTTTGAGGATCACTGTCGACCTTTGTGGCGTCTTCCTTATGTGCCATACTTTGGCCACACCATGACATCTTGATAGGAACCAGGGACCAAGTCCAAAGACGCCGGGTGACTGCTCACTTGTGACATCAATGTTCCATGGACAGAGAAGCAAAAGCACAGGCAGACTGATAATGCCCTCAGGTACACGGTCAAACGAATGATAAACATTTGCTTTCTCTGTAGAGCCCGGCTGTTGCCAGGTTCTAGTACACGTACATACCCCCCTCCCCCATCGACACAACGATGATCCACGCACGCGTCTACGGGCGACTCTGCAACTATGGCACTCCTCTCAAATGACCTCGACGATGTGTTACTTCCAATGGCACAATGGCGCAACTCTTTTCGAAAACGCCTCTTTGGGGACTCGATGACTCGGGGGACAATAATCGTTTTATAACATTCCATCACACGGCGCTTATCAAAGCCCGCCAGTACGCGAAGCGGTGTCCATGACGCGTTCGCGCTGTCGCCCAAAGCATATTCCTTTTCGCGAGCGCATGCCCCATGATATGACCCCGGTTCCACGGAACGGGGCCCGGGACTAGACTCGGAGAGCATGCGAGCAGAAGAACCATTCGATGCGTCTGTGCTGGCGTCGGAAGAGAAGGTGCAATCCGGCAACAGCCGAGAATACGAGCGACCCGATCCACATTCACCATAGCGAGTGGCGACCGGTCCTGTATTGATTTGTACAAATACAAACAGACTAAGCGACTCTTTGAAGAGCGCCATCGACCCCCCACAACCTGTCGCCGTCACCCAAAAGTCCAATCCACTATGAGCAAAATGTTTGTGAGACGTTTCTTCTGTGAGCTAACTGTTGTCCAGATACCGCAACGGAAAGGAACATTGCCTTGCTTGTATTGTTGAGCTCCAGCAAATGGACGTGTCGGCCAGACTCCAGCGCGACAGTTCCCACAGCACTGCGGAACCCCCCATTTGTCGGGAAATTGTCATAGGAATCTCCACCTTACGCCAACTCTGCGGTGAGTGTGCTGTGCCCCTATCTGTCCCAGTGAGCATCGACCGTGAAACTATTTGGACCCAGCGGTCAAAAAAAAGGAAAGGACAAAGACTACATACACTACTGGAGCCCGGCCGTTGTTGCGTAAGCCAGGGGGTGGCCAGGGGTGGTGGTCCCTCGCTTTTGGCTGAGTCATCATCATCGTACATAATATCACATGATGGCTCGAACACGGCGAGGCACAGAGACGGAATGTGGAAGAGAGGGGGAGACAGCTCGAGCGGGTGACAGAGACTGAGATCCATGAGAGATCGGGTCATGTGGCGTTTTCATTTCTTGCCGCGGACCTTTAATGCTCACTCTCTGTCTCGATCTCTGCCTTGTTTGTCCCTCCGTTCCAGCCCCCCCGTCGGGCCCTTTTGGCTTACGCCACGCATCCGATACCGGTCAGAACACACTGCGGGCACCTGCGTGTCCGTGGTCTGTCTGTCTGTCTGGTGCAAGCGCATCGTTCTCGTGTCTGCTCTATGGGCCGTCCCCTTGACAGATTGTCCATCGCTATTGCGTCTTCGATGCATGACAATTCTCGTAGACACCTCTCAGTGCAGTGCGACTCGGTGGACGAAGACCGTTTGCGTGCCTGGGACCGCTCCGCAGCCAGTCCGAAACAGCTGCCGTCCACACTAGTTGGACTGCGGTCTGGCGTTACCTCCAGGCGTTGTTCTGGCCTGGACCTCTGGCATACTCGCAACGTTCGTTGGCACGGTTTGGATACGAGTAAAGCAGCTGCTTTACCGTTGTTTTTCTGTGTCGGGCTATGCGGTCGTGCTCGTTGTCCAGGCTCCAATGGGGACTGGCTGGTCCAATGTCGACCAACCCGAGACGTCGAGCGTCGATGACATGGCCTCCAGCAACCTTCCACTCGCTGGTCCCGAGTGGCCAGTCCAGCCCCTTGTCATGGAGAGCGCAATGGGGAAGACATGGCAGCCCGCCTGGTCACCATTTTGCATCGAGGCATGTGCTAACCATTTCAGTTTGAACGAGCGCGGAAGCCGGATGTCACAACTCGGCTCCTGAGCGCGGACCGACGCCAGCCACAAAAATGTAGCCAAAGCTGCAACTCAACTTGACACACTGTGCCAACATTTTCCGACTTTGACAGCATAACATCCCATTGCACGACGTCCTTGACGAAACCATCATCCTCTGGACCAGCAACGATACACTGGCGTCGCCGCAGTGTGGCACAGATCCCAGCATTACGTCACTGTACAGCACGTGTCGGTTCGGGTGGCTCCGCAACATGGCTGTGGATGGTCGTTTGAACAAGTCGATACAGTGGCGCCCACGAGCTTCCCGAATTATCAGACGCGGTGTCTAGCTGGTAACCTTGAACTCGGTATCCCGGATGTCAACATTGGGGATGCATGCTTGCTGGTGGAAACAAAAAGTGGGCGGTCGGGAAGATGTGGTCGGGCTGGCGCTAACAAACGCAGTGACATACCGCAAAGTTATTTGAGCCGGCCTCCCCCACCACCTCGGACAGTTCCACAGCGACACGGCGGAGACGCAGTGTCCATCTACAAGGATGTCATTATGTTGGCGCTCACTGGACACAACAGTGCCAAGTACATGTCACTCGTGGTTGGGCCCTTTACTGGACGTGGACGAAGCCAGGTCCTGTTGCCAAAACCTGATTCCCGGAAACCGTCACCGTCGCCGGTTTAGGAGGACTTTGTGCTCGACCATATCCTTCTTTTAAACAGGCTTCCTCATTCTCTGGATGGCAGGTCGGCTACAGCCATCCTCTGCAAGTCGGTTTCGGACAGAGGGACGGCTTGCATCGACAAGGAAGGTGATGGGGCCGGCTGCCGGCCAAAGCGAGAGCTGACCATCACGCCCACTTCCAAACTTGTCCGCCCGCCTACCTGTCATCCTGTACTGCAGGGCCTGCATCGACTGGGTCTTGGCCACAAGGACCTCGCTCCCTCGTGAACGTCAATTTGGCACGTCGACACAGGCCACGGGTGACTTGTACGCGGTCTCTCGATTTCTGGTGGGACCGAGATCTCACTCGGTGGCGACGTCGCATCCCCGGTCCCTCGAGGAAGATTGCCCAATGGACCGCCCGACTACCACCCATGTTATCCTGCTCAAAATCGGTGACGGATCGCGCCACTCATGGCAGCAGTCGACCTTGGCCGTCATTTTGCTGTCAGTGGAAACTGGCCCGGAAGGGAGACAAGACGCAGAGACGAACAAGTTGTCCGACGCAGCCATGTTCCGAACTGGACACGGCAGCGTCTGGGACGTAGAGGTCAAGCATAGATTACTTGCTTATTCTGCTCGTGCTGATATGGATATTTGGCGGGCCTGCGCCTGGACTGGACAAGAACTGCGCCTGACTGGCCATGGACGCTGTTAGTCACACCACCCCAAAAGTTTCTTGTCCCAGTTCCACACTGCTGCCCCGGCTCTGTGTGAGCATATTGTCCCCCCACTGTTGCGGCGGAGTCTGGAGATAGTGTGTGCATGGGTATGGCACTCGACTGTGGAGATGGTGATGATGAAGAGAGGAAGATAATGGCGCTAGGTCGCTCCTCAATCACCGCCCCCGGTGTACTGGTCGCCTTCCGTGACTTGGTCTCGCCACTCGTCTCGTCTGCCTGTCCTGCTTGCTATACATGCTGCACGTACAGAGGTTCCAGGAGCACACGTGTGGAGGACGGCCCCCACTGGTCGTTGAGACGCTGTCGACAGGACATGGGCCTCTCCCGCTGGGAAACAGGAAGGTGGATGTGGAAGCCTCAGCCCCCGACGCGACGATGGGCTGTACACCGTCCACACGCTGTCCGGGCAGTCGGTCCAGCCACGAGAGACGCTTGGATAGGAAGGAGGACGAGATACACACCATTGCACACCCCAACAGACAATGGTGGTGAGCTGTGGCACGGAATCTCACAGCGGCGGAGCCGATTCCACAGCTCGAAACGCTCCGACATGGAACTGCCACGATACCGCACAGCCCGCATCCACCACCATGGACAGTGTCAACGGATGTCATAATGGTATCGCTACTGAAGGAGTATCACCAATGCGTTTCCAGCACTGTGTGAGTCGCGCAAGCAACGCGGAGAAGCGCCCAAGAGCTGATTTCGGGTCTAGATCAAAATATCCCTGGACGCGACCACGAGCCGTCCCGTCTCCACCGCCACGGCCTTGCGCGATGCCAAACATAATGAGCAGGCCACGGAGGGGATACGGCACAAGCGTTCTAGTGGGTAACCACGGCGCTGCAACACGCTGGTCGTCGGAGGGGACGTTTTCCTGGCGCCGTCACCCACATGGCAGCGGGTCGCGCGAGCCGTCCACTCCTCACCGCCAGGACATTCCGCCATCCCAGACATAATGTGATGGCCGTGGCAGGGATAGAGCAGAACACTTCTGTGGGGTTTTCCCCTTGCTGGAAGGGGTTTGTGGACGGTGGGGACGATTTCCATCGGCTGTCGGAGCAGACCACCGGCGCGTCCACGAGCCGTCCGGTCGTCACCGTCATGCCCCCTTTCCGTCGCATGTATAATGCGCAGGCCACGACGAGGGTACGACAGATCAATTCCTGTCCGTCACCACAGCTCTGTAACGCGACTGTCGACGCTGGGCACCTCATCCATGGACCGTGGGAGCTGGTATTGCCGCACGTTTCCCACGCGGTCGGTTCGTGGCTGATTTCGGTCGCATTTGCGCTGAAATAATTGTCATGGCACGCCGTGGAGCATGTGAGCATGCTGCATCAGAGGTTTGAAGTAGATCGCTGCCGGTGTTGAGTGGTGGGGGCGGTTGTCGCGCATGTCGGAGGGAATGAGAGATCGCACTTGAGAGCGTCGCACTCGATTTGGGTGGGTTTGTCGGTTTGGACCGGACGCGCGCCGTCGGCGAGTGGGGTTGGCGACGGTGCGCGAGAAATGGCACGAGCTCGTGCGATCTAATCCACACGCGTGAGTACGCCCCTGCCCTTGCCATTAGCAAGTATGTTGACGCGTTCCAGCAGCTCAAAAGTTGGAAGGGGGAAGCGGGCGACGGTGGTGGACGGGACGGGGAGATGTGCGGCGCTTTCGGTTGCGAGAGGTTTTGTGGATCTCTGAGGACTGCGTGGAGCCGCATAAATATTGTCGTGGAGAATGAGCAAGGTGAGCATTCACTGAGCGCTGTGGATGTTACGCATGCAAGACGCTGACGGAGAGCTGATGGATGTGGAATGGACAACGGCGCCCAAAAGTGGACGGCGTGGAATGGCTCGTCCCAAAATCAGCTGCCTGCCTGGGAACTCCACTCTCGCAGGTGTGCACGTTCTGAGGGCCATGAAGGAGCGCTCATGGCGCCCCCATGCAAGCGCAATATTGCTCGTGATGGTTGCGCCAAAGTGCATACACTGCGTAAAAAGGAGGTGATATGCCCCCCTCTGACGACCGCTCGTGACCAAGCGCACACCATTGCCGGCGGCCCAAAAATCCACCGCGCGCCGAGGACGAAAAATACGGCCAGAAAGCGATCCATGCCCAGCGCGTATACGTTCCATGACCGTGACGGAGCGCATTAACGCTGGATTTTTATAGTAGAGGGGTGGGGAGAGGTGGATGGGGACGAGATGGATGAGAGAATGGGCAGCGTCGATTGACGTGGAGTTTGTGAAGCGAGTCCTGAGACGCCAAAACGCCCGTAAGCGAAACGAGTGGCCAGTGGCCGTCGTCACATCGTTGACACCATTGCTGACACGCCAGCTGTCATCCATCATGTAGTACAATAATATCGTCTCTTTCACAGCATCTGCACGCCCCCATCCCACTGCCTGGCCACTTTGCCACACGGCAAACGCAACGCAGGACAGTGGCAACGACCTCTGTGCGCCACCTGTGGTTCCAGCGTCGTCTAGCACTTTCCCCCCGTCCTCGTCCTCGGCCCCCCTGCTCGAGTCTGCGCGCCTCGCGCGCCTCGGTACACCCACACCCTCTGCACCATGTTCCCCGATCGCCGTGTCTGCGTTGGCAAGCTGCATCTGTGGCTCCTTGTGACGACTGTCGACGATCGTCATGTCTAGAGTAAGCCAAAACCAGGCCGGGGGCGGTCACGAGCGACACACCACAGTTCGCCAACGTCTATCTCCCTGAAGAGCACCTACACAATTCACGGCCCCCGGCAAGGGAGGGAGGGGACCGAGATGGTGCGGGAAATGGGCGCGGTCACGCAGCACAAGTTGGCGCAGCTCCGAACCCCGATTAGGCGGTTGGCCGTTTACCTGCCTGGAGAGGCCTGTGGCCTGTGGAAGGATGCGCGCCGAAAGGGTATCCGTCGGGGGGGCCAAAGGTGCCATTCACAGATGTGAGTTTTTACCCACCGGTTCCTGAAGCATTTTGTGGGTGGAATGGATCTCTGGTTGTGTCGTTTTGCGCGCTGTCATGCACACTGGCCATATTGGCAAGAATCTGCCACCATTGGCGACAAACTGCCACTGGGTCCAGAGCCACAGCAACCAAATTGTACGAAATGTGAAGATGTGATGTCGTGTGGCCGCCCCCAGCGCCGACTGGCCACTGGGCTCCGGCGACCTGTATATATGTATATCCCGCAACACCCACCCACCAAGTACGACATGTCATCCGCCTTAAGCTCATGACGTCGCCGATCTTGTCTGTGCCTGCGGCCCGCCCAAATCGGGTGGCAACCATGCCGACATCGGGGCGGGGGCCAGAGTGGCCAGAGTTGATCTTCCTCTCGCTCCCCACCGTGTCCAAGCCGTCACCCTGGTCGAGCGCCGCCTTGCCTTCAGCAGTGCCAGACGGGGATCCAGACCACACCACACATCGCAACGGAAAGCATGTCTCTGTGCCGCATGGGACGGCGTTGCCGTGTGGAGCAAGTCGTCGAGGCCGGCTGCCACGGCGACCCCTGCCCCCTCCTCGTGGCCACATGGCGCCACCAGCAGAATCCCAGACGTCCCAAGGCGCCGCGCCACGGAGCGGAGGCGGGTGGGGGTAGGACCAGAGGGGGCGGGCGGGGCGGGCGTGCATGAGGGTGGGCGGCAAAAAGTGTGGCTGGCGCCGGCGAAGAGCGGAGGCCATGCCATGTGCATGCCTGCATGCCTGCCTGCCTGCCATGCTGTCCGGTGGGGGCAGTGGAGCACAAGAACAAGACAAGCGTCGAGGGCCACCTACTTCTGTCAGAGCACGCCGCTCGTCTCCAGCCTTTGCGGCGGTATGCCACACGTCACCGCCACCACACATGCCTCCCCCCCGGGCGCCTGTCTGTGCTAGAACCTACCATTGAGAACACGCCATCGTCGTGGTCTTCCTTTGGTGTTTCCTTTGAGGTGTTGCGCGCGCGTAGCGATAAGTCCACAGACCCTGGGGCGGCCGATTCGGTGCAATGTTTCCTGCACGCGCCCGAACCACATCCAGGGACGCATGTGCGAACCCATTGTCCACCATTGTGCTGCTGCTGCCGCCGCTGCCGCCGCCGCATGCACATGGGAGCACGGGAATTCGCACGCGCAACACGATCCCAGAACACCCGGAACCAGAGAGCGTGGCCGCGGGAAGGGGGCGTGCAACCCGGATGTGTGTGTCGCCTCCGAGACAGGAGTGTGGCAGAAGGTCTTGCCTTCGATTTGTAATTAACCAAGGGGAGGTGCGGGGGCGATCGGCCTATCATCGGCATGTACATTACCGCGTGTGTTGGTCCTGTTGTCGCGCGCCAGACCGTCCAAGGGTGCCAGAGGTCTCGCCCTGTCGTGCGGACTGAACGTGGTGGAACTTCGACAAGACATCAGAGCTTGGGCAAAGATCAGAACACCCACTCCCCGCAAGGCATGGTAGTCAGTTTCGACGCTGCACCTGTCTGCTCAAGGAACATGCCTTTGTGTCATAAATGGACAATAAACCCTCTACCCAAAAATGGTCGTCGTCGTCAGTGGTGTCGTGGTAATACAAGGTCTGGGACCGCCGACGTTAATCTGTCGATGGGATGTATACAACGCCTGATAGCTTAAACAGGGCGTTGTCCTTTCGTGTTATGGCGGGACAAGCGCGCTGACGAGGTTAGTATTATGCCTTCTCTCTCAGACTTTGTCAATCCAAAGGACAACAAAAGGACTCACAGTTTGCGAAAACTCGTTCGTTGGACCCAGTGGCCCCAATACAGCGTGAGTTTGCTTCCAAGCTGGTATCCTCCCAAATGTGGTTCGAGAGCATTGATGCCCAGAGGTACAGGGCCCCCTCCGCAAAGGGAGACGATGCGAGCCAGCCATGCGATGATGTGGCAGTCGGCGATGCTCTGTGACAATTAGCCGTGGCTAATGCGCTTCCTGCTTGTTTGTTGCGCCTTTTTTCCGGACCACGTTGGTTGTCTTTTGTGCCACTTTTCAGATTCACAAATAACAGAACAAACGTGGTCGGTCTGGCAGGTCTGGACGGCCTCTTTGTTCTCGAGGCCTCATTCGCCCGAGTTTTTTTTTGTAAAAGGTGCTCACCAAATCGTCGCCCAAGGCATACGGCCCAGCCATCAAGGCCTCGAGTTTGGACAGTGTTGACGGGAGGTGGACTGTCCAAGCGGCCCTGCTTGCGTGATAAAAGTCTCTCCGTTGGTCTTCCCCCGAGTCTCCGGTGTAAATGTCGAGGAGGGCGTTGTTTGACGCTGCCTTGTCCTCGAGAAACAGGACGACCTGGCGGTCCCAAGTGGATGATTTGCCATTCTGGGGGCTGGACATGTCGTCTGCCATCTCCTGCGAGTAGTGTTTGAACGCCAGTTTTCGGGTTTCGAGCATTGAGCCCTGTGGGCCGGCCCATTTGACCTTTAGTTCTGCGAGGTTTCGACAGGACAGGTCTAGAAAGTTGGGGTCGACCAAAGACTGGCGAACGAGGCGAATTAGGCCCTCTGACAGTGCCTTGTCTGTTTGTGCAGAGAAATTGGTCAGAATAAAATGGCCCGGTAAAACAATACCAATTAAAATTCAGAGTCAGTCTCACCAGCGTAGGATATTGGTGACAGTGTGGGAGCATGCTTCCTCGAGTTGGAGTTGGAGGTGCTTGTCGTCAACGGCGTCCTTGCTTGGTCGATAAAGTCACAAATACTCTGCGTTCATAAGCGGCGTTAGCTAAAAGGCCATAATTCCCCAGCGATCCCCACCGAAATGTCGGTCAGTGTCTGGAATGCAAACTCTGATTTGCCAACCATCATGTCGACGGTAGGGACGACGAGTGCAGGGATTGTTGCTGTGCCGACGAGTCAGTTGACCGATGCCTTTTCGGTAATGATGCCAAATCACGCCGTTTGGGTACCTTTTATGTTTAGGCTGCTGAGCGGTACCGTGTCATGAGCGTTTCTTCTTTTAATGGTGTACGATTCGCCGCCACTGTGTTGTTCGACATACCGCAGGTAGCGTGGGGAGAAGTTCTCACCCTGGGCTGGGAAAGAATGTGGTCAGCAATGGTCAAGTGTTGTGCGCGCGCCCGCTCGCCACCCGTGTACGTGTGTGTGGGTGGGGGTGTCCACCGCTGCAGTGCTAGTACTCACTAATGTCGACGTGTGAGATGACATACTCGTCGTCGCTGTATCCTTTCTCGATGAGACACAGTGCAGGTACCATGGAGAGTGCCGACGTAGGCCAGCTGGAGGAGCATTGTGTGAGTGCTCGGACGGAGGAGGATACATGGAGTGTGTGAAAGCACGGCTATAAATAAGTATAACCACCATTGCCACCACGACCTCATGATGTTTGTGAGAGCAAGTGGAAAGTGGTACGGCTGGAGGGGTGTGGAAGACATGTGCGCCAAGCGCGTGTGGATGGCCGCGTGTGTGGAGGTGGTGTAGCGTGTGGGGGGGTTGTGGTTACGTACCAGTAGAGGACAGCGCGCGGGGGGTCGTCCGCCCCCTGCATGGTTGTTGTACCGATATATGGTTGTTTGTTCGTGATGAGTGATGAGGTTGTTGACTGTATGGATGGGAGTGGAGGATGTAGTGGAGGCGAAAGAAGAAGGGAGGGGGGAACGGGGCAAATGTCGACTTGCTCGGGTGTATGATGGGTTAAACGAATTGAACACACACAATCCACACGAAGACAAACGCGGGCAGGCAGGGCGCGAGGGACGGCTCCAGGGGGGGAACGGGGGGCCGGGGGGGGGGGGGGGGAGCCAAAGGGCAGGCGGCAGGACAAGAGTCAAAAGACGGCACCGGAGGCGGACGCTGCTGAGCGTTTGCTGGCGTGTGGCCTGCAGCCAGCCGAGAGAGCGATACAGGAACAAACCCACATACCACATAACATACCACAGAGGTAAGGAGGCGCGGCCGAGGAGGAGGACGAGGAGGAGGAGGACGAGGAGGGAGAGGGGCCTTGGCTTCCCCTCCAGGGCCACAGAAACCACCAGCACCCCCATGCCACCCTCCCGGCCGCCACCACATCCACCACCACCACCACCACCGGCCACCCACCACTGCGAGCCTACAACATGCACAGCACACCCATGCACTCACACAGGTTCTCATACCGACGGAACAATAAAAAGGTTTCACAGCATATGCACCCAGAGCCCCACCCACCCACCCACTGCCAATACATGTATACATGCGTGTGAGAGACCTGTTTTTGTGCCCCCCCTGCCTCTGGCCTCTGGGCGATCATGTGTGGATAGGTGTATGGGTGGCGCGTTTTAACCGTTTTGGATCCGAAGCGGGGGGCGGCGTGTGGGCGTGCGGGCGTGGCTGGGTGGACGTGAGTGTTTGTGGCCCGTGTGGGTGGTGGGTGCAACGGATGGAATCGATCAATCGTCGTCGTCGTCGTCGTCTTGTCCTCTGGCCTCGTCCATCTCTCTCTCTCTCTCTCTCTCTCTCTCTCTCCTGCCATCTGCATCCCCCCACATCTTTCCTCGTCTTTCTCGTCCTCGTTCTCGCTTCACTCCTCGCCCGGAAACCATTCCTCGCTACCGAAGAACACTCTCTCACAACCATCTCCCGCTCCCTCCCCCCCGCACTCACCATGGCCCCACCACCCCCACCTCATCCACCGCTCCACATTGACAAACTATCCCTCCAAAAATGCACCGTCCCTCAACTAAAGGCTAAATGCCAGCTGGTAAATGCATCGCCCTCTCCCCGCCGCCCCCTCCCGCCTTCGCCTACCTTGCTTGGCTCCCTCCGTCCCTCCATCAACATCCTCACCCCCCCCCCCACCTCGACCCACATTTTTCTCCAACGGGGTGCGAGGGCGCACATGCCTGTACTGACATTTTCCGCCCAGCTCGGCCTGCAAGGCGTGTCCAAGCTGAACAAGGCGTCGCTCGTACAGAAGATTCTTGACACGGCCGTTTCCTCTCGGCAACGCTTGCCAACGTCTGACACAACCGCTGCAGCTTCATTGCCCAGCTCCACATCCACCCCCCTCCCACAGGCCCATTCCTCAACCGATGCCCGTTCCCATGCCCCGTCTACCATTCCTCGGGCGGCGCAAACGCACAACGTCGGCAACAAGAAGCGCCGCCGCGGAGACTTGCAGGCCCTTGCGGCTACCATTCCTTCCAACGGTCTTGGCGGCCATCGTCGTACAGACCAAGCCGCGACAATGGGTGTTGCAACACTGTCATCAAAACAAGATCCACGTCACGTCCACTCACCTTCCTCCCTCCGACACCCGCCTTCCCTCTCACCTTCCTTTCCCCCAGTACAGTCACCTCCCGCGTCCGCATTCTGTTCGTCTGCAAATAAAAGGACAGCTGACCGCACTGTCACTGCGTCTACGGCTCTGCCCAGTCCCAAGCTTGGGCACGGAGTGAACAACACGTCAAGCACAGTCACGTTACTTGGCAAGGCCCCAAAGGCATCAATTACCCAGGCCCAATTGCCGGCGACGACTGCCGCCGCCAAACTAGCCCCAAGATTTCGCAACACAACACCTCTCGTCCAGCAACGCAAGTTTATCCCTCTCAAGGCCTCGGCGGTGCCAAGACGGTCCCCTCCAGCACCTACCCCGCCTCGCTCAAGCTTTCCACTCACAGAACTAATTTCTGATCCGCTTTCACCAGACGGCACTGTCGAGAACCGTGTGCAGCACATCAAGACTCATTTTCTCGAACGCCTGTTCCGTCGCTTGAACGCGGCGCGTTCCCCTCCCATCTTGTCGTCACCGTTCCCCACTCCAATACCGTACCCCGAGAGCCCTGCCAGGTTGCTCGCCTTCTCTGGCTTCCACCCAGCGGTCTATTCGTGCCCCAACGAGGCCTTTCAAGTCGCCAAGCGGTTCTGGATCACGCGCGCGCACACAATGTTCCAGCTCGGTTCGGCGCAGGACTGGTCCGTAAACGCAACGGGAATGGGCATTCTCAGTCCTGACCTGGCTACGTGGCCAGCGGTAACCGCTTGCGAAATGGTCACCGAGGACATCTTTGTGGTGACCACATGCAGTTCCGAGGCACTTGCCGCTGCTGGCACCTCGACGGATGATCGCTTCCAAGGAGGTTCTACAACGGCACCCATTTCGCAACCTCACAGCAACGTACAGTACCTCGTCGTCGCCGCCACTGGTGAGGTTATTGCTTCGTCTCTTTCCGCCCACGAGGTCGCGAATGGCCAAGAGGCAACACGGCCAGTGATTCACGGATGCGCGCTCCGGGCCGACTGGAGTGCCTTTATTCAATCGCGCCAGAGCGTCCCAGAAGCCTGCGATCACCCACCTTTCCCCAAACCAGCCAGACCGTCACTCATCAGCCACGTCAAGACCAAAGACGCGACGGCTTTCCCGCAAGGAATCAACAAGGCATGGGCTGGCGCATTTGATACGCCTCAGGCAGCGTTAGCCGTAGCAGCAAGGGCTGTCCTCGCCAGCTGCGCCCTTAACAGGTGAGGCCCAACGAGCACACAGCGTCGGCGGCCAAACACACTGACCCCTTTGCCTCTCCCAGCTTGAGCGGCATCAAGCTGGACGCGCTGCAAATGGACGGTCTGTGGAACAACAACTTGACGTCGCCATCCGCGTCGACCAAAAAAGATATCGAGCTGTACCTTGCCGAGTGAGTCTGATAATGTCAAAAACAGCGGTATGCCCCAAAAAGGTGTGCATTTTCCGCCGTGTCTGCTTTGTGTGGTTTTGTTTTGTTCCAGCTGATCAGCTGACCTGCTTTGTTTTGTTTATTTCCAGATCCCACCACGTCCTCTCCGTTCACCTGCCCCCACCGCCCTTCAGCCCCGCGCTGGCCGTCGTGCACCGCGGCAGCGGCAAGTCCGACTATGTGCTCCGCGACACCGGTCACGTGGTCGGCGACGAAGATGGAGGCGTCACACCGCTGTGGCAGGGCCTGCTGGGTGTAGACTACAAGGGTGTCGAGGTAGCAGACGTCATGGGGTTCTGGCAAGGATGGGAACGCCGTCTGCAGGCGGATGTGGTCTGACGAGTATAAGAAAACAAAGGCTGTGTGCACACGGCAGTTCTGGAGTAGGTATATACATGCAAAATGGACACGATGCAGGTCATGTTGAGGTGAAGACGCCCACCCGCCCCGTCTACTTCTTCTTAATCTCCCTAAGCTTGATAGTCTCGTCACCAATGAAGATACCCTGTCAAGTGTCAGCTGTGTGTCCAAGCAAGCGTTTTCCGGCAGCGTTATTCTGCACTCACCTTTCCACGGTAGGGTTCGGGCTTGCGCCAGCGACGGATCTTGGCGGCAAAGAGACCCAGCTTTTGCTTGTCGTTTCCGGTGAGGACAATCTTGGTCGGCTGGGGGACGGCGACCTTGATTCCATCGGGAATGTCCAGGAGGACGGGGTGCGAGTATCCGAGCTTGATGTTCAGACGCTCGGTCGGGTGAGGCGGCAGGACATAGGGGGGAGCGCCGGCCTTGACTGGGCGGACGGCGCGGGGGATCTTGGCCTGGATGTCGCGGAAGACCTGGGGGATGGGCTCAACGGCCGCACGGTAACCGACACCGACGAGCTTGAGCTCGACAGAGTAGCCCGTCGTGACGCCGACAACGGCGTTGTGGATGAGCGAGCGGGTAAGACCCCACACGGACGCGTGCGACTTTTGCTCGGCGTCATGCACCGACACGACGAGCGCGCCGCCCTGCTCCGCTGGCGGCGTGAGGATCACTGGGGGCTCAATCGAGATGACCTGCGAGCCGAGGGGTCCCTTGACCTCGACGAGACGGCGAGCGATCGGCGATGTGCGCGGGACGGTAGGGTCGATGGACATGGGCGGGTACGAGAGGGTGACGCCGGCGGGGATGGGGACGGGCAGCGAGCCAATGTGCGACTGGGCCCGTGCCGACGAGTGGAATGCCCGTCGGAGAGGCTGGAACGCCGCGCGAGACGAGCTCATGGTGGACGAGTGGGTGTGGGTGGTAAAGTAGGTGGTATGTTATAGTCGTCCTTTGCTGCTGCCCGACATTTCACGACCACTCTCGGACTGGCATCTGAATCAGATGGTAGAGCCAGATCGGGATTAATACAGAAAAAATACCCGCCCAGATATTCTCCGCTCTGGCGGTGGTCGGCGAGGTCCACCCACAGCCTGCTGCTTGTGTTTCTGTGGACATTGAGCTCATCAACACATAACTACCACCTTCCAAGTCACAACCATCCACACAATGGGCAAGAAGAAGAGGACGCAGGTCTTTGTACGTCGTCGAGCTTGTAATACAGGACCGGAGCTAACAACCCCAGGTGCTCAAGCCATGGTGCTGGTACTGCGAGCGCGAGTTTGAGGATGAGAAGGGTGAGAGTGACCCATATCCATGAAACCAACCCCCCGGCCGCTGACATGCACAGTGCTCTTGCAACATCAAAAGTCAAAGCACTTCAAATGCCAGCTGTGTCCACGCAAGCTTAACGTGGGTTCTCGAATCTATCGCCACGCTGACCCACGCAGACGGCCGGCGGTCTGATGGTCCACTCGCAACAGGTGCACAAGAGCGAGCCCGAGCCGCTCACCAACACGCTGCCCGGCCGCGACGGCTACGACATTGAGATCTTTGGAATGGAGGGTGTGCCCACAAACGCCCTGGCAGAGTGGAAGGCGAGGAAGGAGCAGGAGGCTGGTGTGGCCGCTCTGGCGGCGGCAGCGCAGGGCAAGCGACCCCGGCACGCGTACACTGTCATTCCAGAGGCAGACCTCATGGCCGCGCTGGAGCAGCACAAGGCCCTCATGGCCATGAGGAAGAACCCCCAGCTCGCTGGCAGTGGTGCCATGTTCCCTCCAAACGGCGTTCCCCCATTCCTCCCACCGTAAGTGGATTGCCGCAGGCCGTAGGCTCGTTTGCTAACCCATCCACACAGTGGTGTCCGTCCCGGCTTCCCCGGCATGCCCCCACCGACTCTTCCCCCAGGCGCCGTTCCTCCCTTCCCCGGCGCGTGAGTGTCAGGCGAGTGTCCTGTACCCCGAGCTGACCCTCCATCCAGACCTCCTCCCAACTTCCGCCCACCCTTCCCTCCTCCAGGCGGCGCGATGCCACCTTTCCCCGCGCAGAACGGTCTCCCTCCCGCAACCATGGCCGCGCGAGGACCCCCACCGGCCTTTGTGGCACCACATGCGGGCCAGGCGCCAGCGCAGGCATTGGGGTCAAGTGGCGGACCCGTCACGGCCGAGGTCATGCCCCCGCGAGACGGCGTGTTCTGGCCCGACAACGACGCCTGCCCAGCCGAGAAGCGCGCACTCGAGCCTCGGTACAGGTATACGTCCCCGGGACCCGAGGACACGTCCGAGGACACGGCGACAACGGGTCAGAAGCGTAAGGCTGCGGCCGACTTTCTGTGATTGAGAGATTGATGTGCGTGGGCGTGTGTGATGTGATGGATTGTGGAGTTTATGCATGTATTCTTCAGCAGCTACTACCGGGTCTAACTCTATGACTGTAACGGCAAATAACGTCTCACATCATGCTCGGCGTGGTCCACTCCTCGACGACGCTGTACAGGTGAGTGGCCAGGCGGCGCTGGATCTGCTCGCTCGACTCCTCGGCAGTGGGAGCGACGGCACGGATGGCCACATAGCGGCGGCCAAAGACGACCTCGTCAATCGGGGCGTCGCGCTCGTACAGCTCCTGGCCGCCGGCGAAGAAGGCGCCAGTCTCCTTGAGAATGACCGCGGCCGCCTGTGTGTGGGTTAGCGGCAACAATGCTGAGGCACCTACAGCGACATCCCAAGCCCAGCAGCCGGCATCCCTGCATGTCAGCTTCCTCAGTGTATCACAGTCGCCTGCGCAGCTCACCATGAGACGTCCAGCTCGCCGGCAGCAACGTGAATGAGGTTGACGGTAGTCGCACCGGTGGCTGCGGTCAGTTTGCAAAGTCGAGCTTACAAAAACTCACTTCTCAAAGCGTGGACCATGACACCGCCATCGACACCCTTGTTGGGGTCACCGTTGAGGCGCTTGAACGAGTCGAGCTTGACCTGGATAGTCTCCATGCGGCGGTCCGAGCCCCCTGACTGTCAGCTGGATAACGTCTTTACAGCTCACACTCGGCAGCGATGAGGCACTGAGAAAGCGAGTTCAGAGGCTGAGGAATGCCGCCGGTAAGCGGGAGAGGAACGGTGCGGTTCATGAACGCGCCGTTACCGTCGCGAGCAGAGAACTGTGGTCAGCTTGGGAAGGCGGAGCTCCAGCTTACAATGCGGTTCAAGAACGGCTGCGAGATGACGCCGACGACCGGGCGCTTTTCGTGCATGACGCCGATGGAGCAGCTGACATTGGGACTGGGTATGAGTTAGGTTCTGTTCGACAAGATGACTGGAACTCACTTGGCGTGCACAAAGCTGGTTGTGGTTGGTGGTCAGTCATGTCGTCACCATAACACTGCTTGGCTCACTTCATGGTTCCCTGACGTCAGCGTCGGCTCGACAGTGTGTCACTCACGTCAATGGGGTCAACAATCCAAGTAAAGTCGTCAGTGAGGACGGGCTTCTCCTTGCCCTCGGAAGACTCTTCGCCAATGCTGGCAGGTTAGCGTTGCCTCGAACATGTCCAACCTACAACTTGTGCGAGGGGTACTTGTCCCTTGTGGTGTCAGCTCAGCTCCGGAAGACAGTCCGTAAAGCTCACGAGATGGCCTTCCTGATAAAGTCCTCGACGGCCTGGTCAGTCTCGGTGACGAGGTCGACAGCGTTCTTCTTGGTGGCAAAGTCGGCATTCTTCCAACGGGCAGCCGCGCCGTCGAGGATGAGCTTGGAAGCCTGTTCCCGTCAGACACCAACACTTGTAGAAGCCGGGGACTTTTGCGTACCTGCTCCGCAACGGTGTACGCAAACTCGAGAATCTCGGCGTAAAGCTCCTGGTCGCTGGGCATGGTGAATGTTTGGGAGTGTGCACAAAGAGTCGAGGCCTGGACAAACAAGAGCGATGAGATTGCAACACGTTCCAAAGAAAGTGGAGAAATGCGGGGCCTCTGATCTTTAGCCGTCAACACGCCTATTTTTCCGAGTAGCAAGGCGTGCCAAGCGTGTCACGTGCCTTCCACACTCGTGTGAGATTGCCACCCAACATGTTGTCGTTGAACAGTCGCACACCAGTGTTCATCGTCTCTCGCAATCCACCTTCGCCGCATCCAGCTTCACAGCGCTACAAACCACCTCCAACCCAATCCCTTCAGTCCGTCCTCGGCAGGGCCGTGTTGCGAGTAACCCAGAGCAGCACTTGCGTGGTCCACAGGCGCTTGGGCCCAGCATGGCCGACGACGCTGGTGGAGGAAGAGGCTTCACTCTATGAGTATTCCGCAACGTTCCCTCGGACCCCCAATACAGTTGCTGACAGCCATTCACATCGCATCAGAGAGTAGTCCTCGAGGTAGACTTTGCAGGTGTTCTCACTGTGAGTTGGGTGTTCTGGGACGAGCTAAGCCTTGGGGGACAATGCGTCAGCTCGTCAATGACGCTCAAACTAACGCGACGCGCAGGGCTCGGCACACCTCACGATCCACCCGACCAACCCAAGTGTGCGCACCGTCTACCTACATGCGTCGCCACTGCTTCAGATCAACAATGTCACTCTCTCCTCTCCAACACCCACCAACCCGCTCCTCGCTACGCCAGCGAGTTTTGCTCACTTGAACCCCTTTCAACCTCTTCCCGTCCGCGAGCCTCCCATCGACATCAGGAGTCACCAGGAGATCAAGCGCAAGACATGGGCGGCATTGGGGGAGCGTGATCAAGGAGAGCTGGCCATCTCTGTCTCTCATGGATGGGTGCGGCTCGTGGAGACTCCCAGTGCCACCGGCGGCGCGCCGACAGTCAGCCTGGCGCCCATCCAGATCCAGATCGACTACCAGCTCGTCGTCGGTGGAGACGTGATTGAGGGCATCCTGTTCCGCCGACCAGGTGACGGAGGAGACGACTCTGTGGGTTTCCTAGATCTCTTGAGCTGACCCAAACAGCAAATCCCACACATGTTCCTCTCGCCGACAACCTACGACGCTGCCCGCGTCTGGACACCTTGTGTCGACAGCCTGTGGGAACGATGTACCTGGGAGCTGGAGTTTATCGTTCCCCGTTACATCGAGGGTGGCGAGCCCACAGGCGACAATGACGCTTTCCCGATCATGGTGGTGGCCAGTGGCGAGCTCATTGAACAAGTGGGTGGCCCGCAGGCAGAACAGGCTGACCCATCACCAGGTGACACATCCGCACGACCCCCACAAGGTCATCTTTTACTATATCCAGACGACTCCGGCCACTGTCCAGCACATTACCTTTGCTGCTGGCCCATTCGAGATGCTCCAGGTGCCCACGGTGGCGGGCGGCGGCGAGTCGCAAAAGCCAATTCTCGCGTTCTGCCTTCCCGGCCAACTGGACGAGCTCGCAACATCGACGGCCTTCCTCGCCCGGGCAATGTCGTTCTACAGTGCCGAGTACGGCTCATTCCCCTTTAGCGCGTACAAGATGGTCTTTGTCTCAAATCCACGGTCACCGTCGTCCGTTGCCGTCACAATGAGCGTCTTCTCATCCGACCTTCTCTACTCGGACCGGGTCATCGACCAGGCGATCGAGACAAGACAGGTCTTGTCCGTAGCGCTCATCCAGCAATGGGTTGGCGTCAACATTATCCAGCGCACGCTCTCCGACACTTGGCTCGTCACGGGTCTCGCCCTCTACCTCCATGGCTTGTTCATGCGGCACCTCCTTGGCAACAACGAGTATCGGTTCAGGTTGAAAAAGGACATTGACCGCTGTGTGCACATGGACCAGGGTGACCAACTGCCTCTGTGCCAGCCCGGTGTCATTGACCCACCATCGGCCAGTGCCATGGCGTTCATCAGCATCAAGGCGCCGCTTGTTCTCCACATTCTCGACAGGCACATTGTCAAGTCGGGAACCTCCCTTGGTCTCTCGCGTGTCATCCCCCGCGTCTTCCTTGCGTCGCTGTCCGATGACCTTTCCGGCAACATGATCTCGACAGGATACTTTTTCCGTCTTTGTCGCAAGTTGTCGGGTATGGACCTGCTGTCCTTTATGGACCAGTGGATCTACGGTAGTGGTTGCCCACACCTTACCATCAGGACCAACTTTATTCGCAAAAAGTTCCTGGTCGAGTTTAACGTGACGGAGCACCTCCCGGCCATGCAAGCGACCGAGGGGTTGGATGCGAAGAGCAAGGAGAAGTGGCTTGCGCACAAACGACCGACTGCCTTCTTCGACGGCAGTTTGACTGTGCGTATCCACGAGGCAGATGGGGCACCGTTCGAGCACCTTGTCGACATTAAAACCGTCAACAAGACCTTCCCTCTTCCTTTCAACACAAAGTACAAGCGTACTCGTCGATCGGGTCACGTCGCGGCGCGCTTCAGCAAACTGCAAGACGTCCTGGCCCAGGCCGAAGATAACGACGACGCCGAGGTCGAGGAGTTGCGAGACATGGAGCGCGGCGAAGTATTCGCCTACCCGCCATGGGACGAGGAGGAGGAGCGCCGCAAGTGGCGCGTCCACGACTGGAGTGAGGAAGAAGCCGGCGCGATGCTGGGAGAAGGTGGTGGCTACGAGTGGATCCGTGTGGACCCCGACTGCGAATGGCTCGCCCACTTTGATATCCAGGAGAAGCCATGGTACTGGATCAGTCAGCTCCAGGGCGACCGAGATGTTGTGGCTCAGCTTCAGGTAAGTTGTCTCCCTGTCTTCACCCACAGGAAACCGTCAACTAACAGACCCAGGCTATCCAGCGCATGACCATGTACCCATCGCCCGTCATTGCGAGTGAGCTCGCACGAACAGTGCTGGTGGAAAATTACTACTACCGCGTGCGAATGGAAGCAGCAAGGGCACTGGCAGCCGTGAGTTTACTCATTTTACTCGTCGTTAACTCTCCAGTATAACTCGTCCGAAGCAGACTACATGGGTCTCTTCCTCTTGACCAAGCTGTTCCACGTCTTCTTCTGCCACCCGGCTGACGAGGAGGACCCAGTGAACGCCCAAGCGTATCCGCTGCCGAACGACTTTTCCAACTTTGCCAACTACTTCCTGAAGAAGAGTATGGTGACGGCCCTCTCAGAGATGCGCGACCCAGCAACACGTATGGTTTGGCGCAACGTTCGCAAGCTGCTGCTCAACGTACTTCGTTACAACGACAATGGCTCCAACGACTTTTCCGACTCGCAGTACCTCGCCACTGTGATTTCTGCAGTCGGAAGCGCGTTTGCGGCTGGCGTCAACTTGCCCGGTGTCATGGTCAGCGAAGAGGACCGCGAGGTTGACCGCCAGCTCTACAAGGAGGCGTCGGACGCCAACGAGCGTGCCATGACGGTTGACCGTCTTGTGCCCAGTTACCACAATGTGGTCACTCAGGCCGGACTGCAAGCACAGCTCAAGTCGATTCTGGTCGGCCAGCGCACCAACGACCCGAGGAGCTTCCTCAGCTACACTCGCGAAGGCAACTATGAGCCTCTGCGAATGTTGGCTTTTGACTGCCTGTTGCTGGCCAAGCCTCCTGGACGAAGCATGGCTCTGGCACAGTACCTCTTCGAGGTTATCCGCCACGACCACTCTTTGACTGTCCGCCGACATGTGGCTCGTGCCCTTTCCGAGTCGATCCTCGTCACCCTCGCCGTCGGCGAAGTATACATGTCTGTCGCCCCGGGAGTCGTCGAGGTCAACACGGACTCGAACGAGCAGCGCGAAAAGGAGCGTGAGCAGGAGCAGGCCAAGATTGTCAAGGCGCTGCGCAAGGAGTTCAACACCAAGCCCGAGATGCGGCAGATTGTTCAAGAGGCTCTCATGGACGCGTTCATCAGCAACGACAACGAGATCCTGTTTGCCCTCATTAAGGCTGCCGAGGTGATGAGCAGTGGTACTCCAGAGCCCAAGCCTGGTGCCCTCATCACTCTGTCGACGCCAGTGGCTGAGACTCCGACAAGCGCGGCACCAAAGATCCGACTCAGCCTGGCTCCTCCCAGCGCCGAGCCCAAGGCGGCCGAGGCTGCAGACTATGGCTTCCCTCGTGTGGCTGTTTCGTCACCAGACGTGATGCCTCCCAGTACCCCCATCAAGCTTGTGCTCAACCCCGCCGCGCCGCCCAAGGAGAAGAAGAAGAAGAACCTTCCCAAGGCCCAGAAGCGTGGTCTGTCGGACCAAGACTTCAAGACCATCACCATTATCCTGCAGAAACTGGCCACCGACAAGCGCAGTGTCTTCTTCCGCCAGCCCGTCGACCCTATTCGCGACCAGGCGCCAGACTACTTTGTCATCGTTTCTCAGCCTATGGACTTGTCGACTGTTCGCGCCAAGTTTGACAGCGGCATGTACACCACACGCAAGGACTTTGAGGAGGACATTCGCCTGCTGGTCCGCAACTGCTTCCTCTACAACCCTGTCGGCTCTCCGGTCCGCAAGGCAGGCGAGATCTTTGAAAAGTACTTCAACTCTGTTTGGGCAAAGACCGAAAACACGCTGAAATCGTCAATGGCTCCGGCACCGTCGGTTTCCAAGCAATCCGTCCCTGCTCGTTCTGGCGCTGCGGTGCCATTGGCAGCGTCTGGCTCTGGTTCTGGATCTGGCTCCGGATCTGGCTCTGGTCTCATGCCACCACCTCCCATTCCGCCTACTGGTGCCGCGCCCATGCGCATCAAGCTCAAGCCGTCCAAGTCTGTCACGATCGAGGTTCCTGGGTCTTCTTCTGCAACCTCACCGATGGCACCACCTCCTGTTCCTCCGCAAAAGAAGGAGAAGAAGGCTCCAAAGGAGAAGGAGAAGGGCAAGGACAAGGACAAGGACGAGGACAAGGATGCCTCGCCTGTCAAGGAAAAGCCTGCCAAAAAGAAGCGCGAGGCGAAAGAGTCGAGTTTGCTGGACGATCTCCTCGGTGCCGAGGTCGACGCCATGGACAGTGGGCGCGCCCCAGACCCGTTCGAAGACTTGCTTGGACCGACGCCGCCCATCAAAAAGGTCAAGCTTAACCCCAAGTCGTCTACGTCGAGTAATTCCTCGTCTGCCACACCACCACCGGAGCGCTTTGAGCCCAAGGGAGTGGCGGTCAAAAAGGTCAAGACCAAGGCGTCGAGCGATAAGGTGTCGTTGAGCTTCAAGCCACCTGCAGAATCGGCGTCGTCACCCTCAGCGTCGACTACCAAGGTCAAGGCCTCAGGCGAGCCTTCAATGAAGCTCAAGCTGTCGGCATCGAGCGACTCGTTGAAGTCGAAGCCTGAGAAACCTGAGAAGGCGGAGAAACCTCCGAAGATCGACAAGGCCCCGAAGATCGACAAGGCTCCGAAGGCAGACAAGTCGTCGAAGGCTGACAAGGGCGACCGTGCTGAGAGGTCGGACAAGTCTGAAAAGGCGCGCTCGAGCGAGTCGTCGTCAAAGAGTAGCAAGTCTGGTGAGTATCCCTACAAGAGCAAGTCAAGCGAGGTCTCCTCTAAGTCGCGACCAGACGACTACTCCAAGTATGGAGAGTCATCATCGTCCAAGGGCAAGTCTAGCGACAAGCCGCGGTCCAGCGACGCGTCCAAGCCCCCGAGCATCACGTTTTCGACAAAACCAAAGGCAAGCGACAGCTCGAGACCCCCCAAGTCGAGCGACTCATCCAGGCCACCCAAGTCGAGCGACAAACCAAAGTCCACCGACTCGTCCAGGGGCAAGAGTTCGTCCGACTCGTTCAAGCCTCGTGTCACCAGCGAGCCCAAGCGCTCAGACTCGCCGACCAAGAGGTCTGCTTCACCTACCAAGCTTTCCACCATGTCGTCGTCGTCGGGTGCCGGTCCGTCGACGTCGTTTGCGTATGTACCACCAGCGGTCCCAGCTGCGTCGACCTCTGCGGCTCCAGCCCCCGCCGCTGCTCCCCTCGCCTATGGTGCCGTGGTGTGGCCCAAGCCGCCCTCCGACTTGCCGCAGACAGCGTCCAACAATATGCCGTTCCGCTCCAAGAGGGCCAAGACCATGATCCAGTCGCTCATCAAGGACGTCAACGCCATCTACTTTTTGCGGCCTGTCGACCCTATCCGCGACGGGTGTCCCACATACTATGATGAGATTCGACACCCCTCGGATTACCAAACGGTCACGCGCAAGGTTGACTCGAAGAAGTACCGCACCATGGGCGAGCTTGCCCGAGACATTGAGCTCATCTTTGCCAAGTGGGTGCCTCCTCCGTTGTCGACGAACGCTGACCCAGCAGTTGCCGACAGTTTAACCCGCCTGGTGCCATTACGGACATGGCAGGAGCCAACGAGGCGCTGTTCTGGAAGGAATGGGCCAAGGCAGCGTCGTCCAGGCTCAATGCCGAGGAAAAGAAGGCCTTGCTTGCCCTGGTCAACCGCGCACTCAAGGACCCCGTCAGCTTTATTTTCCGCGAGCCTGGTGAGTGTTTCTGAATGTGTGATCGTGGCTAAACAACAAAGTCGACCCCATTGCATTGCAGATCCCACAGTACTTTGAGATTATTCCGCCAGAGGACGCGCGCGACCTGTCGCTGGTCAAGAACAAGCTGGACCGTGGGGGTTACTCGACGGCGCGACAGGTGGACGAGGATGTCGAGCTCATGCTGGAGAATGCGCGCATTTTCAACGGCGAGGGTCCTATCATGGACATTGCCAACACGTTTGGGCAGTGGTGGAAGCAACAGAGGAGCAAGTTGGACGTGTAAGGTAGTACCCAGCACCGCGATACCCCGATCCCCCGCGCGCTCGCATGTATACGTCGTGTGTTATAGTGTTATGAACGGCAGAAGTAGCTTTACAAGGTGTGCCATGTTGGGCAGTATGTCGGGCTGTTACGTGTGAATGGCCAACCTCTCTCGAGACTGGTCACATGGCTCATCGTTTTTACCGATTTTACCGAGATGACTACTGCAATCGACCGACGGTGTGCTGGGCGCGGCAGTCGCGATCAGAAATGGGTACGGCGTAGATTGCCATTGAAGGAGAGGGTGTTCTCTGTTGGGTGGCGACGGAAGCAAAATGGGGGATAAACAGCTGGAAACTCGGGATGGAATATTCGACTCTTGATCGAGCCGCTGATCGTCCATCGTCTCCAGCTCCATTATTGACGCTCGTGCTCGTGCATCCACACCCCACAACAAACAACCCACCCACACCCTCGAGCAAGAACCGACAATGTCCGCCGACGTCGCAGCAGCTGGACCATCGGTTCCTGTCGGAGCAGGCGCGCTCCCGCCCCTCGCCGAGCTCGTGGAGCGCAGCACAAAGCGCACGCGTGCAGTGTACGGCCGCGAGATTGGTGGTGTCGACGATGGGCTGGAACGGGCGTGAGTCGTGCATCCAGGCTTGTCCTGGGCAGGAACGTTTGCCTTGACGCAAGCTCTGGAGGTGTGGAGACTAGTAATCGTCGGCTGACACTTTCGGTACAGGAGCAAGATCAAGCTCACAACAAAGCTCGCGATCGAGTACAAGGATGTCCAAGTGCTTCCTCCCGTCCTGCAAGCGCAGGCTGGCCCAGCTGGACCCAAGCGGCCAGCAGCTGTTGCTGGTCCCAGTGCACCTGCTGGTGTTGGTGCTGGTCCCAAGCTCATCACTGGTGGCGAGGCGTAAGTCTAGTTGTTTACATTACTTGCGTGTAGCTGACAAAACACACCCCAGTCCCGCCTCGTCTTCGTCGTCTGCCTCTTCCTTTGCCACACCGGCACCGCGCGCGCTTGTCAAGTTCCGTCACCAGGAGGGTTTCGCCGCCGAGGGAGGCCACGCGTCGAGCCGGTTGTCACAGGCGCTCATGCGCAAAAAGGAGGCGCGCGAAGTCAAGCCCGTGTACCACCCGCAGTGGAAGCTGTCGCGCGTCATCTCGGGCCACATGGGCTGGGTGCGCGCGCTCGCTGTCGACCCTGGAAACCAGTGGTTTGCAACGGGTGCGGGCGACCGTGTGATCAAGATCTGGGACTTGGCTTCGGGCGAGCTCAAGCTGTCGCTCACCGGACACATTTCGACAATCCGCTCATTGGCAGTGTCGGACAGGCATCCGTACCTGTTCTCTGCGGGCGAGGACAAGGTGGGTTTGAAGGCTCTCGCCACTAGCTAACCCGTCAGATGGTCAAGTGCTGGGACCTCGAGACCAACAAGGTCATTCGTCATTACCACGGCCACTTTTCCGGTGTCTACAGTCTCGAGTGAGTTTACCGACTGGCGATCGTCAACTAACTCTGTTTCCAGTCTCCACCCTACCCTCGATGTTCTCGTCACCGGCGGTCGTGACTCGGCTGTCCGCGTGTGGGACATGCGCTCGCGAGCCAACATCTTCACCCTCACGGGTCACCAGAGCACGGTCGCCGACGTCAAGTGCCAGGCGTCCGACCCGCAGATCATCTCGTCCAGCATGGACAGCACAGTCAAGTGAGCTTACAACCTTGTGCGAAACTGCAGCTAACGATCCAGGCTGTGGGACCTTGCTGCGGGCAAGTGCATGACGACTCTGACGCACCACAAAAAGGCCGTCCGTGCCCTCGCCATTCACCCGACCGAGTTTAGCTTTGCCTCTGGAAGCTCAGGAACCAACAAGTGAGTGATTGCTTTGTCCCACAGCCCACTGACCTGCCAGCATTAAGAAGTGGAAGTGCCCCGAGGGTATCTTTGTCAACAACTTTACCGGCCACGAGGCCATTATCAACACGCTCTCTGTCAACGAGGAGGGCGTCATGTTCTCCGGTGGTGAGTGCCGGCGGTCGGAGACCCAAAAATAGCGCACGCGCCGCTTCCCAGTGCTGACATGCCTTCCCCAGCTGATAACGGCACACTGACCATGTGGGATTACGCGACGGGCCTGCCGTTCCAGCACATGAAGGACATTCCTCAGCCCGGATCGCTCGATGCCGAAGCAGTGAGTTTGCAGATGCCAGCCGCAGGCGGGTGGGCCCGGCGGGGCACCCATGCTCATGCAGCCCTGGGATACGCCATGGGATGTTACGCTGACGAACCTCCTCTCTCTTTCTCTCAGGGCGTGTTCTGTTCCGCATTTGACCGCACGGGCACCAGGCTTATTACTGGCGGTGCCGACAAGACGATTAAAGTGTACTCTGAGATGGCATAGACGTGGGGGAGGGGGAGGAGGAGCTGGTGAGACAGACGAGAGGAAGACTGTGGGTGAACGGCAGTGCGCGGCAATACCCGGCATGTTCCCGTTGTGTAGAATGATGTATGGATATACCCCGCGTATGAGACGGAGCTAGTATGGGCTCAATCGCCCCATTCCGACAACAAGCAGTGGCGGGCTGCGTCTGCCGCCCCATGGTCTGTCAACAGAGCTTGACGGCGCGTACGGCGCCAAGCGAGACCTGTGGTACTGTGTACTGAGGTACTGTGTGGTCTGTGTTGCCCGCGTGCGCAGAGACGCCTTGGCGGCTGGGCTGTGGGCCGCCCGCTGGTTGACCGATTCGGTGGACCGGTTCGGTGGACAGTGGCCATAGTGGGGCTTGCGGTGAGTTGTCTAGCGAGCTTGCGCACGCCCGCTGGCGACAGCGCAGACAAAACGACGGCGGGATGAATGTACCGAGCCTCCGAGAGCGCCAACAGGTGCACCAGACGAGCAAAAAATCCCACGTGAACGAGCGACCGGTCCGCGTCGCCGGGGGGGAGCTGCCCGGGCCAACACCGGGCCGCTCAGGGCCAGACGGTCCGGGACTGCCGCCCAGTGCCGCCCGCGCGCGAGCAATGCTCCGCCTGGTGTGTGGTGAGCACAAGCGGCGAGAGCGGCGAAGGCCAGCAGAGAGAACGAGCAGAGGCCAGCAATGCCCAGCGGCGTGGAGCAAATATAATACCTTGGGCAGGTTGGGTCGTTCAGTCTTCCCATTGTCCTCTGCCAAACCCATTCTCTCTATCTCTCTCTCTCTGTCTCGTGTCCCCCTCCCCCTCTCTCTGCCCCCCACACCACCACCACCACCTTTTCCTCATCCACCATGACTGTCGCAAACGGCAACGGCGCTGCTCCCCAGCGTGTTCTCAAGTCGGGCGTCTGGGCTCCCTCGCCCGCGTTCTTTGACGACAACGAGGACCTCGGTGAGCTAAAAAAGAGCGAGGCCAAGAAGGCGCCACCTGCGCGTGCCTCCGCCCCTCCCCTCCCCCCCACTCCAAACGAGACCATCAGTTCTTCGCTGGGCCTAGCGCTACAGAAGGCTCTGGGGGGAGGGAGCTTGGGGACGAGAACGAGCACGTTGCGGCGCATTGGCGGCAGAAAGGAGATACGCGGCGGGGGGACACCTTTGCTAACATACACACGCAGACGTCGCCACCTTCCGCAAGCACATTGTCTCGCTGGCCAAGAACGGCATGCACCCCGTCGTCAACGGCTCGATGGGCGAGGCGTTCCACCTCACCCCCGAGGAGCGCACCACGCTCGTCCGCGAGGCCCGCTCGGCCCTCGACGAGGCCGGTCTCACCGACGTCGTTATTATTGCTGGCACGTGAGTGTTGTGTGAGAGATTGATTTGTGTGCGGTCGTCGTCGATAGAATCGCATTGGGTGTCGTCCCCGACGACGCCATCTGTGCGGGGGAGGCGCGTCGGGGCAACGCTGGGGCCTATTTCGGGGGCCGGCGGTCCGGCCGTGTTCGCCGGACCAGGACCGGACCGTGTCGTTCTCTCTGTCTCTCTCGTGGTGGTATCTCTGTGGCAGCAGCGCCGTGCGTGTGCGAACGCCCGTGGGATGCGTGAGAAGGAAAAAAAAAGGAACAAGAGCGGGGGCCGTGTGGCGAAGCGAGGGTGTCTCCAGGTTGAAACTCTATATTGGAACAATGGTGCTGACGCTACACGATTAGTGGCGGCAACTCGACCCGCTCGACCATTGAGCTCTCCAAGGCCGCCGCCGAGGCCGGTGCCGACATTGCCATTGTCATCCCCCCAGGCTACTACCAGGGTGCCATGAAGAAGCAGGCCCTCAAGACCTTCTTTGCCGACGTCGCTGCCGCCTCGCCCATCCCCGTCATGATCTACAACTACCCCGGTGCCGCCGGTGGCATTGACATGGACTCTGACACCATCATCGAGATTGGCCAGGAGAACCCCAACATTTGCGGTGTCAAGCTCACCTGCGGCGCCGTCGGCAAGCTCACCCGCATCGCTGCGGCCACTGCCACCCCTGCGTTCAACAAGTACCCTCGCGCCCACCCCGAGGTTGCCCCCACCTTTGTTACCCTCGGTGGCTTTGCCGACTTCCTCCTCCCCACCATTGCCGGCGGCCGTGCCGGCGGTGCCATCATGGGCCTTGCCAACATCTTCCCCGCGTCGATCAAGCAGCTGTTTGACCTCGCCGAGAAGATTGCCACCGACGAGTCCCCCTCCAAGGCCGACCTCACCAAGGCCCTCCAGCTCCAGGACCTGTGTGCCGGCTCGGACTCTGCCTTCTTTGGCCCCGGTATCCCCGGCACCAAGTGGTGGCTCCAGAAGTACAACGGCCACCCCAACGCCCGTGTGCGCCGCCCCCTTCTCGAGTTCTCGGACGAGGCTCTTGCCCAGGTCGAGGCCAACGCCAGCATTGCGCAGTTTTACGAGATTGAGAAGGCTCTCGCTGCCAAGTAAAAAGACACACACATGGTTGGCAGGCGTACCAGCGAGGCATGATTGTTATATGTTTGTGAGAGCCACCAGGTAGGCTTGAGTTTTTTGTACGGAATACGCACATATATGGACAGCATTAGGGAGCATATGGGAGCAAGGAGTGGAGCAGTGGCACAGTGGCAGAGAAACGGGGATCGGCGCGTCTGCATGGGGGAGAACCAAAGGCACCGGCTGTGATCATATTAATAATATCAGGGGGATTACAAATGGCGTGTGTGTATTTTCTAATAGTTTTGCTAATCCAAACCGATCACTAATATCCCCGTTGTCTCTCGTAATGTTACAGACCGTTTCGCCGTGCACAGACGTCGTGTGTCCATATCCTCGTCGAGCAGGTGGGCGTCCCCTCTCCCCCATCTCTCTGGCTCATTACACCCACTCAAGAGCACCCTTCACAGTCGACGCAGGTCCACATTCGTGTCCTTGTCCCTCTACTCTGATACCCCCAATACAAACATACACACACACCTGGCTCTCGCTTAGCACCGCCCTCTCCCGTCACGTCGAAGGGGCCCGCCCTGGCTCTCCCCTCTCCAACTCTCCTTCACCTTCCTCCTAACATCATCCACAAACCAAGTCCCAACTTGTCATTGCACTCGCCCCTTCCCCCTCCCCCACCGCATGGCCGCGGCCATGACGGACTCCTCCTCACGCGCGGTACCACTGTCGTCGTCGTCATCGCAGGGCCAGACTTTGGGCCCAGCGTTCCACAACAAGCCGTCCCAACGCGCCGCGACGTCACCCAGCAGCCATAATGGCAGGGGGCACATTGATGGCGACGCATCACCTCGCAGCATGTCCTTGAGCACCACGGCCGCCATGGAGCGGTCGTCTTCCGGCAACAACTCGTCGGCAATGCTGCATAGTGCCCAACGATTGCCGACGGTCGCGCCATCTGGACCATCTGGCCTTTATGGGATCGGCGACGACGGTGCCGGCAGTGACTCGAGCCATGAGGCAGGCAGCTCTACCCCGATGGCACTTGATCCCTCCCCAATGTCCCCCCTCGACGCTGGCTACTCTATGCGTGACCCGGCCGACGCGCTTGCGCAGCGTCGCATGTCGCTCGACACACGGCGGGTGCACTCTGAATCGCTTCCCGGGACGCATCCGCGCCGACACATGTCCATGGCGATCGGCAAGCGGCCGTCGATTGTGACGGGCGGCTACGAGTCGAGCACGGACGACGACGACGACGATGACGGCGGCAAGAACCGCGCAGGGCCGTCCAAGCGGCCCCGTGCGCACACGGCTGTGGGCGTCGCTGGCGTTGGCGCACACGCCGCCATCGCCACCGGTTTGCGCACACCCCTCTCGCCTGTTCGACAGAGCATGGGCATCATCAACTCGTCTGCTCACCTCTCTGCTGCCAATACCAACATCAGCACCACCGCCGCCGCTGCCGCTGCCGGACGACGGCGCGCGCAGAGTCTCATGTCGCCTCCGCCGCACGACTTTGCACCCTCGACATCCCCCATCTCCCGCCGCACGACCTCGCGCCTCCGACCACCGAGTGGAGGGGGGGCAGGCTCCCCGCTGTCTCCGCGCGGCAATGCGTCTCCCCGGTTCTCCATCTCTGGCAACGATGCCGTCTCGCGCAACGTCAGTCTCATCAGCGAGCTGCCCAACTCGCGGTCCGCGTCCATGCGCTCGGTCCGTGAAGGCCGCGAGCCCAGCATCCGTGACGAGCCGGCAGCGTCGTCGTCGCGCGACATGGACCGCCGCGGGCCACGGCGCTCTGACCCAAGTAAAGCCAACCGGTTGCAGGCAAGCTTGGGCCTAGGCGCTGCACCACGCGAGGTCGTCCTCACCGCCGACCAGATTCAAGACTTGCTAGGCGACGCCGACGTCTCGTCGGCGATTCAGCTCATGAGGCCAAAGCCGCCCCGCCGACAGTCGTCAAGTGTGTCTGCCGATCATCCTCCCCTCCATGCTTCTGCTTCCTCCTCCTCCAACGCCGCCGCCGCCGGTCACCATGCACCCGATTCTTCGCCACCCACTATCTCAAGACCGTACCTCGTCTCAGCACCGCCGGCATTGACAAATGGCGACTGGCATGGCCGAGACCGTACGGTCAGTGTCAGCTCTAGCATGGTTTCCACGCCTCAGCGCAACGTCACGCCGTTGGCCGGCCGACGACGACATTCATCGCTGGTGCTGCCGTCCGACGAGGGTGGGCATGTCCCATTTACCCACCACGTCACACAACCTCCGCCAGAGACGGCCATCGAGGAGGAAGACGACGACGACGATGACGACGATTACGATAACATGGACAACTCGGTCGTCCTCGTTGACAGGGACGATGCGTCCGACGCGCCACCCAGTACTGTTCGGTCCGCCGACTCGCCGGTAAACTCATTGTCCCACGCGTCAACAGTCCCCAAGGACCACGACAGGGGCAAGCGCCGCATCAGCAGCCTGTTTGGGCTCGGCCGCAAGAAACACGACCCTACACCAGCACCAGCACCGGCACCCCTTCCAGCTCAGCAGCAGCGCACGCGCCCGCCATCCCCACCTCGACAAGCCGAGCGAGAAGCACGTAAGAGCAACCGGGATCAGGCAATGCGTCTTGCCGAACAGGAACGTCGGGACCAGGAACTTGAGCAAGGTGAGTTGGGAGTCGATCTTGGCATTTATTTCAACTCAGCTAACTCTTCAGAACGTCGTTACCGTGCCCTTGTCCAAATCCATGCCCATCCCGCAGCCCAGAAGCGGGCGCAACAGACTGCCATCCATCTCGACAGCTTGTACGCTGCGGTCAACGATGGTCTCGTTCATCCACCAAAGCTCAACCCACTCGCCATTCTCCGGTGGAAACGACGGACAGAGGAGCAAAAGTCCGCCAAGGCGAGGTGGGAGAGCGAGCAGGTCGGACTTGATGGCATGCCACTGCGCAACTCTGCGGGATCACCGACGCTATGGAGTAACGGCGGCAGCGTGTCGTCCCCACGCGTGTCGATCGACAACCGCCGCGGTCTCAGTCCTTACAACCGTTCCGTGAGCTCCAACCAGGAGCACTTGTTTGCGCCTGGGTGGCACTACACCTTGGACGACATCAACGCATACAACGCATGCAGTGGCAAGGTCAACTTTTGGTTTCCTCCCATGCCTATTGAACACGTGCCATCACCCGTCGCCTCACCAGTGGTGTCTCCAAGAGAGTCAACGAGTGACCTCCCTTACCCCTATGCGCCTCAGTCCAATGCGTCTGCATCCACCCACCTCCTTCCGCGTCCATCTATATCGGACTCGCTGGGCGAAAGGGAGATGTATCACAAGGACGGAGCGGCTGTGCGCATCGCATCGCCTTCTATGCCTTCCCTTGTCGGCATCGACCATGTCCTCGATGAGAATGGGGCGGCGGCCTTGTCGCGCCAGTCGTCGCTTGACAACGGACACCGTCTCCGCAACGCACATTCGTTCCGCGGTACCCACCGTGCTCACCAGAGCACGACTGGTATCCCGCAGCAGCAGCAGCAGCAAGCCAAGCCTCTCCAGGCACTCCGCGCGCCGTTTGAAAAGCTGGGTAACGCTGCACGCCGCAACATTACGCTACCGGCCACCCACATGCCCAACGACATGGACGACGACGCGCCTGCCCGCCGCCCAGGCTGGCTGTCGGCAGACGCACCTGCTCCACCGCCAGAGGTTGTTCACCACCACCCGGGCGGTTTACCTCCTTCCCACCACAGCTTGACCACGAGCTTCAAGGAAGGCCGTGACAGGCTCCGTCGAGGTATTTCGACTGCCACTGGCCAAAAGGGGCAGGACAACACCACCGGCACGTCCGAGGACGAGGGCCATACCTTCCGTCGTCTCCTTGGTAAGGGTCAGCGCGCTCTGGCCGGCCCGCGCGTGACGCGCGATCGCAGCGCTTCCATCTCTCGTGCAGTGGAAGCTCGTAACCTCGAAGAGTCTATCGCTCGCCAGAGGCAGATCCGCCACACCGAGTTTGCGAGCAAGCGCCCCACCGAACTCGAGATCCAAACTCAGGCGCGACTCCAAGCTGTCGAGAATGACATTTATGCCGAGCGCGAGCTGTTGCTTGTCAACGCCCGCCAACGCACCGACGAGCTGGAAGCGGCCGAGCAGCAGATGGACTTTTCCCTCGCGCACTATATCCACCAGCTCGACCAGGTCAAGACCGTCTTCGCCACGGCTGCAGATGTCAATATCGAGTTTGACGGTTTAGATGCGCTCCGTGGGCGCGGCCGCAAACCCAACGCACCGCGCGAGGACGACGAGAGCGCCGACTCGGTCGCTCCCCTCCGCCACGACTCGGACCGCGGTGGGTTCAGCGCTGGAGGCAACTTTAGCGATGGCCGCTTCAGCCCCATTGGTAACGGCGTGGTCGCCCAGCGCAAGTCTCGCAAGCCGCAGCCGACCATGCCGCCTGTCGCCTTGCCCTCGTTTGCGTTTGGCTTGCAGGCGTGGCCCAAGCGTTCTACCCTTGACCCCACGCTCGGTGTGCCCGTCGACCCTATCCGCCGCGTCGAGCTGTCGTGCGAAAAGGCCCGCCAGACAACACGGGACATGGCCAAGGAGCGCGAGGAGACGACCAAGCACCTGCAGGGCATGGTCAGCACCGTCAACCAGCTCATCTACCAAAAGGACGAGGTGCGCCGGTGGACCAAGGGTGTGCTCGACGAGATTGCGACACTCAAGGAGGAGCGCAACACGGTGCTGCTCAAGATTAAAGGTGGCCTGCGACCGCGCATGTGGCGAGCGACCGACGACGCGACCGACCTGGCCGCGCGCACCATTATGAGTCTGTTCAGCTACGCCATCCGCGTCCTCCGCGGCGTCAACTGGGTGCGTTCAGTGGATGCGGGCTGGCTCGCGTGGGCCCTTGTGGGCGGCATGCTTGCCATGCTTGTGTTTTTCTATTGGGTCGGCAGCGATGTGCCTGTGTCAGCGCCAGCGGCAGAAGCAGTGACAGCAGCAGCAGCAGCAGTGACAGCAACCATCGCCCCTGTAGTAGTAGGCGACAACGTGTAGTAGTGTTTTCCAGTGTCCCCCCTCTCTTCCCCCTCCTCCGTCATTTACAGTACTTGTTCACGAAGCTTATAGTATGCATGTTGCTCCTAGGAGTGTAACGCTCTGCAGCAGCAACCTGCATGACAGAGAACAATGAGGTCATGACGGCCGACTTTTGGATTCACCGCGCGACGGCGCCTGCCAAGCAACGTCGCGCGTCGCCGGGTGGACCGGCCCGTCGGCGCCGGACGACCGGCGGTGCCGCCATCTCGGCGACGCCAAAGGGTTATCAACATGGGTATCGCACGGCACTGGGCGGTGTTGGCCGGCGACTCGGAGGTTCGGAGGGCCCGGAGGGGTCGGAGGGGTGCAGAGGACCCGGCCACTCGGTGCAACATCGTGCCGTGGATCGATGGGTCGTACATGACCGAGACGACGTGGGCACTGGTGGCTCGCCAGATCGCCAGGTTTGTAGCCGCCGGCGACTATTGTCTCTCTCCAAGATCCAAGATCCGTCTGTACCCCCGTGTCTTCAGGCCGAGATCCGTCCTGGGCGGCCGCAGCCGAAGCGCGAGGCACACACGCACGTCGTTGCCACCCGACCGGCCTGTCTTTGTCCCAGATTCCAGTGACGACGGTTCCTACGAGCACGAGCACTGGTGCTTCCGGAACCAGTATAGGCCGAGTGCAATCTCGACGCACCGCACCGCCTACAGTGGTACATACATCACTGAGCAGTCTGTCGACAAGGCTGTGGCGACGGTTCCGGCCGCAAGGATGGCCACTGGCCACTGGCGTGAGTTTGGTAGCCTCGGACCATACATACCTTCCAGAAGCTCCCTGCTGACGAATCCCAGTTGAACGTGCAAAACGGCAGCCGGAGGGCAGTGGACTTGCTTGCGTGTACTGCACTGTCCAGGTGGCCAGGTGTAGAAGAGACCTGCGATGAACCGAGCCGGTGAGCGGCCAACGAGGCCAGACAAGCAGCGCAAAAGGAAAATGGCCGCTCTGCGATCTCCGCCAGTCTTGTCCTTATGCCCACTCGGTCCCATTCTCGGCTCTAAAGACATCTTGAAGGGCAAGTTCCGCTCCTTCTGGTCTCTGGGTCTCTGGCCAGAGCTCCAGAGACACCCCCTACTATGGGATCCATAAAGGCACGGCTACGTGCAGGCCATCGTTCCTGCTGTCGATCAGCCGGTGTGTCACCGGCCAGACGGGGTTTTGATGGTGACCAGCACCGCCCCCGCCTTGTGAGCTCGGCAGATAACTAACATGCTTGTCTGTCATAAGCAGCGCGCGCGTGTTCCATTGGTCCAGTTATACAAGGCGATGCCGACGGCGTTTAAGCCTTTTTAATCACGCACTATACCAAACGCGTGTTCTTGGCGCTGGCACGGGAGGGACCCGATTAGCGTCGCGGCAGTGACAGGTGAGAGAGCGCCACAATGCAGTGCCAAGGCCCATCAAAAGAAGCATCTCTGGTCACCGTTTGGGCTTTGCGGTGCGTCGTTTGCCGCCACCAGTGTGGGCAGTGGGGGGATATGACGAACGACGGCGACGGACGGTTGGCACACATAGATACTGCGGATCAGATGGAAGTCCACATTACACTCTTGTCCCTATCCATCCATCCACTTGCCGCTCTACCCCAATGGTCACTCCCTTCCACCTGGTGGCCACGTTGGTCGCCGCCCATGCAGCACTCGGCGCCGAGCTGTACGCACCCACTCTGCAGTTCAACTGGACACTGCGCCCCTTTGACGCACCCCTCAAGCTCTCTGGCTGGTCACCGTCAGACACTGCCAACCTCGGCGGCACCTGGACCTTGCCATCGACCTCAAACACCGCTACGGCCTCGGTGCAGTTTATCGGCACGGCCCTTTGGTACAACGGCGTGGGCAGCAACTGGGCACAGACAGACTCGAATGGCAATGCAAAGGTCGCGGGTTATGCAAGTGTCGTGGGCGACCCGTCGTGGGCAGCCACGACGGCCGAGACCGACCTCCTCCAGCCTGCAAGTGCGACCGTGTTGTGGGAGCATTCCACCCCGCGCTTCCAGACCTATACCATGAACATTCAGGCAGTCTACGGCAGCTGGACGCTCGACTCGGCAGTAATCGCAACCGGCTTGAACACTACCAATTCCTCCATCACCTCGCTTGATGACGTTCCCAGGACAGTCGTCAACTTTGTCGGCAGCGACTCGCAGGTCAATTCGACGTTTTACAACCTTACAGGACGCTGGGACGTCACCGATGCTGCAGGCAGTCTCCCTCAACATACCACTTGCTACGACGATGCCGTTGCTCGTATCGCCCTGCCTCCTGGTACCAGCTTTATCGTCATCAACGGCACCCGCTCGACGGCCTCGGGCAACTTGTACATCAAGTTGGCCCCCGTCACCGACGAGTACGACCAGACCACCTACGTCGTGGACGCCAGCTTCCCCTACACCACCGACGCTATTCTGTTCGTGCTCCCTATCGACACTGCCGTAGCTCAGACTCTTATTCTCGACTGCGTCCTGGAGGCACAGGGCCAGCAGGGGTTGACCAGCATCACCTTTTACGGATGGTGAGTGATATACACTGGAAGGTTCAAGACTGACTCGCAGGGACGGGTCCAAGGTCGCCAGCACCTCTACTGGACAGACAGGTTCCAGCTCGTCAAGCGGCGCCAACTCGTCCAGTGGCTCGACAACCGCGGGCGGTAGCGGCTCGTCTTCCAGCCCGGGCGCCTCCTCGTCGAGCTCGAGCGGGCTGTCGAAGAGCGCAATCATCGCCATCGCCGTTGTCGTCGTGGTGGCTGTCCTGGCCGGTCTGCTGGCATGGTGCCTCTTCGCCCGCCGCAAGCGGAGGGCCCGCAAGGACGTCGTCCCCGCGCAACACGCACATGGGGTCCCAGCGTATCAAAGCGGGGCTCTGGACGGCGAGATCGACCCCAACGTGTACCCGACCCCGTACGCCTACCAGCCCCAGCAGCCAGCAACCCACTACTTTGACAAGCCCGGAGGTAACCCCAGCAACATCCCGCCCCCGTCGTACGGCCAACCGCATGTCGGCGGCAGCACGCCTGCAACGTTCAAGTAATAAGGGTGCAGAAGGACGAGAGGCTCGGAGCAACACAGGTACAGAGAAGTTGACAAGTTGGGAACTTGGAAAGTTGCAATAATGGTATGGGTATACCCGTTTGTACATACACGTGGATGTGGTAAATGGTTTTACGTTTGGTCTTGTGAGCCTTCACTGGATGGCCCTACTCTCTACGTGTCTACAACGTAAGCGAACGTGGGTGTATATAACACCAGATAAAGAGTGCACTTGCCCTCTTCATACCTTGTCTGTCGCCTACCCTACCCAGATCGGAATACTGGGTACGGCTAGGAACCAGCCGCGTTGGCTGACGACCCAACTCGAAGGGCTCGGAGCACGTTGTGATCGGCGCAAGGTCGTTCCGGCTTGGTTACGGGCTATTGTCAGCACGACTGGCTTGATGGCTACGGGGAGAAGCCATGGCAGCTGCGCACGCTATGCGCGGAGAGAGTGCGTCAGGACCCAGAACTCTGGGTGGGTGGCGGGGCCTTGGAACTGACGGTACATATACATATTCGCGTGGCTGCGTGGTCGGCATGTTCGCTGACCTCCGAAGCGGACAGGGGAAAGGAGATCTGGGTAGCACTGTACCAGTGACGGCACATTGACCACTTGTCAGTGGATCACTGGACTTCAGCCGTCCCAGAGACCCCACGACGGAGAGCCATTGAAAAGGTGTTGTGGCATTGATGGTGGCTTGAGGTGCCACCGACCTTCCATGTCATCTTGCCATCTGTCTCACTCGCTTTCTGAAACATGGCTTATCTGTGAGTCCTGTATGTCACTAGTAAGCCGTGTATCCTAAAGAAAGACAAACATGAGCAAACAGATACACGCTGTGCTGGTGAAGGTGGGTGATGCTCGAGGGTGTATGGGCCAACAATTGCTTACGTAATCATAAACAAGGTCCATCATTATGTCATTTGTTATTGCCCGTCTTGCTTCGTCGCCGCCCAGTCGAATCCAACAACCACATCATACGTCTCACCCGATATCCCGCTGTCCCGTCCACAAAAGGTTACCACAGGCAAACACCACCGAAGATCAAAGAGTCTTAGACGACTGGCACACCCCCTCTGCGCTCCCCGTACACGCGTCAGGCCCCTCGCTCGTGCGAGAACGCCGCACACGCGCCCCGAAAGTTCACACGACCATCGAGGTGGCGAGGTGAGTTTACATTCGTCCAGCGGTTGTACGGCCAGCGATACAGTTATTGACTGTTAAGGGTTGCTTACACACTGTCAAGCGAGCTTTCTCGACAGCCCTTCAGCAGCACTCCCTCGGGTTGACCATCAGCAGACTCGCGCATCAACGTGGTATCAATCCGTGCAACTTTCTGTGGAACCACCGCCTTCCGTCACGTTCACGTCCCTACCTACAACTACCACTCCTCATCAGTGCCGTTTTCTGTGCCCACGAGAATAAGGGATTCTTCTCATTGGCGCTGACGGCGAGCTAGCTATGAGCACCGTGAGGACGAGCGACAACCCGGGTGTGCCGTCGGCCGGTCCAGGCGCTGGTCCCCAGGGCGCTCCCTCCGCATCAACGGGCGGCTCGTCAACCTCAGCGACTGCTGGCATCGCTCCGGCGGCCATACCACACATTCCAGACACACCTGCGCCCACAGCTGCTGGTAACACGTCAACCCCGCTTAGCGCGTTCTTGACCCGCGTCAAGGTCGCCAACGAGCGCCAGGCTCAACGCGACAGGGCCAACTCATCGCAGCCCACCAGCCCGACTGTGTCCCAGCTAGGCAAGAGCCTTAGCAGCAGAGGAGGTTCGCCGACGACGGTCAAGTCTCCACTCCAGAACGTGCCGCCCTCGTTGCCGCCCGCGGCCGCACATATTCCTCCCTCGCCCGCCGCTCAATCACCTGTCATGGCTCACCAGTCGACCTCTACCCAGGCGGCGGCACCAGTTGCACCTGCGTCGACCTCTATTCCAGTAGTTGTCGTCCTTCCACCCACTGCTGTTTCCACCTCGACGCAAGCTGCAGCCGGTGCGGATGCGGGCGTGGCCCCTGCTCCCGTGAGGAAGACTTGGGCCGTTGCTCCGCCTACACCGTCGCCAGCTCCATCGTCTGAGCCATCACCTGCACTCCCTCCAGCCGCGGCGGCTACTGTCGCGACCGTGACAACATCCCCGACCGCAGCGTCTGCTGAAGGGGCCAACACAGAGTCCTCCACAGTCGTCTCCTCGACTGACGCACGTACAGAGCCTGTGCCCACAACACCTCACCAGGCCGCTACCAACTTGGCCCCAGCACCTACCGTTCCCGCCACCTCTGCCCCCGCGCTGTCGATCCCCGCTTCAGCGGCCACTTTGGCCCCTCTGCAGCCGATTGCGGTGGTGGGCACGACCTTTGACGATCCTATTGTGGTTGACTCTCCCACCTCCTCGAGCGATACCGCCGATCTACCAGAGGCTATTGCTGCGGCTGCGGCTTCAACTTCGGCGGTCCCATCCGCCACGCGTGGTCTTCCCATGAACACCACCCAGAGCGCTGAGGACAACCTAGCAACGAGTGTCGCAGTGCAGAACATCATCCGACAATGGACTGCACAGGCTCCCACTGGCATCAACACCTCGTTGCCAGGTGCTTCCGTTCAGCAGCAGCAACAACAGCAGCAGCAGCAAGCACCGGCTATGATGTCTAGATTGCGGAGGAAATTCATTCTGCAACAACAACAACCGCGTCGCCTGGGTCCGATCGCCAACATGCACCTCGTTCAGTTACTACCCGCAGAGTGGCAACCGTCCAGCCCTCCTTCCCCGTTTATCCTTGATGATGGCATCCAAGTCCCCATTTGGCCTCTTCTTTTCGACCTTTTAGAAAAGATGCCATCCAACTCGGCCGCAGAGTGCTACCAGAACCTGGGCAATTGGGAGTTGCTTTTGCGTCACATTGCTGCCATCCATGTGGCACAACAGGTACAGCCCGCGTCACTACAGCCACCTGTACAGCCGCCTCGTCGCCAGTCGATGTCGGTCAATCAGCAAAATCAGCAGCAGCTACCGCCGGGCATTCAGCGCCGTGCTACCCTCCCCACCCCAACAGCCTCCACGTCCTCCCATGCCCAACATTCACGCCAGATTGCTCCACGTCCTGATTCAGCTCCGCACAATTCGTCCAGCTCAACTGCTTCTGGGACAGCAATGTATTTACGTTCCCCAACCCTCCCGGTGGCTGAGATATCGCTTACGGAAGCGTATCGTCAACAATACCTTGCCGACGCGGTCGCCCGAGAGGCAAACCGAGCGTAAGTCGTGTTCATTGACAAGGTGTGCTGGCGCTTACTTTTCAGCGAGGAGCATCTCGCTTATATGAACCAATTCCTCCAAACGGCTGCCAACGATATCGTAGGATCTGAAAGGCGTGAATCCCGGCAGCGTGAGCAAGCTCTGCATCAACACTACCATGCGGAACAGCGCAAGGCCGACGAAAGGATCCAGCTGGAGGCCCAAAAGACCCTCACTCAATCCACCAAGGCCCACCAGCTGCAGAAGATGCTCCATGACACGCAGCAGATGCTTGACAGCGTGCGGTTCGAGTTAGGCAGACACCAGAGGATTGCCTCGGAAACTGCCGTTGCTTTACGTGCGGCTCAGCAGCAGGCCGCCAACAACGACCATGTTCATAACCAAGCTGCTGCCGAGATCAAGTCTCTCCGCGTGGAGACGTCCCGTCAACAAAACTTGGTCACAGACCTCACGGCGGTGAATGCCCGTCACGAGAAAACGATCAAAGGCCTCATCTCCGTGAAGTCCCAGCAGGAGCGTCAGCTCGAGACGTTCAACGACACCATCAAGAAGGTCAAGGAGGACGCCAGGAAGACTATAGAGGCCGACTTTGCGGCCCAACGCAAAAGCCTTGAGGACGACAGTGCCGCTCTTAAAGAGAAGATCAAGCACAACATCCTGAAGATGAAGGACCTTGACGACAATGCAAAGGCTCGCGAGGCGGCCGCGCAGGCGACTGCGGACAAGGCCGGCTTGGAGGTCACCGTGCAAAAGGATATTGTTGCCAAGCTCAAGAAAGAACTCGACACGGTCAAGACGAAACTGCAAGCCAGCAATAGCCAGGTTCAGGCGGTGGACAATGAGCTGCGACAGAGCCGCGCCCGTGTCTCTACCGAGCAATATCGCCTCGCCCAGTTGCAGAAAAAGGTGGACAGTCTCGATGCGCAACTTTTAGCAGCGACCTCTGCGCGGGACCAGTTCAAGGACTCCATTGTGACGCTCGAGAAGAAGGTTATCGACTTGGACACCGCCGCGGCCAAGAAGGATCTCGAGATTGGATATCTCACCGCCGAGGTGGACACAAAGGACGCTGAGATTGAAAAGGCAAACCTTGACCACCTTCACATGGACGAGGCGTTCAAGGAGATTGTGATCAATGGAGTCGCCACCGTCTACAAGGCCATTGGCCAGCCGGTTCCTGCCATCCCTACTGGCCTTCCGCCAATGGACAAGGCCAAGGCTGTCGTGGAGCTCATCCACAAGGCAATCAGGCAAGTCAAGTCCTCGACGGCGACCAACACCACCTCGACGGCCCAGACCAACCTGGCCACACTCCTCGAGTCGAAGCAACGCCGCGTTCTGGAGCTCGAAGAAGAAGTCGAAGGCAAGGACATGGACGTCAAGACCGCCGAAAAGCAGCTCGCCGTCTACGAGAAGCAGGTTACCGAACTCGTTGCAGGTCACAAGGAAGAGTTGCACCGGGTCAAGGCCGACCTGACCAGGGACTCTCTATCCAAGGAAGCCGAGTGGCGAAAGATGTTCTCTGAGCAAAAGTCACTCTGCGAGACTTTGCGTACGACTTGTGCAACCCTCGAGACTGAGAACTCTGCCTTCAAGGCTGAGAATGGCAAGCTCGCAGCCAAGGTGTCTGGTAAGTGGTATTTCACAGTTTGCCGCTGACTGTCAGCTGCTAGTTTTGCGACTCCGCCGCTGGTGGAGGAGACCCAGGAAACGTCGTCTCCTCTCGTCTCCAAGACTGCTTCCCCTGTGATCAAGGTCGCTCCCACGCCGACCCCCGCTGCCACCATCACCACCGGCGCGCCTTTGACCCCCGTCGTGTCCAGCAGGTCATCGGTTGTGGCCGACTCGGCTGCTGGCTCGCCAAGCACTCCCGTCGATCGCAAGCGCCGCGCTCAGTCTCCTGTGCAAAGCTCGATTGCACGCGCCGAGCAGCGCCGGCGTGTCGATGGAGAGACACCGACACCTGTACCTGCGTCCCAGGGCAAGAAGGACAAGTATTCCGATGCGATGTACCCGGGACACCGTGCTTGGGTGGGCGACCACCTAGGCCAGCTGGTGGGCAGGGATTCTCATGGGTGGTTCTGTGCGATGTGCATGTGAGTAGATTTTGCGTGTGGCTCTGATCCGTATAGCGCCGCTGACTTTACAAGGGCGGTGGATGGCCACCCGATCAAGAAAGCGGTCGATATTTCAGTCCACTACAAGAAGCAGCATGGCTTCTACCTGTCGGACAGTGCCACGGACCAATTGGAGCACATCATCAGCCGCCACGACAAGATGAGCAAGAAGTGGCGCCATATGCAAGAGCGCCCGTCGGGTAGGAAGAGCGAGGGGAGGAGGAGCGAGAGTAGGAAGAGCGAGGGAAGGCGCATGACCATGGCGTGAGAGCCGTTCCGAGGAAGAACTGGCATTAGTATTAAGTAGTGTGCATGTGCATTTGAGGAAGGCGTGAGAGAGAGAGCCAGCAGATATGTATTGCGTACCAAACAAGTTCCGGCGATCGTGCGCCCCAATGACATATCAACAGAACAGCTCAAACGTTGTACCTCTTGACAAGGCTGTCAATAGTGTCCTTGACGCTCTCGTCGAGCTGGTGGTACTTGATGCCCAGCACACGCTCAGCCTTGGAGCCGTCGAAAAGGTCGCTCTTGGCGTGCCAGGTCGCAACCTCGGCCTTGTTGCCCTTGGGGTAGGTTGTGCGGTCGGGGAAGAAGCGCTCAAAGGCCTGACGAGGAGTGTTAAGGGGGGGCTTTTACGAGCGGGGCAGCAGGATGCATTGTTAAACTCACCAGCACGTAGTCGTTGGGACCGGCGGGACCGGCGCTAGTGATGAAGCGCTCGCCACCCGCCTCGGGGACAGCGAGGGCGCGGACATGGGCTTGGGCGACTGGTTGTTATGTCAGCAAGGGACTTTCCGGGGAGGTCTGCGCGATAACGTACCGTCACGAGCGTCGACCCAGTTGAACGGCGCCGAGGGGGGGATCTCGTCTTGCTTGTGGTTGTCACGGAACCAGCTGAGGACAATACCTGCACAGAGAGAGAGAGAGCATTAGCGGGAAGTGTCGTTGGGCAGAGCTGGGGTGGGCTGGAACGTACCGTTCGACGTGTTGATCTGCTCGATGCTGCCCAGAGGCTGGATGACGGGACCCATGGTCTGGAGCGTTAGGTTACCACAAGAGCCGGAAACCTACGAGGGGAGGGTGGATGGTGGCACCGTCAAACGAGGGCTTCTCGTCCTCGATAAACTTCCAGAATGCCTTCTCGGCCAGAGTCTTCGAGGCTGCCGCGTCAGCTTGACTTTGATCCTGTCACCGCTATTCACCTTGATACTTGTCCGAAGGGTTCGCCGCGCTGCCGAGCTTCTTGACGTTTTCGGTCGACTGCTCGTTCCAGTCTGCCAAGGGTTAGGTAGGTGATTTACAACTATGCCCAACACCTACCCTTTTCAGTGTAGACGGCAGGGCTGGGCGCGCCGGAACGGATGGCGGCCACCGAGCTGGTGATCACCACACGCTTGACATTGGGGTTGTGCTTCTGGATGCTCTTGAGCACGCCGACGGTTCCGTCCACGGCGGGGCGGATGAGCTCCTCGGGGTTGGTGGCCTTGAAGTGGAACGGCGAGGCAGTGTGCGCGACACCGACGACATCCTTGACCGCCTCGTCAAACGCTCCGGACTGTTCAGAGAGACATGGTCAGTGACACTTGGGGAATACTCAAAAATGGGGGCGGCGCCACAAACAAACATACCTTGCCAATGTCCTCGACGATGATATACTCAAAGGGGACCTTGCTCCCCTTGAAGAGGTTGGCGAGGTACTCGCCCTTGTCCTTGGAGCGGACTGTGCCGCGGACGGGGTATCCCGCGTCCAAGAATGCCTGGACGGTGTGGCTGTGGAGTCGGTTAGCGACGTCATATTGCCTTCCACCTACGTTGCGATGAAGCCGGACGCGCCGGTGAGGAGGACGAGGGATCCGGGAGGGACAGCAGGCATGGTGTTGGTGTAAGGTGTTTGGGCTGAGCGAGACAATCAAGAGGTGCAACTTTAAAGAAGAGGGGAGGGGCCATTCATCACCTCCACGGCCTCCACCCACACCACCTCCGAGACCAGCCCTCCACAGCCGCCTCCACCTTCCTCCACCCAGGCGCCGACACGTCCGGGGGGTGGAGGAACGGGGGTCTGCTCGCCGCCCGTCACGTGACCGTTGCGTCATCGCTGCAGCAAACGTCCCTCTCGGCCCGCGGTTGGTGACGCCTGTTGGGTGCTCTCTGGTCTCGTTTAATCGTTGCATAACACATGCAACGTTGTTATCTAGCTGCGCACTGTGCAACTCCGGGACTCCGGTGTCAGTACCATCGGGACGGCTCCAATACGCACCGGCATTCCCGTCTGGTGCATACATACGTTGAAACGACACACGACCACAAAAATTACACGTTTCCGAGTCTTTCCACACCGCTCAGCAGTCCTGGCCGATGAGGCCTTCCAGCAGCGACAGACCGGCTCAAGGCATCTCAACCGTCAGCTCGCCGGGGACCTCTTGGCCAGGGTTGTGGCCAGAGACCTTGTACCAGCCCGTGCCGGTGAGGCCCTTGAGCTCGCCACTGCAGGTCAGCTGTGGAGCCCCCCCCCAGAGTAAAACCTAAAGCTCACGTGGAGGCGTCCGGGTCAATGGTCCACTTGGTGTCTACCGTACCGCACTCGTAGATGCCGCTCGCGTTGCAAGTGAACGATCCCTTCTTGCCGAGCAGGGTGCCGTCAAAGACCTGCATGCCGACTGTGGGTCAGTTACGGGGGGGGTTCTGCCACCAGCGAGGCAACTGATCTCACCAAAGGAGCACTTCTTGTCTTCCGTGCCAGGGTGGTACGTCCTGGGTCGTCAGTTGCGATAATTGTGGTACTGGTTCTGGCAGCTCAACATGAGTGCTCACATGACATAGGAGCCGATCGCGAAGCCATTCATGTCCTTGGTGTCAAACTTGCGTTCCATGGTCGCAATGGTGTGCTTGACAGGGAGCGTCTGGGAGACCTTGATGGGGTTCTCCTCCCAGGTGAGACCGTTGAAGGCGACCTTGACTGCGACACATGTCAGTGTGGGCTAGGGTGCATGCATACGAACTTGTCTGGGGGGCCATGGTTGTTGTGAGCGGTCGATGGGTCGGTGGGAAGTGTTGTGGGAGGTGGGGAATGGGAGTTGGTCGTCCTGTGACAATGCTTGTTTCTATATGGGGACTGGGGAAAGGTGGTTGACTGGACCACCGTCAACCATCCGCGGCGGATCACATATGCGGTTGCTTCACTTCCCCCTTGCACATCACCAGCGCCGTCATCCTCGTGGGTGCACTTCGTCACCGTTATCGGCCCCGAGTCTTCACTGAAGATATAATGAGAGATCTACCACGAACAGCTGCGTATGCACGCTTGGGACGCGGTGGTGAGCAATGTATGTTCGTGCCAGAAGCCGGTGACGGCGCCTCGTGTGTTCCCTCCCGAGTGGGAACATACGTGTCAGTGCCACGTGATACATCCTTGTCACCGCGACTGCTGTTGTGGATGTCCTGTACAAGGTGCAACCCTCGCATACAGGGAAGTGCTCTGACAGACGCCAGCCCGCGAATGTGACGCTGTTCCAACGTCGCTCAGTCGCTCAATCGATTGGGCCACAGCAAGCGTTGGCGCAGGAACAGCTCCATAATAATCCGCACACGCCCCGACTCAAATTCAGGAAATATTCATGGTTAAAGCGACACAGCCGACTCCACGCATTCTGTCTGGCTGTCCGACACATCCGTGTGGCGCCGGATGTCTTGGATACAGTGAAATCATAAACCTTTCGCCACAGAGCGATAGACGTCTGAGGGAGGATCGGAGGTCTACAACATGGTCGAACCATCGCCCCGATCGTTTCCAGCACATAAATCTCGCCTCAACAGCGTCCTTGCAGATGTTCTGCTACCCGACACAGCCGGTCACATGTACATACAGTGTGCCCGACACATCCGGGTTGACCGACACCTAAAATGCGAGCAGGAAGATGATCCGGTCTCGGTACTTCGCCCACTTCCCCAAGTGAGAAGGAGATGGCTTTTAGTTTGCCCAAAGTGGTATGAACACTGACTAGTTGGCGTGAACGTCTCTAGGGCCTTCAACAAGAGTCTCGGTGTATCCTAGACCCCATAGGGAGGTATTGGACCGACACAGCCGGTGGAATGGAGCGGAGCGTGTTGGGGTACCGTGTTGGGGTAATAGTGTGGCTGCCAGAGGAGGTTTCTGTATTTTGGGCGTTTTTTAAAACCATTTCACGCACAGCCACTCTCCGAGAACCACGGTATATGGCTCACTTGTAAGGCGGTAGGTTGTGGAATTAGAGACTACCACCCACAATAACAGCATACATGCCCCAGTCCATGCGCAGTGTCAAAGTGGTAGGACGGACTACCTCTCGCCAGCCAGCAGATCACTCACCCACTCATCAGGGCCGTGGGCTAGTGTGCATCACCAGCTGCAACCCATTCACATCCGACGCCTGTCTCAAGGACCTTTTTCAGCACGTCACTTGCGTGTACCGCCTCTGTCGCTCTCGGTCTGGGCCTCTGTATGTTCGTTGTCAGATGGCATACGACACGGAGATGTATGACCGTGCCCAAGAGTGGTATTAGTAGAGCTTTAGAAAATCAATTTGAAAACAGATGGCTAACCATTAATAAACTCTTTGCGCGCCTTCCTTGCGTGAAAGCTAACCGCATGCCTAAGCTTTTGATGTCGGGTATCGCCCCGCACTCCGAGTCCGGCAATGCGATTCCCGCCCCGCCGTGAACGATGATATCTACGCCGGCCGGTGACGGCCGGCACAACGTCCATTGCTGCACTTTTATATCCACACCTTGCTTTCATCTTTGCTTGCTCTCCCCCACTCCACAGCAACTGTACCGCCCCACCACTCATCTTGCCTATGCCTTCCCAGACCCCAACTGCTGCCTCGACGTCCACCATGATCCCGTTCACTGAAGACGCTGCCGACATGGCCATGGGTTTCCTCGACCACATCCCGTGGGGATCGCACATGCACCACACTATCAAGCCCGTCGAGATGGACCCCGTGCCCGAAATCAATGCCAAGGGCGGACGCACTATCCCTCCGCAGGGATGGCACACGGTGTACTCGGTGGTGGTCACTGAGGGTGGGTCTCAGTTCACTTTCTAAAAAGCTACAGTGCTTGAGGCTGATGTCAGACATGTGCAACCCGATGCAGAACCTCCATGGCGCGTGCTCGGCCTGTCTGGTAGACTCGTGAGTGTACCTCATGACTGAACTGTGCTCATTCCCTATCCCAGCGTATCGTCGGCTTCCATGTCCCTCCTCGCTACTGAGTCATTCTGGGCGCCCCCCATGCTCTCGGGCGTCTCGGTGACCCTTGACATGCAGTACCTCAACCCTGCTCCATGGTAAGCTACTTGTTTAAACACGTTGCAGCTAACCATTACAGTGGCCGCAAGTTGCGCCTGACGTGCATTGTCGAGCACATGACTACCAGCATGGCCAACATCCGCGTAGTGGTAAGTGCAGCTGAGTTTTGTCCGTCTTCTCAGCTGACTGACGCTTCAGCTCGCCGACTGGGACACGGGCGTGCGCTTCGCGTCGGGCGTCCACGTCAAGACATGGCGTGGTGCTATTGTCAAGGCCAAGCTTTAGGCTGCGACGCGTACTTACTTAGATTACGGATCATGTTAGATGGGTACCACATATAACTGGCACCACACTGATTGACGGCTCCCAGGCTGCCAACTGATGGCCTGGACCCACTGGACTGAACTGAACTGAACTTAATTCATACATCCGCAGCGTCAAGACTCAGGACACTCTCTTGTCGGTGCCTTTATGATATCTGTTGTCGCCCTGCCCACGATAGCCGTCGCGCGCGCAAGAGTGAAATCTGAACCGTCAGACGAAGTAAATGCAGGGGGGAGTTGATATTGGGTTGAAAGTCGTCGTATACACATGGTAGGGGATGGGGGGTATATTGGATGGTGGGTATATTGGATGCGGGGTATACTGGACGGCGTCCAGGGGTATACTGGAAGGTGGGGTATACTGGAAGCGGGTATAGTTGGAGGGGAGATGGAGACTTGCTCCATCGCCGTGCGAAAGGCCCATATCCTTTAAACTGAAAAATTAAAGGGGGGCGTATTGTACACACAAATGGTTTACGTGTATCTAGTGCGTACTGTTGTTTATACAACACCACGCGCGACTGGAGGAGGTGCAAGGCGCCTTCTCGGGTGGGGGTGTGTCATGTCTAACGGGGCAGAGTGGGTCAAAGACTCACAGATCGGTTTCGCTGAGGCCGCTTTGGACTTGACTTGGCAGAGGGGCCACAACTTGCGAGGGGGAAGGTTAGACAAGAGAAAGTCTTGTGAGGACGAGGAAATGAGAAAGCCATCTACTGCCAACTTATGTATGCATTTGCATATGGGTTCCGGGGCCTGCCAAAGGACCACGATGGGTTAAAGGGCTGTGGTTTCAGAGTGATCGTGAGTGATTGTTCCGGTCACCATTAGCCACGGGACGTTTGGGGGTCAGCTCGGTTGTCAGCCATCGACTCCCGTATGAGCATGGAATAGTCCTACAGAATCAATCGGTAGGGGGGACACGACGACCCTCAGTGTGGTGACAATGTTCTGCATCCATCTAAGACATGGGCTAGACCTGGCTTACAACAATAAATTCTGACACTTGATCCTCGCTGATCTGTTTCTTCACCTTCACATGCTGGTGATGCGTTTTGGTCCGCGCTACGCGTCACCCTTGACAACGTACTGTTCCAGCTCGACATGGCGGACAGTGTTCCACCAGAATGAGCGCCAGTGCAGGATCGAGCCCTTTTCACGACGCATCGAGACCAGAGTTTGCCCAGAGGCCGCGTGTGTGTCGCTGGTACGCAAGACAAAGGCACCGCTGACGGACTTTTGGCCGGCGGCCTTGCGCACGCGGAGAGCCGTGTGCGTCGAGTTGGCCTGGACGTTCTCCTCGCCGAGCTCACTGCAGAGGAATTCGTGCAGGAGAGCGAACGAGTCCTGGGCGTCGAGAGCGAGCCAGAAACGCGTCGTATTGTTGTCGTAGTCTCCTCCTTGCGTCTGACCGTTAGCTAGTCTTAAGGGGATTTGGGTAGCCAAAACTCACCAAGTTACCAGTAGCACGCATAAACTGCGACTCCTGCTGGTTCCACTGAGTGTTCCACTGGCTTTCGCCAAAGACACGCTGGCTACGTCTGATACATGTTAGCTTGAATGACAAGCGTTGGCGAACAGACCACTCACGAAGCAGCATACGCGGCGGCGTTCGGGTCCTTGAAAGTCGGGTCTGCAACGGCCATCATACCACTCGCACGCATACCCTGGGTGAGCGCCTCTGGGATCTGCTCGCGACTGAGCTGCGAAGGCCTGGTAGGGTCAGCAACAGCCTCAGTCAACACCACCCACGTCATGCACCACGGGTGCGTCAAGAGACCCGAGATGGTGAGCCGTGTTGAGGGATTGATGTCGAGCATGCGGCACATGAGGTCTGGCGTCAGCTTGAGGGGTCATCGATCGCAAGCTCACCCCTGGACTGTCCACGGATTCGGCTCCACGGCTGGAACTCCCACACCTCACCGGCGGCGTACGTCCTGAACTCTACACTTGTCTCGGCAACCGGCTCGTCCCATGGTGTGTTTCCGACGAGCATGGTGAAGAGGACAACGCCCATGCCCCAGATATCCACCGGCTCGGCGGCGTATCCTCCTGGCGACGAAAGCTGGGTATGTCAGCTTGCGCTTCCCCGGTTGTTGTTCAGCTCACTTCTGGTGCGACATAGGGAAGACTTCCACAGCGACCACTCAGGAGACGCTCCTTTCCCTTGTAGCGGAACACGGCGCAGAGGCCAAAGTCGGTAATCTTGAGGTTGCCGTTCGCGGCCAAGAGGAGGTTTTCGGGCTTGATGTCGCGGTGGGCGATGCCCTTGCTGTGGATGAACTCCTGGCAGGTCAGCGGACTCTCATGAAGGAGCAGAACATACCACGCCGGAGACGAGCTGGGCAAAGTAAAACTTGGCCAGGTCTTCGGGAACACCGACGTCGGGCGCTGCTGGGTCAGATTACCACAACCGCGAAGGCACCCACCAATCTTATCAAACAGGTCGCCACCAACGGCCAGTTCGAGAAGGATGTACAGTCCCGGGACGATACCCTCTGCCTCCTTGGACTGGTCCAGGTGCTCCGAGTGGAGAAAGTCGAGAATGTACGGGTTGCGCAAGCTCTTGTGGACCTGGACCTCTTTCTGCAGTTCCTTTACGTTAGGCGTGCCGTACCCCAAGGACGCTGAGATGTAAATGTTGACGACCTTGCATGCTGCGACGCGACCATGGTCGTCGTCGATGGCCCGGAAGACTCTAGAGAGAAAATGTTAGCGCAAGCCCGGGGTGTCATGTGCCTGCGGCAGTCTCCACCGGCGGGTGGTGGGAAGAGGCCAAGACAACCTGGCTGGCCAGCAACAACGACACGCGTCCAATAGGCCACAGCACTGTGCACTCACTTTGAGAAGCCGCCTCCGCCAATCTCCTCTCCGATACGGTACCCATGGATACGCGGGTACACGAGGCCTGTTGGCTCGTCGACGTCCATGGCGGCAAGCGAGAGTCGTGGTTGTGGTAGTGGTGACGAGGTGATTGTTTTGTTTTTGACAGCGTTGAAACGCGTCAGACGCGAAGCGGCGGCGGCGGAATCAAAAATGGGACTGCACACGTCATGTATATCGGCCGTAGTCCAGCATACCGTCGTCCGCGCCTGTCATCGGGCACGGCAGAGTGGGTTTACACCATGCACCATGGTTCCCAACTGCTCTACACACTACTGGGGACGCTAAACGAGTATTGCGGGGGCTTGGAGCGGGGTGTCGGCCGTGGTTTCATCAAGGCAATCCGCGTTGGATTACGTCGAGAGGCCGGACGACATGGACCCGAAAGGAAAGGACGTTCCCGTAATGGATTCCCCCAGAGCCCAATCGATCCTGGAAGGTTTGAGGTCGTTCGGTACGGTTCGACGGCAGAGTACGTACGTCGATGCAGTGAGGAGGCACCGACCTCTTTTGGGTGACGGGTTGTGACAAGTGCTAGGCATGTGACTGCGGTAGCCACCCCATCTCCGTCAATCCGGCCGTATCAGAGTAAGTGGCACATGCCGCCCCGCTTTTCTTACCACCGTCGCTGCTGGTCGTTGGTGGTGCCCAGGGCCTGGGCCAGCGGTGGGTGCCGACCACACCCTCCCCATGAGCTTCTAGATATATCTCCAGCACGTACATCACGCTTCGGCCGCTGCCAGTGGCACCACATCCGCGCACTCCCCTTCGACCACAGCAACACATACATATATACCCCATGCTTGTGCTCCACAGACACCGCTCCTTTTGTGGACCCCATTCCTTCCCCCAACATCCACCCACAGCTCCTACTCTACATACACACACCAAAGCAATGCCACCCCGCACCCAGGTGGTGATCCGGCCGATCCCAGCCACTTCGACGTCCCTTTTGCGGCACACGGTACTCTGGCCGTCGATCCCACTAGCGGCTCAGCTCCTCCCATACGATCACGAACCCACTACGGCTCATCTAGGCGCCTTTCTCCCTGTACCCCCGGCAAATTTCGGTCTTCACGACGTGCCCAACGACTACTCTCCCGGCGCCCTCGACCCACAACCCGTCGGCTGCCTCACCGTCGTGTTTGAGGAATATCTCGGCGCCCTCCCAAACGACATCAAGGCCAGGGGACCGATCCGGCAGCAGGTGCAGCTGCACAAATTTGCCGTGCTCCAGCAACTGCAAGGTCAGCGTATTGGCCGTCGCCTGATCGAACGCGCTCTCGCCGACCTGGCCTCGCTCGACGCCGGCAGGATCCTCTTCCATTTCGACGCCCGTCTCGACCAAATAGGTTTCTACGAGCGTCTGGGAATGCGCATCCTCGACCCACGCGTGTTCATTAAATACGGGCCGACCGGCGACGGCCCCCCCATCGAGCATATACGCATGGGCAAGATCATCGATTAGACATGGGTTTTATATTTATTCTGAAACAACAACGACGACCGAAAAACGTCACCCCCCTCTCCCCAGCGTCCGCGACACGGGAGGTGAGGTGCTCAAGCGAAGCGTTCCAACACCGCCACCCGCTCAGCCACCGCTTGGAACGTCGCTTGCGCGACCTTACTCATGGGAAAAAAGGCCTCTGCGACCCGCCACAACAACTACTTTAAAAAGCCACGCTTCTGTTTCAGCGTGGAACAAAATATTTTTAATAAATACATGTATGTAGCGCTACCGACTCTAAAACTGCATGACACGAATCTCGCCAAACGTGCGGTTTCCGTTGCTGTCCTCGCGGATGTTGCGCTCCTGGGGTCAGCCATGCCGGGAAACGATTTAACACAACTCACATCGACCGTCAGGATGCGCTCGCTGTCAATGAGCGGGACCGAGCCATGCGGCATCGGCCGTCTGGCGAGGAGGTATGGGACGTTGGCTCCCGTGGTAATTTCCCTGGTGAGCGGGGCCACTTTTTCGTGCACCTCCTCGGCCAGGTGGAGCTCGATGCCATCGACCTCGCCCTCGAGCATCTCGTCGGTAATCTCCATGCCCGGGTTGGCATCCTGGAGGCGGTGAAGACGCGCAAGCTTTTCCTGTCGTACGTGGAGGGTGTCAAAGTCGTAAACGAGCAGCATGGTTCCTGTGATAGGCACGTTGCCTTCCTCGTCCATGCGCTCGAGGTCGACAATGTCCTCGGTGGTGACGTAGCGGTTCTGGTACACGTAGCAGACCCAGTCTGAACGGTGGTTTGTCAGTTACACAGCACCAAACGTGGTCGGTCAGTCAACACATACCTGGCGAATCAAGCTCGGGGCCAAAGAGGCGAGTGTCCGGCGAAATCTTGTCCCATGGAATCACTGGCGCCGGGCGCGAAAATTCCTTGGTGAGGAGCGGTGACGTCGGGGCGGGCATGTATCGTAGGAGCGCCGTCTTGTGCATGAACAGCACATAGTGCGGGTCAGGCTCCTGGCGCATTGTCTGAAAGTAGAATTCAAAAATGGCGATGCCGCTCTCCGGGTCGGGCTGGAAGGGAGGAGGCGCAATGGCCGGGTGGGTTGGGAAGTGGGCGCGCGGAGGAGGGTCCGTACGCGCTCCGACATGTGCCGGGGGTTCGTTGTCCAGCAGGTTGGTGAAGAAGGGAGGCAAGTCGATTGTCGCCACGTGTGTCAGTGGGACAGGCGGTGGGGGGTCGGTAGTGTACGCGTCGCCGCTGAAGGGAGGGAAGGCAAACAGATGGAGGTGGTACGTAAACGACAGGTCGGTCGGGTTCTGGATCTCGTCCAACACATCGAGGTCCGGGTTGAGGTGCGCAATCACAGTCGGCACAACAAGCGATGACGGGCTCAAGAGCACAAACGACTGGAACGTCACCGTACCAGAGGGAGCGGGGAGCACAGCTGTAAGACGACCAGTCGTCCACTGCCAACCAATGAGGGCGTCACGGATAGCTTCGCCGCCGACCCTTTTCTTGCTAAGCACAAAGAATGCGTCGTCGCAAATCTGGAAATCGAGGCTGATTTCACGCGAACTCATCTCAAACGGCCAGTCGATAACCTCCTCGCGCGCCAACGGGTGCGGCCCAAAGGTCTCGAGAGAGAGCAGGTGAAAGTGCATGGTGTGCACTGCCCTGCGGCCCTGGCGGGCCCGCGTGCGCAACTCGACAAGGACGAGGAGGTCCTGCCCAGGGTCCACAGCCATTTCCATGATTGTAAACTTTGACGCAAAGGTGCGGCGCGTGTCGTTGACGACGTCCTCGTCGACGATCTCCTCTTCCTCGTCAGGTGAGGAGGGTCCGCCCTTGGCTCCTCCGCTGTCACTCCCGCCGTCATCGTCAACCACGTCCTCCCAGTCTCCACCTTTGCGCATGTCGTACACGGCCATCTCGTTTGTGTATCGTGGCCGGGCAACGGCGGGATTCGAGTGCCTACTGCGGAGCAAGACACCTTCGAGGTACTCGTACAGACTGCCCTCGGGCTCACGCAGGGTGGTGCTCGACGTCGACACGGGCGCAATGTTCCGCAGGCGTGTCAGGCGCTCGCGCAACGTCGCCAGCATGCTGGCCGACGTCTGGGGCATTTGGTTGGGCATGTCGGGCCGCGCCCACGTCGCCAGCGGGTTGAGACGGAACGAGTTGGCCATGAGCGTGTGGTGCAGGCTCGTGGCTGCCGATTCGGTCATGTAGCCGTTGACGGCTTTGCAGAGCTGTTTGTTTTGGCCAGGACATGGGCGTTGAGATGGAAGATTCAGCGTGGAGCACGCGTGCAGGAGATACGTCGATTGGCGGGTCAAACGAGTGAATGGAGCGAGTGATACATGTGGTTAGCGTGCGTCCCGGTAAGCGGAGGAGTGACGCACCCTGTAACAGCGAGTAAGACTAGGCAAGTCGAGCTCATCGAACACGAGCTGCAGAACCTCCTCTGGCAGCTCGAGAAAGGCGCACCGGCCTCCGGGAATTGGAGTCTCGTAGGGCATGGGGCGGCGGCGAGGCGGCGATGGCGGTGGTGGAGGAGGCGAGCGGGCATTGTCCTGTGCCGACGAGTTGCGACGCTTGAAGATGCCTATGCCTACGTTGGCTAGCATGTTGGCAGCAGTGGTACGGGTCAGTGTGTGTGGGTGGAGATGAGATGGGATATCTCCACACCAAGCGCCAGGCAGAGATTCAGTGAGTCATAGACGGGATCAAATTGACTTTTAGGTGGCAAAACGGTGAAACCGGAAACCAAGGCTCTCCCACGCGTCACGGATCACTCACTGATCTACACAAGCCACAACAATGGCCTTCCAATGGAAAACAAACATCAAACATACTGGACACATAGTACAATACATGAGGCATGTCACAAGTACAATACGTTGTACAGCTACCACTGTGGCCAGTCAGTTTCAGCCACCGCGCGAGAACAAGGCTCTCACGTAGGTCTCGTCACGGTATTCCACAATAGCAGGCTCTCCACGCTCCTTGCGTTTGGACTTTTCCGCGGCCCACTTTTCAAACCTGTTGTCAGCTTTCAAAGAACAAAACAAGAGCCGTACCATTTGCGCATCTTCATGCGGCTGGTGGTTGTCAGCTGCTGGTTACACGAGCACAACGTTTAGCTTACCTCTGCTCGGTGTGTACATTGACCGTGGCAATGATCTTGACGTCGGTACCTGGCACAGACAGAGCAAAGCATGTGAGCTCGAAGAAGCTCGAATGCTCCGAATATGGAACACCTGTGTAGGTCAGACGGTGCCAGACAAAGAAACCTACCGAACATCATAAACTGCCTCGAGCTGCCGCGGATAGGCTTCAGTGAGATATCACTGAAGCCGCGGCCCTGGTCACGGCGGATGACAAAGTTGACGTCGGGCAAGGTATTGGTACCTGCTGGAGGACGATATGTCCATCCTGTTGGACGGAAGGCCAGTACACGGTCAAAGTGGGGCTTGAGCGCCTCGAGGTACGGCTGCAGGCGTTCCAGCGAAATGTTGTTGAGCGAGACCAGGTGGACTTGGCACTGGGATAAGCTGGCGTTCGCGCAAGAGCAACTCACGTTCATAGGATCATCATCCAACATCTCATGTAGTTCCTTGTCATCTTGGCACATGAGGATAGCACGTTTCCGAGGGTCGCAGTAGATACGAGAGCCGAGGGCACGAGCGACGCCTACGTGTGAGTATCAAGAGTCACCTCCAAGACTTACCCTTTACAATCCTCTCCTTGCCAATCGAGTACGTGCCAATGAGAACGACCGTCCGTCCGGTCGGTTTGACATCCTCTTGACCCTCCTCGCTCGATTCCTTCTTGACCAGCCACCCTTCCATCATCTGCGCAGACCGTTCTTGGGCCGCAAAGGCCACCTCGGCTGGGTGAGGCGTAAAGTCTGGTTTGATGTCGGGTTTGATATCTGGCTTGACGTCATCGGTTGTACGCAGCGGCATCACCACCTCCCCCAGCTCATCAATGTCCGGCTTGATATCCTCTGCGTCGTTGGGATTGTCCACCATGTCTGCGTCCTCGTCCTCGGGCTTGACCTCCGTAGGCAAGTCGGCGCCGAGCGCGGCTCGTCTGGCCAGTGCGGCGCACGCCTCGATGACCAGCGGTTGCGGCGGGAAACAGTATTGCGGGTTAAGGTAGGTGGTGTCAAGGTACACGGTGTCGACTCGTTCTCGGGCAACCGCAGGATGGAGGACGTGTTTCGGGCATCTGTCATGTCAGCAGGTGATGTACAAGAAGCGGAGGGCATCACTTACGCTCGAAAGTCACCGCAGTGCAGATACCGGAACACCCTGTTACTCCCCACGAATGGGCTCTTGAACGAAGAGTCTCCTGCGTTCACGGTCTGGGGGCCTTCAAAGAGAAACAAGGAAGAGCCAGGGCCTGAGTGGGTCAGCCGGTCAAAGCCTTCTAAGCACCCACAGTGATTAGCTTCAAGCAGAGTGACACTGACGCCACCCGTATCCGGAATGACACATGGCTCGTCGTCGGGTAGACCATGCTGGAGTGTCAGCTTGAGTGTAAGATGTCAAACTCACCACCCATTGCGGGTCTACTCCCAACATGTGGATAATCAGGTTTGCCGTGGTATGGGAACAGTAAATGGGCCCATGTCTCCAGCCCTTGTTCATGCTGGTGTAGTGGTCCGAATGTGCGTGACTGCAATCAGTTAGAGGGCACTTGACCGTTGTTGACGTACGTGAGGAAGTAGGCCGTGACCTTTGGAATCGCGCCGTAACAGAACGCGTCGACCGCAATGGGCATACCGGTAAGTATCTGATGTCAGCTGATCGACACGAACTTCTTAGCTCACCTTGTAGAACGGCGCCTTGCGTGGCCCGTTCCGCCTTCCATCGCGCTTCTCGGTGCTCTCAGCGTCCTTCCACATCTCCTTCTCCTTGTGGCCGTTCATGAGGACCGAGAACGCATTGGGAGCGCCCCCAGTCGGTGGCGGCGGACTGGAAGGTCGAGAGAGGGAATGCGTGATGGACGTTATGGGTCGTGGTGGTGCCGGAGGTCGAGGCGTGGTTCGAGACGAGCCTGCGTCCGAGTCGAGACACGCATTGACGTGCTCTTGTACCGCCTGGGTGGTTAGCATGATGCCCATCACAATTAAAACCACGCACCATCGAGGACATACCACGCAGTGAAGCGTTGCATACCAGACACACCGCCAGCGAGTCGCCCACCTCGTCCTCACCATCGCCCCCGGCTGGCTCGCCCTTGGCTTGGTGGACGGGGGAAGGTATGGTATCGAGAGCTTGGATCTCCTCGTCCGAATCAGAGCCGAGGTGGCCATAACCGTTGTCTTGTGAGTCTCGCCTTTGTGTCTTGGAGCTAGGACCGTTGACGCGTGTTGAGCTCGAACCCTCCTCGTGTCCGTTCACCTTCCTCCGCTTCCTCGGAGCGCCGTCGTCGTCATCGTCGCTAATCACCACTGGGTCGTCCAACGAACCTCCATCCTTGGCCTTGTCTTTTCCCTTCCATGTGCTCCTCCTGGGAGACGACGTTGAGGTAAGAGCGTGACTGGTGGAAGACGAGGATGGTGACAATGGGACATTGTTGCTGTTGAAAGTGGAGGCGCCCGGGGCGTTGTTGTTGTTGTTGCGCTGGAAGAAACTCAAGAGACTAAACGAGCTGGCGCTCGATGTCTTGGGCTTGTTCTTGGGTCCCATGGTTATGGTGTTGGGCGTGGTGGGATTGGCGGTGGGGCCATGGTCAACGGAGGTCGGCAGCACGGATAGAAGGAAGAAGGTGATGTCACGACAGGATGTCAGGATGGACGCAAGCCGCCGGGGAAAAGTCCAGTCACCTCGGTGGCCAAAAGGCCCCGCAACCCCCGCATTCCATCACAACGCGACGGCAGTACGGCAGCCCCACGCTGCACGCTGCAATGTAGCGATCGTAGCCACTTGCAACTTGCCACAGCAAACGAGAAAGCAACAAAGCAACAATGTTGACAACATGCATGCAAAATGACTGCAGTGTACGTAGTGTTCTCTACTCTCCATCCTACTGTGATCTCCCCTCCTCGTGCCGCTCAGCGGCGCCGCTTACTTGCCCTGTCATCCTCCGCCCTCCTCGACGATCCGTTTTCCGCAGTCGCCCTTCCAAGAATGGAGAGACCTCCGCCCCCACCGCCGCCCCCGGGACCAGCACTGGGCTTCTCGTCGCGCCTGCCGCCGCCGCCGCCCCCACCGCCGCTGCGGTCGCGCTCATCCTTGTCCCGCCTGGTGTCGTTGCCCCACTTGGACTGGCGGTTGTCCCGCTCGCGCGTGGGATCGCGGGGTCGTTCTGGGCGGTATCGGTCACGGTCGCGGTCGCGGTCGCGTTCACGGTCGCGGTCGTCTGGCGGGCCGCCTCCACCCCCACCACCGTTGCGACGGCGGTCGTTGCGGTCCCTCCCGCCACCACCTCTGTCGCCGCCCCTGTCGGGAGCAGGCCTGTCTCTGTCGCCACCACCGCCCCTCTCCCTGTCGCGTTGTTGGCGCTCAAGCTGGGGTGCAGACGCGGCAGGCGGCACGCTGGCTCGGGAGCTGTCAAGAGGGCTTGGGCGGCTCTTGTATGCGTCCAGCTCTGCACGGAGCGACTCGATGACAGTGAGGTTGTGCGATAAATCAGAGCTGTACAGTTCGTTAGCAAGGTAGAGGGACGACGGAGGGAACAAGATACGCACTCTAACGATGCGATGATGGCCTTGGAATCTGAATGTTAGCTTGTCTGCTGGGTTTTCTAGCTCACCGTCAAGCGTCTTTGCCCATTCCTCGCCGTCAGCGCGTCCGGCCTCGGCGACCATATCGCCAAGCTCGTCGTTCTCCAGCATGAGGGTCTTTACGCGTGCGACGACGGCTGCGAGATCGACGTCCGGCTCGATGGGACCGGGGCGCGGCACCGGTGGCGGGTTGGGAAGCTGGGCCGCCGAATCTGTCGGGGGCGTGACCTCGATACCGATGGGCGGTGACTCTGTGGGGAGCGGCGTGGTGGCCATGCTGGAAGCCGGCGAGACGACTGCATCGAGTGTGACCCTTGACGAGGTCGCAATGTCTGGCCTCGCACTGGTGCCCAGCAGTGTGTACCGCAGCGCCGCGTTCTCACGCGTGAGCTCGTGGATGTGTTGCCGCAAAACGGCAAACACGGGCACGAGTTCGTGGGGGACATGGATGGTAGGGGGTTCGTCTTCGGTGGATGGAGCGGCTATGGTGGTGCTGTGGGCTGGGTATCGCGCCTGCAGCTCCTTGACCTGGGCCTGAGAGTTTGTTTTAGCTTTGGGGTGTTTGTGTCGTGATTGTTGGTGGTGATGAGCAGAGAACCTACAGCAAAGGCGTCGCGCTCGCGCTCCAGGTCCAGGACACGTTGAGCGAGCTGGAGTTCATTGTCCGTTGGCAGCTGTGCGAGGACAGTCGGGATCTGGACATCATCCGCGTCGTCGTCATCGGTGGGCTTCATGCCGCTGACGCTCTCCTGCTATACGTCAACAACAGACAATGGGCGTTGAACTGTACCATTTGGTGGTCTAGAGAAGGGTCATCTGGGGGTTGCGGGGTGAGCTTTAGCTTTCACACGGGTGGGTGTAGACTGTGGGGACTGTGCTGGCGGTGCAGATGTCTGTCTACACGAGCACACATACACCCAAAGCACACGGGAGAGTTTGTTCGAGCGAGCACTCACCCAGTCCATAGTCGACAATGTCCTCATAGTCGTTGTCTGTCATAGTATTGTTGCCACTCGGGGGTGTGTGGGCATTCCGATGGAGGAATGGCGCAGGGATGTCCTCCCGTTTAGCGAGTGGGGGGTTGTGGCCTGGAGAGGATGGGAAGGGGGTGTGAGCTGGGAGACGAGTTGTTGTCGACGACGAGCGAGGAAGCGGCGGCGGCGGCGGCGGCGGCGGCCCCTCGTGTGTGTGCGTTTGTGCGGGGAAGGCGACCGGTGTGTGTGTGTTGGGTGGTGGATGCCGGAAGCAACTTGACGCTCGCAGCAAAGGCCGCGTTTCATGTCTTGGCTCGTGGGGTTCTCCGATCTCCGTTACACCCCCGTCAAACTACTCCGGCCTCTCCAAAACGTCTGACGGCCCCCGCATGGTCAGCAAACGGACGCGTCAATGGCGAGAGGCGCGCGCGCACCAACGGGTCATGCAGTCATTCGCATCCACAGCCGACTATAGAACCACTAGTTGCAGCGCTAAGAGCAGAGGGGCGGTAACGGGGGTCTGCATTAGAAAAGGGTATTAGCGGAACCCCATTTGATTACTTTATATTTATAATTGTCGGCGGTTGCTTGGCGGTTCCCTGTTGTAATGTGTTGGATTACACGAGGCCGCAATTGGGTGTCTGTCTCTGCCGATCGACTGACGTCACACACCGCCCACACGCACGCAAACCGGCATCTCCCTCTTCTCCCACGACGGCCGCCAGCTGCCAGCCTCCATATAACGCTGCCGACGGCCAATACGGTCGCCCAGCATCGTCAGCAAACAAACACACATCCCTCCCCCGTCCCTCTCCATCCAACACCATGTCCACCTCCGCCAACCCCGCGTTTGCAAGCCTGTCGCCTGCCGTCCAGGTCAACCTCCATGTCTCCCTCAAGATTGCCCAGACAATGGGTATGATCGTGCCCCCGCTCTACCTGGTCGCCTGCCTCGCCCGCCACAGGCCCCTGACCGTCCGCGGCCTCATGAAGACGTCCACCAACAGCACGGTCATTGGCGGCATTGTCGGTTATGGTATTGGCGCTGGCTATCTCAGGAATGAGCCCGAGGAGAAGCTCGTCGACCGAGTCGTCCGCCTTGTGAGTCGGATTGGGACACGATGGTCCCCGGACCACAGCACGCTGTCGGCTTTGTTCGAGTCGAGAGCCCGAGAGCGAGTCTGTCTCACGAGACGTGTCACGCTCTCTTCGTGTCGTCGCCCCTTGCTAACTCGGTGAACAGAAGCACAACGCGGGTCAAGTGCGTACGGACGACTATTCAATCATTGGCGCCGCCGTGGGCGGCCTGCTCTCGCCAGCAATCTTCCTCCACCGTGCCCCGATGGTTCTCCTCGTGTCGGGCGGTGCCGGTATCGGACTGGGCGCCGGAGTCTGGGTCCACCTCTTCCAGTCCCTTACCAAGGGCGAGGACATCAAGCCCGAAGCGATGGTGAGTCCGAGAGTCCGAGAGTCCGAGACAAGAACTGAGAAGTGAGAGAGAGAGAAGCGGGGCGGAGTGGGGGTGAATGACGAGGCGCGGCGGACAGCGGCCATCAGAGGCGTTACGAGATGGCAAAGGCTAATTGCCCCGCCCACAGGTGGATGAGATCACGAACAATAAGCCCTAAAGCCCGGCGAGTCTGAGAGTATGACAGAGTGATGGGTCGCTTGGCCCTCGTTTTGGGTCTGAAGGACGGTGGCGTCTCTGCGATACGGCAGGCGTGGCGAAATGGGCTATTGTATGTGGCGAGACGGCGACAACAGTTGGCCAGCATGGCCGGTGGACATGGGACATGTACAGAGTGGCTACAGACCCCGCCGAGGACACGACCTGTACGGACAGAGGCCACAGGCCACAGGGGGGTGGGAGGCACCATTCTTACACTGCTAACGAGGCACCCTTGGATGGGAGCGCCATTGGCGCTGACCGTGCGCTTCGTGCCCGTAACGCCAAGGACAAAGATGCTTCTCTACGTCCGTCCATGCGTACATGCGTCCACCCATGCCACGCCATGGGCACAAGTAAGGAGGGTGGGAGACAGGTTTAGGACACCGGCCACACGCCGCGATCGTCGTGGCGGACACGACCACCCCGGCCACCCCGCCGGCGCCGCCATCGTGCGGCTGTGCGCGTGCGGCGTGCAGCGTGTTAGGTGGGGCTTCTCGCGCGATCTCGTGGCTGGGCGATCCGACGGCCGAGTGCTGGGTGTGCGGCGTTTGCTGTACGCAGTGCCTACTCCTGCTGCGGCCACACCGGGTTCCAGGTGAGTCAGAGTGAGTAAAGAGTCCCAGAGAGTGACGCGGTTTGCAACATTCCACATTCCACCACCCACCCATCCACCCATGAACGTCCAGACGCGCCAGACGACACACCCGCAGTCCAGTCAGCGACGATTGATGATCAAGGGGGTGAGCGCTCCAGCCCATGCAGCCCAGATCTCCCACAGCCCGCGCTCGAGCTCCCATCATACAAGCAGTCCTGTGACGCCTCCGTGTTGATGGTGGCCACTCGGATCCGAACGCGCAGACACTTTGTTGTTCCCCCACTCTATCTCTGTCTCTCTCGACCTTCGCACCCCAGATCAACCACCCCCCCCCTTTGCCTCTCGTCTCACGCTCTCTGTTGTTGTTCTCCCTCAGCCCAGACCCCAGGCCAAACAACTGGCCCAGTGCCCTCCTGCATCAACACATCACTGCACACACTGTCTGCCGTTGCTCTCCCTGACGGAATGGTGTTTGGGGGTGGGTGCGACGACAAGAAGGACAATCGATTCTTGCTCCTGTCCATCTTTGCGGCGTTCCAGTCGCCGCACGGGGGGGCCTGGGTCTGTCCTCGTCCTCGTCCTCGTCCTCGTCGACTCGCCCCCGGATCCCTCTCCTCTCGCCCCCGGATCCGCAGGTGACAGAGATAAGTCACCTCTTTACGCTCTGCGGCCGTCACCCCCGTCACCCAACCTCACGCACAGTCGCCACTGACTCGCGCGCGCGCGCGCCAGCGCTGCTCAGCACAATGCTATATCAAGGCTCAAGATCACGCTCACCTCGTCTTTTCCCCCATCCTTCAACCCATTCACTTGACATTTCATCTCCACCATGCCTCAACACTACCTCATGCCTCACCCCGCCGCATATGGCGCCTGGCAGAGCCCAATGGTCACTGCCCGCCAGCGCCAGTATGAACACCTCGCCTTTGCGAGTGCCCACACCAAGTACTACCGAGCCTCAAGCGACAGTGAACGTGCCGATGCTGCCAGCTGGATGACAGAGCAGGCGTGCGAAGTCCATGCCGGAAGCCTGATGGCCGGGCCCGACGACATCGCCGTCCTTGTCGACATTGCCAATGCCAGCAAAAAGAATGTCGAGGCCATGGTCAAGGTCTTTGAGCGCAAGCTCAAGTACGACCACCCCACCGCCAGTGCCGCTATTCACGTCATTGCCGAAATGCCCGACTCGATCTTGATCGAGCTGTTCGATGCTCTGGTGGCATGCCAGGAGAGCCTGAGCCACGCACCGGTCGTGGTTCAGCGCGTTGGCCCTATTGTCAAGCGTGCCAGGAAGCTCAAGAAGGCCAAGGACGACGACGCTGGCAAGGCAACCCAGGCCCTCTACGACAACATGTTTGGTATGCTCGGCGGCTACGGCGCACCCGCCAGCTTTGGCCTTGGCTCGTACACCGTCCCGGCCATGCTCCAGATCCACGCCGGTGGCGGCGGCGGCTACCCAAGTAACGCTTGGGCTCTTCAGTACATGACCCATGGACCCCCCAAAGCACCGGCTGACTTGGTCAGCAGGGCCCCTCCAGGATGGCAGTCCACGTACGTCAACTCTCCATATGCCTCCTCGTATTCAACCTTCAACGAGTCGTTGCCCCCATGGGCCTACCTCAACCCGCGCCTCTACTGAGTGCCGGGATCCTCTGAGGGTGCGCTCCTTGTCCCCATTCGGCATCCACAGCACCCGAGATGGTCGCTGACTAGTGTCCAGGACGTATGTTGGCCTCCCAGAGACTGGCTCTGCCACGATCTGGAAGGCTATTCGTGAGACGGACCCCAAGAGGGAACCATTCGCCACCTACCACCCTGCCGTGACCCTTGGTCTCTTCTAAGTGTCCCGATCGGCGGCTTTCATTCCAAGCACGCCGAGAGTGTACATCGTTCCCAACACATCCTTCTGCAATGTGGGTTCTACCTCGTGTACGATACTGTGTCGGTCGGGCACATCATGGCTCTGACACCGTGGCGCAGGTCCCTCCAACACCACCCAAGGACGTCATGTCACGCCAAAGCGTGGCTCCTTCCTTCCCTCCCAGCCTTATAACCACCACGCATAAACATCACAATACAACTCCACAGCTTTCGCCTTCGACACCTTTCATGTGCAACACCATACGCTTTCATCCTAGAGGCTGCCCCGTTCCTTCTAGTGCCTTCCGTTCTCTGCTTTCCACTTCGTTTATCTTTCCAACGGCTCTGTTGATATGAATCTATCTTCGTGACATCATTTGATCCCGCCCACGTTCCTTCGTTTCGAACGGCCGGCGGTTGTTGTTAACGACGAGAGGTGTGCTCATGTGCTCTGGACTCCTTGCTCTCAGAGACCACTTCTTTCTCTGCTTCTAGCAGCGTCTAAAATCCAGAACCCAGGCTCGCAACCTTGTGCATGTCCACACAACGATACACCTTTCTCCGGTCCTCGTCTCCCTCTCCCACTTCCACCCAACCCACCCCACGCCGCCGCCGCTTCCACCTCCGAGCTCGTCACGCCGCGTGCTGTCTCGCACTCCTCGCCCTCCCACTTGCCTTGCTCATCACCTCCCTCGTCGCCTCCCACACAGGGAGTTCTATGCGTGTCTGCCTTCCATTGCCGCTACACCGCATCTCGTCGACATTGCACAGCGCCCTCGCCTGTTCCCCACTCCCCTTATCAGCCAACATTACCACCATGGCTGCTACCACCGCTGCCGGCTCGATCCAGCGCGGCCGTCTCGCTGACTTTCTCGACAGCCAGAACGAGGCCTTTGTCGCCGACCTCAAGGCCGGCAAGGGTGCCGGATGGCACCTTGTGACGGGAAACGAAGCTGGTGGTAGGTTTTACAATCGTGCGTGGGGTGAGCGCTGACCTGGCAGACCTCGACACTATCTCGTCGTCTGTCGCCTTTGCCTTCCTCGCGTCCACCCTCAATGGTACCCGTACGGTTCCCCTGGTCCTGACGCCGTTCAAGAACATGGGTCTCCGTCCCGAGAACGAGCTTGCTCTCAAGAACGCATACATTCCCGCAGGCACCCTCCTCCACCCGGAGGGCCTCCCCGTGTCGACCGACAAGCTCGCGCCGGCCGGTGTCCGCTTTGACCTTGTCGACCACAACAGGCTCCTCCCGGTCTTTGGCAACTACCCCAACACTGTGGACGCCATCATTGACCACCACGAGGACGAGGGTGTCCACCCGCAGGCGACATCGCGTCTCATCAAGACGCCGACGGGCTCGTGCTCGTCGCTCGTGACCAAATTCTTCATGCCCCAGTGGAAGGCGTCGCTGTCGGGCGGTGCCGGTGCCGCCGGCTCGCCTGTGCCTCCCGAGCTCGCCACGCTGCTTCTCTCGTCCATTCTCATCGACACCCAGGGTCTCAAGAAGGGCGGCAAGGCCATGGACGTCGACTATGAGTCGGCGTCGTTCCTCTACCCGCTCTCGACCCTGGCCACCGCCGACCCCGGTATCGTGACTCTCTCCGCCACTGGCGGCGACGACGTCCCTGCCCCGCTGAGCAACTACAGCGAGGAGCTCGTGGCTGTCAAGTATGACGTGACGGGTATGTCGACGGACGACCTGCTCCTCCGCGACTACAAGCAGTACGAGTGGACGACCAACTCGAGCGCCATCCCCAAGCTCGACGTTGGCCTGTCCACGGTCCCCCTGAGCATGGCCAAGCAGCTCAAGGCCGAGCCCGAGGGCTGGAAGAGCTACATGGCCAACGTGGACAAGTTCATGGCCGAGCGCGGCATTGACATTGAGGGCGTCCTCACGACCTTCAAGAGCGAGACAAAGCACAAGGGCAGGCGCGAATTGCTGCTCGTCGTCCGCCCGGGACTCAACATTAACAACAACGCCAACGCCTCGTCCATCCTCCACAAGCTCGGGTCCGGCCTGCTCGCCCAGCACGACCTGTTCGCCCTCGAGGACTGGGGCACAGGAAAGGGCGTGGACACGCCAAAGGGCGAGCTCGCGGCCCAGGCGGGAGAGTACCTCGACTCGCTGTCGTCGGGCCGTGTCGCAAAGATCTGGAACCAAGGAAACCACCATGCCACCAGGAAACAGGTCGCGCCCGCCATGCACGACATTGTCAGTGGCATGAACTAGATGGAACCGGGGATGTGGCCATGTGTGTTGGGGAGCGTGGTGGTACAGGGCGTTGGGTGGTGTAGAGGGGTGACACCAGGGTATGCATATATGCAAGCTACGCGCTACGTGATACATGTTACGCATGCAGAAAAGAATGGCGGGGCAAGGAAGAGAGGGGATACGGGTTGTGCTCGCTCAGACAATTACACTCTTTGGTTTTCATGCGCTTGCGCGCTCAAGTAATAGGAAACATTTGAACCTCATCGCGTTTTGGCCCTGTTTTCTCTCTTCCACGCTGTCCTGCAACGCTGCATCCACGCATGCATGCAGCATACCGTTGCGCTATGGCAACTGTGAGCGCCAGAGTGCGGCTGTTGCGCGTTGTCTCGCCGTGGGCTTTGTGCCTACTCGCGGCCAGATGCGTGCTGCCCACCCGCAGACGGCGCGGCGCACGACGATTTAAAAGAAGAGGCGTGGCTCGAATGGTACCTGACGAAGAGGCCACCCGGGTGCCCAGGTGGGCCGGTGGCACACAAACGTAGTCCCGCCGTCGCTGCCAGCAGATATGCCCATGGTCCGCAAGGCAGAAAGCGAGAAAGCGACCCGTCAGCAGGCCATTGGCCATTGACCATTGGGATGATGTAGAAAGAAGCTGGGTGACATGGACAGTAGAAGGACAGTTGACAGAATCCTCAGAACGGTCCACGTTGTCGTTTCGTTTCGTCGACAAGTCTCACCGACTTTTGCGCAGCATGTCTGCACCTACTCGTCAGCGTCACGCCAACTCCTTGAACGTCAACCACACTGTGCGCGCTGCCGTGGTACCGAATCTGGAGCCAACTGACGGCCGGGTGCACCCAAAAGGTACGACGAGAGGTTGCTGGCTGGCCAAGACGCCAGCTCAGATTCTTATTAACCATGTGCTTTTCTCATGCTTTTCGCACTCGACTTGAAAGTTGTTGCCTATATGTTTCAATCGTCACAGCTTGGGTCTTGGGCATGGCAACCGTTGCGCTAGGCTGACTCGTCGCCCCAGGTCTTGCGAGGCCGTGTACTGTGTGCAGCTTGAGGGCAGGCCAGCGGCTACGGCTACGGCAGTACGGCAGACACAACCGTACCTGCGGGAAAAAGGGCCTGTCCGTTGTCAACCACCCGACTTGTGCTCAGACCCCCCCCCCGCATCAATTATCATCGCTAATAGGCGTTCAAACCAGACGGGTGTGTCATCATTGCTGTGCGGATCGGTGGGCTATGGGCTGTCCTCGATCTGCCTCGAGGGGCAATGGCATTCACACACCGTGGGCGCACTCCAAAAGGGAGTCTATGACCTCTGCTGTGAGGCCATCGAGGGAGTCCATGGCCCCTCAACCCTGCCACACTGATCACTGGCTGCTGTAATAGGCGCAACGGCGTGTGTTAGGTGGGATACACTGCTATACACTGCTGCACGAACTAGTTGCGCCGATGTTTCACGTGAAGCCCGTAGCAGTCAGTGTACGCAGGGCACGGCACTTATCAGGTGCCTAGAGCCTGGTGGGTTCGAGCCTCGATGCAGCTGGTGAAACCGGCGACCCAAAGACTGTGGACTGTTCTTGAAGAGTGGTACGTACAGATTGATACATGAGGCGGATTGTAGCTCGTGGTTTTCACCGCCTCCATTCCTAGGACGCTTTAGGTGCCCATACTGGTCTGTGCCAGAAAAGATGGTGTGTCAGCGAGGCTGCTCAGAACATATCCTGCTGGTTCTCAATTGAGGAAGGCCACTCCACTCATCCCTCTCAAACACCACTCGGTCATCATCGCTGGCCTGGGTGACGCTCATGGCAGATGCCATTGACCGCTGCACTACACCGAAAGTCGATTGACGTGAGGGCAGTGCGTGACGCCGCTGAGCACTGGCGCACTGGAAGCCCCACTGGAAGACGGCAAGGGAGCAGGCCGTGCGTGAGGACACGAATGGACACTGTTTCGCTCTCTCATGTTTTGGTCGAGGACCGATGCACCCATCCCAGCTCATTGCGGCCCTTTGCCGACAGGTGTGTCGCCGCAAGTCTTGATCAGCGCCCTGCGAAAGCGCTCATGGAGGCATTCAAGTTTTGACAGCTCAGAAGATCGGAATGGAACCTTCTTGGCCTCTTGATGGCACTTGGTCTTGCGTCCTTTTCGACGCCCGACATCAGACAGGCCGCCTGTGTTATGCATCCACGTTATGCATACCAGAACTGCCACTGCACACACTGTGCGCTGCCAAAAGGGCATTTCTCAGCAAGGGCTTGGTACAGGTCGCTCATGAGCCTCCAACCCGGGGTGTTGAGAGTCCCGTGGTGGGTTGGAGGGGTATGAATGCATTGTAGAAGAAGAAGTAATGCTCGGTGAATTGGATATTCGCATCCTTGAAATGCACGTAAAACGCGTACACGACGCTTTTCCAACTTGGGTAGCGACCGCTTCATGCACAGCGCTGCTGTAGAGACGCCTCCAGCGCGCCAGAGCGCCGCCAAGCGCTGCAAAAGGTGGGCAACGGCAAGTGAACAGTGAAAAAGGGGGAGAGAGCCACCGGTCGAGGCACCCGTCGGGTGATGCCGCAAACTGGGGGCCAACCAACGCTCACGGGATCGCCAATTCGAATGCGAGTGCGTCCTCGTTTTTTCAAGTCGTCGGACCGTCAGACTCGCTCCCAGCGGCCAGCTTTGCATCCAGTGCAACCTCTGCATATGCCTGCTGTGACCCGCAGGACACCGTACACCTCCGTGGGAGGGCCAAAAGCGTACGCAGATCATCAGTGGAAAGAAGACGTATGATTATGTTTGTATCGCTCACTGCCTGCAACTCTTGCGAGCGCATGTAGATTGCTCGGGATATTCAGAATGTGGTCATCATTGAAATGCGTGAAACAATGTGCACGACGCTGTTACCTCTAGGGCAGCGCGTCGCTGTTTCCTTTGTGAATTTGTGCTCGTGTGGCCGCCTGTCCTGTCGCCAGTCGCCTCCCAGCTGCCCCCATGCGAGTACCCGCGTGGACAAGGCACCAGAGCGCCAGACCTCGCTCGCATTGCCCGGCCGAAAGCCTCCCTTGCGATCTCCCCTTGCTCTCTCTCTCCTGGTCAACATTGCTGCGCAGTCCGCTGCGCAGTCTCTCCGTCGTTTCTCCCCTGATGAGCCAACATGTTGCCGAGGTGTCATGTTGCAAGTTGCCGACCGCGTCCCACAGAGCCAGCACCAGATTGCAACACGTTATCACACCTCGACATGCAGCAGCAGGCAGAGCTGCAAAACGTTGCTTTGTATGCCCGACAGTTTTGACTGGGGGTGACAGACCCCCGTCGCTCCTGGGGGTTGTCGTCCCTGACGTCATTTAGCGCACGCGTCTTTCTTTGCCTTAGCCGTGAACTTTCAAACCCATTATGAGATCTCTCTCAATCGTCGCTCCACCCACTTTCAACAACATCTCACCAACCACACCATGCCCACAGGCGCTACGGCGACCTGGCAGTATCTCGGTATTGTCGTGGCCGCGCAGCTGTCGGCGTTTGGCGTGTGGGCAGTGTGGGCACCGCACTCCGAGGCCGGCATCATCTTCCGCTTACGACCGCCATTCAATTCACCACTGTATCTCGTCAACCGGGACGACGTCGACCTGAGCGTCGACGATGAGTCGACTCGTCCACCACCCACAGACCCAAGCGACCCCATCGCCATCCTCATGCCCCTCGTCGGCCTGTGTGACCTTGGGCTGGCCTTTTCCATGTTCATCTTCGCCTATCAGAACAAGTATGCAGAGGTCGGCACCGTCATCTTGAGCGCCCTCTTCATGCAAATCTGGGAGGTGCCCGTCGTGTATACGCGCCGCGGCGCGCCATTGTAAGCTCGCCTTGCCCCCCCGGGAGAGCAATTGTTGACCTGTATCAGAGCAGGTGCTCTATCACTGTTAATATTGGTGTGGGGTACGGTTGGGTATGCCCTCGTCTTCTGGTAGTAGTGGTTTACAGCATGGATCTCGGGGTATCGACTAGAACGTTGGAGGCGTAAAAACATGGGGCTTTCTCAGAACAAAGATTGTGACGATCATGACCGATGGCGGCGCGATCACCAAAACAGACCTGGGCATCATTGAAGGCCAGCCGCGTAACTGGTCTGGCAACGCGTACTGAGATCGCCTGCAGTTGCATTCACGCCCGAGTTGTCACAGATCAGCGGTGCAAGGGCAGTGAGGGATGACCGACAAAACGCACACCAGACCAACACTCTGGTGCAAGATTGGATGTGCTCCCGTGCCAAGCGGTTGTAGCCAACTCTGCGTATCGTCATGAACAGTCGCCACGCTTCAGGAATGTTGTCACCATTGGACCGCCCACTCAGGCGTGGGCGGCGGATATTGTCACTGAGGCTTTTACCAGCTGTGCTCTGGTCCTAACAACCGCCCCAAGACTGATCCTGGACAAGTGTCGCCCACTGGCGTCATCTCGCCAGCTAGACTGGTTCGCAGGTGTACCGCCCAGACCCAAGCTTGTTTGGTGGCACTGCCGTCCGCCGCAGTGGCCGTGACATCGTCTCGTGGCCCAAATCGATGACACATGGCTGGCTTGGCATCCTTCTGGACACAGCGATGCCTCTTGATCGCACCCGAGTGGACGCGCACACCTTACATCTCCAGAATGCTTGCAATGGGCCGCTTCCACCATGCGAGACAAACATGTATGTCCGGTTTGGCGCCACAGACCTGAAACCCGGGTGCTGGAGCCCATCAGTTGGGCGTGGGGGATCTAATCGGACCTCTGAAGTCTGCCATCCGACACGAGGCTGATGGCCCAACTCCTGCCCGCCATCCTCATCGCTGCAGGCATCCGCGCCGAAGCAGGTCAGACTCTGTGGGTGCGGCACAGACGCGGATCAGGAAGCTGGGATTAACGTGTTCTGCTTACACTAGCCAGTGGCATGCAGCACGATGGACCAACGGCCATCACCACACTTGCTGGCTTGGGGATTCGTTGTAACTGTGAGGTCTGCTGTGGGAGGCAAGCGCTATCAGAACATAGAAATCTTGGGGAGTCGCTCAACGGCGGGGCATACCCTCCAGACCCCCAACAGCTCAGTGATGGGACGGCCCCCCCTGGGATGTACCAACGTACCAACACAGCTGTACACAGAGATCTCGCGACATGCGGGAATCAGCCTACCAAAACGCCCGGCACGGCAAGGCGCTGGCTGGGCGGCCTGCGGCGGTGGCGGCGTGACCAAGCGAAGACCACTGTCTGCTTCTTGGCATGGGCCGTCGTTGGCCGCTGGGCCATCTGGGATCTGGGGCGAGCCTGTCTGGAATTATGGAACGGATGCTACGCTGCCAAGGTTGCGGACGGCACACTGGAGAGACTGGGTCTGCTCTTGTCCTCGACTGCGGGAGACTGGGCCGTGCACATCAAAACATCGCACGGACAGCGAGGCGTTTCTGTGATCTGTGACGAGTTCGAGGGTGGTGTCTCACATGTCAGTCAGCGTCTTTGTTTCGGCACAAGACTATAACGCTCATGCACTCGGCGACTGTCCTGTCTCCCCCACTCTGTCGGATCCGAAAGAATCGCAGTGTTTTGTCCCTACACGACACACTACCTGTGCTTGTACATCTGCTTCGTGATGGGCGTGTGTGTGTGTTTGCATGGGCTGGAAACGAGGGTACGTGGGACTCGCGGGAGAACCCAAGAGCGGACCGCTTCGTTCTTGTCCGAGGTCCCAGGCAGAGGGCCGGCTAAGGTGTACACCACCGCCGCCGGCTTCCCATCAGGCCACCCACTGATGGGGCCGGCCATGGCGTCGCGTTTTTGCATGTATCAGTGCTCTGTACGTTGCACAGCTATCCATCACGTGCGTTAGTGATTGTGATTGTAGGTGACATAAGGCCAAGACGGATGCGATGCACGATTGATGGTACGCGCCGGTTGCGGCGAAATGTGGTGTCGACCCAGAATATACCAACATCCGAGTAGCTCGCACTGATCACTGATGAGAGAATGTTGGCAGAACATGATGTCGGTGAATGAGTAGGCGCATGGTAGCTTCAAGACGCGCCTGTTGTCATCATGGGAGATTATAGGGATTCCATGCATACACGCCCGTGGCATTCCCCCCTCTGCCACGGCCGATCTTTGCCACACAGCCAAGCTGCTTCGCATACCTGACGACGTGGCTACGTTTAGACGAACCCACGCATCTGGCTATGCGCTCAGGCGACAGGTCATTTCACGCTACACCTATGGGGAAACGAGGTGCATGTACGAGCAGTGTACAATGGACAATATCCCACGTGAAGAGTGCCCCACGAGACAGGCTTCGGACTAAACGGCAGTGCTGGGCGTCTCTACCACACACGACCACAGCGTTTCTCCAGACCCTTCTCATACACTCCACATATCAGCTCCTCACCCACTGTATACTCCATACAAGTGGCTGTGAGAATAGCCTCAAACGGCTGTAGCAACACTACCACGCCTCGCTCCACGGTCTCTTACCGAGTACCGCAATGGCACCGCTTAAAACTGCCTCGCTCGTCACTTGTGCCGTTTGCGGCTCTCTTCGCTGACATTTCGACTGACCGCTAACCATTTAATCCACGGACGCCAGATCTTTCCTCAGCCAGGACAATCCCCACTCGCCACTCGCCACCATGCTCGTCTTCCGCGCCGCCTCTCTCATCGCCGTCCTTGCAACGGGTGCCGTGGCCTTCAACTTCCTCCCACCAAGCGGGGTCAAGATTGTGGACGCTTGCGCGGCAAGCTCTGCCGCTTCTACTGCTATTTCTTCTTCCAGTGAGTCCACTGTTCCTCTGCGTGCACGGTCGTGTTTGGCCGAGCGCCAGGACACGGAGGATGACTCCTCGGTGGACCAGGAGGAGGTGGACTCTGCTACGGTGGTGGTCGCCGACGCCACCGACGCCGCCTCGGAGGTTACCCAGACTGTCTACTATACCACCACCGGAGACGCACCGGGGCGCCAGACCGCGGCTGTGACTGCAACTGGTGCTGGTGGTACGACCAAGGCCGCGAGCGCGGGCACTGCAAAGGCCACAAGTGGCGCTCAAACGAAGGCTAACACATCGGCACTTGCCCCCTCTGCCACCACCACCTCGAACACAATCCCGCCTACCATCACAGGCCACATCATGTCGACCATGGCCGTGTCGTCGTCGAGCGCCGTGCAGATCAACATTGCCGCCGAGTCCACCGCCAGCAACGTCACCCAAGCTACGGTCGCCAGCGATGTCCCGAGCCCCAGCGCGACGCACAGCGGTGCCTCCAACCTCAAGGTCGGCTCGATCGCCAGCGGTGGCCTCTCGGTTGTCGCTGCCGCCGTTCTCCTCGCAGCTTGGATGTGAGGAAGGGGTGGGATCGGAGATGGACAGTGGGGACGGACAAATGAGGAGGATTTTAGCTAGTACTTGTGTCTTAATGTTATCGTTAGTGCTGTCTCTGAACGCTTTGCGTTGCGAACATGTACACACCACCACCACCACCATGTTCATGGCCAGTCCGCCGACTCGGGTCAGGGCGAGGGACTTCAGGTACGGAGATAACATGATCATCGCCAATAAATGAAAGCATCCGAAGTAAGAACTTACACCAATGCTACTGGCGCAGTGCGCAGTTTTCTTATGCAGTCACCCGCAGAGATATTGGCTTTGGGTTGAAAAGTGCCGCTGCCAGACGCGTCTTTAAGCGTGGTGCGTGTGGATGTTAAAAAAACAGTTGTGCTATATTAATGCATTTGAGTCAGGAAGCGAGGCATGGGGTCGCGAGTCGGCTGCACACTTTCTGCCTGGAGCCCGCGTCGCCGTGTTCCCAGTCCAGCTTTCCAGACCTCGGGTGGTGTCCCGGAGTTCTGGAGCGTCCGGGTCGGAATGACGGGGGGAAGGGTCCAGAGAGCACAAGAGGCCAAGAGGACCCCCCTTTGGTGCAGCAGGCAGTAAACGGGGTGGACACCAACGTGTACCATACGTAATTCAGCCACGCGGTATGGCAAAGGGTCACAGTCAAAAACTGAGAGCAAGCTAGCCTAGCCTGGCTGCCCGCATGAGCGTCTCGGTTGCTCCCCAAACACACCCCACAGCCTGCTGCGCGTTTAGACCCGTCCGACACCTAGTGGGCCCGCAGTGGGTGCTGGATCTCTTGGCAGGCAGGCTGTGCTCGTCTCACTTCTTGTTACACACTTCTTGTTACACACATCCTTTTCTCTACTTGTCGATCATTGTCATTTATCCACAACGGCAAGCACCGTGAGGGCTCCGTTGTCTTTACACTACTCGCCATGCCCGCCCACACCACCACGGGGGTAGCGTCCCTACCACGATTTTCACTCGCTTTCCTTGCAGCACTCGTGATGCTGGCCGCTCCGGCATACGCGTCCAAAAAGCTCTTCAACCTCTCGCTGCCCGTCATCTCCCCCGTGCTCCAGTTCTCTGGGTCCATCTCTGAGACTTATGACACCGGAGGCGACTGGGTTGGTCAAGGAACACCATTGACAGGCGACTCTATCCGTCGTCTCGACGAATACTCCACCACCATAGATTTTGCCGGCACCAACATTCAGTTTTTGGGAAACGCGAGCGACACTTCCGTCGTGAGCGTCTCGTACGGCCAGTGGCAGTATGTGACAGAAACGTCGGCCAACAGCTCGGTCATTGCCGCCGCACAGAGCAACCTGACGTATGCGTGGTATGAAATGGTCGTCACGCAAACCAACTCGGACACGGACGTCTGGATGACCGGCGTGGACATCAACACGGCACTGGAGACCGAGTTCGACTCGATCTGGGACGCCCCCAACCGCACAGAGGCCGTCGTCGACAGCCTTGGAGACAAGAACGAGTTCTTTTATTTCTACGGCCAGTGGGCATACAATGCCTCGATCGGCTCGGTCCCCAGCCCCGTCGGCCGGCCGTACAACCACCTCGTTGGCTCGGGCGACGCGTACCTCAACTTCAATGTGCCCCAGAACACATCCTTCATCATCATCAACGGCACGGTTGGCTACCTCGGTGGCCACTACAATGTCACCCTTGACCCACCACTGTCGGGTACCCAGGACTACACTCTTGGGTCCGAGTCGCCGCCCAACCCATTCACGTTCAATTCAGAGAGCAGGTGGGAGTCGGAGGCGGTGCTGTTTGCCGCCCCGCTCGACCCGACCGAGGAGTACGATGTCATTATTGACAACATTGACACGGACGGATCCGTCGGCGTGTACGGTGCCACGTTCTACTTTGCCACCAACCCGCCCAGCAGCAACGTTACCTCGACTCCCAGCCCAGGCCACCCGGGTCGCGACCCCAAGTCACAC